TTAAAGGTTTTTCTAAAGTGAAGAACCTAGGATGAAGCGAGAATAATGAACTGTTTTTTTTTTCCAAATATTTCTGATTTTTGATTCGACCAACATGAGATCCGTGACATTGGCGGATGATTAGTCGAATAGCTCCTAGTGGTCTTTTTAGGGTTTTTAAAGGGAGAAACTGAAAATGATATGATTTTCAAGACCTTTTTTCTTACTATGGTTATTTTTAAAAACAGTTGTCTTTCTTGTTTTGTAGTCATTTTTTCTAGTTGGAAGCGAATGATAAGCATCTGAAAGACTTCCGCTTTCGTTGAAGAAATAGTTGATTGATTGCTTTCAGAAAATGGTAGAAAATTTGACAAATTTTAACTTAAAACATACTTTTTTTTGAAGAATGACGTTCGGAGGGAGCAAATTAACAAAGGTTACAGGAATTAGTGTGTCGAAATATTTTTTTACAGGTTGAGAGATGATTTCAACAAATATTCATACAGATAAGAAGATCATTTAGAAAGAAGATTATCATTTTTTTAAAATGAAAAAAAATTTTTCGATCACAATATTTCGAGAAATTTTTCCAAGAAAAATTAATGTCGTGTTGTAAAAAGTGTGGTTGAAAATGAAAAAAATATATAATATAAAAAAACGACTTCTTAAGGAATTTATGCTTGGAAAAAAAGCCACGAAGCAGTACTAAATGTTTTTAAATAAAAAAAGGAAAGTAGAAAAATTAGAAAAAAATCTATAGAAAATCTTGATAAAGACTTGGTCGCAAAAAAATGAACTTTTTTTCTTGAAATTTGGTACATATCGGTGTGAAAAAAATGTTCTGATTTTTGAAAAAAATGTCAAGGAGGAGGCTGAAAATTTGAAATTATAAGGTATTAAGCTCATTTTTTTACATTACAAGGAAATTTATTTTTTTCGATATCATTCAATTTTTTTACATGAACGGAAGGTTAGGTGAAAATGAAAAAAAAAAAAGAATCTAAAACGGAAAAAAAAATTGGAATTGGTTGGTAGAAAGGGACCAAATTTGAACAAAACCAAGGCAACTATTTTTTTGAGGGCTTTAAATTTGAAACTTTATTTTGAGGAAGCAACATTTCTTTCTTTTAAATTTAAAAAAAAATTGTTTTGTTTGGAATAAATTAAATTGGATTAGGGAGGGTTCATTTGTAAAGAAGGAAAGAGTTTTCCAAAACCCTTAAGTGGAAACTTCGGGAGAGCATAGAACTTTAATGAGCTCAATACAGCAGGGTGGTCTGTATAAAAAGTGAAAAAATGAAAAAGAGGATAATTGGATCAATTTGCAAAGAAAGGCTACAGAAAACAAAAGTATAAGAAAGTATTTTCAAAGTTACTTCAAATTCGGAACTCTGATCGGAAATTGGCTACAAGACGGGTTTTTATACCGAGGCCGAAGAGGTCAAAACAAACTTTTGGGCCACCTTTTTTTTGGTGTCCAACCTTGGAAATTCTAGCCGCAATTCCACGCCCATCTCCCTTTTTGAAGCCATTTTTAGGAAGCTTAATTTAAGCCAATTTTGAGTGAAAATGTTGTTTTGAGGACGGAAAAATTAAGAAATTTTCCGACACAAGTGCAATGAAAATTTGACTTTTAAGGGTTTTTTTTTGGTGCATTCAAGGTTGTTTTTTTTGGGGAGGTTGGAGCTGAGGAAGTCTGCAGAAGTAAGAATGTAACAAAATGGGAGAAATTAGAAAAAATTTATTTATTTTTTTCCTTTTTTCTCAGAAAAGCATTAATTTAACGCTATTTTTCCATATAATTTAGCATTAATTAGAAGCCTTCATTTAGAATTTTCATTTCCTTGAAAAAAAAAATCCCTGGATATTCAAAATGAGGCGTTCAGGACCATTCAGGTACAAACATTGAAAATGGTGGATTTGAAAGGGAAGAAATTTTTTTCAACTGAAAATAGAAGTTTCAAGAGTTTTTCATGGCTTTCATGAACTGCCTTTTTTTAACTTTTTCAATAATTTTTATTTTTCAATAAAAAAATTTAAAAAGAAAAAAATTTCACAGCTTGAACCTGAATAGCCTTAAGCGCTTCATTTTGGATATCCAGGAATTTTTTCCGAGGAATACAAATTCTAAGAGCAGCCTTTTTACAGAAGGCTACATAAACTAAGAATATTTCCCTTTTATTCATGATTTTCTGAAGAAAAACGGAAAAAAATATTTTTTTTGGATATTTTTGTCTCTAGAACACATAAGCTTATAAAAAAAAATGAGCTGGATCCTTTTTTTTTCAAAAAATAATTTTTTAAAATCTTGAAAGCTTGATTTTCAGCTTCAAAGTTTTATCAAGAGAAATTTTTCGGTATTCATTAAGTTTAGGTTATTCTGAAAAAAACTATTCAGTGTTTTTTTATCGATATTTTTAACCTTCTCGAAATTTTTTTTCCTGTCTTTATATCTCAGCTAGGTGGGCCATTTTTTTGATAAATTATAAACCAGACCAATTTTTTTCTGTTTTATAAAACAAGCTTTTTTTCTTCCCAGCTATTTAGAACTTTTTTTAAAAAAATTCGATTTTTTTCTGACTTTTTTTCCCCACACGATGAGATTCTTGATAAAATTCTCAAGCTTTAAAATTTCACAATTCCAATAATCCAACCAAATTAATTGCAACTTTGACCTGCCTCTGAATTTCGTATAGAAACGAGACTCGCCCTCAAAATTTGTTACAAAAACGGTGACTTGGAGGAAACGGAGACTAGAAAAAAACTCGTTTTAATGATAATTACAGTGAGAGGAGAAGGAGTTCCGAAGCTTTACAGCTTCGCCGAATGAATGACCAGTGAAATTTATTGTAATGTTCGGACGAGAAATGCTTGATTGAAATGTTTTTGGTTAACAGGGAAGTTAGAAACTCCAGAGTAATCATTATAGGGGCGATAATAGGGGCCTTCTTTTTAGGGAACACCCCCCTTCCCCTATAGGGACCACTATGGCAAGAAGGTCATAACTCCTTGACGTATCAGATGAAGATCCTGAAAGGTTCAAACTGTATAGCCTCGAAAAAGACACCTCAAAGTCGATGTGAACCTTCACAATATGTTAAAATAACCCATTTTCGGGGCTTTCAGCCTTTGTTTATCGAAAAAAAAAGTTTTTATTCGGGTTTAGACTTTCAGAACCTTTGTTTATACCAAGGAACTTTCTGGCCAATTTTTAGGAAATCCCAACCTCATAGTGTAATGACCTTCCTCGTAAGAAGTTGAAGGCTTCGGTTCTAACTGAAAAAAATATCTTCAAGCTTATGCTCGAAATATTTTTGTTTATAAATGGTTTTACTTAGTTAAAATCAAAGTATTTCATGATTAGGTAAACTTTAATTAGGTAGGCTTTGGTTGGGGCCTGAAATTTTTAAAATTCTTGATTTGCAAAATTTTTTCTCGCACTTTTTGACCACAAAAGCTTAGATCTCTATGAAGTTTGATATTTTTGAAACATATACAGAATGTTTCAGACCTTTTTTTGGATTCCTTGCGCTTTTTTTCGATATTAAAAAAATTCTTTCAAGAATTCGAAGGGGTGAGGGATCACGTATAGACTTGACTTCCGTTTGAAAAAAATGCTTGAATCCATCGAGAAAAATTTGAAATTTCGGTTTTTCAGCAAAATATTAAGATTCATGAGTTTCCATACTTGCGGCATTTCAAAGAAAAAAATAGTAAAAATAAAAATTTTTTTGGGGATTCAAAAATCTGCAAAAAATTGTTGAGTTTCATGTTGTCATTTTGGATATTTTTTTAACATTCGAAGCGTTAATTCTCTGATTTTTAACCCTAATTTTAACAAAGGGTCATGAGGTCAGAAATATTCAATTCAGAAATTTTCCCAGGACTGAACTTTTTTTCCCTCTCTAATCTCTTATTCATCAAAGATGGTTTTGCTGGGATCTAATTTTTTTCAAACCAAATAATATAATTTTGCATCATTTGTGCTTGAAGATTATGGCTTGAAAATTGAGTCCTTTTTTTTCTCGCCCAAAGACGACGAGAGACATTCCAAACAACTGGAATCGCCGTTCCCTCCTCCCCAGATGGACCCGTTTTTTATGTTTCAAATTGTTTGTTTACCAATTTGCGGTTTTTTGCGGTCGATGATTAACTGTTGGCCTCTGTGGTGAAGTAATTATTTTTTTTTATTGGTCAGGGGAGTTGAATGGAATTTTTTTTTCCGGCTTCAATTTCTGCAGATGACGCATTTTTAGCGTGTTGAGGAGATGTCAGGAGAAATATTTTTGAAGAATATACTGCCAGAAATATTTCTTTTTTTGAAGTTTTAATAGTTTTTTTTTCAAACACACTACCGTAAATACGAATTTCACGACTTCCAGTTCTCAAACTCAATTGAAGCCCAAAATTTGATTCGCCACTGAAATTTCTCGCAAAAAGATAGGAAATTTTTCTTTTAAAATGAAAATTCGGAAATGACGTCAAATTTTTAGCGTTTGGAGGTAAAAAAAAAGATTTGCGCGTCACCATGAGCTTCCTGTGCATACACAAATCATTGCGTACTCACCGCTTACAGAAGTCCTATAAAATATGATTTCAAGTATTTTGTGATTTTCACATCATTTTCACGCTGGTTTACGCCTCATTTTTATCAAGTTTGTAACTGAAAAAACGAAAAACCATAGAAAAAGAAAATTTTTAATGAGATATTGGGGAAAAACATCGAAAAGAGCCTTTTTAAAAGTATTAATGTTCAAAGAAAAAAAGATAATTACAGAATCACAGTGATTGATTGGAAACATGGAAGCAAATACATTGACTTTTACCAAAAATGATGATTTCAAGAATAATAAATAATAAATAAGGAGACAAAATTATTCGTGAAGCGACGAAAAAAACCCGCTGGAAACTTTTTTAGATTCCATTCTCGTTTTCCGGGTCCAAAAAGGCCCTTTTCTTCAAGCTTCGATACATAGCCATATAAGAACTCTTTGAAATTCCAATTTGTGAACGGTTATTGCTCAGAAAAGGGTTGAAAGTCGAGTATTGTCCTCAGATTTCGACCTTCGAGCCGTCTTTTGGACCGCTAGTTGGACTGCCGGACGAACGGACCGTTGTCGAGTCTTCACAAAAAATTGTACTTCGGAATAATTTTTAAAGAACCTTTTCCTTCTCGCGCTTCTCCTTGCTCTTCCGAATGAGGAACTCAATAAGGGCCGTCAGCATCGAAATAACCATTCCGGAGAGTAAAATGTAGAAGATTCCTGCCACTTTGGACAAGTTCAAGGAGGAACTGTTGCCGCCTTCCTGAAAAAAAAAGTACCGTCTTTTTTTTCGACAACTTCTCACCGAAATTCCCGTGTCGCACTGTCCATGATCGAGCCACCATTTATTCTCTAGCCGTTTCAGTTCTCCCTTTTCTTGTAGGTAGAGAATCGCCAGGTTCAATGACATCCTGCAAATTTCTTTCAAAATGGTTGAAAAAAATTAAGACAGTCGTATAGAATATTTTCTCAAGATATAGCCCGTTCACTGCTAGCTTGAGACAGCGAACGGGCGGTTTAACTTGCGCGGCGATGGTAGGTCATGGCCGCCATACATGCGCCTTTAATAAGAGCCTTATTTGGTGAGTTATTTCTGTTCCTATTGAATTTATTTGTTGTTTACATTAATCTCATTGTTTTTACATTTTCTTAAAATCGACGAATTATAAGAGAAAAGCAAATAAGAAATAAAATGGGGCTTTTATGGAAGCGCATGGATAGTTACCATGATCTACCTTCGCCGGGAAAAACTTACAAGAGACATTTTTGACGTGAAATTGACAAATTGAACCCCGAAATCAACATTTTGCAAACCTTAACGGATTCCCGATTTTCGTCGCGATTCCATAGCCTAGCGTGTTCAAATTCTGGCCAACTTTCATCGTATCACAAGGCCTTCGGCCACTTTCGTAATTATTCGTCGTTTCCTCCAACAAGAAGGCGTATTTTCCCTTGCTGTTGCGAACTTTTTCGATTCCCTCGGCATAGCTGCTCACGAAAACCGTGTCCGTGCTGAAATTCGACTGATGAAATGATTGAGGAATTGTTCATTCGTAAATTGAACAAAAATAATGCTGAGAAATATAGTCCGTGTGCCACAACTTGGAATTTCACTGAACGACATTCCGCTGTTCCGCTGCGTGCGGTCGCGAAGCGTCTTCGCCTTTAAAAAAAACTCGGTTGCGCTTCTAATTTTTTCTTTTATTTCAGTAGTTGATTTTTACGTGTTCCCAGTGAAACAGTCTATCTACCAGCAATGATAACCGAAAAAAAGGGCTACCGAAGCTCGCAAAGGCAAAAACGCTTCGCGACCGCACGCAGCGGAACAGCGGAATGTCGTTCGGTGAAATTCCAAGTCGTGACACACAGACTATACATTGTCAAAGTCGGAAAAGAACGGGTGAAAAAAGAAGTGACTGGAAAATGGCCGCTAAAAAGGTTCCGTTTTTGGGCCTTTATTGAGTCTTTCATTCTTGGTGTGCTAAAAAGTAAAAAAGGGGTGAAGAAAGAATGAGGGTGCAAAAAGGGTGCTGAAAATTTTGGCCATTGATGACTTCCGATTTTTTTTTTCTGTAGCATTATGAATGCCAAAGTCGGGAGTTCGGAAAACAAGTGCAAAATGGCCGCTAAAAGGGTTCCGTTTTGCGGCCTTTATTGAGCCTTTCTTTGCCTCAAAAAAGGGTGAAAACCGTTCGAGGGTGCAAAAAAGGTGCTGAAAATCTCGGCCATTGATGACTTCCGATTTTTTTTTTCTGTAGCATTATGAATGCCAAAGTCGGGAGTTCGGAAAACAAGTGCAAAATGGCCGCTAAAAGGGTTCCGTTTTGCGGCCTTTATTGAGCCTTTCTTTGCCTCAAAAAAGGGTGAAAACCGTTCGAGGGTGCAAAAAAGGTGCTGAAAATCTCGGCCATTGATGACTTCCGATTTTTTTTTTCTGTAGCATTATGAATGCCAAAGTCGGGAGTTCGGAAAACAAGTGCAAAATGGCCGCTAAAAGGGTTCCGTTTTGCGGCCTTTATTGAGCCTTTCTTTGCCTCAAAAAAGGGTGAAAACCGTTTGAGGGTGCAAAAAAGGTGCTGAAAATCTCGGCCATTGATGGCTTTTGATTTTTTGCTTTACCACATTTTGGTCACTAGTGAAGATTATTTTCAATTTATGATTCTCAAAGGATCGAAAAAGGATGGATAAAGGCCGATGAAAGGACGGAAAAGGGAAGTAAAAAGAAAACCTTTTCCAACCGTTTAGGAACAATTAATGGTACTTTAGGATCCATAACGGACCCTCAAAAGGCCCGTAAAAGGCCCATCTGACTTTACCAATAGATGAAATCCTATTTTTTTTAAAGGTATCAAGGCTATTTCCGTATTATTTCAGATTATGCAGAGCTTCTGCTCCTTTAAAAAGGCCGTTTTTTACAGAAATTCATTGATTTTATCATTAATTTTACTTATTCGAAGCCACAGTGTCGCGGCTCTGCTTTTCGAGTTGTCGCTGATGGGTTGTCACCATGAAATTCCACATTTTCTTGTAGAGCGGGACGATTGAATCCTAGAAGTTAATATTTCTCAATTATTTTTTCATTTTTAACTTCAAAAAAGGCAGCAGTTGATCCGCCTTGCACGACGCCGTACAGAATTTTGTTCTGGTTCGCCAAATCGTCGACATTTTCGATTGGCGGCGTCATTCTTTCTGTAAACTACAAATAATTATCTTTATTATAGTCTGTTCGAATTCTGAATGTCAAGTGACGTCATTAGTAAACTCTCTGTGGATGTCTCGGTTTCTGATTGGTTTATCGAGCCGTTAGGGGCGGAGCTGACCTTCACCTAAAAGCCCTAAAGGAACCACTTTTGTAAGCTTTAGTGGCCCCTATAGGAGTTGATAAAGTTTTATCTAGAGGGGACCCTCCAAGAGCCCTTAAGGTTGCCTCTATAGGGACCACTCTGGAGTTCCTATGTTCGTATAAGCCGTTTAAGTCAAGTACAATGACGTCATTTGAAAACGCTCTGTGGATTTCTCGCTTTCTGATTGGTTTATCAAGCCGTTAGGGGCGGAGCTTGGGCTATGACTTGACATTAAAGGTCTGAATAGACTATACAATGAAAATGATTGCCTAAAGTCAAAAAAGCCGCCAAATTAGCCGTATATGAGGAGACGATGATCAATGTGAAGAACCACCAGCAGGAAGAGGCGATTCTTCCGGAAACGGCTCTGAAAATTGTTTTTCATAAAAATTCTTATTTTCAGGAATGAAGCTTAATAATTTAGACATTTATCGAATTTAAACAATATATTACACTTGGGGACTTTTTTCTCGTTTTTAAAAATTTTGAAGCTTTCGGTGGTAAAAATATACTTTTTCCTAAGCAACTGATAAGTTTTAGATCAAACAAAAAAATGAAGAAAAATTCCTTGAAAAAAAAACTCATCTTGAAAAATCCCAAAAAAAATATTTTTTCAGGCGATGAAAGTTTTTAAAAAGAGACTAGCCTAATGATAAATCTAGATTGATTTCAATTTCTTCAAGAAAAAATTAGAAAATTCAAACTGTAACGCTTCAAGAAGATTGAATTTCAGTAGTTTAACCAATATTTAAGATTTACAAAGGTATCGATTTTTATTTCGTTATACTCTGTTCAGATTTTGAATTTCAAGTACATTGACGTCATTTGAAATGGATCTGTGGATGGCTCGCTCTCTGATTGGATTATCGCGCCATTTGGGGCGGAGCTTGTGTGACGTCACAAAACTAAAAGTTTGAAAAAAGAGCGTGTAAATCAGAGAAAATGGTAGCTCGCTAGAAAAAATTTGTAGAAATGGAAAAAATTTTTTGAAGTGGGTAATTTTTCGACAGTTCGTTATAGCCGATTCCCTGCTAACTTGGGACGCTAAGGGGCGTGGCCTGTCTGCGCTCTCTACCAGCCAGGCGCTATCTCGTGCATTATCGTGTCAGGACCAATTTTTCAATGGCTCAAGCCAGCCGTGAATCAGCTGTATAGGCTGTTCAAATTTTTGAATAACAAGTACGATGACGTCATTCAAAAACGCTCTGTGGATGGCTCACTCTCTGGTTGGTTTTTCAAGTCATTAGGGGCGGAGCTTGAGCGACTCTTAAGGGAACACTAGAAGTGCTTAGAGACATCTGGAAAAACGCCTTAAAACTTTACCTGGGCAAAATATCCGTCCCCTGTTGCATGAAAGCCGCCAAGGTAAACCATAATGAATTGTACAATGTGAAATCGTTTGAAACGGTAAATTCGCCTCTCCGGAACTCGATCCTCTTCTCGTACGGCGAGAACGACGACACCAAGAAGATCGTCAGTGAAACCTTGAATTCAAATATTCTCTTGATTAGTTTCGAAATATGAAAAAACTCCAAAGTAAGAAGAAAGGGTGAAGATCCAAATGGTCATGCCGAGAGGCTCCATGAACGAGAAAATGTTGAATTCTTGCTTTTCCGGCTTCTTGATCATGATGGAGATCCCTGGAATTTGAATTTTCAGAACAATTTTTCAACTTCTTCTTTTTTATATGATTCATAGGCCATATGCAGGAAAATCGCAAATATCTTCAACCTATCTTTTTACATTGAAAACTGTTTTCCCGGTCTAAATCTTGAAGCTGATTCACGGCTAGCTTGAAAAATGGGTCCTGACACGATAAAAGAAGAGATAGTGCCTTGCTGGTGGAGAGCGCAGGCAAGCCACGCCTCCTAGGGTCATGAGGAAAATTTTGAGTGGCCACTGTAGAGCTTCTTCAAGAACTACTTGGATAGGACACTAAAGTGGCCACTAAACTCACCTCTATAGTGGTCAATATTTTCCGTTTTAGTGGCCACTTCAGTAGTTTTTCATCCAGTATCTGATAATTTTAAAACAAACAGATTGGACCAGTTATGTTGATACATTGACCCCTAAAGTGGCCACTAAGTTTTTTTGTTCTGGTCTAGTAGAAGCACTTAGACCTCTATAGTGACCACTTACTTCGAACCCCTTAAGTGGCCACTAATTTGACTACTATAGTGGCCACTAAAACGCCAAAACCCTATGTTGGCCATTAAAAATTTTCCCAGTGCTATATACCTCACGACAACGGAAAGGGCGATGATGTGATTTTAAAGCGATTTTCAGCCCCCCTGATTTTTCACTTTATTGGACCCTTATAAAAATCAACTTTTATTTCAAAAAGGGCACAACTTGATCTATTTCACCTGTGGTCATGAAAGGCTTTTAGTGGCCACTATAGAGGTTCTCTATTTAGTGTCCACTTCAGTAGTTTTTCATCTAGTATTCCTTCCAGTAACTCTGATAATTATAAAACAAACAGATTGGACCAGTTATGTTGATCCACTGACCCCTAAAGTGGCTACTAGAATTTTAACCGGTCTAGTAGTAGCACTTAGACCTCAAACAGAAAGGGCGATGATGTGATTTTAAAGCGATTTTCAGCCCCCCACGATTTTCTACTTTATTGGACCCTCATAAAAATCGAGTTTCATTTCAAAAAGGGCAGAACTTGATTCACCTGTGGTCATGAAAGGCTTGGAGAAATCCACGGCCCTTTCCCGTTCCTGGGTGATCGTCAGAGGCGCCACGGCGACGTCGGCCGTCTCATTCAGTAAATATCCGATCATTCCGTCCCAACTTCCGTCCGGCTGTCGGGCCCCGTACTTGTTCCCATCCGACACGAACAGATCATATTCGAATCCACTAATGTTCTGGGCCAACAGATTCAACAAATCGATACAGTATCCCTCGAATCGATCGTTTCCTTGCCGTTCCGGCTCGCCGGGATTCGTTCTCTTGAGCATCACGAATGGCTTCACCTTAAAAATGCTTCAGTTAAGCAAAAATTAACTAAAGGCGCATGGTGAGTGAAGGGATGAAAACAAGAAAAAATTTCATTTTTTCGCAATAAAAAAAAATTTATCTGATAAATAAAAAGTTTCAAACTAAAAATCTGTAAAAAAATTTAATTCCCCTGAAAATCCTTTCAACTTTCAGAATGGTGCCTATAGGGGCAACCTTAGGGCCCTTCGAGATTTCCCTCTAGGGACCACTTTACCAACCCCTACAGAAGCCACTTAAGCTTGCAAGAGTGGTCCCTATAGGGATATTCAAGTCGATAATTGTTATGAACTCCAAGAAAAGAAGCTTTTCCATGGGGAAAACTAAATAAAAAGCGTTTTTTGAATGAAATTGAAATACCCCTATAGGGTCCACTAGAGCACTAGGGCCTAAGGGGTCAGACCCTAAACCGCTATAGGGACCACTTTTTCGGCTTCTAAAGGGGCTGTTTAACTCCCTGACTCCTATAGGGACAACTCTGGAAAGCCTAAGAAAATTTTGGGTCTATCGGGGTCCAAAAAAAAAAAACTATTGAGCCATTTCAAAAAGGAAGTTTGAAATCCAGTCAAAATCTCAAAGAATAACTTTTTCTCCACTTCAAACTTCATTTTTAAGCTCAAAATTAAGCTCATTAAGCTCAAAATAAATCAAATAAGTTATGAACCAAGACGGTGACGATGTTGAATCTCAATTTCCACGGTTTTGACGGGAGGATTCCTTTTCTGGCTGACGTCGTATTTTTCTTCTTTTCGTAGTAGACACGATTCTCCCCAAGTAGGAAGCCTTCTCCTTGAGCCCATTGAAATCTCTGAACATTGAAAATCAGTTTCAAGGTTCGACAAAAGCCGACATTCCGCTGTGCCGCTACGCGCCTTCGGGAATCTTGGTCGCCCTTTTAATTTATTTTTTCTTTCATTAAGGTACTCTACTTTCATGTGTTCCCACAGCAATAACAATCAATTGAAATCGTGACCTAGATTTGAAAGACGCTTCGCGAACGCACGCAGCGGAACAGCGGAATGTCGTTCGGTGAAATTTCAAGTCGTGGCACGCAGACTATATCAGGGTTGTACGAAGGCCGGCCCGTTAGACCCTCCGGTGATTTTCTTAGCCCGGGTCAGCCTTAGGGAGGCCTCAAGTAAAAAAGACGGGTCAGCCCGAACAGCTCAAGCTTTCTTCAAGTCTAATATCAAGCTTTTTTACGACAAAAGTCATGTTTCCGTTTCATTTTATTCAATCAGAGTTCAAAAAAAACTACGATTTAACAAGAAAAAATATATTTTCGGTGAAATTTAAACTTTTCTCGAAGCCTGGCCTTGCCCAAGATCGCGCTTTTCCTCAAAAATGCTGCCAACTTAGGAACTCCCGAGTGGTCCCTATAGGGGCAACCTTGGAGGGACTCCTGTAGGAGCCACTTTACTAACCCCATAGGGGCCCCTAAAGCTTGCAAAAGTGGCCCCTATAGGGGACATGCCAGTCGAAATTGTTTAGGTACTCTATGCGAAGAAGCATTTCAATGCGGAAAACTCAATAAATAAGCGTTTTTAAATGAAGTTGAAAGACCCCTATAGGGTCCACTTAAGCTTTAGAGGCCAAGTGGTTCTAAACCCCTGTAGGGACTACCTTGTTCTTACCCCTAGCAGGACCATTTTTTCGGCCCCTACAGGGGCCACTCTGGAGTTCCTAGAAAGCCCGGGCCGACGCACAAGCCGTATGCGTAAAGAAAAGCAAAAAACGAAGAATAAAATGATTTTTTTAACTACAGTATCCTAGCTGTAAAACTCTACAGTATTCACCTCCCAGATGCTATTCAGGGAGCTCAAGCCCGGCTTGATCTCGATAACCATTGCCGAAAAATTGGTCCGATATCCAGTCTTCGGATCGAATTGAATATTCCCGGTGAGAGTTCCATGGTCTTCATTTATGGAGACGCCACGGATGGCTTCGGCCAAAACTTCGCCGTGTTCAAAAGTCTCGAACTCTCGGTGTTGGCTCATGTCTTCGTGCGGCCGACAGTAGAGGCCCTTCTTGCCTCGGTTGTAGAGTTGATGGCGGGTGAAGCTTCTGGAAATTTATTTTTCTAGAAAAACAATCTTCTTTTCAGAGTTTTTTGAAGTTCTCTCACACAGGCACTGAGAAGAGGCGTTTAATATTCCGAAAAAAAAAGTTTTTTTGACCTAGGATCCAGGCTTTTTCACACTTAGCTTTGTGACCCCTTTGTTTTTTTTTTCGGCTCTGGACATTTAGAAGCGAAAATTGTGATGAAAAAGACATTTCGAACTTTAAATGACATGAAAACCAAACGACGGATCTTCTAGCTTCCTCAATGGATCAGAGTTCACAGGCGAATCGAGAAGGGACCATAATGTGTCCACAAAGGTACCTATTAAAATGGAACGTGAAGACCCCATAATATTTCCATGGTGAGACCTCCAGCATACCTTTTAGCTAGATCTGAGCCATTTCGGAGGTACTTCAGAGTCTCCCGCAAGCCTATCTCAATTTGCTCAAAGTCCTCAGAGGTATACTCGAGGTACCATTGTGAGACTTGAGATCCTGCGATATACCTCAGGGGGTATCGCGATACCCTTTCTCGATTCGCCTATGGTTCATTCTAACTGTTCTCATAAGCTTCTCCGTCTTGCATACGAGTATAACTTATCAAATTTCGGCCAGGTAGTTTCCCTGATCTCCCAATCAATAACCCCATCACTGAAAGCCTTTCAAACCTTTACATTAGACGAGTTATTTCTGATCTCCTCACTCTCCAAAAAATTGTTTCTGGTCATGATCACCTTCCTCAATTCGAAAATTTTGCCCTCAGATCCAATTTAAGGCGAAATCCACTTCGGCTACGTTCTCAAGGTCAGTTTTCTAACAACTTTTTCTTCAAAACGATTCCTATTTGGAATAAACTTACATCCAAATATCAGTTCACCCTTCCACCTAATTCTTTGAAAAATTTATTGGTCGTTTTACCTCGCAACGAATTTTTTTACCTCTATTCCACCAAGACTTAATTGATCTCAATTTTTTGCTTTTTACTTCAACTTTTTTTTCCTTATTTAAATTGTAGATGGAAGTGAACTCGTTGGGGTTCACACTGATCTGTGAATAAATTATTATTATTATTATTATTATAAACCTATCAAAAACTTTCTTGCCATGCCGTTGAATGGCTCGTTCCAGGGCAGCTCCAGCCACCAGTAACGCATCGTGAGCGAAAGCGCTACTCGGCTGAAAATGGTATAATTCGCAGCTACCGTTATGGTGTAGCTCATTCTGCGCCAGCGTTTCATGATTTTTTTTTTCCTTCGACCTAAAGAAGCCTTTTCTTCCGATACGCGCGGCCTGTCTCTGTGTATGCGCCTTTAACATAACGGAAATTTAAGGCTAAATAAAAGGCGCATGCACAGAGACAGGCCGCTCGAATCGAAGGAAAGGGTTCCCTAGTTTAGAGGAATTAGGTATCCATGAAAATCTGGAAATGGGCTATACCGGAACGGTGACTGTAAACGCGTTTGAAAAAAAAAAATGTTTTTTTGGGCATGCGTAATAGCCCGTTCCACGCAGAGACAGGCCGTGAAAAAATATTCAAAAAATTTTAATCTTGACTTTTTTTATCCATGGGGCGCGTGGGATCCAGAATTTGAGCCTTTTGATCTTCATAATCGATTTTTGAGCTTTATTAAGAAGCTTCACGACAAACAAAATGCTATCGAACCGGAAAAACCGTACATTTTTGAATTTCTTGTCAAAAATAATCAATGGGCTATTTTCAGGTTCATTTATGACTCCTATAACATTTATTCATCATTCTGAAAATATATCTTTTCCCTTTTCACCACTCAATTTCCAACTGACTCTTTCACGTACCGGCACAAAATCGTTGTTGAAACCGCCGCCTCGATAAATATCATGAAACTCCGTTTTGGTCTTTCTAAAGTATCTTTTTAGCAGTATCTTACATATTTTAACCTACAAAAACTTTTTGCTATTCCTGTCAAACAACTGAAAAGCGGTGATATTGATCAATGTGAAGTGGAAGCCGGCCAAGTCTGATTCATCCACGTCCTGAATCCCTCAAACTTTTCAGAAATATGTTGAAGAAACCAACAAAATTGGCGAAAACGTAGTGATATTCCCGTTTGACGAGGATACTTTCTTCCAAAGCTCTCAGGAAACTTTTCGTTCGGTAGCCGCCTTCGAGGTCCACCACAACGTTGGCTTTTCTGAAAATTCAAGTTACAATTTATAGCTGATTCGCGGCTGGCTTGAGCCATCGAAAAACGGGTCCTGAAACGATAATGCACGAGACAGCGTCTGGTTAGTGGAGAGCGCAGACAGGCCACGCCCCCTTAGCGTCCCAAGCTGGCCGTGAATCAGCATGAAAAGCGTTCGCGCTGCGTTTCATAGTCTGTTCGGGTTTTAAATGTCAAGACGTCGCTCAAGCTCCGCCCTTAATGGTGCGATAAACCAATCAGAGAGCGAGCCATCCACAGAGCATTATCGCATGACGTCATTCTTCTCGAGATTCTAATGAAAACAGTTTATACGAACTTAGGTACTCCAGAGTGGTCCCTATAGGGGCTGTTGGAGGTTTGGGACCATTTTACCAAGCCCTATAGGGGCCACTAAAGCTGGCAAAAGTGGTTCCTATAGGGTACGTATTGGTCGATAATTGGAATGAACTATAAGAGAAGAAGCATTTCCATGGGAAAAAAGCGCTTCGGAATAAAATTGAGCGACCCCTATAGGGTCCACTTGAGCTCTGGGGGCTAAGGGGTCAGATCCTAAACCCCTATAGGGACTACCTTGATTTTTCCCCTATAGGGACGACTTTTTCGGCCCCTATAGAGATTTTTGATTTTTTCAGCTTCTCAGCCCTTCCTTTTCATTTTTTCTAGAGCTTTTCGTCTTCTCAAAAGGGATTTTTTCAATATCCCAAAAAACACAGAGAATCTGAAACCCCCCACATTTGATATTCGACTTCTTCGGAGCTGTCGTTGCTCTTGACGACGTTGTGAAACGACAGCCGCCGGTGCAAATCGTTCAAATATTCTCGGAACATTTCTTCATCTCGGGGTGCCTGGAAAACTCGATTTTTGTAACAAAAATCATTTCAAACAATGTAATTTTCGACGGAAAGCTCGTATTCCGGCGACTTCTTCTGAAGGTAGGAGAACATTGAAAGAAGCGTTCTTTGGGCTGAAAATAAATATTTTTTTAGAGCTGGAAAATTGAAACTCTTTATAAGATTTACTAAAACACCATGATTCCTTGAGAAATTTAGATCTTCAGAGAACCATTTTTTTATAAAAAAATTATTTTTTTGATGCTACAAAACCAAAATTCCTTAAAAAAACTAGAAAATTTCAGAAATCCATTTTTATAAGACGATTTTTTTCAGAACAAAAAAATGAATTTAAAAAAAGGATTTTTTTCTATATTTCCTACGCTTCAAATTCAACTCTTTGAACCAATTTTTTTACGTTATCAAAAGTTTGAATTTCGTTTTTTTAAAATTTGAAATTAAAAGCAAAATGACCAAAAAAATCATCTTTTTCATTGTACGTTTTTTTGACAGTATCTGCTTCATTTTAAAAAGAAATTATAGTCTGTTCAGATTTTGAATGTCAAGTCGTCGCTCAAGCTCTGCCCATAACAGCTCGATAAACCAATCAGAGAGCGAGCCATCCACAGAGTGTTTTTGAATGACGTCATTGCACTTGACATTCAAAATCTGAACAGACTATATGAGTCAAATCACCTTCTACTCAATCGAAAAAAACTTAAATTTCTACAAAAAAATGATCAATTTTTAATAATTTTATCACTAAAATAGTTGAATTTACACCCAAAAAACCACCCTTTCCAAGCCAATTTCTCCACCAAAAATCCTTATCAACTTATATTTTTGGACATTCAAATTCCAGCCGGCAGACACATCATAGCCGAAAATAGCTTTCACTATCTTTTGACCTGTCAAATAATCGCAAGAAAAAATTGGCTGGGCTATAAAATCAGGGACCGAAACTAGTTGATAAAGCATATTTCAGTGCAACCATGATAAAACTCGTCTGGATCGTCCTTTTCTTCGCCGTCGTACGTTTTTTTTTTGGGGAAAATATAAACGTTTGTCTATCATTTGTACTATCAATACTGTTAAAAAAAAATAAGATATTTTCTTTTTCTAGAAAAAAAAATTCATATTCTTTTGTTGCCGGAATTCAAAGCTCACTATTTTTTATAAGAAAAATCGACTTGTTTAGCAATTTTTGAGTGATCCCTATAGAGGTTAAGAGTAGAGTTCTCAAAACCGAACGTTCAAAAAAAATGACCGTTTGAAAAAAATGAACTTTTTTTCATTTTTTTCGATAGTTTAGGATATATCATTTTTCAAACGTTCAACCAAAAAGTTCGAAAAATCGTTTTTCTTATAATAATGAACGTTTGCTTTTTCACATAAAAAAACGGACGTTCGTTTTTTTGAACGAACTGTTTTGAAAATGGAAAAATGAACGTTCATTTTTTTGAACGAACTTTTTGGAAAATGAAAAAAATGAACGTTCATTTTTTTGAACGAACTTTTTGAAAATGAAAAAAATGAACGTTCATTTTTTTGAACGAACTTTTTTACGAACGGAAAATGAACGTTCATTTTGGTTGAACGTTCAAAAGCAAACTTGAACCAAAAGTTTGGTTTCAACATTTGTTCGAAAATGTTTGGTCGAACGTTCGTTCGAACGTTTGGTTTTGAGAACTCTAGTTAAGAGGGATGAGCAGCCCCTATAGAAGCCGAAAAAGGGATCCCTACAGGGGTGAAATCAAATTGGTCCTTATAGGGGTTTAGGGTTTGACCTCCTAGCCACTGAAGCTCAAGTGGACCTTATAGGGGTCTTTCAATCTCATTCAAAAAACGCTTATTTATTTAATTTTTTGCGTGAAGTTCATAAAAATCATCGAATGGTTCCCTATATGGGCCACTTTTGCAAGCTTAAAGGCATAGGGGCAGTTAAAAATGGGGTTTCAGGTGAAAGCAGTATCTTGTATAGTTTTTCTTTGCGAATCGAATGGTGTACTCAAAAAAATTACAGATGTGACAACTCTAGAAGAAAAACGCGATTTCACTTTCCCGCCTTTGATTTTGAAAAAAGCTTTGGATCGGTATGCAGACAAATGTTTACAGTAGCCGTGCACGCGATGTTGCGGACGTCTCATTAGACTCGCATTTTGTGTGAAACAACCGTCTATCTGCTTCAAATTAAGGGTTTCTTCTCTGAGAAATCGATTAGGAAAAAGGAAAACACACATTGACAATAAAGAAAACACAAATAATCGCTATCCCAATCGAAACCTATGTAAAATCATCATTTTTCACCAGAAACGCTTTTTTTCGATCAAAGTTTGCAATTATACATGAATAGAAAGCTTATGCGACGAAAAAGACTTTGGTGACAACAGAAAAAATTGAGAATTGAAAGAAACGAAGAAAAAAGCGAAAATCCAAAAAACGGCGAAGCCTGTTGTCCATAGAGCGATTTTACTGCAAAGTGCTCTTTTTGCGGGAACTCAAACTTTCCTCCCTCCGACTTTGAATTATTTTTTCTCTGAAACTAGGAACTTCTGTACGTTTCCAAATTCACCGTTCGATTCGCAATGAAAAGCTATACAAAGTACTGCTTTGAACTGAAACACCGTTTTTTACTGCCCCTATGCCTTTAAGGGACCCCAATAGGGTAGGTAGATCGAAGTGAACTCGTTGGGGTTCACACTGATCTGTGAATAAATTATTATTGTAGGTAAAGTGGTCCCTAGAGGAGACCCTCCAAAGGCCTCTAAGGTTGGCTCTATAGGGACCACTCTGGAGATTCTAAGTTAGTATAAACCGTTCGCATTTTGAATCTCAAATAGAATGACGTCATTAGAATAGGCTCTGTGGATGGCTCGTTCTCTGATTGGTTTATGACGTCATTAGGGGCGGAGCTTGGGCTATGAGTTGACTTTTTTTTAAATGACTCGACTATATTGGAAAAAAAAAATCATTTCAAAAATTTTAGGCTTCCGCCCACGTTCCCTCCTCTCGTCACCATGTTTCGAGGTTAGTTGGAAAATTATATTTTCAATTTTTCAACAGGACTTGTTCTGAAAGTCCCGTTCAAAAACTAGATTTTTAGTTTAAAAATCTCCAAAATTCAGAAACCGCCGCTCCACCATCAACCACCGTAACTGGCTAACCAAGGAGCAAAAAGAAGCGATTAAAGATGTTAGAGATATTTTTTTCTTCTCAAAAAAATCAATTTATTCAGGAGCCCGCCGAAAGCTGCACTTTCGCCAAAAAAGCGTTCTTGATTATGAAAAAGGAAACAGATGAAGAGTTTGACGATTGGATGACAACTTATAATAAAACTTGCAAACTCTGGTTGCAACAGGTAATATTTGAAAAAAAAAATCTCAAGTTTAAGCGATTTTGTAATGACAGGGTCACCTTGTAGAAAAATTTTCGTCTCTTAAAATCAATTTCTGAACGCAAGCCAGAAACAGAATATAAAAAAGTCGCTTCACAAAATTATAGGGCTTTTCAATCAAGGGGAAAACCTAGGAACCCAGAGTGGTCCCTATAGGGGCGATCTTAGAGCCTTTGGAGAGTCTTCTTTAGGGACCACATTACCAACCCCTATAGAGGCCCCTTTAGGGGTTTTAGATGGTGGCCCCTATAGGGGTCCCTTAAGCTTGCAAAAGTGGTCCCTATAGGGGACATGCTAGTCGATAATTGTTATGAACTCTAAAAGAAGAAGCATTTACCTAAGTTAAACGGAATAAATAAGCGTTTTTTTAATAAAATTGAGAGACCCCTATAGGGTCCACTTTGAATGTTAAGGGGCCAGGACCTAAATCTCTATAGGGACCACCTTAATTTTACCCCTATAGGTACCACTTTTTCGGCCCCTATAGGGGTTGTTTCCGCCCATAACCCCTATAGGGACCACTCTGGAATTCCCAAGACGAAACAAAAAGAAAAAAGATTTCAGACCTTTCAAAAACTTTTTGAGTTCACTTGTCCAATTTAAAAATACCTGCCAAAAATTTAAATTATTACAAAAAATAGAGTACCAAAAAAATCTGACGATTTTAAAAATTTAAAGCTACACCTTTTGTTCAAAACACTTCTCGACTTATTGAATGGAGCGCATAATTTTTTTCTGAGTTCAAAACTCAAAAAAAAAAATTCAGAAGCCGTTCGAAGACATCTACTCGAGATATTTGATGTTCACGTGGGACCGAGAATTCGAAAAAGCCAATAAAGTCTATCTCGAGGGCAAGGATTTGCTCAGCGACGTGGAAAAGGCCAAAGTCGAGCTGTGGGCGGTGATTTTCAAAGAAATTTGTTGAAAAAATCATGATTTTTCAGTCAGAATGCCAACAATTCACCAGATACTTCCTCTCACTTGGTGTAAATCCAGGTGAAATCTGGAATTTTTCCCAAAAGAAATTCTGATCACTCAGGAATTTCAGAGTGGTCCCTATAGGGGTTAGAGGAAAAAACAGCCCCTATAGGGGCCGAGAAAGTGGTCCCTATAGGGTTTTAGAGTCTGACCCCTTGGCCCTAAAGCTTAAGGGGTCCCTATAGGGATCTTTCAACTTCTTTTAAAAAACGCTTGTTTATTTAATTTTCCCCATGGAAATGCTTCTTCGCATTCATAAAAGAATTATAGATTTGCATGTCCCCTATAGGGGCCATTAACTAAAACCCCTATAGGGACCACTTTTTCAAGCTTCAGTGGCACCTGAAGGGGTTGCTAAAGTGGTCTCTAGAGGGGACGTTTCAATGTTACCCCTATAGGGACCACTCTGGAGTTCCTGAGGGGTCATATAAACATAAAAATAGCGTATAAACACAGAAGAGACGCAGAGAAGTCAGATTTTTCTTCTCAATATGTAATAAAGTAAAATTTAATAATTTAATTTCAGAACACTGCAAACGGGAAGTTGAAAAATTCCAAGAACGTGTTCTGTCCGACTTCATCAAGGACGAATTTTCCAGGTTTTTTCTCTTAAAATTATGAAAATCACTATTTTGAAGTTACTTTCATCATTATATACCTCATTCGAAACAAATTAAAAGCTCTGACCGCACGTGGAATGGCTCGACGCGGTTAAATTTGAAATTTCCAACAAAAAGCTTTTTCGGACCGCAACGCGACCGCGACGCATTGACTCATTCATAGTGATTTTTCAAAAATTCAAATTATCATAGTTACAGGATCGTGAATGACTCTAACGAGGACGAGTAAAGGGCCGGATTGAATCAGAAAATTTTGAAATTTTTTTTTTTACGAAACTGTAGTATATTATGTATGGATAAACTATAAATATGCAAGATTCTTCCTTGAAAATAGTGGTACAAAAAAATCGCAATATTTACGATTTTTTTGGTTGGAATTTTTTTCGGGAATTTTTTTCGATGAATTTTTAAATCATAAATAAATGGACTCGGGTCAAAAAGGCAATTAAATTATTTCATTCTGTTTTTTTTTAGATTTTCGAATTTTCAGTTCAAATTACGTTTCGTACTCAATGAAATCTGAAACAAATAAATTACAAGATCCCGAGCCGAAACAGGGATATCAGAAACCCAAAAAGCATAGCCGGAAAGGGTGGAAAAAGGTTCCATAGAAATGTTCTTTTTTGCTGTCTTTTCGCGCCATTTTCTCAGCCTTTTTGCACCATTTTTGCTGCCTCTTCCTCTTTTTAGCATTTCTTGAGCCTTATAAATCCTAAAAAAATGGAAGGTTCGTTAAAAGGACTCTTTTTGCTGCCGTTTTGCGGCCTTTTTTGAGCCTTCTAGCAGCCATTATACACCATTCCGAGTAAGTCCGAGTATGCGTTTTGACAAGTCTAGTATAGTTCAGAAGAAGTCCGTTTTGGCAAATTATTTCTTTATTCTGATGCTTTTTGCTTTCATTTCGCTACAATTTTCAAAGCATTTTGCCGGAACAAGGCTGCAAAATGGTTTTTTTAAAGATAAATATAATGATTTTTAAACCCTATTTTTTTCAAACCAAGACCCACCCTCTCCCCCAGACTCACCATTGGCCCCATCGTGAATATAGACAATATTCCGCCAGCCTTTGTACATAATATAATCGACCAGAAGTTGATCAATCGGCGGTCTTACTGAGTAAGTCATCAGGGAACTTCGTTTCCCGCTGGGTCGCTTATTCGACATCTCCCAATCGATGAGTGGTACCTTAAGTGGACTTAAAGTAGAGAATCTCTTAGGAACGCTGAAGTGGTCTTTATAGGGACAACCATAGGGATCTTGAAGGTTCCCCTTTAGGGACCATCTTACCTTCCCCTATAGCAGACACTCAAGGTTGCTAAAGTGGCCCCTATAGGAAAGCATACTGGTCGATTATTGTTATATTTGCGTTTTTCGAATGGAAAAATACCCACAGGATCAAGATTTTTGACTTTGAAGACCCTAAAGGGACCACTTAAAGGTCAGATGCTTAATCCCTCCAGGGACCACTTTTTTTGTCCCCCTAACCCCTATAGGGACCACTCTGACATCAATAAGTTATGACTAAGAGGGGCAACCAAAGGGGTCCTTGAAGGTTTCCCTATAGGGATCATTTTATCTTCCCCTATAGTAGACACTCAAGGTTGCTAAAGTGGCCCCTATAGGAAAGCATACTGGTCGATTATTGTTATATTTGCGTTTTTCGAATGGAAAAATACCCACAGGATCAAGATTTTTGACTTTGAAGACCCTAAAGGGACCACTTAAAGGTCAGATGCTTAATCCCTCCAGGGACCACTTTTTGTCCCCTAACCCCTATAGGGACCACTCTGACATCAATAAGTTATGACTAAGAGGGGCAACCAAAGGGGTCCTTGAAGGTTTCCCTATAGGGATCATTTTATCTTCCCCTATAGTAGACACTCAAGGTTGCTAAAGTGGCCCCTATAGGAAAGCATACTGGTCGATTATTGTTATATTTGCGTTTTTCGAATGGAAAAATACCCACAGGATCAAGATTTTTGACTTTGAAGACCCTAAAGGGACCACTTAAAGGTCAGATGCTTAATCCCTCCAGGGACCACTTTTTGTCCCCTAACCCCTATAGGGACCACTCTGACATCAATAAGTTATGACTAAGAGGGGCAACCAAAGGGGTCCTTGAAGGTTTCCCTATAGGGATCATTTTATCTTCCCCTATAGTAGACACTCAAGGTTGCTAAAGTGGCCCCTATAGGAAAGCATACTGGTCGATTATTGTTATATTTGCGTTTTTCGAATGGAAAAATACCCACAGGATCAAGATTTTTGACTTTGAAGACCCTAAAGGGACCACTTAAAGGTCAGATGCTTAATCCCTCCAGGGACCACTTTTTTTGTCCCCCTAACCCCTATAGGGACCACTCTGACATCAATAAGTTATGACTAAGAGGGGCAACCAAAGGGGTCCTTGAAGGTTTCCCTATAGGGATCATTTTATCTTCCCCTATAGTAGACACTCAAGGTTGCTAAAGTGGCCCCTATAGGAAAGCATACTGGTCGATTATTGTTATATTTGCGTTTTTCGAATGGAAAAAAAATACCCACAGGATCAAGATTTTTTTGACTTTGAAGACCCTAAAGGGACCACTTAAAGGTCAGATGCTTAATCCCTCCAGGGACCACTTTTTGTCCCCCTAACCCCTATAGGGACCACTCTGACATCAATAAGTTATGACTAAGAGGGGCAACCAAAGGGGTCCTTGAAGGTTTCCCTATAGGGATCATTTTTATCTTCCCCTATAGTAGACACTCAAGGTTGCTAAAGTGGCCCCTATAGGAAAGCATACTGGTCGATTATTGTTATATTTGCGTTTTTCGAATGGAAAAATACCCACAGGATCAAGATTTTTGACTTTGAAGACCCTAAAGGGACCACTTAAAGGTCAGATGCTTAATCCCTCCAGGGACCACTTTTTTTGTCCCCTAACCCCTATAGGGACCACTCTGACATCAATAAGTTATGACTAAGAGGGGCAACCAAAGGGGTCCTTGAAGGTTTCCCTATAGGGATCATTTTTATCTTCCCCTATAGTAGACACTCAAGGTTGCTAAAGTGGCCCCTATAGGAAAGCATACTGGTCGATTATTGTTATATTTGCGTTTTTCGAATGGAAAAATACCCACAGGATCAAGATTTTTGACTTTGAAGACCCTAAAGGGACCACTTAAAGGTCAGATGCTTAATCCCTCCAGGGACCACTTTTTGTCCCCTGACCCCTATAGGGACCACTCTGACATCAATAAGTTATGACTAAGAGGGGCAACCAAAGGGGTCCTTGAAGGTTTCCCTATAGGGATCATTTTATCTTCCCCTATAGTAGACAGTCAAGCTTGCTAAAGCGGCCCCTAGAGGGAAGCATACTGGTCGATTATTGTTATAATGGCGTTTTTTGAATATAATAATCAATTTTTATTATATACGTCTTTATTATCATTAAATTATCCCAAAATATAAGAGACCCCTAAAGGGACCACTTAAGCTCTTAAAGGTCAGATCCTTAATCCCTCCAGGGACCACTTTTTGTCCCCTAACCCCTATAGGGACTACTCTGGCTTTCCTATGTTATGACTAGAGCTTCAAATTCATTTGATCTTTCGCCGAAACTCGAAAAAGTCTCATTTCTCGGCGCCCTCTCATTCTTAGGCGCTATTTTCACGTTCTTTCGAGGGAAAAGAGGGCGCAGACAGGTCAGAATTTTTTAAAAGTTCTTATTCAACTAACGAAAAATCAACCTTCATCGAGTCGGAAATCGCTTCATAAACCCCAAAATTCAAGGAATTTGTTCCGGCCAACATGATCATGTAGCCCAGCTTCATCTCGTCGCAAACTAAAAAAAATCTTTCAATTTTTCGAATCATTTTTTTCATTTCTATTTCAACCGATTCGATTCAAATTCCATAAGACGGTGGCTCTTTCCATCGGCGGCAAGTCTCTTGTTCCAAGTAGAACATCGAAATCGATATCAGTCCGGGCGTTGAAGGATAGTTCCGCCAGGCGAAGCATCTAAAAACATGTGAAATCTTCAGTTGAAACATTTTTTTAACTCATTTTGATGTTTATTAATAATAAAAATAATTCCAAAGCTTCTAAAATTGTCAAAGGTCCCTTTTTTTCTGTTTTGACAAACGGTCGATACTTGACCTAGGAGGTGAAGATTCCGGAAGTTTCAACTTGAAAAACTTTTAAAAATTGGCTCAGTTCATCAGATTATGATGGTTTTTTTCAAATTTAATGATCTTTTTTTGAAACAAAAGTTTTTGCAGGTTGATCCTTAGAAAAAAAAAAATATTAACCCATTCACAAAACATTTCAAAGTACAAACAAAAAAATTTCCCTTCTGATAATATATTTAAAAAAATTAAAACATCACCTCCAATGTTGCGTGTGCCGTTGCATTGTCCGTGTCGGAAACATCGACAAAAGCTCCTGGGAATTTTAAAATTTTTTTAAAAAAAGAAATAAAAAAAGTGGAAAAAAAATTTTTACTTCGAAGAGATTTTGCGAGAATTTCTTTATATTTATTTTTTTCTTTGACTTTTCTATTGAAGATGAGATAGATTTAACACATACCTAACAACTTTAAAAGCGAAAAATAGTCAGAAAAGGACTTTAAAAAAATAAAAAAACATTTTTCAATTTGCGCGTATGGAAAATGCACCGGCTGCACATGATCTTCCGAGAGAATTTTTTTTTTTTTGAAAAATTCTGGCTTTTTTGCTTTCTTTTAAGCGCTCTCCTTTGTTGTACTTGTAATTTTCGTTTTACGGCTCAGTTGACAGAAGAAAAGAGAGTGCAGACAGGTCAGAAAATTAAAATTCATGCTTCGAAATTTCCAAAACTCTTTTTTCGCAATGATAAAGTCGTGAGCCAAAAACTTTCAGACAACTTTAAAGGTTTTAAACGACTTTAAAAGCAAAAAACAGTCGGAAAATCATCGCTAAACTGATTAAAAAAGAAAAAATATATTTTTCCGAAAATTGTTTTTTTTAATTTTGGCTTCTCTGCTTTCTTCAAGCGCTCTCCTCTGTTGTACTTGTCATTTTCATTTTATGGCCCAGTTGACAAGAGAAAAGAGAGTGCAGACAGGTCAGAAGATTAAATTCGCAATGGATTCTTCCAAATTTCGAATTTTCCAAATCTCAACCTTTTTTCGGAATGATAAAGCCGTGAGCCAGAAACTTTCAGAGGACGTTGAAAATCAGGAAAAAAACTCACTCAATGGAAATTTCTTGGAGGCTCGCGCGAGCCAAAAAAGGAGGATAAAAATGAAGAGGCGCATGTTCTCAGAGGTCGCTCATCTGTGAAGGTGGGAGACGACGTCGGAAAAAGAAGACGTCGGAGGAGGGGAAAGGCTGTCGAAAGCAATTTGAAGGGCGGCCCGTTGCCCAAAACGCGAGGATTACAATTACCAAGAAGCCGTCGTCCATTTTCAGGGCTCACTTGCCTCCTATTAGGAGGAATACTAGGCTGGTAGTTCATTTGTAGACTTGTAAAGTGCGAGCGTTTTTCTGAAATGGTGAAAATCTCTGAAAAGTATGTGGAAACGTACTAAAGTACCTGACAAGGAAGTCAGTTCACTTTTTCCTAAAGGAATAGGGGCAGTAAAAAACGGTGTTTCTGTTCAAAGCAGTAATTTGTAGAGTTTTTCATTGCGAATCCAACGGTAAACATGGGAACGCACAGAACTTCCTAGTTTTGGAGAAAAAATAATCCAAAATCGGAGAGAGGAAAGTTTGAGTTCCCGCAAAAAGGACGCTTTGCAGTAAAGTTGCTCTATGGACAACAGGCTTCGCCATCTTCCGGATTTTCGCTTTTTTCTTCGTTTCTTTCAATTTTCAATTTTTCTGTTGTCACCAAAGTTTTTTTCGTCACAAAAGCTTTCTATTCATGTATGATTTGCAAACTTTGATCGCAAAAATGATTCTTTGGTGAAAAATGATGATTTTACACAGGTTTCGATTGGGATAGCGATTATTTGTGTTTTCTTTATTATCGGTGTGTGTTTTTTGATTTCTTCATTTATTTTTCACGAAAGAAACCCTTAATTTGAACCAGATAGCCGGTTATTTCTCAAAAAATGCGAGTCTATTGAGACGTCCGCAACATCGCGTGCACGGCTACTGTAAACATTTGTCTGCATACCGATCCAAAGCGATTTTCAAAATTAAAGGCGGGGAAGTACAATCGCGTTTTTCTTCTAAAGTTGTCACATCTGTAATTTTTTTGAGTACACCGTTGGATTGGCGAATAAATTCTCAAACACCCAAAAATGACCTATTTTCACAGTTTTTGGGCGTTTCTTTGACTTTAAAGCGTTTTTTAACTTTCAATACCCATGTTTATTTACAAAAGCATACAATCCAAATTCAATAAATAATCAATAAATTAGATAATTCTTAATTTAAAGAAGAGCCTTGTCTCCGATTCTTCTGGCAGCCATGCAAAAAACGGGATCAACGGGGGCCAAAGAATCGTCTCCGAACAAAGACAGAGCGGCGATGCCGAAAACCGTGTGGAAAGGGTCGGGCTGAAAATTTTCTCCTTCTTTTTCTAAGATTACATCGTAGTCTTTTTTCTTCATAAGTCGGGCAAAGTTGGAATTGTAGATATTGGCCGCTAAAAGGGATAGGCTCAAAAAAGGCAGCAAAAAGAGTCCCTTTATCGAGATTTTCAGTGTTTCTACTTTAAAGGCTCCAGAAATGGTGGAAAAAGAGAGAGGCAGCAAAAATGGTGCATAGAAGCTGATAAAATGGCGCGAACAGGCGGCAAAAAAGAAGCCTTTGTCACCATAAAAGGAAAATTTTTACGGGAAAAAAAAAATTCTACGGAAAACAGTCTCGAAAAGAATGACGGTAAGATCAAGCTTTTAAAACTGTACATTTCTTCTAAAATAATCTCAGAAAAAGATTCTGGAACAGGTTTTTATATGAAGGAGAAATCATTCTCAACAAATTGAGAATAAAATGGATACTGAGAAAATTTTCAAAAAACATTTTTTCAGTTCAAATTTTTGAGATTTGTTTTCTACGCTGAACCAGAAACGTTTCAAGAAAAAGCAAAAATGAAAAAAACCATCAATTTTTTTGAGTTCATTTTTTCGTTATGAAATCTAATGAGAAAATCTGAGGTTTTTTAAATCCCCACCTAGATTATTTTTTTAGATTATCTCATTTTTAAATATATTAATATTTCCATCTACTAATCCACCTAAAAAAATTTTTCTTTTTAAAAAAATCGAGAGAATTCAATTTTTTTATAATTAAAAAGCAGTACAAAATTTTTTTTTCACAGCGAGAAATACTAAATAAAAACGAAAATGCGATCAATTTGGGAAAATCCTTTAAAAAAACCAGTGAAACAGTGATCCGGGCGAAAGGAACGTTTTTTGAGAATGACTCACATAGTCTCCAGGTCGATCAGCAAACCCACCAGTTTCGTCATCCTGACACGCGAAAATGAAACGTTTCATTCTGTCCTGAAATTTCCAATTATGGGAACCTTCATTGACTTTTCTAAACCTCATCAATAAAATCAAGTCGCCGCAGAATCGCCAAAGATGACAAGACCCACCAAGAATAACACACATCCGGGAGCTTTTCGGGTCGTCCTACACAAAAAAAAATAATTTTCTTTTGACTGGAGCTTTTAAGCAAAATTTTTGATCGTTTTTACAATAACATACATCGGCTGGATCCCACCCCAGGCTTTTGCGCTCGAAATTTCGGAGGGTATGGCGCCCTTTTCGAGGGGTAAGGCGCACTTTTCGAGGGGTAAGGCGCACTTTTGGGGGAGGGGGGGTAGGGCGCACTTTTTCGGCGTGTAGGGCGCACTTTACGGGGGTATGGCGCCCTTTTCGAGGGGTATGGCGCACTTTTCGGAGGGTATGGCGCACTTTTCGGAGGGTATGACGCACTTTTCGGGGGGTAAGGCGCACTTTTCGGAGGGTAGGGCGTACTTTTCGGGGGGTATGGCGCACTTTTCGGGCGGTAGGGCGCACCCGGTCCAGCCGACGTATGTTCAATAGTGATGAGAACGCGGTAATTCCTAGATTTTTTTTGAGAAAATTTAACATTTTTCATTCCGCTATTCACTCTAAACGAATCAATTTTTATATATTTTTCTAGAAAATGTAGGAAAAAAACTTTCAGACAAAGGAACGTGGTCGTCAGGAAAGTCGGTATTTCAAAAAAAAAAATTTCGGGACAAAACCGGGATAATAACGATCGGATAGCGTATTTTTGAAATCAGCAAAAAAATCTAGTGTTTTTCAAAACCTAGTGATTGTTCGGAAAATTGGTAATTCAGAGCGATTTTTTTGGGCCAAATTGAGGAGTATGACTGGTGTATTGGATGTTTTTGGAACCAGCAAAAAACTTGGTATTTTGTAAGATTTTGAAACTTGGAGGTCTCAGAAAATTATTTTGATGCGTTTTTTGGCCGAGGGACGTACATAATTTTCAGGAAAGTCGATATTTCAAAGCGGTTTTTTCGGGACAAAATCGGGAGAATAACGGGCGTGAAAGATATTTTCGAAATCAGCGAAAAATCTAGTATTTTTCAAGACCTTATCATTTGAAGTTCCGAAAAAATTTTCCTAATGCATTTTTTAACCGAGCGAAGGAAAGTCGGTATTAGCAGTTTTTTCGGGAAAAATTCGGGAGACTGATGAGCGTCAAGAGTATTATTTGATTTAGTGAAAAATCTAGTATTTTTCGAGACCTTAACATTTAAAGTTCCGAAAAAAATATTTTTCTTAATGCATTTTTTTGACCTAGGGACGTGATCATCAGGAAAGTCGCTACTTCAAACCAATTTTTTCGGGACAAAATCGGGATAAAACCGGCCGAAAAGCGTATTTTTTGATTCAGCGGAGAATCTAGTATCTTTTAAGACCTGAACATCTGATTAAAAACTTTCTTCATGGATTTCTAGGCCTCAGGAACGTGATTTTCAGAAAAATCAGTTTTCCAAACCGGTATTTTTTCCAGTTTCTTTCAAAAATAATTTTTCCGAGTTTTTTCGAATCATATTTCTGATAGAACCTACCATTCAAACCACCGCTATCGCATTGACGGAAAGCCAGCCATTGAGCTGTCCTATCGCGGTCAATATCGTCTAACCTCCCGGCCACAGCCAAGCTTCCAACACAACAATAAACCTATTGAAAACATCATTTTCAGATTTTCAATAAACTGAATCCAACTTGTCCGGCGTGACTTTCAGAACCAGGTCTTGTACCGAACCCGCCGTCGGAATTGTAGCAACGCATGACGAAAGCTATGGCGGCGTCCAAATCCACGACTTCGAGCCTTCCGATGAGGTGAAGGGTTGCCAGACTGCAGAATGTGAACCTCGTGTCCACTTCTCCTAAAAAAAAGATTCAAACAGGTGAAAATCCAGGGTACTTGGGAGATTGAGAGTGATCCCTATAGGCAGAGCTGTTCTCAAGTCGGGGCGACCCTGGCCGAGGCCGCCCCGACCCGACCGCGACGCGCCCCTGAGCGCCCCGGCCCGCGAAACGGTTTTCATTCAGGCCCCCGAAGCGAGCGCGAGGATTTTTCCGTATTTTTTTGTTTTTTTATTTCAGTTTTTTTCATATTGAAAAATGAATGTTTAAGTTATTTATGATCCATGAAAAAGTTTAATTTTATTGTTTTTTTGATAGAAATTTGATTTCACTTTTTTTCGAATCTTTTTTTCGTTTTTTTCTCGTTGTAATATTTCAAATAGAGGTTTGAATCAATTTTTTTGCGAAAAATGAAATTCTGATGATGTGAAAATTTCAAATTATTTCTTATTTATTATTTTGTTTTTCTCTAGTTCTGTAAATTGTTCTGGCCACTTAGAAAACTATTGAATTTTTGGATTAATATCTCATTTCATCGGTTTTTCTTCTTTATGTGCTCGATAAAAATGTTTTTTTTGTTTCACTTTCATTTCAGTAAAACTTGCGCTTCTTTCGCTTTCTTATAATTCGCAAAAAACCGGGAGTCAAAAAAAAATTTGTATCTACGGGTCGACCGAGTTGACCCTTACCAAAGGCCGACCGCGGCCGCCCTCGAACACGCCGCGAATCGGGGCGCCCTCGGTCGACCGAGGCCGCCCCGAGAACAGCTCTGCCCATAGGGCTTCGGGGAGAAAAACAGCCCCTATAGGGGACGAAAAGTGATCCCTATAGGGGTAAAAACAAGGTGAACCCTATAGGGTTTTAAAGTCTGACCCCTTAGCCCATAAAGCCAAAGTGGTCCCTATAGGTCTTTCGATTTTATTCAAAAAATGCTTTCTTATGGAAATGCTTCTTCGCATAGTTCATACAAATGATCGACTAACATGTTCCATATAGAGACCACTTTTTAAAACCCCTATAGGAACCACTTTTAGAAACCTTAGTGACCCCTACAGGGACCAATCTGAAATTATTAAGTAGAAATAAATTTTCTAACCTTATTAAAAAAATTGTATTTTTTTAAATCATTTCCACTTCCTTCTAAAATAATATTTACAAGAAAATCTCAAATTGAACCAATAAAATCACGGAAATAATAAACACTTCTTGTGGATCACTGCAAAACTTGTTACGAATGAAAAGCTTTTTTTTATTAAAAAGAAAAATCATTAAAAAAAGACCGAAATAAACAATTTTCGAACTTTCGGAACAAGAGAAAAAAATTCTTCAAAACCTGCTTTGTCACCAACAAAACTGCCGTCTTCATTTTGCAGAGACTTGACGTATCTGGCTATTTCATCGATATCCGCCTTCCCCAGAGCTTCGAAAATCATCAAAATCTCAAGAAGAATCCCAGTTTCATTCATTTTTATATGTATTTGATACTTGAACAGCACTGAGAGTGTGCAAAATGTGACTATCATTCCTTGGGGCCGGACCATAACCGCCATCTGGATTTCTGCACTCAGCAATGTACTCGATTATTTTGTCTTTCGACATTTTATCGACCTGGAACCATTTGGAGTCACTTTTTTCATAAAATTTCGAAACCTCGTTCATTATATCCATAGCTGAGAGGCACCAGAAAATTCCGCTCACTCTAATGTGCTCAGCCATGATATATTCCTAAAAAAATATTTTTGTAGAATGCATTTTTAAAAACAAGCATTTACATAGGAATCCTTGGCTGACTCATAATGTTGGATGAAGGCCGAGTGCTTTCCGCGGAGCAGTTCTTTTGGAGCGGTAGACGGGACATCGATGTCTTTCCTCGCAAAGTCTAATAAACCAGCGAAAGACTGAATAATTGTAAAATTAAAGAAAAAAATGCAATTTATTTAAGTAATACCATTATTTAAATACTTGAACGCGTTGAGAAGATTTCCCTGTTGGCTTCTGCAACCTCCCCAAATTAAAGCTATAATCTAATAAGATCAACAAATAAACAAAGCAAAGAGAATGAAAGTTTTGAACGAAAAGAAAAATAATGTTGAAATTTGAAAATGCTGAAAAAAAGCAAAAATGCGCTCCGCTGAGGCCTTCTTTTCAGCGGCAAATTTGAATTAACCTTTTTTTAATTTTTTTAATCTTTTTCTTTTCTTGTTCTTCTCTCTTTTCGTTTAAAATCTTTTTCAGTATACTTTATGCGATTATAAACTATTAAAAAAATTGTTTCAGTAATGCTCTTTATTATTTCCCAAAGCCTTAACTTTCGCCTTGAAGTTTCCTTCTTTTTGTGAAGATCTTTTTCGAAAATTCATAAATTTTTCTATATTTCAATATTTCAAAGTCAAATTTTTTTATTGAATTTTTTTGTTGATTTATAATTTTTTTGACTTCCGAAGCGTTCTTGGGGAGAATTGGTCGACCGTTGCGCGCAACAACAAGAAGCTCTTCAAATCTACCATGATTCAGCAGAGCCTTTTTGATTTCTCTGATGTCTGAATGAATTAAATTATAATTTTTCTTTAAGCTTCAATTTCTTCCGCAGTTGAACTTATTGAAACAATTTTTATTTGAATATTCTTGTTCGTCTTCTTAAAAATTCGATAATTTAACGTATCTTGTAATATTTTCATTTTTGAAGGCTCATCTCAGCATGCCAGCACAAGTTTCCGAAGAAGATCAAAAGCTGAAAAAGGAAAAGAAGTTTGGTTGGTTTTATTTGGTTTCCTTTTTCGCATCTCAATGACCTTTTTTCAGCGCTTGAAAAGTTAGCGATAGAAAAAGCAAATGCAGAATACCGAATCGATCAGTTGCAAAAAGAGGTTTAAAAGTTTATTTTACAATTAATTGATTTGAAGTTTTCAGGTCGTTTCTCGTCGGATGTTCTATCCAGAGGAACTGAACAAGATGTTGATCGAGGAGAAGTCTTCATTGATGCAGCGCGCTGTATGGAAAAATTGATATAATTTTTTAAAAAAATTGTTTGGTTTTCAGCTTGATAATGATTTGGTCGTCGAGAAAAAAAGCGTGAAAAAGATAAATGTGGATGAATACCGAGCGAAAAATCGACAGGTACCTTGCTCGTAGTAAGGAACTAAACATTGCGCGGCAAAGGCTACCACAACAGATTGAAGAGGTTTGTTTCTTTGGTTCTTTGAAACAAAAGTTGGATAAATGAATTTAAAGCACAGTTTTCAAGTCTCTCGAGCTGTAAATCTCGTAAAAAATTTCATGAAAAGTCGATAAAATTTTTAAAATTTTTTTTAAAGGTATCGGCCTAAAATCAATGAACTTTGATATTAGAATTCTGCTTCCATTATTTTATTTTTAAACTAGAAATCGAGAAAATTTCCTTGGAACATTAAAGTGTTGAGTGACCAAAAAAAATTATGTTATTCCACTGTTTCTGACAAGTGGATAATTTCACTTTACTATTTTTCTCTTAAATTTTTTTGAAAAGTTCATAATTCTCTTAGATGTTCTAGACGTACATATTTAACGTCTCAACCTGATTAGTTCCTTTATTTTAAAAAAAACGGAGTCCAAAAAGTCTAATCGATAAAAAAATCAGTAAAAAATTCTTTAACTTCTAGTATTTCATTCTTCATAAATAATTTTTATGAAATTTGAGAATTTCAAATATTTTCATGCAGTACATCAGAGAGTGTCCCTCAAAGTATAATTACCTTTCCTTCGGATACTGGGTAATTTTTAGTGGCCACTATAGGGTTTTGACGTTTTAGTGGCCACTATAGTAGTCAAATCAGTGGCCACTTAAAGGGTTAAAAATTTGTGGCCAATATAGAGGTCTAAGTGCTACTACTAGACCACTAAAAATTTTAGTGGCCACTTTAGGGGTCAATGGATCAACATAACTGGTCCAATCTGTTTGTTTTAAAACTATCAGAGTTATTGGAAGGGATTCTGGATGAAAAACTACTGAAGTGACTCCTAAATAAAGAATTTCTATAGTGGCCACTAAAACGGAAAACAGTGGCCACTATAGAAGTGGGTTTAGTGGCCACTTTAGTGTCCTCTCCAAGTAGTCCTTGGCTAGCCTCTATAGTGGCCATTAAACATTTTCCCAGTACTTCAAAGTGATTCATTGTTTTTTTTCAATTCTAAGCCTGCTAGAAATAAACCGGAACTTCATCTTCCAGATGAAGCAAGACATCGCCGACTACGAGGAGAAATCAAGGAGGATCATGGAAGAAATCCAAGAGCTCAGCATGTTGTAATTAATCTACTCGTTTCGATTTTTGTAAACTATTAATACATTTGCTCCAAATACTTGTGTGTAAATAAATTCTTGCGGCCACTTTTCCATCACGTGAGCGTGTGTGTATGTTGACCATGGTTGTTACCACCCTAAAAACAAATGTTGAAGGTTTTTTTGTCTCTTTTTTTGCTTTACACTTGGCGGGAATCTTTGGTGATCATGGGGTTGGAAGCAGTTGTCGCCCCGTGCGTCATGACCTCTTGGTCGCGCGCCCAAAAGCTCAATCCGGGGTGTGGAAGCTTGCCAGTTGGCTCATTTTTCCCAAGTCTCTCGAAGAAGCCGATTCTGACAGCTGGTTCAGTGGGTTCCTTTTTCTCTACTGAGTTTGATGTACTTTTAGAAGGATAGTATGGTCCATTGCAAGATTGTCACGTATTTCTTTTCGCAAAAAATACCGTATACCAAATTAGATTAAAATTGAGCATCTTCGCTTCAAGACTGCCGTATTTTTCTGACTTTCAAGCAGTTTTGTATAGCAATATTTTGTATTTACAGTAACTCTTGTATGTGTTCCGCGCAAGACGGTCACGTTTTAATAGAACAGAAATCAAAAAAAAGACCGTAAATATAGGGTATTGCTCTTAAAAAAAGCTAAAAGAAGCAAAAAGCAAAGGTCTTGAAGCGAAGATGCTCAATTTTGATTTAATTTGGTGTACGGTATTTTTGGCGGAAAGAAAACGTGACAAGCTGGCGCGGAATGAGCTATATAAACGAAATTATTATGGCTTTAAAAATAAATTCATAGTTTTAAATTATTTTTTTCTCCGCTGATGTAGCTTCTAACGTTTAGCTCAGAAGGTCGAAAACTGCTTCTATTTTTCAATTTTTTTGTATTTTTTTGAAGGATTATAAGCAAAATTCATTCAGGTCTTGACGCGAAAAGGTTTTTTTTTTGCGACTAACTTCAAATGTACTTATAAAACCATTGAGGAATCTTTTCTGGGATTTTTCGATCTTTCCAAATTTTCTTTTCCATGAGAGAATTTAGTACTTTAAATTCAAGCTTCAAGTTGAATTAAAATTTGTAGTAGAATACGGGGTTTTTTTATATTCAGAAGTCAAGAAGACAAACCAAACTTCTTCAAAAAAAAAAATGAAGTTGGAAATATAAAATTTCTTTCACCCCTGCGATGGTAAATTTCAAATTTTTGAATGCTGTAACTCGATTGCAAAGCTCGTGTTTCTATTTTTCTAGCATGAAAGTCATCTAGAAAAAAGGGGGAAAATTTTTAGAGGCCACTCTAAAGGCTCGCCAAGGACTACTTGGAAAGGACACTAAAATGGCCACTAAACCAACCTCTATAGTGGCCACTATTTTCCGTTTTAGTGGCCACTATAGTCTATAGAGGTTCTCTATTTAGTGGCCACTTCAGTAGTTTTTCATCCAGTATTCCTTCCAGTCACTCTGATAATTTTAAACAAAGATTGGACCAGTTCTGTTGATCCATTGACCCCTAAAGTGGCCACTAAAATTTTAAGTGTCTAGTAGTAGCAATTAGACCTCTATAGGGACCACTAATTTTTAACCCCTAAGTGGCCACTATTTTGACTACTATAGTGGTCACTAAACGTCAAAGCTCTATAGGGGCCACTAAAAACTTTCTCAGTAGCCTTAGCAATTTTCTCAAAAAATTGTCTTTTCGCAACTTGAAAGGGTCCTTCCGCAATCATGTTTGTTGTTGGGAAACCTCGAAAGGCGGTTAATGGGCTTTCTATTGCTTTTAAGTGCACCAGGCACAGAACAATGGATGATGAAGTAGTTATATATGATTGAAAGAAAAATCGCGACCAGGAAGTGGAAGGTTTACGCCACTTGTTCGCCAGAGCATGTGACCGGTTTTTTTTTCGTTCCACTTGGATCAAGCTGTAAATAGTACGTGACATTGCTGAAGTTTGTGAGAAAAAGCTTTATAGTCATTTTTTGAAAATTCTTCATTTTCGAGCTGTCTTTGACCTTCTGGTCGGGGAAAATTTTCAAATTTACGTAATAAACTCTCGGACCTTGGTAACGTGCATCGGACGTGTCGGGGCATATCTAGTGACCACTTTAGTAGCCTCAGAACTCTTAAGTGATCCCTAAAATTGCCCAGAAACGTCCGGAGCACGTCCGTTTCGCGTTACCAATGTTCGAAGTAATACTTTGTTTAAGGGCCTTACCCAATTTGTGTCTTTAAGTCTTCCAGGTTCAAATTTTAACTTTTTTGATTCTTCTGCATATTTTGGCAACTGAAAGTAGGATTTAATCGCAGTAGAAGTGAAATTCGAAGGGATATGCTTTCAAAATTAGCCTTTTGTCTTTATAAGGAGGTCATTTGCCGTTGAGATTTTCCTGAAAGTTGGCCAAAATACTCCTTGATATACCAGAAATGTATCCTGAAAGTCCCAGCCTGCAAAAGTTCTTATTTTTCGAGAAATATATGCTCAAAGCCGTAAAATGACCTATCTTAACGGATTTTACGGATTTTCTTTGACTTTGAGGTGTCCTTTCTTCAAAACTAAAATTTTTTGCTTTTTGAGACTTTCAGAATCTTTTTCTGGTACATCAAGGGGTGTTCTGACCAATTTTCAAGAAAATCCCAAACTATATGGGGAATATAGTTTCGAAAATTGACCGTTCGACCAATATTTTTTCAACATGTCATAATAAATGGTCATTGGTCGAACGGTTGGAGTTTCAACATTTCAACATGTCACTTCAGAATGACATGTAGGTTTTTGACCGTTCGAAATGTCACTCTGAGATTGGTCGGTCATTTTTCGAACGTTCGAAATGTCACTTCGAAATTGGTCGGTCATTTTTCGAACGTTCGAAATGTCACTTCGAAAATGGTCGGTCATTTTTCGAACGTTCGAAATGTCACTTCGAAAATGGTCGGTCAGTTTCTGACCGTTCGAAATGTCACTCTGAAAATGGTCGGTCATTTTTCGAACGTTCGAAATGTCACTTCGAAAATGGTCGGTCAGTTTTTGATCGTTCGAAATGTCACTCTCAAAATGGTCGGTCATTTTTTGACCGTTCAAAATGTTACTTTTGAATTGGTTGGTCATTTTCCGACCGTTCGAAATGCCTATTCGAAAATTTTCTCTTACGCTGGAAGTGAGGGCTCGTGCGCGAGACACATTCCTTCTCACTGCGTTCCAGTCTTTCACGTGCAAACTTTGAGCCGTCATAATTTGACTACGAGGCAAAAGGCGAGATATTTTATTTTTGATTTGGAATCAGCATGCCTTAAAGTACACCCCTGCGAAGTTCCATCAAAAGTTCAACCGGGGGATAAAAACAGTTTCCTTGTCAGAGTAACTAGGAGCTTATTCATTATCACGAAGCACGCGGAGTTTTCTCAAAATTCCATACTTTTCGCAAACGTTGATTCAATTTATTTCATTTCAGACATTTCAAACTTTTTTCAGTCAAATTTCGATCGTTTGAAACGCCATTTCAAAATTGGTCGTTCATTTTTTGACCGTTCAAAATGTCGCTCTTAAAATGGTCGGTCATTTTTTGACCGTTCGAAATGTCACTTCCAAAATGGTCGGTCATTTTTTGACCGTTCGAAATGTCGCTCTTAAAATGGTCGGTCATTTTTTGACCGTTCAAAATGTCGCTCTTAAAATGGTCGGTCATTTTTTGACCGTTCGAAATGTCACTTCCAAAATGGTCGGTCATTTTTTGACCGTTCGAAATGTCACTTCAAAATTGGTCGTTCATTTTTTGACCGTTCAAAATGTCGCTCTTAAAATGGTCGGTCATTTTTTGACCGTTCGAAATGTCACTTCCAAAATGGTCGGTCATTTTTTGACCGTTCGAAATGTCACTTCCAAAATGGTCGGTCATTTTTTGACCGTTCGAAATGTCACTTCCAAAATGGTCGGTCATTTTTTGACCGTTCGAAATGTCACTTCAAAATTGGTCGTTCATTTTTTGACCGTTCAAAATGTCGCTCTTAAAATGGTCGGTCATTTTTTGACCGTTCGAAATGTCACTTCCAAAATGGTCGGTCATTTTTTGACCGTTCGAAATGTCACTTCAAAATTGGTCGTTCATTTTTTGACCGTTCAAAATGTCGCTCTTAAAATGGTCGGTCATTTTTTGACCGTTCGAAATGTCACTTCCAAAATGGTCGGTCATTTTTTGACCGTTCGAAATGTCACTCTGAAAATGGTCGGTCATTTTTCGAACGTTCGAAATGTCACTTCAAAAATGGTCGTTCATTTTTTGACCGTTCGAAATGTCACTTCAAAATTGGTCGTTCATTTTTTGACCGTTCAAAATGTCGCTCTTAAAATGGTCGGTCATTTTTTGACCGTTCGAAATGTCACTTCAAAATTGGTCGTTCATTTTTTGACCGTTCAAAATGTCACTCTTAAAATGGTCGGTCATTTTTTGACCGTTCGAAATGTCACTTCCAAAATGGTCGGTCATTTTTTGACCGTTCGAAATGTCACTCTGAAAATGGTCGGTCATTTTTCGAACGTTCGAAATGTCACTTCAAAAATGGTCGTTCATTTTTTGACCGTTCGAAATGTCACTTCCAAAATTGGTCGTTCATTTTTTGACCGTTCAAAATGTCGCTCTTAAAATGGTCGGTCATTTTTTGACCGTTCGAAATGTCACTTCCAAAATGGTCGGTCATTTTTTGACCGTTCGAAATGTCACTCTGAAAATGGTCGGTCATTTTTCGAACGTTCAAAATGTCACTCTTAAAATGGTCGGTCATTTTTTGACCGTTCGAAATGTCACTTCAAAATTGGTCGTTCATTTTTTGACCGTTCAAAATGTCGCTCTTAAAATGGTCGGTCATTTTTTGACCGTTCGAAATGTCACTTCAAAATTGGTCGTTCATTTTTTGACCGTTCAAAATGTCACTCTTAAAATGGTAGGTCATTTTTTGACCGTTCGAAATGTCACTTTAAAAATGGTCGGTCATTTTTTGACCGTTCGAAATGTCACTCTGAAAATGGTCGGTCATTTTTCGAACGTTCGAAATGTCACTTCAAAAATGGTCGGTCATTTTTCGAACGTTCGAAATGTCACTTCGAAAATGGTCGGTCGGTTTCGTAAATTTCAGAAATTGGTCGGTCAAACGAACGGTCAGAAAAATGACATGTTATAACCGTTCGAAAAACTGAACGGTCATATCAGTTGACGGTCTAATTGGTCGAACGGTCGAATTTTAGAACACTAATGGGGAAAGGACTTCTTTAAATTCTCCTGCAAGCATTTTTCTGAACAGACTCTAAACATTACTGCACTTTTGACCTGTCCTGGTCGCCTAGGCAAATATTCAAAGGCACGTATACTCGAGCTGAGGTCGTCGTGTGGTCCCAGAGCACCCTAAATCATTCCCCCTCGTTCTCTAATTCCTCATCGATTCTTATACGATCTGCTCGGAGGCGTGTTACGTGGTCCTTTTCGACACATCGGTCGCTTTGTCCCTTCAGTCGCACTTCCTACTGCGCGTCGTAGCGTCTTTTCTGGTTCCTGCTTCAGTTTCAGCATTTATTTTGTTGCTTTCCGTGGTTTTCGCGTTGGGAGATTGAGATATGTAGGCGTTCTGTTTATTTCCCTTTCATGAGGAATTTTGAACGTTCCACGATTTTTATTGCTGAAAAAATGAAAAATGTATTATTGCGTCATTTTTCAAAAAATATTATTTTTTCAGTTCCAATTTGAAACATTTCTGGTCTTTTCACACAAGTCTTCCAGTTTCTAAAAGGGCAAAAGTTGCATGGCCTAAAATGACACTGAGAAGGGCTTCAAACTTCGAGACCTTTAAAAAATTAATCCATGCTCCTTTAAGCTTCTCATATTTTTTTGATTAGACGCGTGTTCTCTAGTAAAGTTAATGTAGAATAAATCCTGAGAAAATCATTTTTGACAATTCGAAGAGCCCAAAAGTCATTACATAAAATAACACCCAAAACGGCCTTTGTCTGCGAACTTATTAATTCCAGAGTGGTCCCTATAGGGTTTAGAGGGAGAAAAAAAGCCTTTTTAGGGGCCGAAAAAGTGACCCCTATAGGGGTTTAAAGCCCGACCCCAAAGCCCCTAAACCTCTAGTGGTCCCTATAGGGGTCTTCCAAGTTCATTAAAAAAACGCCAAATTTTTTAGTTTTCGCATAAAGTTTATAACAATTATAGACTAGAATGTTCCCTCTAGGGACCACTTTTGCAAGCTTTAGTGATCCTTATAGGAGTTGGTAAAGTGGTTCCTAGAGGATACCCTCCAAGGGTCTCTAAGGTTGCCCCTATAGGGACCACTCTCGAGTTCCTTTGCCCATTCTCGTGTAAAATATCATCTTTTAGAGAAAAATAAACGCTATTGATTCGATTTTGAGTCATTTGATCTATGAAAATCACTTTATAGTGTTTGTTTACCAATTTTCTCTAACGAAACAGCTGATCACGTTTATTCTGTGCCGGCACTTTCAATATGTGTATTGACAGAGGGGTTTCCCCCGTATTATCAGTGAGATTTTCGAACCGGTATAGTAGTGTACCAACTTGGGTTCTCTGATAACACTATCGCCTGTTGCAATTTTTTTTTTTCTGTCACTCTCTCGATTTTACAGCAACATCACGGCTGTACTAATTCGGCTTGCAGAAAAATAAGATAAACAAATTTTTGTGATAAGGAAGCGTTCGGTAGATTCTCTAAATAGGAAAAAAAGTTTTTTTCGAAAGATTTTTTTAAAGTTAAAAAAATCGGTTTTTGTTGAAAAAAAGTCTTAAGTTGACTGGAAATAGTTGAAGTTGAAAACAAGTAATAAACTTTTAAAGCCTCATTTTACAATTGAAAACCTTTTTTTTCCGTTTTTAAAGAAGCCAAAGACTTTAATAACCCATAATAGCGTAAAAATGGCTCTCCGTCTCGAGACCTTTTTTAAATGTATCTATGCTCCTTTAAAATTTCGATTAGAACTCTATAACTTTATCTCGAAAAAGATGAAAGGTCACGATTTTTCATAAGTAAAACAAGACTTCAGTTGTTTAATATGTCGCCAATTTACGCAAAAATTTTTTTAAGATACCGTAGGATCAATATCTTTTCGTTACAAGACCCACTATCTTAATAATAGACCGTTTTTAGTATTCTTTGAATAACCTGAAATTGAAAGATATCAAAGTACTTTTTGATACGATTCAAAGTGCAGAGTTCAAAAAAATACTGCTCCTCAAATGACTAGACTATCAAAAAAACTATTGATAATATTTGTTTATTAAACAGCTGTAGTCTTGTTTTTCCTCAAGAAAAAGTTTTTTTGAACCGTTCAAGGACGTAGTCTAGGCTACCGTGAGGCTTGAGCTTCACCATTATGAAAATTTTCAAGCTTTGAGTTCATAAATTTGGTTCATAACTTTCAAAAAAATAACCTTAGAAGTTGAATTTCGATGAGCAGGCCTTTCTAAGGGCTTGAAGTGACCAAAAAACTCCAGTAAATGGATCACTAGAGCTTTTAATTTTTCTTATTTGAACTTTAAAATCCAAAAAATAGAATTTTAATTCACTTCCCCATTTCAAAAACCTCTTACGACACCAAAAATCCGACCAAAATATCAATTTATTCACAATTTTATGGCCTTTTCTCACGCCTCCATCTATTCTTTTGTTGTTTCGAAGCGGCCGGATACTTTGATCTTTAAAAAGGAGTGGGCGGAGCCGAGGACCGCCCCTTTGATTCTGATCACGTCATCTTTGTAGCACTGTTGATGGTATGGAAATATAAAAGGCGGCGAACAAACAATTTGGTGTCTCATCTCTAATTCGATTCTTCAAATTTTGTTTATTTTAGTCTTTTTCAACGGTTTTATTGTTCAGTTTGAGGAAGAAAATGCTTTAAAATCATATTTGAAGGTCGAAAAAGGCCTTGTTGGGGTGATTTTTGAAAATTTTGATACATGATTAAAGATTATAGGGATCATTTTTTGAAAAATTCCTCTTGTTTCTTGAAAAAAGCAGTGTTATTTCCTTATTTTCCATTCGTTTTTATCTTTTTTCAAGTGGTTATGTGATTAAAAACTGTATCGAAAGTTGAAAGTTGCCCTTCTGAGAATTTTTAAAGGAGCATAGATTAAGCTTCATGAAAGTCTCGAGGCGAAGAGCCGTTTTCAATTCTATTTTTAAGGTTCCAGAACCAAAATCAAGCATTTTTTGAACAGAATCTATCGTCTCGATGTTTATTTTACCTTTCCAAACATTTTAAAATTATTTTCCCCCTCGTTTTGTTTTCATTTCGAACTCTTCCCGATGCTGGTTATTTTATCATTTTTCAGATCAAGTAATAAAAAATGGCCGCCACCGCCAGCCCGCAACAAACCCCCAACGTTCCCCACCACAACGCCTGGGAGTCGGCTCGCGAATTTTTCCGCTTCTCGATGCCCACCAATATCTTCCCGAAAGGTACGTTAGGGTTTAAAGTTATCAAGAAAGTAGTTTTTAGTGATGTAAAACTTGAAGAAAGTCAATGAAAATCTTGGAAAAAAAAAATTTTTTTTTGAATGAAATTTAGTTCTTTTTTTTTCTCTAGTTCATCGTACTCTACTCCAAATTCCAAGCGATAGAACTAAACGAGAAAAAAAAATTTACAAGCAGAGATAGTAGATGCAATGAAGAGACGCCAGAGAGTTAGGGAAATACATCTTTCCCTGGGATCTCATAACTATCCTTACTGCCTCATAAGTTTTCGATTCCTTGATTCAAAAAAGTTTTAAGAAAGTCAGAGACCATCGGCGGCCCGAAGAGACGCCGGATAGCTCAATTTCCTTTTCTTCTCTGACTTCTCTTCATTTTGCCTTTGATCTCTGTTTTATCATTTTTGAACGTTGTCTCTAGCATATTTCTCACAATTCATTCGATGCCACTCTCGCCACTATTGTCAACTTTAGTGACCCCTATAGGGGGAGGCAGAGTTGTCCCTAGAGTGGAACCTTTTAGGGTCTTTGATATTGGCTCTAGAGGGGTCCCTTTGGCGTTCCTAAGCCTAGGCGAAAAAATTACTCTGTCGTCTCTGCATGGCGACATTATTTCTCGCTGCGACCTCAAAGTTATTTTCCATCCAGCTTCTTAAATTTCATGCTCACTAACTTTATACCGTTCAGAATCCGAGAAAAAGCTCGCGACGCCTTCTCTTCATCTGAAGCCGGCCGCGGCTGTCAACGCCGACTCCTTCTACATGTACGCTTGCGGCTCCATCAACATGCCTTGATCTCTCGAAATCAAGAAAAACCCTCCATTTATACATACTTTGTACCGAACCTCGCAACTTTCAAATATTTCTTTAGAAGGTGTGGCTTTCTCTATTTGTTGACTGTACAATCAGGTTACCTACGGGATCTCCTTTTATATAATAATCCTCCTCAAAATCGTCATTATTTTTGGTTTATTACCTTGGATTGCATAGCAATAAGAATATAATAAAGGTTGAAAACTAAATTTTCAAAAATGTTTTTTATTTACAAATGAGACTGACGTCGGGAAAATTGATTGATAACGCAAAAATGTGTTGACGGACAAATAAATACACAACGGGAAAATGTTTCAAAGTTCAGCCGTTGGTGCAGAAAACGGGCGCCTTTGAGGTGTCTTTCGGTTTCCAGGCTTTCTTGGGTCCTCGGTTTTCAGGTTCCTTTTCAGTTGAGGACGATGGGGTGTTCTCGAACTTTCTGGAAGGGAGAAGCTTGAAAAAAAAGGAAGAATATAGTCAAAAATTCGGAAATTGGAACGTTTCAGATATTTTTGAGGCACAGTCTTCGATTTTTTCTTTGAATAAGTCGCTTCAAACAGTTTTTTGATTGTCGAGGGCCACTATAGAGGCTTGCCAAGAACTACTTGGAGCGGACACTAAAGCGGCCACTAAACCAACCTCTATAGAGGCCACTATTTTCCGTTTTTGTGGCCACTATAGAGGCTCTCTATTTAGTGGTCACTTCAGTAGTTTCATCCAGTATTGCTTCCAGTAACCCTGATAATTTTGAAACAAACAGATTGGACCAGTTATGTTGATCCATTGACCCCTAAAGTGGCCACTACATTGGAAAATTAGAATAAAGAGTGACTTTTATTTAATTTCAGTTATCTGGCACCTACCAAGAGAAAGACGATTTAGAGTGGTCATTTAAGGGGTTTATAAGGTATTTTTTTATACAGAAACTATGCCTTGTTCAAAGTGATTTCCGCGAAATGCAAAATTATCTCTGACTCTCCAAAATTTAGTTATCTTTCTATTTTTCTGACGGCTATTTTGGATTCCGCGGAATCATTTTCAATACAGCAATAAGTCCAGGAGATTGCATGAGAAAAAAAAATCTCAGAACCGATTTTTGAAGAAAAACTTTTTTGACCAGGTCCATTTTATCTTTTTCAAGTTATTTTTGAAATTTCTTAAAATTATATTTAAAACTTCCAAGCCTAAATTTGGTGTAAATTGAAGCTAGTGCGACTTTTTGACCACTTTTTCAAACTCCTCATTTCTACTAAAGTGATCCCTCCAATACCTCCGGGCGGTACGCAAGGCGTCCTGGCACTTTTCCAATTCAACATCGGACCAGCCAACTGTACTGAAAACCAGCAAATCAGTTAAAATAAATCAAAAGACTTTTTTTCAGTGACAATATCCGAGCGTAACCGCCCGGAGCTCTTTTTATTGATTTTTCAACATTCTTTTTTTCTGAAACTAACTTGCGGGCGTTTTGAAGACTTCCAGCTGATTTGAGAAGCGGTCTTTGTGATTTTTCCGAAACGTGCGAAGTTTCTGGTGGAATGAAAACTGGAGATTGTTCTGTGTCCAGAGAAGAGCCTCTGTAAGATCAATATTTATTTTTTTATATCTTTAAAAAAATTTTCAAATGTTTTTTTCTGTTTTCTCATTCAAACCTCATTTCAAAGAACTGAACCATTTCTATTTTTTTATTCTAACCGATTTTTATTTATATCAACTTTTTCAAACATACAATCAAATTGAAAAAAACCTCGACTTTTTCAGGCCAAACTTACGGTGTTTCGAATGAAATTCTTCTTTGATCATTTTCTAAGACTAACTATTGCCAATTTTAACCAAAAGAAGATCAAAAATATCATCATCAGTCAATATTTATTGGTTGTTTTAGTCAGATAGAATCGACTCCAAATTTCCAAACCACTCCAAATACTCCAAATTTTATTTACAAACCTCCGAATAGCCACACAGTTGGCCGGATCCCCAGAAGCGACCAAACCTTTTCTGATCTCCTCGAGGGGAAGCAACATCGTTATAACCTTAAAGCATTTTTCTCATTTTGAAAATCAATACTGAATGTAGAAAGAAACGATTTATTTTGAAATAGAAAATAGGTCTTTTGGCGCATGTAAAGTTTATTAAATTTCAATTAAAGCGAGGATCTTTCTTAGCTTCCTCTAAAGAATCACCTTATCATCGTCCTGAACTTGATAAAGCATTTCTCCGGTAAAGTGCAATAGGCCGTACTTTCTGGCACGGATCAACATTCCGACAAGCTGAAAATAACGAAAATAAGAGGGCAAAGTTCGGTTTGAAAAGGTTCAATGATCGTTTTTTCAAAAAAATAAATATTCTCTTTACAACTATCAAGCGGTTGTAAAATTGTAATAAGAATGGATTTCTTCTGAAATTTTTTTCTCCAAACTCATCAAAAATAATTAATTCAAAGCTTCTAATAGCTTGAAAAAGAGAGGTTTGATTTTTAAGATTTTCAAACGAATTTTTTTAGCGCCTGATAATTCAAAAATCATTTTTCAACAAGTAACAAGAAATTGAAAATCAAAAGATTATTTGAATGATTTTAAAAAGCTCTGAAGATTATATTAAATTTAACTAACAAGCAAAATGAAACAGGAGAAAGCAAAATTGCACGTTTTTAAACAAAGACAAATAGAAAAAAATGCAGTATCTCCTGATAAATGTCCATAAAAACCACTTTTAAACTAAAAAAAAAGCTCAAGATATTATTAGAAGATAGATCGAGGATAGAGAAGAAGTTTCAGGAAGAAATAAACCATTCCCGGTATTTTTGTCCAGGATTATATCAAAGAGAAAATACTACAAGATGAAATGCGAATTTATGATACCTTCCTGCTGAAAAAGAAAAAAAAGACTAACACTTCCTGAATAATACGAATAAGTGGTGAAAAGAGGCCCGAATTTGATCCAACGATGCGGCGGATCGCCATGAGCGTTGGCTTCGATCGTTTCGCACAAAAATAACAATTCTCGACAAATGTAAGCTGCGGCCTAAAAAGATCCCATAAGTTCAACAAAAATTGGATAATTTTCTCACCTTTTTACCCCTAGCTTCAGTTTTGCTGCCCGGCGGCGGCCTTCCATAATCTTTTGCCGAAAACTTTTGGATATCGTAACTGTCTGAGTAAGGGTTTCTGCAAATTTCATTCATGACGCTATGGAATCAGACTAAAATAAGAATAAAATAATTGGTCCCATTTTCAGATCAAATTTGGCAGAAAACTTTGAGCCTAGAAAACTTGGAGCAAACTACTTTGAATTTTATGTGATTGTGAAAAATGACCTCAACGTTTGTACTTGAAAAAAACCGATTATAAACAACAAGAAACGTTACCAAATTTTTTTACTTGAAAGCTTGGAAAGAAAAAAATGAAGTATTTTGCTGAGAGTACAACAAGGAAAAAAACAATAAAAAGAAGTTTCCAACGACTTTCGAGGCTTTTTTTAGTGGCAACAATGTTAAAAAAAGATGATGTCACGAAAATGGAAAAATAAGAATAACAAAGATTTAAGATGATTTCCTCAAAAATATATAGCAAATGCCGTGTTCAAAGTAATTTCCGCGAAATGCAAAATGATCTCTGACTCTCCAAAATTTAGTGATATTTTCCTTTCTCTAACGGGTATTTTGCATTTCGCGGAAATTACTTTGAACACGGCAAAATAAAAATGGAAACCAACTTCTTTAACTCCTCCTCATTCTGTTCAGCGACGGCGTTGAATTTTTGAATAGTGTCGTGTGCGGATAAAATTGGCATTTTTCAGGCGAAAAAATGTTTTCAAAAAGATTTCTTTCGGTTTCAGACGCACGGCTGTGGATAACGGCTTTACACTCAGTGGCTCCATAAGCCTGGCATCGCCCTCTTTTTTTCTCGCAAAAATGTTCCGATTCAGAGGCAAATAGTTCGATCTTTTTTGTTGCAAAGCTGTTGAAAGTGACGAGTGGAGCTCTCGGGTGATTTTCCTGAAGATTCGCGGATAATTGTGAAATAAATTCGACAGAACACAGTATACAGAGCTCGAGAAAAAAAAAATGGAAAACTGCGACAGATATGGCTCAAAAAGTAATCTTCTTAATTTTTTCGAAATTTCTAGTAATTTTCCCCTTGAACCCAAGATAAAATGAACCGATTCTCACAAAATTCCAAGTTTTCATAACATCAAGTCAAACCAGTAAAAAAAATAATACAGAAACGACAGTCTCTGCGATGCCAATGAAAAAAGCCAATTTACTTTTCTACTTGCAAACGGAGCTCGTGTTTGCCGAACTCCGCCACTTCTCGAGCCGAGTAAAATAGTCGATGGCTTGCAAACAATAACTCATTTGTGATACTCTTATACGAAAAAATTGTAAGCTTTCAAGCTGACATTTGATGACATCAAAAAAATAAAATAAACCTTTCTTCCATGTTTTATCGAAAAAGAGACCGGAAGTAACTCAAAAGAACAGAAGGCGGTTTGAAAATTATTTTTTTAAAAAAAGTAGAAAAATGTTGGATAAAATAAAATTTTGAAGGCACATGCAAAAAAACCACAGCGTTCTAAAGCGGGGTTCCCGCCCCTTTTCTGAAAAGCATGCGGACGTTGCATGAGTGGGCGTGGCTAACAATCGTCTTTTTCGCGTCGTAATTAAGAGTCCGGATTTTTTGATTATTTGAAGGCTAGCATTTTTTTTTCCTGACATTTATAGTTTCCAAGTGTTGCTAGTCATTTCCTATAACTCTCTCAAAATGTCGCAGTTTATTTTCTTGTGGTTTGATTGGTTTAAAGGACTACATAATTGTTCTGTTCACGAAAGTCGAAATTTTTAACTCAGGTTTGATTTTGTATTCTTTTTTTTCCTGTTTAAGTAATTGAAAACTGATAATGTGATCGATTCCTGGAGTTGAAATTTCGATTTTCGGTTTTGTCTCTTAGGTACAGACCAATTACACCTTTTTTTGAATTTTTCGTTAAGTCGAAATTTTTCTCTTTTGCGCGGACACTGACAGCTTTTTTTTTCTTGTTTATTAGTTGGAAACTGATATTTTGATCGATTCTTGGAGTTGGAATTTCGATTTTCGGTTTTTTCTCTTTGATACAGTATTTTCTTTTATAAACAACGTTTCGACACATTAACGAGCTATGGACACTTTAAAAACTTTCTAATACGTTTAAAAACATTAATTAAAAATTTACGTGCATAGAAACAAAAAAAGATTTTAAAAAACAATCGAAAAAAGTTAATAGCATGTAAATTAAAGAAAAAAGCACCTTGATTTTTGATTGACAACGCTCCAAGTTACGCGCTCCATTGAGAATAGTGTGCGCCTCTTTTTTTGCGTGAACCCCTGTTTTAGAACGCTGTGAAACGCGTCTCTTCGTTGTAGGACTCGCTCGCGAAGCGGACGCGTCACGTATTCACGGTTTTGTTTTTGTTTTTTTTTTCATTTCGTTACTTTAATTTTATTTTTCGATTTTTGGAGTTACTTTAAAAATGGCATTTATATGAAATATGGAAAACCAAAAAAGTACATCCAAAATCGGAAAATATGTATGTAGGCCAATATTAAATGTTTTAGGCCCACATGCTGTCAATACAGACCCAAAAACGTTTTTTGTTATCATTTTTCTTGTTTAAGAAGAGTTTTATTCCATTTTTTTCCTCGATGGAACTAGATAATCGAAAAACACATATTTGAAAAATAACGATTTTTTTAAGAAGAAAGAGCAGTTTTTAAGGAGAACTGCTATAACTTTGGAATACTATGTACAAAAAAATGATTATTTTTCTCTTATCGTTTTCGTTTTTTGTCGTCGAAGAAAAGCCTCGAAGCCAGGAATCGTTCGGCCTTGTTCTCCTTGGCGTAAACTTCTCTGTAATTTTAAAAAGATCCTTGCACTATTTTTAAATGAAAATTGTTTTGAATCGTTGTATTTATTGTTGTTATTCGTGAAAACAAAACTCACTTCAAAGCAGCGAAATCAATGTTGGTGGGGATGATTTTGGTGTCTTCTTCAGTGTAGTTGCCGACCATCTCAGCGCCGTTTGCGTGGTCAATGTTGGACAAGTCAATTACGAAAACTTCTTTTGAAGTTTCATCGTCGTCGGCCATCGAGATCGACGAGCACGAGAGAAGTACGGCGAAGGTTAGAAGGAGCTGAAGAATTTTGAGGTGGTTATCTGCAGGAGAAAATACATTTTGAAAACCATTCCGTAAATAACTGGAATTTCGGCTCCTTGAAAGTTTTCTGAAAGCCTTTTCTCCGTTTTGAGTCATTTTCACTCAACTTACATAGATGAGTCATATTTCTAATGGGTTCAAAATAGGAAAAATGGCGGTAAAAAATTTAATTAAGGTAATTTCCTAATTGGGATTTTTTTCCGGTTTTTATCAATATCACTGTGTTATTTTCCAACTATTCCTCATTTTCTGTTTTACTTTCAAATCTTTTGATTTTCCTGTTTTCTTGTATTCAAATCTTGACCACGCAGTATAGTTTGTATGAGGGTGTTCGAAACGAGGAAAAGTCGGATTTTGGTTGAAAGGTTCCCTAGCGATATGAAAAGATCAGAAAATACGCTAATTTTTCATTGAACTGCCAAAAAAAGCGTTTAAAAAACCTTCATCTTCCTTGCTGGAACTCGAAAAAAGTTGTGAATAACAGCGAGAGGAAGACCGGCTGAGAACAGAAGTCACTGGCCGAGGGGAGGAGGGATCCTTAAATGGAACATTTCTTTTTTTTCGCCTTCTTTTCTCGCCGCATCGGTGATTTTGTTTGTGGGCGGCGAAAGGGAGTTGCAGAGGGGATGACCGAATTTCGGAGGAACTTTCCGTTTGAAATGCATTTTGTTCCCTCTGTGGGGGCTATAAATAAAAAGGATACGAATGTTCTCCGATTCCTTATCCCGTATCAAGTTGATTTTACCGCTTTTCGTTTTCGAGGATGGGAAAGGGTCTTGACACGATTTGGAAGGTGTGTAAAAATGAGAACTTCCAGTTATCCACTGAGAAAATCACCAGGTGAATCAAAAAAAAAAAATTAACTTTTCAAGATTTTCAATTTTAAAATAAAAAGGCGTTTCATCATCCTTTAAGAAGTTCGTCCTAACTCAACCAATATTTCAAAAGACTTAGGAATTCCAGAGTGGCCCCTAGAGGGGTCATGCTAGTTGTTATTAACTCTGGGAAAAATTGAACAAATAAGCGTTTTTCAAATGAAAGTGAAAGACCCCTACAGGGACCACTTGAGCATTAGGGGCTAAGGGGTCAAACCGCAAACCCCTGTAGGGACCACCTTAATTTTACCCATATAAGGACCACTTTTCCGGTTCCACTAAGGGCTGTTTTCACCCCAAAACCCTATAGGGACCACTCTGGAACTCCTAAGGAAGGCTTCGAAGTAAATGATGAAGTTCTTTTCTTCAATCCCCGATAAAAAAAAACGATCACGCGTTTTTTTTTTCAAAAATATATTTCTTTTGAGGAATTTTAAACTTTCCCATAATCCAGTTTCTATAATATCTCCTCTCAACAATAAGCGTTATCATGCAATTTTTTATTCTTCAACATTTCTTCAAAAAGAAATTATCATAAATGAGCAGAATAAAGTTGAAATATGGTTGACTAGACAGCAAAGATGTACAGCAAAGGGGACCCGAAATAATGAAAACTTCAAAAAAAGTTTATTCCCCCCTGGCTTGTGACTGAACTGAAAGACTCCCTATTTTTCAAGCACGGTTTTGACGAACGTGGCAGGGTTTTCAACAGTAACAAGCTAGGGATGAATAAAGTTCAATTCCAATTTACTGTGAGCTTCGGATGTAAGAGACTTCGCGAGTTTTAGGTCGGACAAAGACGAAAACAGAGAAAACTGTGGTGATAATCTGGAGGATTATCACTAGAAGCATGGAGATGCCGAAAATCATCATTGTGAAGTCGAGCCGGTCCCAGACGGCCGAGGAACATGTTGGCTGCAAAAAAAATGGATTTATAAGGTCAGTTGATATTTTTGGAGGGACAGTACAGTTGAAAATATGAAAGAATAAGATGGACTAATAAAAAAACTTGGAGCCAGCGCTTTTTTTTTTGAAAATAAATTTTAATGGCGCGTTCAGGAGCAAAACGCGAAATTTTTCGAAATTCAAAAAGAGCGTTCACGGCGATACTTCGAAATTAGCGAATTTCGATTTTTTTGAGATAATTTTGAGAAATTTCAAAAAAAATAGCGAGAAAATTGGTTTCGCGCGAAATGGGTTACGGTATATTGACATTTTGTGTGCCAAACGCAGTTTTTTTCTCTTTTTTTCTTTTTTTCAGATAATTTTTTTCTTTTTATTTTTTTCAATTTTCAACCCGTTCAAAGTTATTGATTTTTAGAAATAGTACGAATGAAAGCCTTAAGTTAATTTTTTTCGACGGTCTGAACTTAAAAAAAGTTCAATTTTACTCAAATTTCTTTTATTTATCGTTTTTATTTTCCAACGGATGTATCAGAGTGTTTGAAGTTGCAGGTCTCTAAACTATGGCGGGTATTGGATTACCGAAAGTGCTAAAGTTGAAAAAAAGGTTAATTTTCATTCAAAAAACTTTTTCGCAATTATTTTTTACAATTTTTGATTCTTTTCACAAAAAAAAATTTAGACTCGTTAGGGAGGCACGAGCGGCTCGTGTGAAGGTAACGCAAAATTTTCGTCTCTACAGTCAAGCATAAATTCGTGAGTTCTCTTATTCTTCGATATTATTTTCTTTTGTTTTCAATATGTCTTGTCTGTTCAGTTGTACACGAAAAATGAATACCACGGTTCAACCGGTGGTATGAAAAAAAGAACAGCAAAAATTCGAACGACCACTTTTCCGATTATTTCATATCGCTAGGGAACTTTCCGACTAATCTTTTATCGAATTTTCTTCTCAATAAACTTTTCTTTTTAAATATCCCTATATAAAGTAGGCAAGTTATTCATATTTTAAACACAAAAAAATAGGAAAAAATATGTTGATAGATGTTTTATAAACCGAAAAATATAAGGGAAAAAAAGTCGGAAAGGGATTCGGCAGAAAAGTGGCCGTCGGAAAGTTCCCTAGCAATATGAAAAAATAGAAAAAGTCGCCGTTTGAATTTCTGCTTGTGTTTTTTTCATACCACCGTTCAATCAGCCTTTCTTTTCTGGAAAAATTTCTGCTGCTTACAGGCCTAGACGAACGGTTTACGAAGGACACGCCGAAAGACTACACGCGAAACTTGGATCTTTCCTTATGGAACTTTTTCTAATAAAAAAAATTCATTTTTTCCTCTGCCTTTCAGAAACATCTCATAACAAAACAGTTTCTGTTGTTAGGTTTTTAATTTGATTAACTAAGCAGCTTGTTTTTTTACATTTATTTTTCAAGAAGGTAATGCTCATCATCTTTATTCAAACACATGATAGAGAAAATAAAGCGTAATAAAACAAATCAAAATCATTGAAACGAAGAAGAAGTTAAAAAGCTGTGGATTTGACAAAAATCGAGACATGGTAAATTCCAAATTTATCCGGCTGGCCACAACAATGTCTTGTTCGAATGAGCTGAAAAAAATTCAATACTTTTCTTTTTAATGAAATGAACCAGTTATTGAAAAATTGTATAAATAAAAAAACCTTCTATTTCCTTCTTGACCGTTGCGTCGAAAATCACGGATTTATGCTTGACTGTAGAGACGAAAAATTTTTGCGTTACCTTCACACGAGCCGCTCGTGCCTCCCTAACGAGTCTAAATTTTGTGAAAAGAATCAAAAAAATTGTAAAAAAATAATTGCGAAAAAAAGTTTTTTTGAATGAAAATTAACCTTTTTTTCAACTTTAGCACTTTCGGTAATCCAATACCCGCCATAGTTTAGAGACCTGCAACTTTAAACACTCTGATACATCCGTTGGAAAAAAAAAAAAACGATAAATAAAGAAATTTGAGTAAAATTGAACTTTTTTTAAGTTCAGACAGTCGAAAAAATTAACTTAAGGCTTTCATTCGTACTATTTCTAAAATCAATAACTTTGAACGGGTTGAAAATTGAAAAATAAAAGAAAAAAATTATCTGAAAAAAAGAAAAAAAGAGAAAAAAACTGCGTTTGGCACACAAAATGTCAATATACCGTAACCCATTTCGCGCGAAACCAATTTTCTCGCTATTTTTTGAAATTTCTAAAAATTATCTCAAAAATCGAAATTCGCTAATTTCGAAGTATCGCCGTGAACGCTCTTTTTGAATTTCGAAAAAAATTTCGCGTTTTTGCTCCTGAACGCGCCATAAGTTGTTACTAAAAATTGAACTTACCAAAAGATCGCTCAGATTCAGAATTTCCTAAAAAGACAAAAAGAAAACACCTGGATTATAGAAGAAACGAGAGGTTTCGCTTGAACTCTGTTCCCATTTTATTATTTTTCAAGAATTTGTTATTTTCGACTATTTCCGGGCTCTTCATGGACCTTTTTCATGTTCTTTACGACAAAAAAATATAATTTTTAAAGCTTCCTTTTCTGAAAATAGTCAGATCCAAAGTTTTTTTATATTTTGTGAAGCTTATGAAAAAGCCGGTAAAATGATTTTTTTCAATATATTATCAATTTTCATTCAAAACAAAATTTGACTAGACTCAGAAATAAATCTTTTTCTGGCTTAAAATGTTGTCAAGTTTTTCGAATCAAGAAGCTTTGTAACTGAAAAAAATGGTATTTTATTTAATTTCTAAAAATTTACATACTTTTTCTTTAACTACAGAAGAACCAAAAAGTCATTTGACTTGCCCTGAGATTTCTTCCAATGACCTTCAATAATCAGTGAGCCAGCTAATTCTAAATTTCGCTTTTAACGCTTGCAATTCACTTCCTTTTACCTTCCCAAACATCAAACTCTACCTAAAAAAAGGCGCGGCTGAGAAAAAGTTAGAATTCCAAATTTTGCCTCAAGCCAAAGTGAAAAAATAGCTTTTCAAAGGTAGTTCCACTTAGGAGATCAAAAAAATAGAAAATTTTTAATTTTTTTATGGTTTTTATGGATCGTAAATTGCTCAAAAAAACGAAATTTTTTTCAGTGTTTCGGAAGTTTTTTTGAGCATTTTTTGTAGGTAGAATACTTAATGAAAATTGAAAAAAATTCCTATTTAAAAATCACCTTAATCCCTAAAAAAATCCCTAAATCTCTATAAACTGCCAGGTAAGATTTTTTTCTCTGACATTTCAGATTTTTGATCACCTTCAAAAAAACCCGTAACTCACAGATCAGCTGATTTTAAAACTAACATATTTTTCCTTTTAAACCACATAATTTACTTACTCTGCCTTCCTCAAACATCAAACCTCACTTTAAAAAAGGCGCGACTAAAATTAAATTCAGCCATCAGAAGAAAAAAAAAGAAATGAAAAACCTGTCCGGCCATGCATTGGGTGTTTGGTTGGAGTTCGACGCCGCAGCAATTATACTGAAATTCGGTTTTATTTTCATGCGACCTTGGCCAAAAAAAGAAAAAAGGAGTAATGGAAAACCCGGAATTGGAAGGCGTGAACGTCGGGCGAAGAGTTCATCGCGTAGGAGTAGAAGACGTAGTCCTTCACCGTTGAGCGAACCTCAAAATGGAGCAAATTTGTGAAAGAAGACGTCGAAAATTCCTCTTTTTCAGGGTCCTTTTTGCAAATTTCAAAGTTTCTTGAAGAAGTCGTGTATTTTGGCTTTTTGCTCTTAATTTTTTTATGATGAACTGGAGTTTAAATGAGAAGATTGTGCCTCTAAAAAAAGTTCAAAAAAACTTGGAAAAATCTCGGAAATTTTTTTCAAAATAAATGTTAAATTATTTAAAAACCCGGTTTTTGAATTTTCAGTGATCCTATTGATCCGTTCTCCAAAAATGATCGAGTTTGTGAAAGGAGACGTCGAAAATTCCTATTTTTTTCAGTGTTTTTTTCTGCAAATTTTAGGGTTTTGTGAAGTTTGCTTTGAATTTTTTTACGTTGAACTGGAGCTGAAAAAAAGGAAGACTGTGCACATGAAAAGTTCAAAAAAACATTGAATAATTCGGAAATTTTTTTCAAAATGAATGTTAAATTTGTTTTTTTAAAAAAAGTCGGGTTTTCGAAAATTTTTGATAATATTTATATATCATCCGAACTCTAAAAATGGATCAAATTTGTGTAAGGAGACGTCGAAAATTTCAAATTTTCCGTAATTTCCTGCAAATTTTTGGGTTTTGGGAAGAAGTTTTCTGAATATTGAAGTTTGCTCTGAATTTTTATGATGAACTGGAGTTTAAATGAGAAGATTCTGCCTCTAAAAAGCTCGAAAACTTGGAAAATCTTGGAAATTTTTCAAAATAAATGTTAAATTTTTTTTTAAAAAATGGGTTTTTTTGAAAGTTTTTCCGTAATCCATAACCATCAGCGCTCCCAAAATGATCAAGTTTGCAAGAGAAGACATCGAAAATCTTTTTTTTTTCGAATTGTCCTCCTTATATTTTTGGAACCATCATCTTTTTCTACATTATTTTCTGACCTTCGAATCCAAGAACCTCAAAAAGTTCAACTTGGTCAGTCACGACGCCGAAAATCTTGTTTACAGTGTTTTTTTTTGAGGTCGAAATTGACATTGCAAATTTCGGGGCTAAATTGAACTGGTTTCGAAAAGAGTGATAGATTTTTTGACTCTTGGTCCGATTTGTGGAAATGGGTTTGGTTCTTGGTTATTTGGAGCGAAGTGGGGCATTTTTTTAAGATATTTATGAAGACAAGTAGAAGAAAATATTGGCTTTTTTTCGTTTTGGAAAAATGATAATTAGAGAAAGAGGTATTTGTTTCTCTTATTTTTGGGAGTTTGAGAGCTCTTTACGGTTCACTGGACTGAATGAACTCTATTTCCTGGATCAAATAGTAAATTTTATAGATTGAAGACTGAAAGGACAAACTTACATTCTTGCGGACCACAAGAACGTAAATTCCGATGGCGATCTCGAGAAGGATCAGAATCGCCATGCACACAAAGTAGATTGCCTGAAATTTATTAGTATTCCATTTTTTTTCTTTTTTTACCATCAAAGCTCGACTATTTGCGATGGCTCCCAGAAATCCTGTCAATCCCAAAAGAACGCAAGCGATGGCGAAACCAATGATTACCCAGAAAACGACCGTGATCTGAAAAAAAAAACCGATTTACAAGGCGCAGAAATTTTGGAAGCATTAATGATAACTGAGAAGATAAAAGTGAGGTATAAAACATTGGCGACATCGCAAAAGTGCCGCATTGTAGCCGCAGCTGCCTTGTATTTTTCTCGGCGCGATTTCGTATTTTTTGCGCGATATAGCATTTTGGAAATTTTCAATTTTTTGGTTTCGCAAGACCCGAGCGAGGACAGCGCGACATTTCTGCGATATCGCGCCAGACTCGACATTTATCCCCAATGAGGCCCGAAATAAGTCTGCATATTGCCGAGATAAAAGCGAGTTTTGTGACATTGGCGATTTCGCAAAAGTGCTGCATTGTAGCCGCGGTGGTCTTGCATTTCCCTCGGCGCCAAATAGCATTTGGGAAATTTGAAAACTTTTGAGTGCATGGTAAATACGATAAAAATGCGAGACCCGCGCGACATGCTCGCGATATCGCCAATGTACCGCAGAAATTTTTTTTTTTTTTTGAGTACGTTATAAATGCGAGACGCGCGCGACATGCTAGCGATATCGCCAGCGACATATTCGTCTCGTTCGTCTCGCGCCAGCCTCCACAGTTTTCCCTAATAAGGCGTAAAATAACTCTGCATAAGAACTTTCTCGATTTTGATCCGTGGTCCATTGAAAAGACAAAGATTTTTAAAGATAAAAAAAAAGAAAGAATAAAACTTACAGCCACTCTCATGTCATATTTAATGTCGGATAGCGGCTCAGCGTCGGTGTCTCTTTTGATGTTGGCCCGAATTTCCGACTCGAAATCGTTGTCCACACGAATCCATATCGCTAGAGCGATCACAGCCAGGGCTACGAGCTGGAAAAAAAATTGAAAATTTTTTGTGAATCTATAGAGAAAAAGGAATATTTGGAATGAATCATAATTAACCTGATTTTTCCAAGTTTTGAGAGTTTTGAGGTGTCAATAAAAGTTCTAGGTTATTTCCTTATTTTTAACTGTCTCGACTTGAAAACTTGAAAAATGTCCATCTCTAAATTCCAAGTTTCGGTCATTTTTAATTGGAATTTACGGTTTCAATATGTATTTTTGAAACACCAAAAGGATTTGTGAAGTTAATACGTCGCTGTTATTAATTGAATCAACGTGTTGCTAATTTTTCTGAGGCTCATTTCATTTTTCTCGACGTCCGAAGGCGCTCGCGCTGTACGCTAGAGCGCCATGTCCACAGAAAATACGCCGGAAAGCTCAAAAGTCGAAGCCGACAAGACCATGCCGCAGGTTGTCAATGTGTTCCATTGAACTGATGAAATAAAGTTGCCAGAATATTATATCTGTGGTGGTATGAAAAAAAGACCAGCGAAAATTCAAACGGCGACTTTTCCGATTTTTTCATATCGCTAGAGAACTTTCCGACGGCCACTTTTCCGACGGATCCCTTTCCGACTTTTTTCCCTTATCTTTTTTTCGGTTTTTTTAAAACATCTATTAACATTTTTTTCCTATTTCTTTGTGTTTTTAATCATCAACCAACTACCTACTTTATGTAGGAATATTTAAAACGAATATTTTATCGAGAAAAAAAGTCGGAAAAAGATTCGTCGGAAAGGTGGCCGTCGGAAAGTTCCCTAGCGATATGAAAAAATCGGAAAAGTCGCCATTTGAATTTTCGCTGTTCTTTTTTTCATACCACCATATCTGTTTCCGCGCTAGCTTTCTTACCAGCTGCAGAACAATTTTTTTCAATTGGTCATAAGAAAGACAAATATTCTTCCTAGGATCTTCAGTAACTTCAAACTTTCACAGGTTGGATTCATAATCGAGCAGGACGAGGGCAACAAATGGCGCGTTTTGCGAAACGTTTATTCCGGCCCGTTTTCCGACGTCTACATTGTATCAGATGTATGTAGGGTCAAATTCTAAGCTTTCTAAGCTTTTTCGGGGTTTTTTCGCATTACTTTTCTTCTATTTAAATTGGACCATCTGTAAATTTTCTACTGAAAACTTCGAAAAAATTTGTGAAGCTGTTAAGAATGACATCAATATGTTAAACCTCACGCTTTCCTGGCTCTTCATTCATTAAACCACAAAAAGATAGCGTTTCAAGGTGAAAAGCGGAGTTCGCTACGCGATGAAATGCGAAAAGACGATGGATAACGCGAGATCCGTACTCCGATTGGACGTGTTAGTTCTACGGGCCACGATCGGATTGGTCGGATTCCCGCATTTCATCGCCGCCGGCAGAACTTTCAACTACAAGTGAAGCGAAAATTTCCTCCAGGAAATATCGTAATTTTTCAAGGTACTGTGTCATGCAGTTGGTTGGCCCCGACTTGGGACGTTTGCGACGGACTCGGCCCGATAAAAAGTAAAAAAAAAAAATCATTTCAACGACTTGAAAAAGTCTGACCTGTCTGCGACCTCTTTTCCCTCGTCGGCGAGGTCATAGAAGCTGGAAAATATTATGTAAAAACTGAGGAACTTCAGAGGGGCCCCTATAGGGGCTCTTGGAGGGTCCCCGATCACTTCACCAACCCCTATAGGGACCATTTAAACTTCCAAAAGTGGTCCCTACGGGGGCATGCTATTCGATATTTTTTATGAACTCTAAGCAAAGAAGCATGTCCATGGGAAAAACTAAATAATAAAGCGTTTTTTGAAGGAAATTGAAAGAGTCCCTATAGGGTCCACTTGAGCTTTAGGGGCTAAGAGGTCAGACCCTAGACACCTATAGGAACCACCTTAATTTCGCCCCTATAGGGGCCACTATTTCGGCTCAAATAGGAGTTTTTGCCCCTAACTCCTATAGGGACCACTCTGGAATTCTTAAGTATAAACCTCAAAAACAGATTTTTTCAAGTCGTGGCGAATAAGGTAGTGAAGACCAGAGAAAAAGCATTTTTTCAAGATTTACAATGGCGACGGCGCTCCGGATTTTGGATCAAACTCTGACGAGGCTCGAAAATCTTCACGATGCTGGCTGGCTTTGCAGGTTTAGGGTGGAAAAAATTGAGAAAATTATTGATTTCAAGTAGAAAATTAGAGAGGTATGATATGAGAGCTTGAAGAAAGTTGAGAGACAAAAAAATATTTAAAAAAATTTTTTTAGCAATTTTTAAAAAAATTGATCTTAGTGATATTTTTTTCTATAAAAGATTCTTGATAGCTTTCAAAGAAGTTGGCTATTTTTTTAAAAAAATTATTCTTGAAAATGGCGATTTTTTTGGCGCCTCTTTTTTTCTCGATTTTTTTGCACATTTTTCATCATGTTTTTATGGCCCTAATTCAAGTTTAAAGTTTAGATTAGAACTATTAGGCGTGAAATTGAGATTCATCCAGGTTTTAATCCGTTTCCCGTCGTACCAAGACCTTTTTTTTCGGAATGGTGACCTTTTTGAAAAGGATACTTTTACAGTTATAAAATGATTCAAATAAGCGGGTTGAAATAATTGAGCAATCTTGGGATTTCAGTTCTTGTAACTGATAAAATGAAACCTGAAAAAATTCAAAAAAATTTTAATATAGAGACGTGAAAGCTCCGAATTTTGCGATTGGACTGGACACCGACGAATCGACGATTTTCATGCTCGACTTTGGCTTTGCCAGGAAATTCAAGTGATTTTCCTATCACAAACGGATAACGTTTCTCTCATTGTAACGTCCTTGGTCACATTTGCAATGGTTCCCATGGCGTTTTTTTTAGGAGATATTCGCCCATAGTTTTTGCGTAAAGTGTAGTTTGTCGTGTGCATGCACCGCGGCGCTCTCGCACATGCTACGTTCAAAGTAATATTCGCGAAATTCAAAATCATCTGATATTCGGAAATTCAGTTATATTTTCCACTATCTGAAGATTATTTTGAATTTGGCTAGATCACTTTGAACACGGCATGTATTCAAAAAAAAAACGAAACAGAAAAATCGCGTTTTTTTAAAAGAATAAATATAGTCGTCTCATGACCCATCGAACATGCGCCTTTAATATTTCCTGCTTTTACGCGTTTTCCCCATGACGGGACGTGGGAACGGCGGAAGTTTTGACCACGCCCCCTCAATTTTTGGTTTTGCATTTTCTTCCACTATCAAAAACGCCGTGTGCACCCGACCATGAAACGACTTTAAAAATCGGTCAAACTTGAAAAAATATGTATAGTCTGTTCAGATTTTGATTGTCAAGCCCAATGACGGCATTCAAAATGCCTCTCTGATTGGCTTCTTGAGGAATTAGGGGCGGAGCTTGAGGCTTGACGTTAAAATCCTGAACAGGCTAAAACCGCGACAACGACGCATTGAGTCATTCCATGGTTATAGCCTTTCCGAAAATTCTTTGCTGGGATATTTAGAAGTGATGGAATTTTTCATGATGTTTCATATTCCTCTAGACCTTTTTAAAATTTCTCTATGCTCCTTTAAACTCTAGGAAAGACCTTTTGAAACAAAAGTCGGCCCTGAGAAAGATTATCAACTTTCTAGAGACTCTGACGGAAAAGTGATCCCACCAAGAGCGGCAGCCGCCTTGATGGGCACATTTCAGTACTGCGCAGTCTCCGCCCACTCTCACAAGGACCAATCGGCGAAGGACGACCTGGAGAGCTGGTTCTACATGGCTATTGAGCTACTTAAAGGCAAGGATTTATAAAGAACGTTTGAGGGAAAATGAAGTGGTCACTTTAGTAGCTACTTGGCTTTTTTTTTCTTTTTGGCCATTGGTACATGCTAAGCAATTGATAAGATGCTGGATAGTTTCCTGGGAAAGTGGCCACTTAAGAGGTTCCTCAAGAACTCCAAAGCGCCCACTACAACCGCCGTACCAACAATTCTGCTCTAAGTGGCTACTAGAGTAGTTTTTAGGAGACTAGTAGAACCACTTAGGCTTTTAAAGCGGTCACTAACCGGACTTCTATGGTGGCCACTCAAACTTCGAAAACCCTAAAGTGGCCACTAAAAGTTTTCCCAGTTCAAGCTAATAACTCATTTTCAAAGTTCCTCCCTTGAATGACCTTTGGCTATTTTCTAAGAAGACTTCTCATGATTTTTTCAGTGATATAGAAAGAATTCCAGGCCCACTGCCCTGGGCGGCGATCGACGGCCGAAAAAATCATAAATTGATTGGCGAGCAAAAACAGTTGATCCGGAGCGAACCGGCCAAAAGTACCTTCTTTTCGGGAGTTCCTATCCAATTTCAAGAGATTCTACAGTTGATTGATGGCACTGGGTGAGAAACAGGAAATTGAACTTGGATCTTTCTTAAAAATTGTTTTTTGAAAGTGGTAGCCTATAGGCTTATGAGTTAGAACCATAAATTATAATTAAAACGTGATTTTTTGCTTTTTTCCAAGAAATTTTATATGAAGATAATCTATTGAACTTTTATGTTTATGAATTTTAGCGCATTTCAAAAATTAAAGTGGGAAAAATTGGGTTAATGGAGTTCACAACGAATTACGAGGGCTAAAAATTTGAATAATATTTTCAAGATTCTCTCAAAAAAATCATTTATATAATTCTCTCTCCAACAGCTTGTACGTTTCATCTGCCGTTTTAAATGGCGGAGTGATAATCTGTTTATTAATGTCGTTTTTTAGTCTTCTTAATTATGAATAAATATGAGTAATTGATCTTTAATAGCCCATTCCTCTTTAACTTTTCACCATTTTCGTTTTTCCTCCGAGCTACAGAACCCTTCCCTTCGATTTGCGTGGCTTGACTAGGTATATGTGCCTTTAATTCAGTCTTAGAATATCCATTGTTTTAAAGGAGCATGCGCAGAGACTGGCCGAGCGCATTGAAGGGAAGAATTTTCCTCTTATATATCTGGTCCACGGCTGACTTGAGTTATCGAAAAAGGGTCCTGAAACGATAAAAGAAGAGATAGTGTCTGGTTGTGGAGAGCGCAGGCAGGCCACGCCCCCTCAGCGTCTCAAGATAGACGTGAATCGGCTGTATTAAAGGCGCATGTACAGAACCAGGAATCGAAGTAATGATTTTTTTTTCTATAAGTTTCTCTTAAATTAAAGGCGCATAAACAGAGACAGTTCACGCATCCCGAAGCGATGGGCTGTGGAGCTCGGAGTAAAAAAAAACTAACGCTATAGCCGATTCACGGCTAGCTTGGGACGCTTAGGGGCGTGGCCTGTCTGAGCTCTCTCCGATCCAGGTACGTCTCTTTCCTTATCGTGTCAGGACCTTTTCTTCGATGGCTCAAGCTAACCGTGAATCAGATATAAATGAACCTTAATTCAAAAACTGATTAAAAAAAAAGATTATTTTGAGATTCTCCGACCGGCCCTGTTACGCTCGTTTGAGGGAACTCCTCCATCAGGCGGCTTTTTCGAATTCCGTCACTTTGCGGGAACCTTTTGATTGGGAGGTTTAGGCAGTGAAAAAAAAATTATTGAAGCTTCGAAAAACTCACTTCATCATCATCATCAAAATTTATGGGTTGTTTTAGTCACATTCCAAAGCATCATTAATGTTTCTAATAGTGGATCTTAGCGTATTTTTTGACATTAGTATTTCAGAAAAAGCGTTAGAAAATTATCGATTTTCAGATTGGGCTTTAGGGCCAACAGAACGAAGAAATGAGTTCTAATAAAACGAGGATTTTTTTTAGAACAACCAACGGATGCAAAATAAAGCAGATTTCGTCGGTGAACTCGGGGAATCCAACTTGGCTTCGGCTCGGCTCGACGCGAAAAGTAATCACTTAAATGTAAATGTATCCGTCAAATTGCGTGTACCAAGGCGCATGAATACGTATACTAACTTCTGAGAAAAAGACAGAAAAATGAAAAATGAAATTTGAAATGATAGAGAAACCACAAAATCGACTTTTTGTAGATTTTTTTTTTTTAGTTTCTTCTGTCGTTTTTTTTTCATTATCTGTTTAGATTTTAAATGTCGAGTAAAATGACTTCATTCGAATAGACTCTGTGGATAGCTCGCTCTCTGATTGGTTTATCGCGCCATTAGGGGCGGAGCTTGACGACTTGACAAAAAAAAACCTGTCATCTAGTGATGTCGTGTCCGAAGAAGTTCGGCGGTAAACTCGAAATTTTCTCTCAATTCTTAGAAATTAGCCATTTTTTTCCCTATCCTATGCAGTGTTCAAAGTGAATCCGCAAAATTCAAAATAGCCGGCAAAGAAATAAAAAGATAATCGAATATTGGAGACGCAGAGATTTCGCGGAAATAAACTCGGACACGGCATGTGCGAGAGCGTCGCAGTGCATGCACACGACACACTACACTTTACGGAAAAATGAATATTTTGTAGATTTTGGCGAATCAAAAAAAATTTTTTTCATGAACTTTGAAGTTATAGCCCCGGAATTCAAAACAAAAAAATACTAGAATTTTTTTTCAGATAGTCATGACTTGATCATGGAGGTTGAATTTGAAAATGCCGAGGAAATAACGTCGCCGTAAGTTTTTTAATGAAAATGAGAAAAATATTTTTTTTTGAGAAAACCACTCGTCACACCGGCCCCAGTCGAGCCAGAAGTCCGCAAAAAAAGAACCTCATGAAGAGTTTTTTTGTTTTCTTGGTTATTTTTCAGAGATTTGATATTCTAGAACTAAACCAGTTTTGCTGGCTTCGGTGCCGCCAATAGCCGTGCCAGTACAAGTTCCGAATTTAGGGCCGACACATGCAAATTTGATCAGTACGGCGGCAAAAGAGTGAGTTTCAATAAATGTCGGACACTTGTAAAAATCGAACACTTTAGAAAAAATAGTGTTTTTTGTTGATGGAAAGGTGAACAGCGTGCATATAGTTGTTATAGAGCATTCAATAGACTATTAGATCTTTTTTAGGCCCAGACGGAAAAATTTTACTAATTTTCAGCTCTCTTAAGTCACGCGAAAAGTTTTGAAACAAAAAAAAATAACATGTGATTGAGAGAGGATCAGATATTTGTGTGGAATGTCCCGGATCAGCTTCTTACTCACTTTAGTTTTCAAACTTATACCGTCCTTAAGGCCCAAATTTTTCCTTAGTTTGAAATTTTTCTGAAGTTTTTTGAGATTATAGTTATTCAAGGATTATCAAGCTCACACTTTTGAATTTCTTTTGTCTCTGAAACATGAACTTAGGACACCTACAGCCAAAGATATGATTTTTTGACCTTAAGTTAAGGTTTTTCCTTAATTGGCTTTGTATTGCTTTCTAAAAGAACTAACTGAGAAATCGGCAGAGAATATGATTTTTCTTCAATTTGAAAAAAAAAACTAGAAAAAATTTTGCTGAAAGTTGAAAGTGAATGATCAGAAAAAGGGGAAAAAGTTTCCAAAATTTAAAAATTTCTGCTTTTAGCAATCCAGTCGTGTCCACCCCGCCGAGTGAGCCAGAACCGCACAAAAAAGAGCCTCAAGAAGAGTTTTTAGCTTTTCAAGTTGTCTCGATTAAATTGAGAATTTTAGAGTTAAACCGGTTTTATTGGCATCGGTGGCGCCGATAGTCTTGCCCGTTCAAATCCCGAATTTGGGACCCGCCCTTGCGAATATTATCAGTACGGCAAAAGAGTGAGTTGGACTAGTTTGAAAATCGAGGAAACTCGTAAAATGCGGATACTTTGGGAAAATGTTAATTTAAGTTGTTATTGTTGCAAGTGATGATAAGAGTGTTGAAAATTGCTTGAAATTTTGCCCTCTGTGTGCCACGACTTGAAATTTCACGGAACGACATTCCGCTGTTCCGCTGCGTGCGTTCGCGAAGCGTCTTTCGAATCTAGGTCACACTTTCAATTGATTGTTATTGCTGTGGACGCACATGAAAGTAGAGTACCTTAATCAAAGGAAAAAAAAAATTAAAAGCGCGACCAAAGCTCGCAAAAGCGCACAGCGGAACAGCGGAATGTCGTTTGGTGAAATTCCAAGTCGTGGTACACAGGCTATAACGTTCTCAAAGCTTTGAGAGTTTGAATAGCTTCTGTATGATAAAATTTTAGAACCTGAAAATTATTTTTTTCGGCGTTTATAAGGATCATTCAAACATTTCTTGAAACCTTCTACCGTCTCAATTTTTTTTTTCGTGCTCCGAGGACCCGCAAATTTGAAAATGTGTACAAAATGTAGAAAATGAGTGAAAAAATTGCGCTCGCCCCTTCTCATCAGCTGCTCTGCTATTTATTATTTTTAGACTCTTGAGACAGTCGCCGATCCTAAGGGAGCGCAGGAAAGAGAAGCAAGAAGAAGAAGCCAAAAAGTAGGATTTTTTTTTTCTGCTCATTGAAAAGAGTTGAGTCAGGAGCATTTGCGCTCTATTGAACAACTTTCCGGATTTTCCGAAGAACTGAGGCAATAACTTAGGAACCATAGAGTGGTCCTTATAGGGGCAACTTTAAGACCTTGAAAACCTTCCAGAGATCGCTCCACCAACTCCTATAGGGGACACTAAAGCTGGAAAAAGTGGTCCCTACATGCTATTGAATAATTGTCATGAACTCTAAGCGAAGAAGCATTTCCATGGGAAAAAACTGAATAAGTATCTTTTTTGAATGAAATTGAAAGACCCCTTTAGGGACCACTTGAGCCTTAGGGGTCAGACCCTAAACCCCTATAGGGACCACTTTTTCGCCCCATTTAGTGGCTCTTTTCTCCCCTGACCCTATAGGGACCACTCGGAAATACCTAAGACTGATCTCTTCCAATGACTCAACCCCTTATCATGATCAAAATCAATCAATAATTGATTTTTCTAGGACTGGAAGCTCAACGGACCACAGTCATGATCAATCCTCGACCAGTGACGATAACTAATTTATCGATTATTTCTGTTGATCTCCCACTCACTCACTCTTTTTTTTTCTCTCATTTGTCTACTCTCCCAGCCATTTCATTGTGTGTCGAATCATTGCATTATTCACGGATTACGGTAGCTTGGCGTCTGTGTTTTTTGTGCGCTTTTCCTTTCCGGTGTGACCGATTTCTCTTGTGTGCTTCGTAAGATGGGGGTGATAAAAACGGCTTGCAATGTTTTTTTTTCTTGTTTCGAAGCGTATTGAACCCGTGACTATTTTCATGATGGGCAGAATATTTAGCCACTCGGCTATAGAGACTCACCAACATTGCGAGGTTCATGACCATGACGACGAGCCGCGAGAGAAAGGTGCAGAATGACATGGTTCTGAAGTTAGTTCATTCATTTTTGAAAAATAATTTTATTCAATGAGGAATTGGCGAAATAGTGTGCGGAAAGGAAAGACATAGGCCTATTTTTCTTTTTAAAATTTCAATTAATAAAGTGATATTCATTCGCCTACTTGGGCGAAAAAGTAGGGGTTTTAGGTTTTTTTGACAAATTTATGTTTATTTCGAATTCAGACAGTGGACATCTTGGTATATGAAAAAGCGAGAAAAAATAAATTTCAAAAAAGAAATGTTTAAAAAGGCGAGCTATAGAATTTTTGTGCTTTAATGAGAATTCATTGAAAGAAGTAAGTCATTGAAAAACGTCCCCCCGCCAAAAAAAAGCATTCAGAATTGTTTTCAATATAGATCTGTAGTCTGTGTGCCACGACTTGGAATTTCACCGAACGACATTCCGCTGTTCCGCTGCGTGCGGTCGCGAAGCGTTTTCGCCTTTGCGAGCTTCTCTTGCGCTTTTTTTTGGTTATCATTGCTGGTAAATAGATTTTTTCACTGGAAAAACGTAGAAATGAGTTACTGAATTAAAAGAAAAAATTAGAAGCGCAACCGAGTTTTTTAAAGGCGAAGACGCTTCGCGACCGCTCGCAGAGGGACAGCGGAATGTCGTTCAGTGAAATTCCAAGTTGTGGCACACGGACTATAACCGAAATTCTGTTTCAAAAAATACTAAATGTTTCGCTGTTTCAAAAAATATCTCATTTGTCAGAATCTTTTCATTTTGACTTGGAAAAATCGCTTTTTTAAAACCTATTTCCTACCTTCGGGCCAGAAAGTCTATTTGGAAACTTTTCCCTTTCAAAAATTATCAATCTCAAAATTCTCATTACAATCTAGCCTGGAATAGGTTATAAAAACAGAAAACTCATGAGAAGAAACCAGAAAAAGTTGAATAAAATGAGAAAAATGACTCATTTTCAGCAGCAAGTTGAGTCTTACCAGGAAGCGTTTTCTTGCTTTGTATACAGTAAAGATTTCTGAAAAGTACAATTAAGGATCAAAGTAAAGTCAAATATCTGTCAATGAACCCCTCGACCGGTTCTCCTCACGTTGTTTGCTCGAGAAGAAAATGACGAACGTTGGAAAATTGAAATGTGCAGACGTATGAGTAATGTGACGCAGGTCCTAGGGTATTTTCAGAATTTCAGGGTAAAAATAAGTTTTTTCGAGAGGTGAAATAGAAGTGAAAAATTCAAAAAAAAAATTTTAAATTCGAACAGGCAGAAGAAACTTTTATAACAGATCTCTAAGGAATAGACTAAAAAATGAATTTTTTTTATCATTTTTTGGTCTGAATGATCGACTTCCATATTTATGACTAAAACTAGAAATTTAGCCTTAGAGCACACTTTCAATATAAAAAAATAGCTATTTATCAAGGGAATAACTATATGAGCCCAATTTCAAAAAAACATTTGCGGGGGAGCACATTTGAGTGGTGAAAAATGGCCAGTTCTGACAGTTATTATGAAAAAAGCGATTTAAATCATATGATTCAAAATTTAGCAGTAGAGCGCGATTGCATTTTTTGAAAATGATTTTTTTTTTTCTGAGTTCCTAGATATGTTTTACTTTCTGAAAAGTTAATTTGAGTAGATTTCTGGGGTTAAATGGAAAATATAAGAGTTATTTTCTCGTTCGCTGAAATTCAAGGGCCAATTTTTTTTCCATAAGTGAAGGAGTAGCTACAGAAACGCGAAAAAAATCGCATTTTTTTCAAATTTCTGAGAAAATTTTCGTTTCATGAGAAGGTTTATTAGAAATCTATAAAGAGGAAATGCCTGCAAAAACTTTGAGCACAGAAGGAAGAAGCTAAAAATGTCGTTATATAGGAAAAGGAAGGAAAAAGTACATGTTTGTGTGTGGAAATTGGCCAAATTTTCTTCTGGACCTCCTCGTTGGCTACTATGAGAACAAACAACGGGGCGAATTATTCACCGGTGGCTCGTTTTTTTTTCCTCGCCGGGACTAAAAATTTGTGGCGGACCAACCGAATCTTCTCACCTTTCCAATTCGCCTCGTACTATTTTCAGTGCGATTTGGGTCGGCTCGGATTTCAGGTTTTTCGTATACATATTTTTTGCTTCTTTTCGAGTGGACTTTGAGGTAGGACCCACAAGAAGGGTCATTTTACCTTGCGGTTGGGAATTTTTTTTGGAAATTGGCCAGATCGTTCCTTGATGCACCAGCATAGGATCTTAAAAGTCTCAACCTGCAAAAAGTCCTAGTTTTTGAAAGGGGGTCGAAGAAAGCCTTCAAAAACCGTTGAAAAAATTAATTTGGAGACATTTTGGGCTCTCATTCCACAAAAAATGGGATTTCTCCAAGATTGAAATTTTTAAGATTTGTTGTAAATTTTCTGGCTAATTTTTAAAAAAAATTCTCCTTTGTTAGATCAGAAAAAAATTTGTAAAAAGAGGCCAAATAGGTCTAATTTTTTTGTTTAGTTTTGAAACACAGTAGGCTTTATTTTTATTTTTATTTTTTTGTTTTTTTGGAGATCGTTTCCGGTCTTTATATGTATAATTAAGAAAAAAATTTATAGCATTTTTGCTACCGTAGTAAATACAGTAGCATCTCGAAATATTATTACTTTATTATTTTTTTATAGGGAAGTGGATGAATTTAATTTTTTTCTTCAAGCTTCAAGAATAGATCCAATATAGAGATTGGGAACAGGAAAAAGAGATTTTCATGATTTTAACAAGAAAATAATGATTTTATTGAGGATATTTAGAATTTTGAGCGGAAGCCTTTGGAAAACATAACCTTTTTAATCAATTTCAAGCTTCAATAGTTGTTCCAAAATAACGATTGAGAACAGGAAAAAGAGAATTATATGAATTTCACAAGAAGAAAATTATTTTATTGAGGATTTTCTAAAGCCCGAACTTATGAAAAAAACTTTTTTTCTTTGAATCAAATTTTTTTGATTCAGTTTCAAGCTTTAAAATTTGTTCCGAAATAGAGATTGAGAACAGGAAAAAGACAAGAAAAACAACTTTTTTCAAGGATTTTTTTGAAAGTCTGACCTAAAGCTTCTAAAAAAACTATATTTATCTATTTACTTCCATAAAAAAATAATAACAATCAAGACATAAATAAGCTCATTTTTCGAAATTTTACAGTACCTTTTGAAAATGAAAACTTTCGAAACGACCAACTCGAAAGATAAATGATAAATAAATGAGATCCTGGCAGGTGAGTGTATGCCGAAAGGTATCCCTATATTTACCTGCCGATTTCTCGTCTCTGAATCATCCAGTTTTTTTTTTCGAGCCTTTTTTTCTCTTCTTCTTTTTCGCCCCGCCGTCACCTTTTTGTTTGTATTTACTCGATGCCCTCTTATCAACTTAATCCGTTGGAGTGGCCCGATTTTTCGAGTTTTTGCCCACAGTTGTGGTGAGAGTTTCCGGAGAGAACTTGATGGATTAAAAAAACTCGGAAAATGCTTGGAATTTTTGAATTTTTGAGAAAAAAATTATCGGTAAGTTTTGAAGTAATTTTTTTATTCCAAACTTCGAAAAAAACTTGAATTTTTTTCTGATACATTTCATTGCTTATAGTTTGAGCAAGTTCAGCAGCAAAAATATAAAAATTTCTGTTGAAAAAATGGAAGAATTCAAAATTTAGCCGTGGAGCATTCTTGACACACAAAAAAGGCCGTTTTCCTGATTGACAAGTTTTTTATCCGATTTTTTTTATTTTATAGTTTGAAGGGCTATTTAAGAAGATTTTTTCTGCTCTTGTGCTTTGAAAAAAAGATTAAAAAAAGAAGTTTTTTTATAAATACTCCACCCCCACAAATAAATGCTGAATAAACCGAAACTGAACTAAAAAACAGTTCATACTTTTTAAAAATTGAAACGAAAACAAAAAAGTAGATAAAGCATTCCAGACACACGTGTGAGCGTATAATTTTATCCAGCCTGGTGACGTCGGTTTTTTTTTCTCTTTCCAATTGTTTATTTAGCTGTTCATAACTGGAATTGATGCTTGTGCGAGCTGAAAATCCAGCAACATATTGAAAAAGTCGATTAAATTAGAAAAAAAAACAGACAAAATGAAGTGTTTTTTGAGTTGAAGTTTGTCTTTTGCCGCACTTTTGAGTGGGTTGTTTTGGGCTAATTTTTGAGAGGGGCTGCGAAAATCGAGTTGAAGGTAACATAATGAAAAGGTAACTGGATTAAATTGTGTTGTAATTGATGTAATTTATGAGTTTTTACATTTTTTTTTCCATGAATTTTGCAGTTTCAAGCGAGTTTTCGAGGTTTTTTTTTATAGTTTCAAACGATTTTTAGCATAGATATGACTTAGAATTTTTAAAATGTGTATTTTCTCATAATTTATGCGAAACTCTTTCTCTTATAGATTCTAAAAATGGCTTTTGATAAGTTCATTTTGAGCAGAATTTTCTTCAAAGCTGTCGGAATCAGATTCGCATTTTTTTAATGGATTTATTCACTTCCTTGAGCTTGAGCCCAGTTCAAATTAAATATTGTAGAAAATCCAAGATTGCTATTATATAGAACTTAAAATAGTCATTTCAATATTTCTAGCACAAAAAAATGAAAAAAAGCGGGAAGTCGCCTTGAGTTTTGTAATTTCTGAAGAAGACTTACAATGGAGGTCATTCATTTCGAGGCTGGGAATTTCCTGGAATTTGGCTAGAACAATTCTTGATGTAGCAGGTAAAGATCCTGAAAGTCTCAACGTTGAAAAAGTTCCTAGTTTACGAGAAAAGACACCTTAAATCCAAAAAAATCTTTCAAAATCTGTTGAAATGGTCCATTTTGGGACATTTCTCGAAAATTAGAAAGTTTTGTAGGTTGGGATTTTCAGAATCTTCTTCTGGTACATCAAGTGTTCTGGCCAGTTTTCAGGAAATTTTCAGTTTTAAAAAAACCTCTCTTGTGAGGGAGTATTGGCCTAAGGAGTCTGTAGGGTTAGCTACAGAGCGAGATTGAGCGATTATTTTTTCGTAATTTTTAAGCTCTCTAAAAAATGTTTCGTCTTCAAATTATCAAGTCCGATCTTGGTAACAAATACCGGACGTTTCTGAGCATTTCTAGGGATCACTTAAGAGCGCTAAAGCTGCTATAGTGGTCACTAGAAGTGTCCGAGAGCAAAGCTTGTCTCTCTATGTTAAGTCAATGTTTCCCGACTTGAAAGGCGAAGGAGGCGGGGCAAGGGGCGGGACGCGTAGCGTGTGCGTACGCGGTTCTTGGCGCCAGTTCAATACAATTGCCGCCGACTACTTAAAAAGCTCGGCAACCACTCTTTCTCTCTATTTTCTACTAATTTTTGTTGCACAAATTAATATGATCAATAAATAATCAGAAAAGAAGGAGTGAAAAGAGCGATAAATGAGCTCTCTGAATGCTCGCTGGCGGTTGAATTGAACTCGTGCCAAGAACCGCGTACGCACACGCTACGCGTCCCGCCCCTTGCCCCGCCTTCCTCGCCTTTAACGTCGGGAAACATTGACTATAAACGAAGCCTCAAACCGGCTGCTCCTCCCCATAATCCGAGGAAAGCATCACTTCCCTGAGAGAACTGATAAGCGATCGGCTGCGACGGCGCCTTATCATCTGCAGCGATCTGACCCCAAGACACCGGGTCGATTTCGGCCATTCCCTTCTGTCCCTCTACCAAGACTTTCATCTTCAATTTGAGAAAAAAAAGAAAGGAAGAACAGTTGAAACGTAGGGTTTTCGAGGCCAAGGCCGTTTCCGCTGCCACTACTGCCCTACTTCCCTATTTGCTTGCTTCCAATTGTCCTTAGAGCGCCGTTCCTGACATACTTTGGGCCTTTTTTGGGCCTTGCAACTAATTTTGCCTCACATGGACCGTGAAGGATCTTTTCGGACACAATTTGGGGTCTTTTTGAAGAATTTAACCAATTTTCTCATGTTAAACTGGACTTTTGTATTCTTTGTGTTTACTTTTAACCAGTCTCTTTAAATGTCATTATTTTTTTCATTGAAAATTAAGGTATATCGGCTCGAATTTTTTTTTTGGAAAATTGTCCTTGGAGCGCAGTTCCTGACATAATTTGAGCTTAGTTTCAATTTTACCTCAACTGAAGCTTGAAAAACTCTTTTTCTTACGAAATTTCAGTCTTTTCTGACCTTTTCTTGAGGTTTTTGGCTTGTCCAATCTTAGCTGTTGGGAGACTTCTTGGAAGTTTCGGGGCTGCTATTTTTTATTTTTGTTTTTAGCTCTGACTTTTCAGTTTCTATTGAAGATTTGAGTCCTGCGGTTGTACTTCTTCTTCTCTAAAATCTGTCCTTAGAGCGCCGTTCCTGACATACTTTGGGCCCTTTTTTGGACCTTGGAGCTAATTTTGCCTCACATGGACCGTGAAACGTCCTTTTCTGACCTTCTCTTGAGGGCCTTGGCTTCTTTTTCAATCTGAGCTGTTGAGCGGCATTTTTGAAGTTTCAAGTTTGTTTTTGTCGTGTTGAGACCTGAATTTTCAGTTTCTATTGAAGATTTGAGTCCTGCGGTTGTATTTTTTCTAAAATCTGTCCTTAGAGCGCAGTTTCTGAAATACTTTGGGCCTTTTTGGACCTCGGAGCTGATTTTGCCTCACGTGGACCGTCAAGGATCTTTTCGGACACAATTTGGGGTCTTTTTGAAGATTTTAACCAATTTTCTCATGTTAAGCCCTTTTCTGGACTTTTTCGCGTTGTGTTCTTTGTATTTACCTTTAACCAGTCTTTTTTTTTTCATTGAAAATTTGGGTATTTCGGCTCGAATTTTTTTTTTGAAAATTGTCCTTGGAGCGCAGTTCCTGACATAGTTTGAGCTTAGTTTCAATTTTACCTCAACTGAAGCTTGAAAAACTCTTTTTCTAACGAAATTTCAGTCTTTTCTGACCTTTTCTTGAGGGTTTTGGCTTGTCCAATCTTAGCTGTTGAATCAATTTTGATGTTTTGAGTCCTGAGGTTGTATTCCTTCTAAAAGTCGTCATTAGAGCGCCGTTTCTGACATACTTTGGGCCTTTTTTAAACTTTCAGAGCAAATTTTGCCACAAATGGTTCGTGAGGCAGCTTTCCTGACATAGTTTAAACCGTTCAGAGCGGATTTTGAATGCTTGAACCTATTTTCTCGTTTCTCATTTGAACCACTTTTCTAAACTTTTTGGGTTTTTTTTTCCTCTAACCGGGCCTGAAATGTAAAAAGAAACTTGAGTCTTCCGGCTCGACCTTTTCCTTTTCGTTAGAGCGCCGTTGCAGGCTTTATTTCAGCTTTTTCGAAGTTCTATTTTTACATCAATTGAAGCTTGTATCGTTTTTTTGGTACAGTCAAGCAGCTCCTTTTTTTGGACTGTTGTGAGTTTTTTTCTCAATCTAGACAGAATTCAGGCTTCTTTTCTGTCCATATCCTCAAGAATTAGGCTTATTCTTCAATCTTAACCGTTTGAGCAATTTTTTCAGAGTTTCAAGGCTTCTAGTTGTTTTTTTTTTGTGCTGAGACCTTTTTTTTGGTTTCTACGGAGAATTTGAGTACCGCAGAGCTAACTTTGAACTTTTTTCGACTGGCTCTCGAAGATTTTCATTTTGTTTCCTAACGTCAGCTGTTGATGCGGCGTTTCTGAGTTTTAGGATTTTTTTCTTGACAGATTTTGGCCTTTTTTTCATTATCTGACAACTTTTGGGCGTTTATTGCGGTTTTCTAAGCCTAAGATTGAATGATTTGATTTTCTTGTCAATTTTAGCCGCTGGACAACTGTTTTTTTGAAATTAGGCGAAAACTTGTTCTGCGCCATTTGGGTTTATTTGAATTCTTTTAATTGTTTTTTTTTTTTTAAATTTAGAGTAAGGCCTGATTTGTTAGTTTCAACGGAAACAAGGGAGTTCCAAATTTAAGTGACCTCACAAAATGTTCTATCTCTGTTCCTGACATACTTTGTGCTTTTTTAACCTTCAGGGCTAATTTGCCTCAAATGGACCGTGAAACGATTTTAGAGTGTCTTCTGATTTCCTTGACTTGATTTTGAAGAATTGAACTAAAATTTGACCAATCTTACCAGGGAATGGTCTCCGGTCGCAGTGGGACCAATTTTCCCAGATGTAGTTTTTCACGTTGATCCCAAATCTGGTCTCAAAAACTGCCGAGGAGCTCTGTGAAAAAGTTATGGACCCTCAAAAGTCGAAAATTTCAGTGAATCCGATTGAGCTCATTTTTGGAGGGTATGTAGATCTTGTCCCTCTGGCCACGAAAAACTATCACATTTTTTTTCGAAAAAATTTCGGAGCCCAGATAGATCTATAGACCCTTCAAAATGAGCTCAATCGGAAAACACTGAAATTTTCGACTTTTGAGGGTTCATAACTTTTCTTCACAGAGCTTCTCGGCAGTTTTTGAGACCAGGTTTGGGATTAGCGTGAAAAACTACATCTGGGAAAATTGGTCTTATTGAGAGGTCCCACTGCGGCCGGAGACCATTCCCTGGTTAGAAGCAAACTCATTTCAATATGATCCGGAAAGTTCTTTTTTCTATTCATTTGTTCATTTGATTTCATTTTTTAAAATTTTGTTTTGCGATTTTCTGGAGGCTTTGGTTATTTTTGAAGCGCATTTTGAGATTTTCACAGAGTCGAATTTATTTTGGCTTCTATAGTTTTTCGAAAAAAAATCCATCTTTTTTCACTTTATATCAAGAATCTGCATATACTGTTTCACGAATATTACTTATCTTGAGAATATAATTTTGTCTAGTTATGAGATTTTCCGTAGAATATAACCAATTTGTGTCGATTTTGAGCTTTTCCACATGGAGAATGAATCAAAGCGGTTTGAAGGCGTGCTCATATTTTATGATACTACCACGCGCAAGCCGTTTTCGGTCGGGCGCAACTTGATAAGGTCCGTTGCGCAGCCGCGACGCGTTGATCCATTCACCATGAGATCTTAACGGATCAAATTAGTAAGTCCAGTTTAGGACTGACAGGGGAAGTCATTTTACTTTGATTTTTTTCTCAAAATTGTCCAGAACACTTCTTGATGTACCAGATGAACATTCTGAAAGTCTCAACCTGCACAAATCCCTAGTTTTCGAGAAAGAAGGGCCTGAAGTCTCAAAATAGCCGTTTTTACGGGTTTTCTTTGTCTTTTCTCAAAAATGAGGAGTTTTTTCTCAAAAATGAGGAAATTTTGAATTTGAGATTGCAAAAATTTTCTTCTGGCACATCAAGGAGTGTTCTGGCCAATTTGTAGAAAAATCCCAACCGAAAAGGAAAAATGAGCTTTTTCAGGAAATATATAATTTTTTTCATAAAAAATCCACAATCTCAACCCAATGAACATAATTAACTGAGATCCTTGACCGATTCATCCCATTTAACCATTTATATGAAGTACTTGAACGACGGCCCTCCCATTCTGCCATTCATGGCGAATCCTGCGCCCTCCTCTCTTCCAACACTCTCTCACTAATCGTCTCGTCTCTCTCGCCGCCCTCTCCGTCGATTTCGTCTCTCGTCTCCCCCGTTTTCCCGACGGCGCTCCCTCTATGACTCGTCCAATATCCTTGTTCCGTTTCCAGAATTGTTGAAAATTTATCCGAGTCTTAGGATTTTCAATTATAAGCTCGGGTTTTCGGAGAAATTGGTTTTTTCGAATATTTTTGCCTCTTTTCTTCCTTTATAATTTCTCTTTTTTGTTTCCTAGAAGCTCAGAATATTAATTTATATCAAATAAAAGCTCTAAATTAAAGGGAAAGGTCTCTAAATTCAAGAAATTCGACGGAAATTCATTAACATTTCGATTTATTTTTTTGAAAAAAATTTAGTCAAATAATTAATTAGTTGGTTTTGCGTTGGAATATGATGCATTTTTCCCTTGTTTTTTTGTTCTATTTTCCTATTTTTCCCTGTTTCTGGTTAAGATTTTGATAAAAAATTTTGAATTTTGAGATTGCAAATATAGTCACGCAATTCGAAACTTCATCTTTGTATTTCGAGAAAATCATCTTTTTTTAAAACTTGATTGGATTTTTCAATAATTTCTATTGAAAAGGAGTATCTCCCATTTTTAATTCCTTCATTCAACCTCTTTTTTCATTTCTTAGGAACTCCCTATTTAATAGCGTCATTTGGAGCATCGTTTGGAAAATCAGCTGGTTGGGAAAATATTGTATTTTCGACTAATTATCAATCTGAAGACTCTCAAAAATTATATCAAGCCGTCTACTTATTTTTTCAGTTTCTGCTTGAAGTTTTATTTGAGGACTTAGTCAATCTCCAATTCTTGAACATTTCAAATTTAAAAAATCTAACAAAGGAGGATTTGGAAATTTTTTGAAAATTGGCCAGAACGCTCCTTGATGTACTAGAAGAAGATTCTGAAAGTCTCAACCTGCAAAACTTTCTAGTTTTCGAGAAAAATGTCCCAAATTGACTATTTAACCCATTAAAGGGTGTTCTTTGGGTTTGAGGTGTATTTTCTCAAAAGCTAGACAGTTGGACAGGTTGGAACTATCAGGATCCTCATTTTGAACATCATTCAGGGGATTCTCAACCACATAGTGAAGTGATCTCCCTTGTAAGCTTTTTTGCCAACTAGCCGTACTTTTGGACTCCGATAAATGTTCGCCGCAAACTTTTTTTTTCTCGCGGTCAAAAGCCCTTGTTTTGGCTACTTGTCGCAGTGTGCCGGCGAGCACACAAACCACTCCAAGTCGCCATTGACATCTTTTTTTTTGGGTTCTCGGTCAGACCCTGAAACATCTGCGAACAACTCGATTTTCGAGACCATTCGGGTCACTTTTTCCATGTTTGGGGGTGTTCTTTGAAGTTTTTGGACTGGCACAATGTTTTTTTTTGAACTTGAAATTGACGAAAAGCGGTGTCTTTATTATGAAACTTTGGAAATTAAATAAGAAAAGCCGATGAAAACCAAGAAGAAAAAAACTTTCTGGATCATTCGCCAATTTTGAAACAGTCTGACTCGTCTGCGCTCTCTTCTCTATCACTGTTCAGGTCATAGAAATATGAAAATAGCTTGTAGACAGTAGAGGGTGCAGATAAAAGAGACGGATTATACTTTAACACGAACGGAAAAAAATAATCTCTGAATTTTTGAATTTTTTTTCACGGTCGCACTGAGAATGGCTCCATCTCGGCTGGAACGCGGTTTCTTAAATTTTTCGGAAAAAAGTTTTTTTCAAGTTCATGTTTCTTTTTTTGGAGCGTCGACTTCTGTATTAGTCCATGTACATTTTTTTCAAAAAGTTAGTTTTTTTATACTGCAATTTCGAAGTTTTATATCTATTGAAGATCAGAAATTGAAGAAAAAAATCGCTAGAAGTGCACGAAAAAGTAACTTTTTTCCAGAATTTCGATTATTTATTTTTCATCTGTCGGAATCAAGTTCCCGCATTTCATCTATTTTTTTGACATTGAAGAAAAAAATTGCCAAGAACTCATCAAAAAAAGTCCATTCGAAAGAGCTTTTAGATCATTTATATTTTTTTCAACTGTCCAAATTTGTAATTTTTGACATTTTTCAAAATCTATTACAGAGCCAGGAGTTTGAGAAAAAGAACCAAGAACACTTGGAAAAAGTCTCTTATTTTTTCCGGAACGTCCGCTTTTTTAGAATGTCTAATATCTTCTCCTTCATCGAAATTTGGAAGCTCAAAATCTATTTTGGAGCCAGGAGTTTAATAAAAAAAGTGCCAAGTACTCATGGAAAAAAAGTTCCATTTTTTTACGATTTTAATTAAGTTATGAGCTGTTATCTTGTTATAATATTATTGCTCTAATTTTTAATGGAAAATCATTTTTGAAGCTCAAAATCTATTTAAGAACCAGGAGTACTAGAAAAAGTGCCTAGGACTCATGGAAAAGCTCCCTTTTTTGTCAGATTGAACCGATTTAAACAAGTTATGTGCTTTTATCTTTTTATAACGCTATTAGTTTAATTTCAATGGAAAAAAAAGCATTTTTGCCGTTCAAAATCTATTTTAGAGCCACGAATTCAAGAAAAAGTGCCATGGACTCATGGAAAAAGTCCCTCTTCCCTTCTGGAACGTCCGCTTTTTAAAAATGTCTGATATCTTCTCCTTCATAAGAATTTGGAAGCTCAAAATCTATTTTAGAACCAGGAGTACAAGAAAAAGTGCCAAGAACTTCTGGAAAAAGCCTCTTATTTCTTCCGGAACGTTCGCTTTTTTAAAACGTCTAATATCTTCTCCTTCATCGAAATTTGGAAGTTCAAAATCTATTTTGGAGCCAGGAGTACTAGAAAAAGTGCCAAGGACTCATGGAAAAAGTCTCTTTTTCCCTTCCGGAACGTCAATTTTGTGTTTGTTCTGTTGTCGGAGGGCGGCGGTCAGACACTCATGCATGTTCTCATGACGGAGTCTGTTGTTTTTCGAGTGGAGGGTGGACCCAACGAGAGTCCGACTCCGCCCACTTAACCCCCACTCGACCGGCCTTGATCCCTACCTCGTTCAACCTATTGATTAAGGTCCTCAGGGCCTTTATTTGGTTCCAGTTTGAGATATTTGAGAGGTCTTATCTATTAGAACTGAATTTATTTGATCCCAGCCAGCTCGCTCCAATCCCCCCCGCCCCCCAAAGATTTTTTTCAAAAAGTGCACAACTATATTCTCCCAATATGGGATACTTGAGCTCTTATCTATTGAAATAATACTTTGAACTGACGTGATTCCACCCTATTCGACCCCATCCCCCTTAATTCGCCCCCTTTATTCGCTCCCCCAAAGATTTGTCGAAAAGCGCACAATTATTTGCTCCCAATATGGGATACTTGAGCTCTTATCTATTGAAATAATACTTTGAACTGACGTGATTCTACCCTATTCGATCCCACCCCCCTTTTTTATTCGCCCCCCCAAAAGATTTTTTTCAAAAAGATGCAAAACTTGAAAAAAAGTGATTTTTTTCTCATTTTTCAATCATTTGATAAGACTTTCTTATTGTTTTTTAATAGAAAAAATTTATAGGCATCTCATTAATTTTTTTCTAACCGTCTAGATTGTATACGAAAAAAATAATATGAGAAATGAAGTTTCAAAAAGAACAGTGGACCACCAAAAAAAGGGAAAAATATAGCCTCATTCTGTAGTTTGTTGTTTTTTTCAAACTAAAAGGCCTTTTCTAAAATTTTCACTTTGGAAATACTACTGAACTTTCAATTGAAAATCGTTTTTTGTTGTAATCATTCTTCTGATTCCAAGGTGTTTCATTTCTCCCGTTTTAAGGCATTTTTTTAAAAAGAAATTTTCTGATTTTTTTCAAGTAATGAGCTCATTTTTTTGTCATATCACTTTCAATACTAACTTACACAGAAAGGTTTTTCTTTTTATAATTTTTTTAAAATTCACAAACTTTTTTTGCGGCTATTGCATCCGTGGACACAAATCCTGTACTCACTGCTTTTTTTCTTCTATTTTCTTTTCGTAAATTGAGAAATTCCATCGTTTTCTACATTATCCGCTTGAAATTGACAAAAAAGTCCGTAAATGTCTTCTATTCCAATAACCCCCCTAATCAATAACTTTTTTCCCTCTTTTTGCTGTTTCACGAAATGTACATGTAATAAAGTTCAGAATCAATAATGATTCTTACGCTAAAGCCAGAAAAAATAGATTTCTTTTTCTTTGATTTCTTTGTTTATAAAAATGAAAATAAATGGATTTCAGGGCCGATTTGATGATTTTTTGATGAACCCGCGGCTTCTCGCCAACGCCGCCGTTGTCGTTTTTTTGTCGCGTTCGTCGTCAATTTATCCAATTCTTTGCCGTGTTCTTATCAGGTATATATTTTTGTTCTTATTGTCATTATTAACTTCAGTTTTTCTTCCATTCGGAACTTTTAAAAAAAATATCTTTTTTTGTTTTTTTATATCGATCCGGACTTATTAGTTTTTTTCCCTGCCTTTTTGCTGATTTTTTTCCCAAGAAGTAAAAATTGAAGGTTCTTATTCAGTTGGAGGATGGTAATGGTACCTGGTTTTTGTGTTTTTGAATTTTTCCCTGATCCCTCATTTTTCCTACCTTCTGTGAGTGATATCAATGATTAGGAATCATTTTTTTCAACTTTTAGCGCTCATAACTTTTTTTCTTCCTTCATGTTTTATTTTTATCCCGAGGTTATTTTATAGTCAAAACGAGATTTAAAAATGAAAAATTGCGAGCACTTCCTCTTCTAAAAAAAATCAAAAAAATAATTTTTTTCGACTTCCTTACAAGGACGGTCATTTTACTTTACGGTTGAGATTTCGCTGAAAGTTGGCCAGGAAACTCCTAAATGTACCAGATGAAGATTCTGAAAGTCTCCACCTGCAAAAACTTCAATATCTTGAAAAACGACACCTCAGAGTCGAAGAAAATCCTCAAAACAGCCTATTTTGTATTTTGAGCCCTTATTTCTCGAAAACTGGGAAGTTTTACAGGTTGAGACTTTCAGAATCTTCTTCCGGTACATCAAGAAGTGTTCTGGCCAAATTTCGAGGAATTCCCAACCGAAAAGTAAAATTACCTTGTAGGATGCTTGATTTTGAGTTGATCCTCAGAATCAGGCTCCTAAAATGGTTCAATTTTGGGCTCTTTTTTTTTGAATTTATTTTTTTTATTATTCTTTATCTCTGGATCTCCCTCTTCGAACTAAAGTTTGAGCAAAACTAGAATCATCTAATCGCGAAGGCCAACAGAGAAATCGAATCAAACGCTTCAAACTATATAATTTCCCGCCGAGGCGATTCCCCCCATCAAATAGCCCCTAATTAGGCGCCCAAATAAGCGGCTGGCTGGTGGCTGGGAACAAAATCCGAGTTGCAAACAAATACGAGGCGATAGACACAGAGAGAATGCGCTCCAACGATGATGATGACGATGGACAAAAGTTGGAGTAGCATCAAATTACGGTATTGTCGCGCGCGTGCATTGTGTGCAAACACCGTATCGAATCGCCGCTCTCGCGAGCAGATTAATTGGTTTTTGTTTCTGTTCTCCGGGTCCTGATTCCATTGTTCTTCGGAAGAAATCACGACAAACAGGGGGAAAATCAGAAATTTTATTTTGAACGCGGGAAAATTTTAAGGCATACGGATTTTAAAAGAGCTTTTGACATAGAACAGAGCCATCGAACGGTTTTATCATGAATTTTTGATATTTTGAGAAGAAATCCGTCAAAAAAATAATGGCAAAAAACGGTAGCGGCAAAAAGATTCGAACCTTCGACATAGGCTTCGCAAGCTAGCGCGCTAGCCACTGCGCCACGACCATAGCTGTCGTGCCGCGTAGAGATCCCTTCCAAACATTGTCACGTGTTTAAGGAGGAAAACTTAAAAAAATCATATCTCCAAAACGAAAAGTTTGTACAGATAGCGACTATGGGGGATCGATTCCCAGCTCACCAAAGATTTTTTGAGCTAATTTATAAAAAATTCCGAACCCTACGCAAAAATGACCTTTCATTTGAAAGGGTATTAATTTTGACAAGTTTATGATGTAATTTATGTGATAAATTTATAGATGAATCATCAAATAATAAATAAAGTGTGATTTTCCTGAATATTTTTTTTTCTGTTTTTCTACCATTTTCCTATACAAATAAAGACCCTCAAAAGTGCAGATTCTGATGAAATTTTGCAAACTTGGCCTTCATGTCTTCTATTTCTTGTGAGACCTATTTATTTTTGAGAAGTGCAGATTTGACATTATTCCTTTTGAACCCTTACTCTAACAAAACGACGTATTTCGAAAAAAAAAAACCGCAAAATTCATTGATCATTTGCCTTGAAAACTGCAATTGCATGTTCTCTCATTGTATTGTTTCCAACGAAAGTTGTTTTCGATTCTTTTTCGCAATTTTTTTTTCAAATTGATGGTGGAACCGGGAACCGTTTGATTGATGTTAAAGGTTCTGAATTTGGAACGCAGACATTTACGGGGAAATTTTTTTCTTTTCGACGGCATTAACCTATTTTCTCTTTCTGATATCGTTTTCTGAAAATGGGGGAGTTTTTTGGCGTCTTTCATCACTTTTATGGAATTAGAAAAAAAATCAGAGGAATACATTTTTGATTATTGAATACCTCTTATCTTTATGTTTGGAAAGAGATAGATAAATAGTTTGAAAAAGCCTTTTTTTAAAATTTTTATCATGGATTGTTTTAAAGGAGTATAATCCATTCGCAACATTTTTATCAGTCTGATTTCTCTGCAACTCTCTTCTATTTACGTGTTGTTTTCAATTTTCCATGACCTAGGGAGAGAAAAGAGGGCGCAGAGTGGTCAGAAATTTTTTTTGAAGTTGTGACGAATTCTGTACAAATTGAAGTTTTGCCCAAATTTCCTCAGAAATCTCAAAATTCCCCTTTCTTTTTCACTTTTTTAAAATCAATTTTGAGACTCTCTGAAAATGTTTATAAAATAAGTTTTGAGAACCAAAACTTTTTATTCATGTATTTTTTAAATTCAAATTTGAATCTCAGTCCCCCCGCGTCGAAGATGTCCTGTTCGAAGTTCCAATCGGCGAGCCGGAGCCCTCAAACGGGAGATTCGCCAGAGCCGCTCCAAATGAACCGGTCAAATTCGCTCCACTGCGAATCCACCTTCACTATGATGAGAGTGTCCGGAAGCTGAGTGCCGAGAAGCAGTTATTTGTCAATGTATTCTTATAAAAAACAGTATGTTTGTTGAATATGGAGTTTTGAGAGCTCATTGCTACCGGAAGCAGCGGGGTACTGGGAAAATGTGCTGAGAGTGAGGCCCGTCACGTCGCCGATCCGGTTGAGAAGGTGATTTTTTTTTTCAAAGTTATTGGTCAAATAATGACCATATGTTCGATGTGATAGAATGAATGACTGTTAGGGAATTTTCAGAGCAGCTGAAAATCAAAATAGCTATAAAGGTTACTGAGAATGTGACCCGAAGAAAAGAGCCCCAAAAAAGTGAACTTTTCGTTGAATTTTTCGGTGCACCCCGTGTTGGACCTGGATATGTTGCATCCCTGGGAACCGTTTGGAAAAAAAGTATTCTTCGAGCTACCGTAAGACTGAATAATAAAACTATAGACAACTGTGTCAAAATATCATGAATCGCTACGAAATCAGTACCCTATAGAAAAAAAAAAATCAAAAAGACCCAGGCAAAGCGCGAAAATAGTCGAAAATCCTCGCCTTTGGTCATTTTTATTTAGGCAAAAACTCTGTCAAAATGTAATTTATTGATGGAGCCAATGAGACTGCTCCAAATTGCCGTTATTTTTGGAAAGGTCCAGTTGAAAATGGAATTTTGGAAGTCTAAAAAAGAAAAGAAGTTTTTTGAGAGGTCGGATAGCTTCTGAAGAGTTGGAAAAAATGAAATGACCCCCCTAGACAAATTTTCTTTTTTTCAGAAAATGCGTCTCCTCGTTCTACTACTACAAGCACGGGATGCAGAACGTGGCCTGCGACAAGGCGTGTCGTGACGTCACGACCTGCGGAGAAGCCGTCATCCCGCTGGAGCACATGCTCCAGTGCATGTTCTGCATCTCGTCGGACGACTGTCGCACTTCTGGCGAACAAGGCGCCGGAGTCGCAGAAGCGGACTTCGTTCTGTACGTCACCGCTGTCAACACCAAGCGGTGCGACGGCATCGACACCCTCGCCTACGCGGCTCATTGTCAGCAGGAGGTCGAGTTCGATCGGTGAGTTTGATGGCCGAAAAATGAGGAGTCTTTAAAAAATTAATGAAAAGTAGGAAATGCAAAACTCTAAAATCAGATCTTGTGCGTCGGGCTGGACGTCCTGAACCGGCATGGGCTTTGAGATTTTTTGAAAAAGCCTGCGGGTGATCAGATCAGTCCTGAATTTGAATAAAATTTTCAAATTCCACCAGGAATTTCCTAGCTCAAGCTTCCAACCCAAAATATTTTTTACCTGGTAAGTCATAGTTTCTGATGATATTTAAGTGAAAAAAATAACCAAAAAAAGGGAGTTTTTTTCGTGGAAAAGTCTGGCGGGGGGGCTAACGGTCCGGTCCTCACACAGGCCTTATGCTGATCCGAACCTTTTTTTACTGTGAGCCCATTGAAAATTTTTAAAAATAAAATTATTCCTCGATTAAACCACTTCGAATTCCAGACCCATCGCTGGCCATGTCAACCTGTGTCCCTCAGCATTGTCAACTCACAAACACGACCAAGAAATCCTCGTTTCAACCGTCAAACACGAAATGTTACACGCGTTGGGCTTCAGCGTCGGTCTTTACGCCTTTTTTCGCGACGAAAATGGAAAACCGAGAACTAAGAGGTATTGATTACGGAGAACCAGACAAAAGAGCTTATGCCGTGTTCAAAGCAATTTCCGTCGAATTCAAAATCATTTCTAACTCTCCAAAATTTAGTTTTCTTTTTCATTCTCTAACGGCTTCTTTTAGTTTTGCGAAAATGAATTTGAACAAGTCATAAAGAATAAATTTCCGAAAAAATTTTCATTCGTTGGATAGTGCGCTCTGCGGCGAACGTAGGTCGAGTAGAGGGGAATTTTATTTTTAATTTTTTTTTTTAGATTTTTTTTTTATAGTTTTCCTTTTGGTTTTCTTCGTAATTACAGTGTTCTTCTATTTGTTTAATGTTTAATTAAGAAAAAAGGGTATTTTTCACTGTTAAGTGCGAAACCCGTTTCATGTTTATTCAGTCAATTTTAGAAAAAAAGAAAAAAATTTTTTTGAAAATTTGTTTTTTTGAACTTAAATTTTTTTAGTCCTAGCAAATTTTTTTGTTTTATGTTTGTGGAAAAATAAAGTTATCCTTTCCAAAGTTTTTAAATTTTCAGAAACCGATATGGAAAGCCGACTTCGTTAAATAAGCAACTAGGCTATTATGACTGGGATAGCAATACGATTTCGACGGTTTTGCGGGAAGATTGGTGGACTGGCGAGGGGAAGGTAAGTAAAAAGAATAGATTAACCTATCACTCGGGTAAAGTCGGAATGCTGGATAATGCCCTCCAAAAGGGAGAGGCTCAAAAAAGGCCGCAGAAAGGCAGCAAAAAGGCTGCAAAAAGGTTGCAAAAAGGCTGCAAAAAGGCTACAAAAAGGCTGAAAAACGGAAGCAAAAAGGCTGCAAAAAAGGCCGCAAAAAAGGCTGCAAAACGGAAGCAAAAAGAGACCCTTTATCTAGGGACCGCAGACGAATTTTCAAAAAATTTTTTTCAGCATTGAGCTTTGTATGGTTCGATAGCTGTTTCGATTCAAAACTCAGAACCGTTTAGTTTTTTTCAAAAAAAGATTGAGGATGAAAAAAAGTTATGACGGAAAATGTGGCGCGCCGCGCACCATTTTTTTAGTACTGAAATTTTGGTATTATCCATTTTTTTGACATTTTTTTCTCGATTTTTCCTTCTAGAACAAGTTTTTGATACTGGTCTATTATGATGTAAAAAAATCATAATAGAGTGCTAAAATGATGCTAATCAGCTAGTTTGCCAAAAAAAGTCTGTATTTTTGCAGAAAACAAAAAAACTGGCGCTTGCGGGCATCGAACTCGCGACCTCAAAATGAAAAAAATCGGAGCGCACGCGCTGCGCCAAGCTGTTAGGTCCAGCGCGGGGAGCTTCCATCCGCCTTACCCCTTGAGCCGTTTAAATAGCACAGATTGCCTATTTCAAAAATAAAAATTTGAAGTAATTTAGCTATTTTTTTATCAGAATATGTTCGCAAATCTTTACTCAAACTTTTTCGTGGAAATTCACTTCGAAAAAAACTGTTTTTTTAGTGCTTTTTGCCTCGTTTAACGATCGCTGCATTAAAACGGCCCCGTAAATTTTTTTGGCAAAGACGAATTTTTTTATTTTTATTCTTTTTAATTGAAAGATTTTTTTACTAATAAATGTATATAATCGTTTGAAAAAAACCTGCGTTCGATCGCTTTCTGTGTGATAAACGCCGCTAATTTTTATTCTCTAGTTTCAAGAGCATTTTTTTGCGTATTAAACAACTTTTTTTCAAGCAAAGATGCTGTAGAGAAATATTTAAGTAAGCTCATGATCTAAATTTTGAAAAAACGAAAACTCGATTATATTCGCTTATTAACGATATTTTGATTTATGACTTTCGGCGCTCCCTAAATTTTTTGGCAAAGACGAATTTTTTATTTTATTGTTTTAAAATTACCGTTACTTGAATCAAAATCATTATTTAAAAAAAGAAAGAGTGCGTTCGACCTAAAAACACTTGAAAAAGCAAAAAACGATAAAAAATTTTTAGTTCCATTCACGTTTTTGTACGACATTCCGCGCGAACGCATCAAAAAAACGTGAAATATTTTTTAAACGAAAGAGGAAGCTTTTCTGTACATGTGTGTCAAATTTTATTCGCCAGTTCCACATATTTTACAACTACAACAAAATGAAAGTTGAAAACCAAAAAAAAGCCACTTTTTCTATCGCGAAAAGGGGCGTGGCTTTGCGGTCCCTACCTTTATCGAGCCTCACATTTTGCTGGCTCGAGAAGTGGTGGAGAAAGAGAGAGGCAGCAAAAATGGTGCACAAAGGCTGAGAAAATGGCGCAAAAAGGCAGAAAAAAGGGAGCCTTCATCACCCTAAAAAGAAAATTTCTATGGACCTTTACGGACCCTCAAAGGCTCCTTCCGATTTTGCCTATGTTACAAGTTCGAAGTTCGAATGATGCAGCTTTTTTTGTCGTTCCATCATAAACACTGTGAATTTTTCAGGTAGTCCATCCGGTCCACATGATGGTGACGCCGAAAGTACGGGAAGAGGCTCGAAAACACTTCAAATGTGACAAATTGGAAGGAGCTGAACTGGAGAACCAAGGCGGCGATGGAACTTCCTTGACGCATTGGGAGAAACGCGTTTACGAGGTCCGTTAGGGAAACTCGAAGTAAGAATCAAGTGGAAATGGACTTATTGATAGCTTAGAAGGGTTTCAAATATCAGGCTCTCAAACGATCTTGAGTGATCTTTTTTTTCCCTGACCTGCTTTCTTCGACAAGACTCGCATTATTTTTAAAAAAACATATTCTGAAAGCTTGAAAAAAATAACTCGTAGCAAAAAAACCTGTAATAACCGGCTTTTTTTCTATCGAATATTCTTAATGTTTCAAGTATCATTCCTTGCGAGAAGTTTGAGGCTATTTCATTTTTGTCATTAATGTTACCGGACCTGAAAAGAAAATAGAAATTTGCATTCATTTAAAAAAAGTTTAGGGTAGACATTTGTGCTTAGCTGATTTTTCGTTATCACTTGTTGCTTTTGAATACCAGAAATAATCGTCATAAAACTATTTTACTGGTCAATCAACGAGTCTCTTTCCATCAAGGAACGAGAAATAAAATTCGACGAGGAAGGTAATTTAAGTTTGCGGTTGGTACTTTCTTGAAAATTGGTCCGTAAACTCATTTTTTTCTTACTAGAAAAGGTCTGAAAGTCTCAGCCTGCACAACTTCTTAGTTTTCACGAAATAAGAGCTCAGAGTCCTAAAATGGCCATTTTAACAGATTTTGAGGTTTTCCTTTTTTTTTTCAAAGGGTTCTTTATCGTAAACTAGGGAGTTGTGTCTTCATCTGGTTCATAAATGAGTGTTCTGGCCAATTTTCAAGAATTTCTCAATCCCAAATTTAAATGATCTTTATTGTCAAATTCAAGTGAACTCGTTAAGGATCAGTGAATACATCCATCATCATTTGAGCCTTCAGAACGAAGCGATGACCGGGACTCATACCCAGAACCCAGTTTACTCAAGATTAACACTGGCCCTTCTCGAAGACAGTGGATGGTACCAGCCGAATTATGAGTAAAAATCGACTTTTCTTCAAAAAAAAAAATGTGGAAGTTCAGAGTTGCTGAAGAACTGCACTGGGGTCGCCACCTTGGCTGCGATTTCGCGATGAAAAGCTGCGGAGAGTGGATTTTCAAGAAGAAATCGAGGTGAATCAATCAGTTTTCCTTGTGAAATTGGTCTTGAGAAGATCAAAAAAGACAGTGGCAAATAATAAGAGGGTTTAAAATAAGGAGAAAAAGAATTTAGACATGTTGGCGGTAATAACAGGACAATATGACGATTTTTTTATGGGCATTATCCCATTTATAAGTTTGGAGAGTCAAAATTAGGTTTCCTTTGATTTCAAGTACCTCTTCCTGAAAATGCCTTTTTTTCACAGCATTTGGACCACTTTTCAAGCATTTTCTGAGCTTTTTCAATTTTTAAACAAGGTTTTAGTGCAATAAGTAACAATTAAATGGAGAATTTGGTGCACTTCTTGATGATATTCGTACTGAAATTGGAGCAATAACTGAAAAAAAATTGATTTTTTTCTTTTTTTGCTGCTCAAAAAAACAAATAAAAAGTATTTCAGGCAAGAAGATCCGTACCCGTTTTGCAGCGAGATCAAGCACGACGGACGGAAATCATTGGCAATAACTCGGTTTACCTGAAAAACCCGGAAAATATCCCATTTTTCGGCTTCAGATGCACCTCTCAACGGGATTCCCTGGCGCTCTGCAACCTGGTCCCATTCCAAAAAGAACTCCCACCTCAGTTCCGGAATTTCGAACGGCTGGATGGAGTGAATGTCGTCGGCGTGAAACATTATGGCGGTTCCGTCGAGCTGGCCGACTTCTGTCCCTACAGCCAGGAGTTCGAGTGGAAGATGAACAACTCGACGGAGCGAAGGGACTCGAGATGCGAGCTGGAGGGCAACAACAACGAGGGCGAGCAGGTCCTGGAGGTCTACGGCCAGGCCTCCCGGTGCTTCGATTTCCCCAAGCCCTGGACCGAGAGGAAGTGCGGCCGCGTCCGGAGCTTGTCCCACTACATGGCGGGATGCTATGAGGTGAAAATCTGGTTTATTAAAGAAGAAGGGTTACTTTAAAGAGAGAAACGGTAGGGAAAAGTACCTGAAAAAAAAACGGGCGGGACATTATGAGCTAGAGAGTTGGTTTATAATAGAAAAGGGGTTGATTCTGAGCAAGAAACGGTAGATTAAAAAACGGGCGGGATGTTATGAGGTGGAAAAAAGGTTAATTTTGAAACGGTAGAGTAGAGTATCTGAAACTTTTCGTCTAAATTAGAGAACAAATATAACCTTACGTCTCATAAAAAATTTAACTGGACATCATATTGACTGAAAAATTAGAAAAACTTATTGAAAAAATTACAAAATCCACGATTTAATGAAAAATGAACAAAAATGACAATTTTCGCCCAACTTTTGCAACGTGGTATTATACGCCATCGACACATAATGGCGCGGCTCATTCCATCTCAGAGCCCTGGAGGAAAAATGACCTGTGAGAAATGAGCATCTGAGAAAATTGAGCATCCGAAAATTGATTTAAAAATGCGTTTTTCGAGACAACATAGGAAAACTAGGTCCTAGGTAACGCAAAGAACGTTTCTGAGCATTTTTAATGACGTGAAAACTCTTAAGTGATTACTTGGAATGCTCAGAAACGCTCAGGGCACGACCGCTTTACAAGGTCCGAGTATAGAAAACTTAATTTTTTTTTTGCTTCGTTTGCCTTAGATTCTCTCGGAAAAAAGAATCATTCTAAATGACAATAGGAACTTCACTATGAAAAAATCAATCTTCATTTTTTGATGGCCAACTTTTCAGCACCGTTGCGTGAATGAAACTCTTCAAATCTCGGTCTACAATAGCAGTAAATGGTACGATTGCCATGCCGAAGGACAACTGGTTCACATCAAAAGGGTACATTTTTAATCCTTAAAAAACATGACCTTTGAGAATAGGATCATGGTCAATGAAAAGCTTCAAAATGAGTTCGAAAAAATTTAAAAACTAAAATTCAAGAGCGACTCAGCTTGATGAGTTGAATAGAGGGTTAGTAAAAAAGCTTTTCTTCTAGCTTGAAACTTTTTTTCGAAGTTTGAAGTTAGAAATTTTATTAATCTAGTTTTCTATAGCTGATTCACCACAGGCAAAGTCCAAACGACCTCAAAAAGAAGAGCCTCAAGCTCCTTTTTTAGCTCCTAAAAAGTGTCAAAAGTTTCTTTTTTTAAGGTCTTTTTTTCCGAAAATCCTTTCGAGACCTTTTGGACTTTGCTTGTGACTGGAGCCATCTAAAAAGGGTCCTGACACGATAAGAAAAGAGAGTGCATGGCTGGTGGAGAGCGCAGACAGGCCACGCCCCAAGCTAGCAACGAATCGAAAAAAAAATCTCAAATTATGTTTTTTACTTTTTGAGTTCAAAAAATATCACAGAAGGATCAATTTGAAAGAATCCGAATTTAAACTTCGGATTTTTTTAAATTTTGCAGTGACAAAAAGGCCAGTTTTCAGGTTGTCGACGGCTGGCTCCGAGAAGGCTCCATCATGTGTCCATCCTGCGACTTTTTCTGCGAAAAGTGTGAAACTCCGTCTTCCATCCCGACTTATATCGGAGACCCGGAAATCGACGAGCCCTGTACTGCACCCAATCACTTCCAATACATTGCCTTGATAGTCATTTTATCAATAATTATCCTAAATTGAAGCTTAAAAAAAGCATCCTGTTGATGAAATACCGGTTTTTCTCGTATAATTCTGATAGAACCGCTGCTAACGTGTCATTTTTTGTATTTATCCAATTCATTTTTCGCTTGGGTAGGAAAATTATGATTTTCGCGTCAAGATATCTTTTTGAGTGGCTGTCTATGCGCCTTTAACTTTTTCGTTGATTATTTTTTATTTTCTGTTTTGATTTTGAATTTAAAGTGATGACGTCATTCGAAAACGCTCTGTGGATGGCTCGCTCTCTGATTGGTTTATCGAGCCATTATGGGCGGAGCTTGAGCGACTTGAAATACAAAATTTGAGCAGAATTTAGGAAATGCTGAAATATAAGTGATTTGAAAATGGATTCAGAAAACTCGAAATGAAAATCCCGGAAGCTTTTCAAATATTCCTTCGTTTTTAGTGCCCCTTTTTAACGAGAAAATTTTAAAAATCACTCTAAAAAGCTAAAATTTAAAGGCACATGGCACGCGCTTCGAGGAGGCTTTTGACACGAAATTGATTTTTTTTTTCCCCAAAAAAGTGACTAATGAACTATACTTTTCTGTAAATAATAATAGTTCATTTTCCATTTTATTTATCAGATCCACTTTTCCGTGCCTTTGCGGGTTCACTTTCACTGACCAAATTTTTCTCCTTTCTTGAATTTTTCTTTCATTTTCAGGGATTCAGCCCAGTTTCTGTCTTTTCCTGACCGGTTCCCATGTCTTTCTTGCTTTGAAATTCATTTTTAAAAAACATTTTCTGAGTCATTTGCCGGTGTTTTTCCGCTAATAAATGTTGCTTCTCAAAAAAAAAAAGTTTTGTGTGGGAATTTTTGTGCTAATTAGTCTGAATCATACTTGTAATGAAGAGAAAGGTTTGCAGCTTTTTTTCCAGGGAAAAGATTGGTTAAAAAAATATGACGTCATCAATTATGGATCTGACGTCACGCTTTAAGGTTTTTGTCTTGGAAATAATATATTTTTTTCATGAAATTATTCAAAAAAATCGGTTCTTTTTTTATCTTTCCGAATAAAATAAACGATTTGAAAAAAATTTGAAGCTCTAACAATCTTCACGGGAAAAAAACTTTTACTTGAGTAAAAAAATTTATGAAATTTTTGTGACTTTTTTTCGTGAACTTCCAGATTTTTTTCAAAAAAAGACTGCAAAAAAATAGGCAGTTCTTTTTTCATAAGTCCGTGTCATTAAGTTCTTTTTTTATGAAGTAAGAAAATTTTTGGAAGGCAAAAATATTTTTAGTTAAAGTTCCGGGTGAAACTCTTGAAAAAAACCTTGAAAAGTTCGAAAAAAAGGTTAGTTATAAATAAAATTCGGAAAATCTTTTTTTGTTTTAGGAAGATCTAAAAAAATTTTTTTAAGCTTCTGATTGAGCTTGATTTTTTTATAATGACATAAATTCTATAAAAAAAGGCATGAAGGACAGCATAATCATTGAGTTTTTTTGAAGGAGACCTGAAAAAAAATTACAAAAAAATTTATGAAAAGTCCTTATCTATTCAAAAAAATACTTTCTACGGTGTTTAAAGGACCATAGGCGAACTTCACAAAGGTCTCGAAGCGAACAACTTTTTTTTAAGGGCTTTTCTGCTTCAAAAGCCTATGAAGAGTATTTTTGAAAGGTCTCTACTCAATATTAAGCTTTTGAATCTCTCAAAAAGGTGCCACGCACGGTAATCCGCTAATTGCACCTATCAAAGGTAATCCTGTAATTAGACCTGGGAAGATGGACCCCGAGAACCTAATAATAAAGAAAAAAAAGACCGATGTCAAGTGTTGGTTGTCAGGACGACGGCAGCTGCGAAAATCTGGACCCAGCCCTCCGTCCCATTCAGAAAAAGAGATCTTATCACCTATTCCGTTTCCGGTCCGAGATAATCCCGCCCTCGGTTCCGTCGGAGCTCAATTAGAAGAAGGGGAGTCTCTTCTGAGCGACGGTGGGTTGCCTTTTTCCGTTCTCATCAACCTGAATTATTCATTTGTTTTTTTGAATTTTGGGTTTGATGGCTCTTGCATGGTTTGCTTAGGAGTTCAAGAGTGGTCCCTATAGGGGTTAGCGGTAAAGGCCCTATAGTGACCGGAAGTCGGTTATGGGGAAAACAGCCCCTATAGACCAACCGGTTTTTCAAAGCAGTACCCATAGGGGTTTAGAGTCTGACCCATTAGCCCCTAAAGCTTAAGTGGTCCCTATAGGGGTCGTTTAATTTTATACAAAAAAGGTTATTTTTTCAGTTGTTCGCATGGAAATGCTTCTTCGAGTTCATAAAAATATTAAATAGCATGTCCCCTCTAGTGACCACTTTTTCAAGCTTTAGTGGACCCTATAGAGATGAAATTTCAGGTGGTCTCCAAGGGCTTCCAAGGTTGCCCCTAAAGGGACCACTATGATGTTTTCTAAGTAAAGGCGGTCCACGGTTAGCTTGCGACTAAAAAGTCTTGGCCTGTCTGCGCTCTCCACCAACAAAGCACTCTCTCTTATTTTTTTTTCGTGTCAGGACCCATTTTCCGATGGTTCAAGCCAGCCGTGAATCAACTATCTTGTGCTAATAACTGGTTTCCGGTTCCTTTCTGGGGCTGTTTTGCGCCATTTTTGGAGCCTCAGATCTTTTGAAAAATACTTTTTCTGAAACATTGTTTCCTCATTTTTCGCAAGTTTGACAATTCCAGAAAAAGCAGCCAAGATAGCGGGCTATCACATGCTCCGCGCTTCGACCGAAGTCGACTATCCGTATTTTCCTTTTCGGATTCCCGTCGATTTTGTTCTGGTCAATGCTGTTGGCGATGGAGATCTCAATCAGCACAGGAGGATCGTCTTTGAGAAGGTACTGATTGAAATTAAGTTGGTTTTTAATGGAAAGTAGGGGTTTGAGTTTGTTAAAACGGCGAAAATCATTTGAAAGACTTTCTCTTTTATGAAAAAAGTTTTATTGGATTCTAATAGCTGTAGTTTTTCCAAATTCAAAATGAAAATTTTTTCGCTCATGCTCCGCCCCTAATGGCACTATAAGCCAATCAGAGATCGAGCCATCCACAGAGCGTTTTCGAATGACGTCATTGTACTTGGCATTCAAAATCTGAACAGACTATAGTTCAGTGAATTTTTTGAAGCTCAGGAAAAGTTGAACTCTGAGTTTTCTGATCTCAATCGTGCGCTCCAGCAAACTAGGCCTCTGATTGGCTGGCCACGCCCATTTTAGTAACCATAGAAATTCCTTTAGGTTTATCATTGTGTAGCGAAATAGTTATGTTAGGTGAGAAATTTTAAAAAATCCTAACTTTTTCTTAATTTATTCATTCAGTTAAATAATTCGATTTTCGACTTTTTTTATGACAAACAAAGGTACTTAGAAACCGAAAAAAAATTTTTTGGTTTTTTTTAAAGTTTGTTCGATTTAGTAGAGGCTCGATGAAGTTCAGGATATTTTTAAATTCAGGCAATCCGTCGAGAAGGCCTCATCGTGCAACACGAAACGGCGGGCCAGCTGCATTTCACCTTGATTAGTGCACCTTTTCATCGCCTTTGCCGAGAAGCCGAACGTCTACAAATCCCCTTCCCATTGAAAGACGTGTGTCATTTGAAAAATGCCGCAAAAACACCTGTTAAAAAACACGCCCCAGAAAAGACGCACTGGCGCACAATTTTATCAAAATTCGTGGAAATTTTTGAAATTGCAGTCAAAGTCAAGTAAACTGATGGCTTTACATAGCTCAGGGGATTCCTATAATATATTTTTTCATTTAGAGTGAAAAATGGCACCCTTTGGTTACTTTTTTTCAGCTTTCATATATCGCTTTTGCTGCCTTTTCTCTTTTTTGCATCCTTTTTTGAGCCTTTTACAGCTTTTTAAATCTTTTTTTTAGCTTGAAGTCTTCATATCTTTGATAAAAATTGAAGTATATTCAAACAAAAAAAAACCTTTTTGCAACGTTTTGCGGGTTTTTTTTTCAACCTCACCCTTTCTGCTATCATTTTCTGGTCTCTTCACGAATTTTTTACCTCCGGGTTACAATTTCGATGCACAAGACCGGCCTCTGTGTATGCGCCTCTGATTAAGCCTTAAATTTCTCATTATCTTAAAGGCGCACGCACAAAGAAAGGCTGCGGGTCTCGAGAGGGAGAGTACTGTAGCTCGGAGGAAAATAATCGTGATAAGCTGGCGCGAAATGGACTATGATAACCAATTTAATCTACATTTTTAAGTGCCTGGTGACGCCAGGAACACCTTCATGTTGCTTCTCCCTGTCCAAGGTCTTCGTGACGGATGATGATGGTAGGCTTTTTTCAGAGATTTTGAAATTATTTCAGGGAAAATTTTTTCTTTTTTAATCACTAAAACTGTTATTTGTAGAGCTAATTTTCACAAGATGACTTGAGTTAATTAATTAGTTATATGAACAAGAATCGATGGGGGCGTGATCAAAACATCCACCGTTCCCATGTGACGTCATGGGAAACAAGCGTGAGCAACAGGGAATATTAAAGGCGCATGTTCAATGGGTCATGAGACGAATCTACTCCAATTTAAAAAACCCGATTTTTCTGTTTCATTTTTTTAAAAAACAAACGCCGTGTTGAAAGTTATTCCGCAAAATTTAAAATAGCCACCAGATAGTGAAAATTATAACTGAATTTCAGAAATTGAGATCACTAAGAATAACTGACGAGATAAACGCGAGCTCGGTGGCGGTACATTGACTAACTCGCAAAAATGTCGCTTTTTTCTAGGCGCGATCCCGCATTTATCTCGGCGCGACCTCGCATTTTTCTCGGCGCCATCTCGCATTTATCTTGCATTTCGGAAATTTTCAAATTGCGAGAGAAATGCGAGCTCGCGCCTAGAAAAATGCGAGCTCGCGCCCAGACTAATGCGAAACCGGCGCGAGAAAAAAAGCGAGATGTTTGCGAGCTCGTCAATGTACCGCCAGTGTCTCGCGTTTATCTCGGCAGTTATTCTTAGTGATATCGCGAAAATTACTCCAAACGCGGTATGTGCGAGAGCGCCGCGGTGCATGCACACGATACACTACACTTTACGGGAAAAAAAAATGGGCGGGGCGTCGCCAAAAAAACGCCATGCTTTGAACACGGCATCAGAGAGTTGACAATTTTGGCGCTTTCATTTTTTTTTTTGGTCAATTGTTTTTAAAAATCGTTATTTTTTCCCATTTTCAGTCCATTTCATCCACGCGCCATTCCAACGGAAAAACGGGCTTCTGTACCTTAATTACACCAACGAGAAGAAGTTTTTCACCTGTGCTCAACGATGCCATCTCACCCATCAAATCCTGGCTCAGATCGATATCAGCAAGGAAATTGATGAAAATGAGGCGACCAGGAAGATCTTTGTGATTTCATTCATGGCTAAAAAGATGATTGAGGGTAGAATTTAAGGAGTCCAAGTCGTCGACGATGACGATTATCAACGACGAACCGTTGAGTCGAAAAGGCCTTCATTATTTGTTGATGCAGGAGGCGTATACTGAAGCTTTTGTTCTTCATTCGCCGAGCGAGGTTTTAGAAGAAAGACAAAAAGTGGGAAAAAAAAGTTAGCGGAATCCTAAAGTCAACCCCCACGAAAAAAATAATAAAAAAACACGTCAGGAAAATTGACTATACTTAAGTATTTGCATTGGGAAAGGCTCCATATAAATTTTCCTTTTAGGGTGACAAAGCTTTATTTTCTGCGACCTTTTTGAGCCATTTCATCGGCCTTATGAACCATTTTTGCTGCCTCTCCCCTTTTCCACTTTTTTTTGAGCCTTCATAAACTAGAAAAAATTGAAAGACTCGATAAAGGGACTCTTTTTGTAACTTTTCTGCGCCCTTTTTTGAGCCTCTCCCTTTTAGCAACTATTATTCACCATTCCGACTATGCCCGAGTGTACAGAATGTGCTGAAATTATTAGAAATTAGAACTTTCAGAAAGAAATCCCCAGTATGAATTTGAATTGACCTGTGCTCTAATTGAGAGCGTTTCATAATTGAAAAAACTAAAATTATTAACAAAGTAAGATTTTCGCCTAGCAGAGTTTTCACTTGTTTTTTTTTTGTCACAATGTCGGAAAATAATATTAAAATGGCCGTAATCCTATCGAAATTGAGGGCTTGCACGGAATGAGCTAAATTTAAAATGATTCCGAACTTTTTAGAGACAGAGGAGACATTTATTTATAGACTTTGATTTGAAAAAAATTTGGGTAAATTTATTTTCGAAAGTTAAATAGAAATTCGAAATTTTGAAATTTTTGAAATGTTTTTCTAACTTTTTATCTTCAATCGATTAAGTGTTAATATGATTTCATGTGCAAAAAGACTATTTTCTTCGCTGAAAATTCCTTTTTCAGGAAGAACCTTACTTCAAAAAGATGAAGGAAAACAGCTTTGTCAACTTCATGGAACTTGTTTCGGAGATTGAAAATGACCAGAGGAAAAGGCTGAGCGAGTCTTGGTGCAAGTAAGGCCCAATCTTCAATAAGCTACCAAAAAAAAGGGTTCAGATGGTACAAGTTCCAGCCTTTGAATCAGATCCGTGATTATTTCGGCGAACAAATCGCTTTTTATTTCGCCTGGCAGGGCACTTTTGTCACATTACTATGGCCGGCGACGCTTTTCGGCCTTTTTGTGTTCATTTATGGCTTTGTGGACAGGTTTCATCATTAGGAAATGGCTCGAAATTCAAAAAAAGTGCAATTTTAGCGTCAAAACCAACCCGGCGAACTTTGGGAACTGTACAAAGTTGACCTACCAAGGGGACGAGAAAATCGTCCCTTGTCAGTTCAAAACGAGGTAAATTGTTAGGAACTCCAGAGCAGTCCTTATAAAGCCCACTTCACCAACCCCTATAGGGTCCACTTGAGCTTTAGGGGCTGAGAGGTCAGACCTTAAACCCCTATAGAGACCACTTTAATTGAACCCCTATAGGGACTTTTTTTTCGACAGCTTTAGAGGTTGTTTTTACACCTTAACCTCCCATAGGGACCACTCTGGGAATCCTAAGTTGTAAAATCTATATCTTTGGTCGCGTTTAGAATGGCTCAATGCGTTGCGGTCGCGTAGCGGTTTCTTTAGAGTGCGCCCGACTCGAAATGACTTACGCTTAGCAGGGGAATTTCTGGATGAAGATTCCTAGATGGAGTTTTTTATGCTGATTTCGAAGTTGAGAAATGTCCAAAAAATCATTGAAAAAAGTGATTAGTAAATCCTTCTTTTCAATTTTCAAATCGCCAAAAATTATCCTGTGTTCTCAATGGGATTTCTGGTATCGACAAATCCACGTTCATTTTCAATTTGAGGTCTGAAAAGAGAAATTGCTGACTTTTTACTTCTTGAAAAATGATGGATTGCGTATCAAGCCATTCCAAGTGCGACCAAAAGGTTCGAAAAGAGGCTTAGCTGACGTCGGAGCGCCCCGGGTCGTCCCGCGATTCGAAGTAGCCGCCCTTGGGCGACCCCACGTTGAAAATGAGTGAAAAAGTTAAGAAAAATCGCCTATTTGACCGCTTCACGGGTTGGGTCACCCCCGGGAGCGTTGCGGTAGCCCCTGGGCGTCCCAGTTTTATCAGCAGCTCTGACCGCCCCCCTATCGATCTAGATGACTTTGAATCCCCGGTCCGGTATCTCCTGGGCGCCGCGCCTCATCAGCAGCTCTGAAAGAGGCTCATATGTCAGCTGGATTCCACCCCAGGGTGCGGCCTGCCCCCCCTCCTAAAAAAATGCGGCCTACTTCAGTACATTTTTCCATTTTTTTTTCGCGCTCAAAAGGCTGGGGTGGGATCCAGCCGATGTTTGAAGAGGCTCTAAAATAAGTTCCAATTATTTAGTGCCACTCAGTTCTTCTCAATGATCGCTTCCTGGTTCATGAACTCGTTCGACACCAAGATGAACGCCTATTTTGCCGTGGTGATGTCGATTTGGGGTTGGTCCTTCTAAACTTCAGAGTCAGTTCTGATCCAGTTTCAAAATGATTGAGTTATTCAATTTTAAGATTCTTGATTCTCAGCTTCAGCTTCCCAATCATCTTCTAAACGAACTGAAATTTTGAAATATTGATCTTCAATCTTGAAAAAAGGACTTCAGGATCGGTCTTCGTGCAAGTTTGGAGGCGGAACAACTCCGTACTGACCTATAAGTGGAACTGTGAAGATTTCCACGCGGTGGAGCCTGATAGACCCGAATTTCATGGGAGTCGAGTCAAAGAGGTCTTCAGAAAAGAATATTTGTTTTCGTCGCAGGCAGAATGGCTCAGAGCGTTGCGTTATAATTTTTGCACTTGAAAATGTAATTTTGTTATAGCCTATGTACCGCGACTTGGAATTTCACCAAAGGACATTCCGCTGTTCCGTTGCGAACCTTGGTCGCGCTTTTATTATTATTTTTCTTCTATCAAGGTACTCTACTTTCATGTGCTCCCACAGCAGTAAAAATCAATTGAAAGCGTGACCTAGATTCGAAAGACGCTTCGCGAACGCACGCAGCGGAACAGCGGAATGTCGTTACGTGAAATTTAAAGTCGTGGCCTACAGACTGTATTAGGTTGTTTTCCGGATGCTATTGACTGTATGTTTGGAGATGTCGCAGAGCTGAAATAGTTTTTTGTCGGATGCGCTGGAAATCTTAAATTTTCACCAAGAGGTTACTAGTAAAGACTGAGCTCTGCTCACCGTGCACGGCGTTCCCAAACGGGGTGGGGAGACGTCAAAAAAATTCTGGCGCGAAATTTGAAATCTCAAGTACGCAGCCAAATGTGTTCTTCATGCCGTTGAATACTCAGTTTAATTTTCAACGATAGGTAGCTGTGACGTCACAGTCCTTTTATCCGAAGCGCGCACTCACTTTTTTTTGTAAATTCAGAAACTTTGACGCCTCGCTCATCCCATTAGGAATGCCGTGCCGTGAGCTTTTTGAATAAAATTAGACCCAATAAGGCAGTTTTTTACACTGATTTCAAATATTCACTCAAAATTTGTCCTGGTAGCTTGTGAAAAAAGAAAAAAAAGACCGTTGAAAAAAAAGTTGAGTTCCTCTTTGAAAGGTAGATTCTAGTTATCTTAGCATTATTTTTTGAGGGTTTGTTTTTTTCAAAGTTGCCAAGCTCCGAGAAGTTCTGTACTATTTAGAAGACTCTTTTTCGTAGATTTCAGCTCCTGAATTCTCTTAACTGACCTCTCCTGCAATTTTAGTGTTCAGATTTGGAATCAGCGTAAAAAACTGCCCTAGTGAAATGTTTAGATGTCTCACAGTGAGCTGACCGAACCCTCATTCAAAATTTAAAAAAAAAAACTAATCGACACCGCGACGCTTCGAGCCATTCCACGTGCGACCGCCATTTTTCAAGAAACCCGAGGATTCATATACAAAGGAAATTCGTTGCAGGACCCGATAACTGGTGAAGATATTTGGATATCGCCCGCCTTTGCCCGATACCTCAGAATGTTGGCTTCCTGTTGTTTCGTCCTTTTCTCAATGCTTCTCGTCGTCGTTTCCGTTTTTGTTGTCACTATCTTCAAAATGTGGGCCGTCTACCATTATGAGTGCAGTTCGGAGGTGAAAAATGCTTCTTCATTTGAAAAACTCTGAGTTCACTGCGCTCTCTTTTCTTTGCTTCCATGTGCAAATTTTTTTTTCATGATCTTTATAGTGAGGGAAAAGAGAGCGCAGACAGGTCAGAAAAATGAAATCGGCCTTGAAAAGTTTTCTGATTTCTCTGCGACCTCTTTTCTCTCGGCTTTGCTCTGATTTTTCTGTGATCTTGCTTGTAGGGAAAAGAGACGCAGAGAAGTCCGAAAAATGAACTTCATTTGCCACGACTGTAAACATTTTTCTGACTTCACTACGCTCTCTTTTCTCTCGCCGACACTCTGATTTTTCTGTGATTGTAGGGAAAAGAGACGCAGAGAAGTCAGAAAAACAGAAAAATGAACTTCATTCTCTGCGCCCTCTTTTCTTTGCTTCCATGTGCAAATTTTATCTTTCCGTGATCTTGATATTGAGGGAAAAGAGAGCGCAGACAGGTCAGAAAAATGAACTCCTTTCTCTGAGCCCTCTTTTTATTGCTTTTATGAGCTAATTTCATCTTTCCATGATCTCACTGCTGAGGGAAAAGAGAGCGCAGACAAGTCAGACGGTTTCAGTCGGGACTTTTCATACCTCCGTCACAATGGATTTACAGTACACCCTGCAATGCTGGCTGGTTGCCGCTTTTCTGCCGTCGACTTTGAATACACTGTCTACCATGGGACTTGGCAATCTCTACAGTATCATCGTGGCGAAATTGAATGTATGGGGTACGGTAATTTTTATTTTGATGGGGTACATATACTTGAAAGTGGAAAACAAATATGGAAATTGGATACAATTGTACCTTCTCATATAATCATAGTATCAGTTTGTCCTTGTTCCAAAGTTCCTGGAGCATTTGGAATGACTTGAGAAGCTGAATAAATACCTGCGGCCGACCTGAAGCGACTTACGCCCTCTGGCATCCAAAATGAGCACTTATAGACGACCGCGACGCTTCAAGCCATTCCAAGTGCACCCACAGAAAAAAAGACGCAAAGTAGCCACCTCTATAGAGGCGACTACTTTGCGTCTTAGTGGCCATTAAAGTAGTTCTTAGTGATACAGACCTATCAGTCTTTTTTCAAGGTTTCTCAGGAATATTTCGATTTTCCAGAAAACCACCGAACCCACACGGAACACAACAACGCTTTGATCATGAAAATCTTCGCCTTCCAATTGGTCAACACCTACACTTCTCTGTTCTACGTGGCGTTCTTCCGGCCGGAGAGCCACGGATTCCAGGAAAATGGCCTCTTCGGCCTCGGCGTCGAGTACCGCGACACTTGCAAGGACGAGACCTGCAGCTCCCTTCTGGCCCTTCAGCTCATCACCCACATGTTGATGAAGCCGGTTCCGAAGTTCCTGATCGACGTCGTGATACCGTAAGATGTGCAGGATCTGGGAATGATCTTGGGAAATTTCTCACAGATACTTCCTGAAGCTGTTCCGCGTCCATCGATGGGCCAGCCAACGCGAGGCGACGCTGAAAGACATCTTGAAAGAGTCTGACGAGACTAATCTCCTTGTTAGGTACGTTGAAAATTTACTCGGCGGCACATGGAATGGCTCGAAGCGTCGCGGTCGCGTTGCGTCATGAGATTTTTAATTTGAGTATTTTTTTTTTGAACACCTATTTGACCTAATTTGACTTTTCCATAGATTTGTATCATCGGTTATATGACGTAATTAGAAAATCACATTGACGCACGGTTTGTTTTTGACGACGCTCCGCCTACTTTTTCCCGTAAAGTTCCGTTGGTCGTGTGCAAGCACTGCGACGCTCTTACACAGAAAAATCGTGTCTAACGAAAAAAATCGATTCTTCTCAAGACCCAGGTTGATTCTGCCGCCTGCGCCTTTAATATGCTTGTACATCCCCACCCTCTATTTTTGATTTTGCAACTTCCGCTGAGAGAACAGAGAGACGCAGACACTCGAAAAATTTCAAGTCGCGGCGGACTGCCTTACTGGAGTTTGAGTCAAAAAATTGGTGAAAAAGGATCTGATTACTTCTTTTCGAGTGACGTCATCACAAGATCATTTGATAATTTTTCCATGACGCCATTCAATGGATAACTTTAGGGAATGGATGAAACCGAGTGCTGGCGACTTTGTTCTGTGGGAGATGAACGAGAAGATTATCCTTTTCGGAACTACTGTGGTAAGATTTTTGAATTCATAAAAAATGATACAGTCCGTTCGAAAGTTCGCACTGGGTGTGTGAAGGAGCTCTTTGAGAAGGGTTATGAATGTTTTAAAACGAAGTTTGAATTTTCAGATGTTCGCTTCATTGTTCCCTTTGGCGCCACTTCTAGCCTTGATCATAGGATTGATTGATTTACGAATCGATGCCCATCGATTGACTTGGTTCAATCGAAAACCCGTTGCTGTCGTTAATGATGGTTACTTTTCAATTTTAGCAAAAAAAAAGAAACTTTTAAAGTTTCACTTCATCACAAAATGGAAAACCGACGATTTTTTATTTGACAGTGGTCTGAAAAAAAGTAAAAAAAAAATTAATTGAAAATTATTTGCTGTGAAAGTTGCGCATACGCGCCCCATCGCATCACTTGATCAAAAAAGGGAATTTTCAAATTAGCACACTTTTTGATTTTTCTACGTTTTATTGTTTCTCCTCACTTTTTCGTTGTCATTTTGCTATTTAAAGGTGCAGAAATGTTTTAGGGACTTGATTCACATGGGAAATGGCTTATTTCGCAAAACTCTAATGAAGTTTGAAAATAAAATGTTGGGCTTATACATTTTTGAAACTTTTTGCTGACGTTTACCAAACAAAGACTGAAGTTACTGAAAATTACGCAGGAAAAAAATATCGATTAGTTTAGTTTTCAATTCGTTGTTGCGTTTTTTAAATCATCAGTAAGCTTTTTTTCGAATTTTTTATTACTTTTTCTTTGGATATTTTTCGAAGCTTCTGATTGTAAAGTTTGACTTGAAAGTTTCATATTTACGTGGAATAAAGAGTTAACAATTACTTTTTTTGCAGGAATAGGCATTTGGCTACCAATTCTTTCTTTTCTCCAATATTCAGCGGTTATCACGAATGCTTTCATTGGTGGGTTTTATTCTACATTTTTTAAAAATTTTTTCTTAAGGATGAAAATATTATAAACTTGTGGCTATTCAACAGTTTTCAGTGGCCTTCACATCCGATTTTTGCTCAAAGTTTTTCAACGACGTGATGTATTGCAATGTGCAGAATCGGCTCATTATTGTCATCGTTTTTCAGGTTTTATTTTAAATTTAGACCTGTGGAAAGTTCTTGATGCGGTTTTTCATAAAAAAACACATAAAGTAGCTAATAGCCTCTTTTTTTGAAAATCAATGTCTTTAAAAAAACTCGGCAGTTTTTTTACATTTTATGTGTTTGATCTGAAATATTCAGAACCTCGTCTTCATTTTGAAGTACGCCTTGCAAAGTTTCATACCAACCGTTCCTTCAGCAATCAGTGTGGCCCAGAGAAAGGTTCAAAATTAAAAAGATAAAATCAAATTGATTTTTTAGAGACGTTATGTAATCGGACATATCCTGGAGAAGGGCGATGTGCCGACAAAAATTAGGAATAAGTTGGTTTTCATTTTTTGAAGTTTTAGAATCTTTCCACTAAGGGTTCTGAAGACAAATTTTGATAATAAATTTGAAATTTTTCAATTTTTCGTTGCGTTTTTTGATGAAAAATTCCTACCGTGCGTGGAAATCCTCACAATTTTTTTCTTTAATGCCTCTCATTTTTCCAATGCCATGTTCAAAGTGATTCCGCGAAATTCAAAATAGCCGTCAGAGAAAGAGAAAGATAACTAAATTTTGGAGGGTCAGAGACAAATTTGCATTTCGCGGAAATTACTTTGAACACGGCATAATTTTTGTTTCAGGAAAAAAACTCGATTCGCCAAACTTGCCTGGATCACCTCGAACCAACGTCGAACCAAACGACTCACGGGAAAATTGAACATAGAGCGGTTCAAAAATCAAGTCGAAGCCTTTGAACCGCTAAATCAGTCCAATCAAATAATCAACGTGTAATTTACTGGACTCTGGATATTTGTTGAATTTTGTCAGTTTGTTGATTAATGAAGCATTTTTTTTTGTTCCGTATGAAAAGTGGAATTTTTACGGCAATCACGTTACCGATTACATTTTTGTTGAATTTTTGAGCCGTAAGTCAGTTTTTTAATCCTTTTTTTTAGGTAGTAAGTTTTTTTCTCATTTCAAGGTCTTAAAAAAATAAAAAAGTCGATTGAAGCTTCAAGCTAATGTCCGTAAGAAAAAGAGGTTCGAGATTTTCATTAAAATCTGTTCAGATATTTATGTCAAGCAGCTAGCTCCGCCCCCCATGGCTAAAATATCTTTCGTCACGAAAATTGATCGCGCCTGACAATGGTCCTTTAATAGCGCTGCATTTTTTTCGACTTTTTTTCTTAGCGGTTGGAACAAAAAAATGTACCACTTTTTAAAGGATCATCGACGCGAAAAACGTAGACCTTCCGTTTTATGAATTTACTTTTATAGAAGCTTCAGATTTGTAATAAATTGAAGAAAATTCATCATTTTAGAAGAAGTTAGTTTTTAATTTTTTTCATATAAAATAGGGAAGGCTTTGGAAAATAGAAAAAAACTTAATTTTTTTATAATTTAATAGTTAGTTGGAAGCTGTAGTTTCTCACTGTAAAACTTTATAATTTAGTAAATTTCAAAACTCCGTTATTTTTTTATTTTTACTAAACTCCTTTAATTGTACTATTACCACTATATTTTACACGAAAAATGAAGATTTTAGTGTTGAATCAGCATTTCATTAGCTTTTCATAAAAATTTGAGCCCAAAAAATCCGTGAAAGCCATAAAAAACTCTGAAAATGGCTCTTCGCTTCGAGACCAATAAGTTTTTCCAAACACCTTGCTCACCAAAAAAAAATTGTTTTCTTAACGGTCGAAAGCCTTTTGTGATGTCTAGTTTTTTGATCAAACAAGCAGAAAATGTGGGTGCAAAAATTATGTCTTCCTCGTTGTTCATACAATCGCATTATCATTATTAGTGTTATCAGTTTCGACGTCCCCCCTCGTGTCAGCCGACAGTTTTTCTCAAACTCGCCTGTTTCGCCAATATCTTTTGTGATTTTTTGGATCCAATCAATATATTTTATCCGACTAATCTGTGAATATTTTTTTGTCCTGAAAATCAATATTCTCGAACTGGAAACTTAATGTTGGCACTGAGCGTGGCGCTGACGGTCGAGTACATCTCGACGTTCGTTTCGCTCATTTGCCTGCCAATCAACGTCGCTTTCGTCTATTTGATTTTTGTCGAAAGGTGAGAAAGTTGTGAAATAGCTTGAAATCGAAGAAAATCAGGCGAAAAAATGGATTTTATTAAAAATTTCATATGTTTTTTAACATTTTTGATGGTCTTTTTTAAAGGAGCATATGAGCAAGCTTTATTATAGGGTCTCGAGGCGAAAATTCAAGATCATTAAACGCTTCTGCGCCTTTGAAACAGTTCTGAAAAGAGTTTTTCGCAATTTTTGAATGATCGAGTCAATTTAGGAACAGATTTTTGACATTTTCAGCGAAATAAGGTTTCTAAAAAAATAAGGTTTTCGAGTCGAAAATCATTTTTTATGACTCGTTTCGATTTTTGTTTCGAAATGGAAAGTGCTGTAGTTTCTCACTGTAAAAAAAGATTCTAAGATTCTGAAAAAAATTCCTGAAACTTTTTTGTCAAACTTCTATTGGTTTCGTAATAAGATTGTGATTTATCAGGCTTTTAGCGAACTTTGAACAAATTTTTCGCATTTCAGAAAGTTCTACTGTCAGTCCTTTGTTAATGGGGCATTCACATAAATTTTCCAGAAATCTGCGAATTTTGCTCACAAGTCTGATCAATCTTACGTATCATATGCGTTAAAGTTATGAAATTTATGATTCATCCAAAATTTTCCATTTTTTTTTTCATGTACTCCATTTTTCTGTATGTTAAGAAGGTGATGAAAAATTAAAGCTTCGTTATTTTATGGTTTTTTTTTCTTTTTGGTCTCTTTTTAAAGCCAGGCTGGTTAGTTTAAACCTGATAACTTTGTAGTTTCGAAATATTACAATTATTAATATTTTTTTATAAGGAAAAATTCTTGACATTTTTGCAATTTTTGTTTGCTTCTGAAGCAATCTTCGACCACAAATTGTTGGCTAATCGAAACGCGATCGTAAAATTTTACGCACAGCCAAAAATAGAAAGTCCAATGACCCAATGATAAAGATGAACGATTTGAAATCCAAGAACACTGCCAAAGTCGAAAGTGCGGAAAACGGGTGCGAAAAGGGAGTGACTGCAAAATGGCCGCTAAAAGGGCCCCTTTTTACGGCCTTTATTGAGCCTTTCCTTTTTGGTGGGTTAAAAAGGGTCATAAAAGGGCGAAAAAAGGGAAAGGCCGCAAAAAGGGTGAAGAAAGAGTGAGGGTGCAAAAGGGCCCTGAAATTCTCTTCTATTGATAATTTCCGATTTCATTACTGTTGCATATTATGGTTCATACACAGTCCCTTGTAAAAAAATTATTCCTAATTTTTAAAAAAATTGAATTTCTCAAAAGGGTCCAAAAAGGGTGGATGAAGGCCGATGAAAGGACGCAAAAAGGCAGTAAAAAGGAAACCTTTGCCACCCGTTTAGGAACAATTAATGGAAACAGACGGATCTGTAACGGACGCTCAAAGGGCCCGTGAAGGGTTTTTCCGACTTTGCCTATGGAATAGGTTTTAAAAAAAGGAAAACACTGCCAAAGTCGGAAAAAGGGGGCAAAATGGCCGCTAAAAGGGTTCCGTTTTGCAGCCGTTATTGAGCCTTTCTTTCTTGGTGGGCTGAAAAGAGTCATAAAAGGACGACAAAAGGGAGAGGCCGCAAAAAGGGTGGAGAAAGAGTGAGGGTGCAAAGGGTCCTGAAATTCTCTTCTATTGATAATTTCCGATTTCATTACTGTTGCATATTTTGGTTCATACACAGTCCCTTGTAAAAATTATTCCTAATTCAAAAAAAATTGTATTTCTCAAAAGGGTCCAAAAAGGGTGGATGAAGGCCGATGGAAGGACGGAAAAAGGCAGTAAAAAGGAAACCGTTGTCACCCGTTTAGGAACAATTAATGGAAACCTTCGGACCCAATAACGGACGCTCAAAGGGCCCGTGAAGGGTCCTTCCTACTTTGCCTATGAATAGGTTTAAAAAAAAGGAAAACACTGCCAAAGTCGGAAAAAAAGGCAAAAGGGCTGCTCAAAGGGTTCCGTTTTGCAGCCGTTATCGAGCCTTTCTTTCTTCGTGCGCTGAAAAAGCCTCAAAAAGGGTCCTGATAGTCTCGGCCATTTCCGATTGTATTACTGAACCACATTTTGGTTCATAAGCAGTCACTTGTAAAGCTTATGGAAACCTTTCGGACCCATAACGGACGCTCAAAGGGTCTCTTTATAAAAAAAAAAAAGATTTCCAGACATCGAGCCCCTTACAATACGCCATTCTTCCGATTATGTATACATTTGTGCATTGCCGACATTTTGATGGAGGCTTTTTCGACAATTTTCTTCAAATTACCAACTTTTGGCCTGTTTCCTAAGACTTTTTACAAGGTAAAAGTATTATATAAATAATCTTTAAGTTTAATATTGATTTTCAGGAAAATTGGTCAGTTGTTCCGATCGCTGGAATGAACTATTTGGGCCATGCTCAAGCGATCGGAATCATTTTCATTGCTATCAATAGGTTGGTTTGGGAAAAAAACAAAAAGAATAATAAAGTTAAATTGTGTTTAGTTGTAACCTAATCATTGAATGAAGTGAAACAAGTCCATTTCAAAAGAAAAATTTAAAAAAATTTGACTGCAAATTTTATAATAAAATATACTTTTTTTGATAGATTCAGTTAGAACTGTGCGAACAGGATTTTCTCAAAAATTTAGATTTTTTTTAAAATTTTATATGAAAAATTTATGAATTTATTTATGAGCGCGCTCTTCTTTTCCAAAGCCTATATTTGGTTTCTTCAAGGTTTGCGGTCAAAAAAAGTTTATCAATTTGATTTCGTAAGACTGATTTTATTGAAACTTGAAGCTTAAAATCTCTTAAAATCTCCGAAAAAAATTTTTTTTTTTAACTTTTCGTTCGAAATTATGATGGAAATAGGCTGTATGTTTGAAGATGTCCTGACTCTTGTCCTTGACCTATGCCTTAAAAAAATTTATAAGTCTTTTTCAACTATAAGTCAATTTCTTGGATTTTTCGTAATGAAGAGAGCATACATGGGATAGTCTCGGTGGGACCTGAAAAAGAGGGGAGACTTGGCAAAAAACCGTTAAAAAAATTGGTTGTCATGCTCATCCCATGTATGGAGGAGACTTTAATGATTTAAGGTTTATGAAAGGCTCTACAGGTCATTCCGCGGCAGCTTGTCACGATTTCCAGTTTATTTGGAGCTACAGTAGCCTTTTCGGCGCTTCGCTTCGATGGTCTCGGTGGGCCCCCTTGCGTGCGCCTTTAATAAAACTCAGTGTTTCCGAACTTTGAAATTTTCTTATTCTACAAAAAAACAGTTGTAACATCAAATTTTTATATCAAACTAACCCAAAAAAATTATATGCGAAAAAAATTTCGAACAGTCGGTTTCTTTAATAACAATTGAAAAGTAATAATTCAATCTTTTTGATTTTTCTTTTTACAAATCCAGCACAGAATCTGAGTGTGTACAGGGTGGCCAATAAATATTGAAACGCGTTTGAAACGTTATAACTTTCTCAAAAGTCAACCAAACACCACCAAACTTGGAACAAATTTTATTCATACAATATAGAAACAAAATTCAAGAATAGTTTTCAAAACGTCCTCCTTTAGCATTGATAACGGCCTTCAGTCTCTTCGGATACGCATCGATCACGGCACGAAGGTAGTCGTCGTCGATTTCGTCCCATTTCTTGATGAGCGCGGTCTTCAGGGCTTTGATACTTGGGTAGTTCTTAGAAGAGACCTTCTCGGTCAGATTTATCCACACGGCATAGTCCATCGGGTTGAGGTCGGGCGAGGAAGCAGGCCAATCAGCAGCCGAGACGAACTCGGAAAATTGGCGCGACACCACTCTTGAGTCCCTTTGGCACGATGAGCGGGGGCGCCGTCTTGCTGGAAGGTCCATGGTCGGTTTCCGTAGTGAGAATTGGCTCAGGGCAACACCCTCAACTTTAAAATCTACTCCCTGTAGTATACTTGGTTCACTTTGACTCCAGGATCCACAAAAATCAACGGAGTTTTGCCGTCAGCGGTAATTCCGGCAAAAACCATCACGGAAGCCGGATGCGAAGTTTTATTCAGAATTTTTCCTTTTTCACAGGCACTCTGATAGTCAGTAGCGATGATCCGATGATTTTGGCCGTTCTTGTTCGGCTCCACAGTGAAGATTTTCTCGTCGGTAAATAGCGTCGTCAGATGCGAGCCATCTTTCGTGCCAGCGAGCAGCTTTCGAGCCTTTTTCATCCGGAATGTCTTGTTTTTTTGATTGAGGAAGGCTCCTTTCTGCATACGGTGGGGAATCATCTTCAGCTTGTCCTTGACAACAGTTCTCATCGATTCTCGACTCATTTTGTGTTCTTTTACCATCTTTCTCATGCTTCTTTCCGGAGTGCGTCTGATTTTCTCTCGAACGGCTTTGACTGCTTCTGGAGTCGTGACGGTGACTGGACGTCCCCTTCTTTGCATGTCATCTGAAGTACCGAGACGCCGATAGCGTTGTGCAGTTCGAAAAACGAGAACACGAGACACTTTCAGCTTTTTAACGATCTCTGAATTCGTCATTCCGCTTTTGACACAATCAATGATTGCGGTACGGTACGGAGATGGGGCCACCATTACCTGAAAACTGAAAAGTATGAGCTGTAACTTCAAACACATGATAAGTGAGCATGAATGAACGAAATAAACGAAAAAATTCAATGGCCAGTCCTTTGTGCAAAAAGCAGCGATCAAACAAAAAACGGTTTCAATATTTATTGGCCACCCTGTATAGTTAAAGCGAAAAATGAAATCAATCCATTGAAAACAATCTCGTAAATTAATAAAAGAGATAGAGGAAAATGAAGCAATATCTTAATCAGAAATAATGTTTTATTAAAGGCGCACGCAAGGGGGAACACCGATAGCATCGAAGCGAAGCGCCGAAAGGGGTTCTCTAGCTCCGAGGAGAATTAAAATCGTGACAAGCTGGCGCGGAATGACCTATAGCAGGGGCTAAAAACCTTCTCTTTTCAGAATTTTTTTTATTGGAAATCGGCATCCTGCTTTAATTTCGAAACAAATCATTTAACCTTCAGTTTTGAACAAATTAGTCGCTCGAAGACATTTGATGAAATGAAACTTATTTTTATCCAGAAGAATTTTAAGTTTTTGAGAGCTTGAACATTTTTACTTGAACCCTTATGTCGAATTTTTTTCGCGCGCAAAAGGCTGGAGTGCTATCCAGTTGATGTATGCTTAAACCTCAGTTTCCCGAACAGAATCCTGAATTTTTTCAGATTCACAGCGGTCCACTACCCGATCCGACACAAGCAGGAATGGTGGACGGTGAAGGTGGCCAAATTGTCTTGCCCTGAGAAGTTTCGAGCATGACCTTGAGGGTTGTTTGCAGATGACCCGGGTGCTTCTCGTCCTCCAGTGGACCCTCCCACTTCTCTGCATCCTCCCCTTGATTTTCACCAGCTTCGGATTCGTTTTCGACCATCAGTCGGGGTCCGTCGTCTTTGCCGCCAGTGATCATCGATTTCATAAAGTTATTATTATTTTTTTTTTTCGAATGGTTTTGGGCTCAAAGTAGTGTGCTAAATTGTGAATTTTTGGATATCAAATCAATTTTTCTGTTTGAGTTTATTCTGCCAGAAGTTGGGGGAAAATTAGTTAAGATTATGGAGAAAAATTATAAAAAATTAAGTTTTCCTACTCCCGGCCTGTTATGCCTTATCATTTGAGGATTTTAAGGTTTTTTGATTCTCTTGTTTTTTTTTTTTAAATGAATTCAAAGCTTTTTTTTCTCAGGATTTAGGATAAAGTTTCAAGCTTCAAGGTAGTAAACTCTCGAAAAAAAATGGGGGATGAAATTTTCCTTTTTTTGGAGTCTTACTTTGCTAAAACTGATCTACAAATTCTAAAAAAGTCATTCCAAGACCGGAAGTTCTGACTTAGATTTCACAATTTACTTTTGCATAAGGATTTTAGTAATCAATAAAAACTGATAAGAAGTACTGAATGTTGAACAAGTGTGCTCTAAAGACATATTATGAGAAACGAATCAAGAAATTGTTGTATGTCAGATCACGGAAAGAAAAAAACCAGGCATAACGTTTCTAAGCAAATTTTGGGATCACTTTTCACCCTTCGGATCTTTAAAATCTTCTTTAGCTCATTTTTCTGGTAACTTGTGCGCTCTAATCATACAATAGTGACGGCTCGGACCTAACGGACGTGCTCCAGACGTTTCTGGGCATTTCTAGGGATCACTTAAGAGTGCTGACGCTACTAAAGTGGCCACTAGAAATGCTCCGAGACGTTTTTTTGGTTCGATTCTGTAGTTTGATCAAATGTCCTCAAGTTGAAAGCTTCGAAATTTGTTTTCCACGAAGTTCATAGAACCAAAAATCAGTCAATGCAAACATCACGCTTTCCCAAGTTTTTCGATAATCTTTGTACCTGATTCGTTCGATTTAACGACACCGTTCCTGATATGCGAAATTGGCAACATTTCCTTGGTCTTGAAAGTACACAATTGAGGGAAAAAGAGTGTTTTTTTACTTTGGAAGAAAATTTTCAATGATAAGTTGATAAAAATAGAGTTGCCCATGTAATTAGGTCTTAAAAAAGTCGATTTTTCCTTATTTTTTCTTGGAATTTTACTAGAAGCGTGATTTCGAAATTATAAGAAAGAAGGCTTTTTTTCGAATATTTCAAAATTATCAGGTTTTTTTTTCCAGAACTACTTCCTGGGATTGGCGATCCTTGATGGAGTCATTATCAATATTATCGTCTCCGTACTGTATATTTCAATATTTATTAGGTATTATTTTTGTGAAAATTCGGAAAAAACGTTACGACTCAGAGTTCGAAGCCACGTGGTCGTCCGGAAACCTGGAGAACTCGCCTTGAGATTGGCCCTCTCGGCTTTCATTATTTTCGCCTGTTACCTTTGTTTGGGGGTAAGATAATCGCCTATTAAATATTTTCAGAACGTTCGCAAAAAAAGTTTTAGTTTCCTTTCTTTATGCCCCATTTCATAGCTCAAAAAATTTTGTCTCACATTCGGGAAGGCTTAGGAAGAGGGGATTACTGCCTTTGAAAAGTCTTTGCTAACAGCGGAGTGTCGTTTGGTGAAATTTCAAGTCGTGGCACACAGACTATATTGAAGCGTATAACTTTGAGGTGTTCTCCTTGCTGTCGGCCTTGTCTCCCCCGCCAGACGCCGGCGTCTACCGAACTCTGTGGTTTGTGGTCAACGACGCCCTGTGTGCCTCAAATGCTCCGGTTCTGTTGGCCTTGAATAGACCGATTAGAAAGGTTCGACCTTTTTTCGAACTCTAAAGAGTCCCACAACGAAATCGCGACTTTTCCCGCGAAATTCAAAAATTTCGTGCCCAGAAAATGTTTAATCGAATTAAAAATCTCCCTTCCAGACGTTTCTACGTCGCCTGGGAATCTACGCGAAAGCCGTCAGCACCAAAAATGGCAATTCTTTGCTGCAAAACTTCTAAAAATCCTCTTTTCCATCCTTTTTTCTGTCGATTTTGATAGCTTAATCACTTTTCCCCATACCTCATGGACTGTCTTACGTGTTGATTCAATTTTTCCTCCTAAATTCCATTTTTCTTGTTAAAACTACGGTTTTGTCGCCACCCGCTGCCCATACTGATGCACACGAGATTTTTTTTAGAGTGACCTAGGAAAACAAAAAAATGAGCTTGATCTCAAATTTCTTCGATGTAAACTTGTATTTTTTGAGAAGTTCAGGCATAAATAAATTATTTTTTTCACCTGGAGAGAAATAAATTGAAGTTTTGAGGTTCTCGGACCATTTATTGATTTAAATTCCTTATAGTTAGAAATTTATTTTTTCTGTCTTCAAAAAGTGAAAGCGAGAGATTTGAAGCTTTGAAGAGACGGCAGAGAAATAGAGATTCCTTTATTTCAATACCGTCTCTTCAGGTCTGCACTCTCTACGCTTTTGACTATTTATTTCAGAAAATTGGACTGTAATAAGTCTGGAACAAGACTCAAAAAGCGGAAAGGAGAGAGTAAGCGAACTGGAGAGACCCCAGAGAAAGAAGATGTTTTATTTCTCTGACCTCTCTTCACCACGGCCGCTCTCTCTTTTCCGATTTCAAACGTTTTTTTGAAGTCAGTAGACCCCTGAAACTTGAAGAACAAAAGCGAGAGAGAACAGCGAGTGAAGAGACGCCAGAGAAAGAGAAACGGTATGATTTCTCTGGCGTCTCTTCAGCCCGTCGCTGTTCTCTCGCTTTTGCTTAATTTAGGCACCTTATGACTTTTAAATCCTTATATATAGATTTTTTTTCGTTTTCATTTTTTCCTGGCTACTCTCACCTCGCTAACGGAAACCGGACGTTTCTGAGAAGTTCTAGGGGTCACTTAAGGGTTCTGACGCCTCTAAAGTGGTTGCTAGAAATTCTCAAGGTCCAAGCAATATTGGATGATCGAAATTTGACCAATCAAACGCATAAAAGAACAATTTCAACGAATTACTAACTTGAATTGTTATTCTGTCAAAAAAAGCGTTTTATGATGCGCCGGCGTTTCCGTTATCATTTCGAGATTACTGATAGGCGTCAAGTTCCGCCAGAGATTATCAATAACCATTGGCAGGGTTTTAGAACGAATATGATCTTTAAAAATGGAAAAAAATGTTGGGAAGTATGGGAAACTGGAAAAGTTCAATTGAGGACCCTCACTAGGGAGGGGGCGGGGGGGGTAAAAAGTTCTCTAGTCAAGGGGAGCTGGAAAAAAACTCCTGAAATGATGGAAAAAAATTTTTTTGAACTCATTTTTTTCACATCCTTAAAGGACAATTTTTTTAATTCCCTGGAATATTTTTAGTTCCTAGCGTCTTTTTAACAAAGGTGATGAGAAAGACGAAAAAGTGAAATTTTAAAAAAAATCATTTTTTTGAAAAAATTAAGTTTTTGTGAAGCCCCGCCCAAGGAAAAAAAAAAAGAAAAAAATAAGGATTATAGTTTATTCAAAGTTGTCTTCGTAAAGTAGTTGAGAAAAGCTGATTTGGGTACAATTTTTGAGCATTTTGTGACGGAATCTTCTCATATCAGCCTCTTATCAGTGATTTTTTCAAGCTTTAGTTGTAGCTAATTTTCTAGAAGATAGTGGTGAATATGGTTTACGTTTTTTTTATTCCATTGAATTTTCGTGAAAATGGTACCTGTGCGATTTATGAAGAATTTTTGACTGAAATAATTTTCTTTTGAGCGTTTTTTGCGACAACCTAGCATTAGAAAACGTTTCTAGGGTGTTTAAAGGAGCATGAACAAATTTCGTGAATAAATCTTGAGTGGAAGAGCCGTTTTCAGTGTTATTTTGAGCATTTAGAGGCTTTTTGAAATTTCAAAAAAATTTTAGTGACGATATTTGAAAAGAAATTATGGGTTGAAAATGACGGAAATTCTCAAAAATGAAAGCGAAAAATTGAAGCATTTTTTTACTTCTAAGACGAACTTTATTATAAAATGTTTGTCTTTTTACTTCATTTTTAACAGATTCAAAGATGTATACTGATTCGAGAACTAACAAAAAAAGATATTGCAAAAAAATGGATGGGAATTTTTTTGAAATGAGAACTGCAATTCGAGCATTTTTTTCACTTTCACGATGAACTTGATTATAAATTTAATTATTTTTACTACATTTTTCAACGAATTTACAATCCAATATTGATTCAAAAAAACTACCAACAAAAAAATATATAGCAAAAAAATGATGAGAATTTTTTTAAAGGGAGCTCAAATTGGAGCATTTTTTTCACTTCTGCGATGAACTTTATTGTTATTTTTTTATTTATTGCCTAAGTTTTAACGACTTTGAAGCTCATTATTGATTCGAAAACCAGTGAAAAGTCTTCAAAACCGCAACAAGACGAGAACTAAACCATAGAGATTGGAAGGTCCATTCGATCGATAGTGCATCGGACCATGCATTTTTCACTCTTTCTTTTCCTTCTCACCTCTTTTTCGCCGTTTTTCATTTTTCCCACGAGTTCTTGTTTATTTTCCGCGTTCATCTGTTTTTCTCGGTTCAAAAATGTTTCGCTTTGAAATTTATGGCGTGTTCAGTGGACAAACGAAAATTGTTCCGAAATAGTAGAACTGTTTTCGAGCAACTTTGGCGCGCCAATGAACACGTTTTTTCGTTTTCAAACATATTCCGATTGTCCGATTAACATCAACAAAAAAAAATGTTGGTTCCTTTGAAAAAATTTCATGGACATTTTGCTGGATTTCTATGAATTTTTTATTTTTTCCTTTTCAAACAGACTCAATCTTTTTCTGGATTTTTTTTTGATTTTGAAAAAAGTACTTATCGAGTATTAACGGCTTTTGAATATTTTTTTCGGAATTGAGGACGTTTTTATGGGTAAAATGCATGAACGATGTCCCTTGGTTCATTAGTAATTTTGCTTTTTAATTGAATTTTTTTAAAGCTTTTTTTTGTAGTTTTTTTTTTCCGAGATTCATTGCTGTCTCGGAAAGAAAAACCGAAAATTTTTTTGCTTTTTGCTGATTTTTTTCCAGCATTTTTTTGTTTTTTTTAAGAACCAACTTTTTTTCAATATTTTTTGTAACGTCCCAGAATTTTTTTCCTTCAAGAATGTTTCATGGACATATTACTCGTTTTTTACGATTTTTTTTTTCAAACAGACTCAATTTTTTTCGGGAACTTTTTTTGTTTAAAAAAATTTCTGTGCGTTTTTGGCCGTACTTTTTCTCTTATCCGTTTCGTTCTAAATTTGTTTCTCGAATATTAACGATTTTTAAATATTTTTTTCGGTGTTAAGAGAGTTTTATGGATGAAAAACCATAAGAGATTTCTCTAGGCTCATTCGAAATTTCGCATATTCGTTTTTTTTTTTGCAGCCTTTTTTGTAGTAGATTCATGACTGTCCTGGTTCCAAAAACAAAAATATTTCGTTCTGGTCAATTTTTCTTTATTTCATTTTTACTTTTGAGGACAAATTTTTTTCAATAATGTCCGGAATAAATCTCGTTCCTCAGTTCCAAGAATTTAGATCATATCATTCTTTAAAATCAGAAAAAAAGTGACTTTTTTTTTTGCTACTTCGTAAACATTTTGCTGTTTTTTTTTATTCATCCTAATTTTTGAGGTCATTTTTGGGTCATTTTTTTCTTGAAAGTCGTTGTTCGGAACCTTGAGAAGTCTGAATTTCCTGCGTCCTCTGATCCTTACTTTTTTTTTTTAATTTTTTCACGTTTCTATGAGATTCACGATGAGAGAAAAGAGAGCGCAGACACATCAGACTTTACAAATCCGTGATGAATGTCTAGATGTCCAGATTTTTTGTACCTTTTTCGCCACGGCTTGAAACTTTCTGACCTGTCTGCGCCCTCTTTCTTCCGTTAGAGAGCGAGAGAGCGCAGACAGGTCAGACTGTTTATACCTCCAAGATGTTTTCTAGATCCTTTGAGAAGATGAGCCATGTCGATGACTAACACCTCGGAAGAGTCGTCGTCGGGCTCTTCTGGCGACGGCGTCGGCGTTTTTCCCGACATCCGACGCGAGGACATCGACGTCGGCCCGAGCCTCGGCGTCGGCACCTACGGCGCCGGTCTAGTCCTTCCGAAGACGTCAAACGCCAGAATGTTTCAGTTTTCAGTGGCACCTGGCATCCGTGGGCCAACGCCAACAGGGTCGTCGCCTTGAAGAAGGTCTTCGTTTTGGCCAAGGAGGTGAGGGATTGGAAGTACTGACCAGGGAATGGTCTCTGGTCGCATCTGGACTTCTGAATGAGACACAGATGTAGTTTTTCACGCTGATTCCAAATCTGGCCTCAAAAACGGCCGATATCTGAAAAAAGTTATGGACCCTCAAAAGTCGAAAACTTCCATGCCTCCGATTGAGCTCTTTCTTGAGCATATGTAGATCTCGTTCTTCTGACAACACGAATTACTTCTCTCCAAAAAGTTTGTAGGCCTAGATATGATCTTTCAAAGCTCCGCCGAAGGTAAGGGAATGCAAGCGCGATGTCGTATTGCGTTCCGCCGGAAATCAGCGGCAACGGCATTGTGGCGCAGTGGAGAAGATGGCGGAATGATAGAAGAAAGGTTATTGGTTCGGTCCCCGCGCTGAGCAGTTTTATTTTTGCCATTTTTTTTCTTTTTGAACATTTTCGTGTAACTGCTCCTTTTTTGAGTTTGGAAGCGTAGAAATATGAAAAAACTTCGTTTTTTCGACTTTTGACGGTCCGTAACTTTTTTCACAGATCTCCTCGGCAGTTTTTGAAACCGGATTTAAAATAAGCGTGAAAAACTACATTAGCTGGTCTCATTCAGGAGTCCCACCACGGCCGGAGACCATTTCCTGGTCAGGAAGTTTTAATACCACTTTTGAGCACGTAGAATATGATGGGGTATTCTTATTAACTCCAGAAAGCCGAGGAGTTTCTTGGCCTAAGCTTCAAGGATTTTGTTACAGCTTTTTTAGAAGGGAAAGTAGTTTTCTGGCTTCATCTGGTTCCATAGCGTCTCAAGGAACAACGGGAAGAGTTGATGGAAAAATTGAAAAATAAATTTCTCCTAACTCTTTTCTATTCGCTCAAAATTAAATAATTAAGAGCTAATTCCAGGCCGAGATCCTCTCGAAAATCCGCCACAAGAACATCATCCAGTTCTACGGGGTCTGCAAGTCCGAAAACGACTTTCTGATAGTCACTGAATGTGCTGAGAATGGCTCTCTGTACGACCATATCCACAAAAAGGAGAATCAGCAGCACGACGCCTTTGATCAAGTCCTGAAATGGGCGTTGGAGGTGAAAATTAATGACGAATTTTTAGTTTTTGGAATCTGGAATCGTTTGATTTTTCTCAACTTAGAGGCCGAGGGACAGGAAAAACGGGGTTTCAGGTGAAAGCATTTTGTAGAGCTTTTCATTGCGAATCGAACGATATACTCGAAAAAAACACGAAAGTTCCTATTTTCTCAGAAAAAATTGTTCGAATTCAGCGAGAAAAGGTTTGAGCTCCCGCCAAAAGGCCGTTTCGCAGTAAGGTTGCTCTATGGACAACATGCAAATTTTCTCGGTTTCGCTTTTTTCTTCGTTTTTTTTGTCATTTTTTCTGTTGTCATCTCAAACCTCGTTTTTTACTGCGCCTATGACTTTGAATTCGGACTGGGAAAATAGAAATCGGTACGAATGATGTGGTTCAAAAAGGAACTCCCTCAAGGCTCTAGAAAATGAGAAGAATGGTTTCAGATCGCCCGCGGCGTGCACTACTTGCACTACGACGCCGTCACCACCATCATCCACCGAGATTTGAAATCGAAAAATGTTGTTCTGGACCACAACTTTGTCTGTAAAATCTGCGACTTTGGAACGTCTAAAGATTTGACTCACTCTTTTACGGCCCCGACTTGGGGCGGGACTGCGGCTTGGATGAGGTGGGTAGCGAAAGAAGGAGGGTAGGAATAACTACAGAGAAAGAACAATATTAAAATAATAGCCGTGAAAAAAATTATATTCGTGAAAAGAAAGGTTTTTTCACGTGAAGTGGGTTCTTAAAAGCTCACGTTTTTCTCAATTTTTTCCTTTTCAATCAAAAATTCATGACAAATCCAATTCAATGTGATTAGTCCGAATACAGCTTCTTTAGAACGTCTTGAACTAAAACTTGGTGAAAAAGGCCAAAAAATTATATTTATTTAGACATCCAGGGTTGTATAAATTTCAGAAAATAAAAATTTTGCGGTGAAGTATCCAGAAAATAGACGCAAAAATTAGTTTAGTCGAAAAATGAGGGGTTTTCTAAATGTAGGAGCTTGATGTGTGTTTATGGGATTCTAGAAAAGTCATTTTTTTCCTCAATTTCCCCTATTTTTTATTCAAAAAAATCAATTATTAATCTTCAAAAACTTTTGACAGATCCAATTTCATATGATGTAGTCCGTATTCAGCTCTCTTTAAAATGTTTTTGAACTGAGATTTGGGCAAAAAAAATTTTATTTTTCTCAACCCTAACCTAAATTTCAGAAATGCATGCATTTAAAAAAATGTCCATAAATTGAAAAAGTTTAAAAAAAAAAAAATCAAAAAATGGCCTTTTTTTCGAGATTTGATCCCATAAAATCCTTTTTTTTCCATGGTTTGAAACGCCTGTAAGCCGAATTTTCGCGAAGTGTTTCTGGCGCCAGTTCAAAAATCATGACGTTCTTGGACACTTATTGGAAAAAAAAACCTACTTTTTTAAAAAGTTTTTGTTGTAAATTTCCTAATTTTTTATCACTAAAAAGCTGTGGGAAATCTGAATTTAGCCTTCCTGAAAAGTAGTTGAACTTTCAGCCCCGAAATGATCCTCCAAACCGAGGGAATCACGACCGCGACCGACGTCTGGAGCTACGGCGTCGTCTTGTGGGAGATTTTGAGCCGCGAAGTTCCCTACAAGGACTACACCGAGTACCGGATCTACAGCCTTATCACGCAGTCCGGCGTCACCCTTGCCATTCCCGATTCTTGCCCGCCACAGTTGTCACAGTCCGTTTTTAATGTCTGATATGGAAAAAAGGTTCAAAATAGGAAAATGAACCGGGAAAATCTTTTAAAAAATTTTTTAAGCGTTGCACTGCTTAAGCCGTGCTCAAACACGAAATTTAAGAAGAAAGCCGTTAGAGAAGAGAAAATATAACTAGATTTTGGAGAGGCAGAGATAGTTTTGCGTTTTGCGACATCGCTTTAAATAAAGCATAAAAGTGATTCGAACAAAGCGATTGAAAAAATGCTCCGAAATAAAAGTGAAAAAGGAAAAAAATGAGCCGAAACTCGGCTTTCGAGGCGTTCAGAGGCGTATTGAAATGAAGCGGACATGGAAAAAGTACTTTTGGACCTAAAAGCTTGAAATTTTCATTTCGAGTTGTAAAAAATATCACAAAAACGTTTTACGCTCTCATGTTCCATTGAAATTTGAAATTTCGTTTTTGCGAATTAAAATCCAGACTTCCAATATATAAATCTTCAGAAAAAAGCTCATAAAATCTTTTTTTTTCAAAATGGAAGCCCAGAAATTCCTATTTCAAAGCGTTTTTTCGTTTCGAATGAGCTTTTTCAATTTTTCTTCTCAAAAAAGTGTCAAAGTTAATAAATTTATGAATTTTCAGACTCCTCCACAGCTGCTGGAAAATGCAGCCGAAGGATCGGCTGACCATGAAACAAATCCTGAAGACGTTGACGACGATGGAAGAGAACCCGAAAATTCACGAAGCCTGTGCGAAATCTCTGAACGCCGACGACTGGAAAGCCGAGATCCGAAAACAGAAACAAGACGTTGAAGTGAAAAAAAGCCCTGAAAGGATTCAAACACCGGAAAACTTCCAGAAAATGAAGCAGGATTTGGACAAACGACGAGAAAAGCTGGAAAATCGGGAGCGCGCCTTCGAACTGAGAATCAAGCTGAACAATGCGGCGATAGGTACCTGAAAGATAGAGAGAGTTTGGTTCGAACAGTGGAAAAAAATTATTAATAATGTTTTTTTATTGCATGATGACTTTTACAAGAATAAATTACAAGAAAAAAATTATCAAGAAAGAAAAAAAAGTATAAACTAAAAATCTGTGTCTTTTTTTCAGGAAAAAAATAGACAAATCCCATAGTTTATTTTTTTAATAATTGAAGAAATAAAACCTCGAAACTAATTTTTAAAACCATCAAAAAAAGAGAAAAAAAATAAAAAAATCTACGACGCTCCGTTCAAACGCGCTCCATTGAGAATAACTGGGGCGATAGCTTTAGGGTTTTTTTCCAACGATTTTTTTCATAATTATTTTCAGAAATTATTTTTTTACTTTTTTTAATTTATGATTTCTGTTGAACTTCAAGTGGAATACAAGCAAAAAAACATGACTTTTTCTCGTAATAAAGCTTGATATTCGACTTGAAGAAAATTTGAACTTTTCGGGCTGAATCGGCCATTTTTGCTTAAGGTCTCCCTAAGGCCAGGCCGGTCTAAAACATTTTTTTTACCATTTTACATCTCTGCGGCCGTTTTGAAACTTTCTTTTGTTAAGAATCAGCGACCCATCTCCCTGAAGACACTCGCCAGTGGAATGAACACAACACGGCGGCTTGGATCGGCGGCATTTTGAGTCGAGTAGGCAAGTTTCGGAAATTCACAAGATGTGTCGAAATAAAATATACTGCAGGACTGGACGGCCACGCGTTGACTCGAATCAAGTCGACAGTATTTCGGAACAGAATCACTGGAAATCGATTACTGGAAATTTCTCAAAATGATCTGGAAAGGCTTGGGGTGGGTATAGTATGTTGGAAAGTCTTTGCTGTTCTATTTGTACCTATCTAGAAAGATCTTTTTCTTTGTTATATGTAGTCCGTTTCTCGCTACTTGCAAGGGCGGGACTTGTCTGCGCTCTCCTTGTCTCTCATGTTTACGTGCTGTTTTTATGTTTCTCTGACCTTGCCGGTGAGGGAACAGAGAGACGCAGACACGCGAAAACTTTCAAGTCGCGGCGGTCAGTCTTTAGTCTGTTTTTTGAAAGTCTGTACTGTAAATTTTAAAGGCGCATGAACAAAACATATGAAGATTTTTTGATTGTCATTTTTTTAATACAAGAATTCAGCAGTTTTTGATTTTACAGTTAGGATTTTTTAGAACGTTTGTACTTGGAAAATCATAGAAATCGGAAGTTTTCAGGTCCACAAACTCGGATCAAGGATCGAGGTGATGAAAGCGATCCAAAAGCTGAAAAGTAATCAACATACGCTGCACAATTTCCCGACTCTTGAGCAAGCCAGGAATATTGAGCTGGCCAAGGTGATTTCGGGGAGAAAATGAGTCCCGGGGCGACTTGAATCGCGAACAAGAAATTCCAGAGTGGTCCCTATAGGGTTAGGGAGAACAAACAGACCCTATAGGGGCTGAAAAAGTGGTATTTGTAGGGGTAAAATGGAGCCGATCCCTATAGGGATTTAGGGTCTTACATCTTAGCACTTAAAGCTTAAGTGGCCCCTATAAGGGTCTTTCAACTTCAAGTAACGCTTAATTATTCAGTTTTTCACATGGGAATGCTTCTTCTCATAGAGTTTATAACGATTTTCGACCAGAATGTCCCCTATAGGGGTATGTAAAGTGGTCCCTAGAGGGGACCCGTTAAACTATCGAAATTTCAGAGATCCGTCAGCAAAGAAGTGCCCGCCGCCCGAATCGGAAATATTCATATCGTACTGATCCTGGGCGTCTACCAAAGACCTTGTGCCAATGGCAGATCTCGATTCAAGTTTTTCGTAGACTCGGATTGGGATGATGACTATGTCCGCGAATCAATAAATGAAACATTCCTTGCTTTTCGAATTTTCAGATGGAATCGACACCTCCAAGGAAAGTACACGAGTTCGTCAAGTCTGCATGTTTTTGTGTCATTGACGATGTTAAAGGGGTTGGTTTTTGAGTTTTTTTTTTTTGATTTTGTAATTTTTGAAACGCTTTGCGGTGCTTTTTTTTCTGTATAAAAAGTTAATGCTTTTTGATAAGTTAGGACCGAAAATAATTCCATAGAAATTTTCCTTTTAGGGTGAAAAAGGGTCCTTTTTAGCTGTCTTTTTGCCCCATTTTATCGACTTTTTTGCACCATTTTTAGTGCCTCTCCCTTTTTCACTGTTTCTTGAGCCTTATAAATCCCAGAAAAAATGGAAGGCTCGATGTAGGGACCTGTTTTGCTGCCTTTATGCTGCCTTTTTGCCGCCTTTTTTGAACCTCTCCTTTTTAGTGGCCTATATCCATAATTCCGGCTTCGCCAGAGCCTCATTTTCCGATGATACTTCGAAAAATTATTGATTCATTTTTTGAGGAAAAAAAAAATTAAGTCTTCCGTTTTCCAGAAGCCTCTCAATGAACCAAGTTTTGCGGTTTCGACGTCCTCTGGCTGCTGTGCGATGGAAGATTGGGTCACGACCGATGAGAATATCAAATCCGTCAATTTAATCGCCAATGTCCAGTTTTCCGATAATATTGTAAATATCCATCATTTTGCAAAAAAAAAAATTGAGTTTATTTTGATAGAATCAGCCGCGGAATACCGAATTCCGCCTTCACATCACCGATTTTCAAGCGACACGAACTCTGGAAATCAGGAAAATCGAGTTGAAACTGAGGCGAAGCTCCACGTCGACCACGTCTCCAATATCGCCCAATCCTGGGATGCTTCAAGTTGGTTTCAGACCTACAGGGACTCGTTCGGTTTGCACTGCGCCGTCTCCGCTGGCCATACTTTAGTCTGTTCAGAATTTGAATGTCAAGTAGAATGACGTCATTCCAAAACGCTATGTGGATGGCTCGCTCTCTGATTGGTTTATCGCGCCGTTAGGGGGCGGAGCTTCAGCGAGAACTTGACATTTGAAATCTGAACAGACTATAGACGATTTCTTCCTATTTAATAAAATGAACATGCTTTTTTCTACCTTAATAGATGAAAAAAATTACAGAAAGATCGACTTTTTACTTACTAGAGACGGACTTCTCAAATTAGGCCCTTTTTCAAGACTTGCTGTCGTTTGCAATAAGTTCATCATTAAAATTAAAATGATATCTTGGAATGTTCTAATTGTGTTTTTCTTCTATTTTTCCATTTTTTCATACAAAAAACTCATTTTTAACGGAGATATCGCCTAAAAACCTCGGTCGGTGTACGCACAGCTTAAACCACGGCGTTCCTAATGGGGGTGAGGGAAGGTGAGCGAGACGTCAAAGTTTCTAAATTTACAGAAAAAATTTTGTGCGCGCTACGGATAAAATGACGTCATTCTACGTCACAAATTAAACTGAGTATTCAACGTTAATAACTTGTTTGTTCGATCGCCTTCGGCTGAAGTACTGTAGATTTCAAATTTCGCGCCAAAATTTTTTTGACGTCTTGCCACCCCGTTTGGGAACGCCGTGTAAACCTACAGTGTGCAAAACCAGACGGGCTGAAAAATGTTTTTTTTTTCCAGGGTTTAAAAAAAATTTTGGGCTCAGTTATTCGAGCCGATTTTTCAGTGTTGTATAGTGAAATATATAAAACTTTAATTCACTAAACGTTTGCTCCATATAAAAATTGAAAAAAAGCCTAACGCGATTGCGCAGAAATGAAACTGTGAAGCTGACCTGCACATCTTAATAATGCGCGGCAATTTGAAATGGTGTAGATTTACGGGGTTAAATCTAGACACTATAACATTCAGAAATGCTTATGGGAAGATTTTCAAAGCCTAAAAATTGAAGTAGATCCTTTAAACTTTTTATTTATCCGAGAAGAAGAAAGCACATTTCAGACAGTCAGTTACCCACAACTGCGTGGAGCCTGGCACCGGAAAGCGACTTTGGGAAGGCAAAACTTGACGGAGAACGAGTTGGTCTCGGTTCATGGTGAATTTCACAAGAAAAAATATTATAAGATGAAGATTCCTTGATTTCAGAAGCCCTTCGCGCCCCGGTCATTGAAGAAATCCGCAACGACTCTGCCACCGTGGCTAATGAACACGTGCCGGGACGCCGGAAAAAGACAATCTCTGAGGTTTTCCCCGAAAAGAGAAAACTTTGGGGTTTTTTTATAACTGCCAGAGTCATTGCAACTCAAAATAACCGAGTTCTTGACGTTTTCCGAAATTTCCCCTGGGTATTGGTCAAAGTTTGAATGTTGAAGTTTTTGATGTTCTTTTATTATTGGAAACTTCAGAGCCTTGAAATTTTGGTTTTTGCTGATTTTTATTCTGCTTTCAGCAGCATTTATAGTGAAAAAGGTGGTGAAAAGGCTTGAAAAAAAATTTAAGGGGGATTTTCGGAAAGTGTGTTTATTTTGTAGCGGGTTCAATTTTGGGCTTTTTAATCAAAAAATTGTCACTTTTGAACATGCGAAAAGTCGGAAAGGGTGGAAAAAAGCTTCATAAAAAAATGTTCCTTTTTGGTACCTTTTTGCGCCATTTCACCCCCTGGACAAGAAATTTGTTTTGTGTTCTGCAATCAGGAGGTTTTTAAAGTACACTTCAGTGAAAAGTTTCATCAAAATTTGAACCGAGGGGGAAGAGGTAAAAAAACGTCCCCTAGTGAGATAACATTATGGATTCATCTGGAGTTAACTTCTCTTTCTCAAAAATTCATAAAAAATGATAATTTTCAAGTTATAAAACGATTTTCAGGGCGAATCGACGTCAGCCAAAGAAAGAAAGAAAAACAAGGGGAAGCCGTCGGTCCACGGTGGGAAAGACAAATGGAGCTGGGACAAACGAGCCAGACCGAAATTTCTCTGATTTTCGATAGTTTTTGATTGTTTCTGAACTTTTTACGGGTCTATTAGATTCCAACTTTGTTATTTTTTTCATATTTTAACTCATATTATTCATGTTAACCTTTATTTATGTGCTAATTTGATGATGAATCCCGATTTTTTACTTTTTCCACTGTCAATTTGAACCGCTTTAACTTTGAGAATAACAATTCCTCATTCAATCCTCAAAATTCACTTTCTTTCAAATTTCCTCCTACTGTAAGGAGCAGGAACCTGCCCATCACATGACTTTTTTCCATGTCAAAAACAAAAAATAGGAAGAAAAAGAAGAAGGAAATTATCGGTGCCTTGGCCATTGCCCAATACGATTATTCCGACCGGATAACAAGAGTGTCCGCCGGGCGCACTTGCCGATTTGTTTTGGGCCCCCGAAATCCGTCGGAATTTGATTAAGTCTGGCGGCCGCCCAAGGATTTAGTTCTCCCGGACTGGCCTCGTCATTTTTGAAACTTGTTTCTTCTAGGCTTGTGCTTTTGAGGATCTTTTTGTGGTGGAGAAAAGTTTCTAGTATAAATGAAAGTTGAATTATTAGGAAGGAAGCTTCTTTTATTGAAAATTTAGGTTTAACTTTGATCATGATTTTTTGATTTTTGAGCCGAAAGACGGAATAGGGATCCTTTTTAGAACTTTTGATAAATCTTTGGTGAAATTCACTTTATAATTGCTGTAATCAGATACGGTGTAAATGCTCTGAGAGCCAAAGTATGAACCTCTGAAGTTGTTCAGTGAAATTTTAATAGGCGTCAGATTAAATGCATTTGGTGCACAGCACCACGGTGTAATTTTTTCTCGCAAAAAATCAAATTTTTTTTGCGTTTTCGAGTTTTTTTCTATATCAATCGATAGAAAACATTCCCTAATGAGTTTTAATTTTTTTTAGCTCCATCTTGTTTAACCTCCATAAGAAAAATTTTTTTCACAAAAAGTTTTTTTGAATCGAAAAAAATTCACTTGAAAAAGCTTCAAAGTTCATAAATAAGACTCAAAAACCCAAAAATGACTATATTCTTCAAGAGAAAAACTATCCAAGAGCTATAGACCCTCCAAAGAATGACAAAATTCGCGAATTTAAAAAAAAAACCTTTATTTTGCTCGCCGCCTTTTCATCTGCCTCGACGCCTTTTTTGTCTTCTCGAGAGCCTTGCCGAAACAATTCCTTCGAGGATTTCTCCAAGGGGCCCGAATTGTTCCGCATTTGCATTTCAATCCATCCATTTTGTGAGCCGTTCGCCTTCTTCAGCTCCCCTCGGGCTCACCGATTTTCGTTCTTTCTTATATTTTCCTGGATTTCAATTCTCAAAACAAAACTTGGCTTTTTTTAAGGCTTTGAAAAATGAAAATTACTTTTTTATGAACCTCCATTCATTTCCTTTTCATTATAACACTCTGAACTCTCTGCGTCTTTTACCTTTCCAGTTAGAGAGAAGAGAGCGCAGACAGTCCAGACTCTTACAAGCCGTGCCGAATGAAGCATTCCAATATTTCTGTTACTTGCTCAATTTAAAAATAGCCTTCGTAAACTTGAAGAAAATGGCGAGCGCAATCCAACGGCTTCTTCCGGGCTCCTCCAGCGGCCGGCCCGGCGAACTCGCCCGCATTTGTGAGCACGTTCGTCGCTCCACTGAACACATTGAGATTGTGCCGCAGGAGACCTGCATTCAACATAGCGGTAGGCTTTACTTCCAGAAGGAGAAGCTGAAAATTCAAATTCTGTGTTCGTAGCATATAAAAAACTGAAGTGAAGCGGTCCTGGGATTTTTTTGCTTGAATTATTCAAAAACTCGAGTTATAAGCTAGTGCGAGGCTGAACCTTCTGAAAGAAACTTCTGACCTATATCAATCGAAAGCTGACATCAAGACGAATCGAATGATATAATCAGATAAACTGTAGCTGCTCTAAGAGCCGAGTTATAAGCCTCTGAAGTTCACCATTAAAATTTCAATAGGCGTCAGATAAAATGCATTTGGTGCACAGCACCACGGTGTAATTTTCTCGCGAAAAAGAAAAAGCTCAAATTTTTTTTCGGGTTTTCGGGAATTTTTCCACATCAATCGATAGAGGAGCCTATTTATAGCACGTTTATCATATCACATTCAAGGGAAAAACTCAAAAAGTGAGCAAAAAATGGGCCCAAAAAGTTGTAATTTCTAGACTTTGAAGCTTCATATCTCCGTTCATTTTGAAGTTACAAAGGAACTGATAACATCTATCGACTCGTCTTCATGTCAGCTTTTCGATCATTGTTTGAGCTTCATCCTGAAGCTTAGTATTCCAAATTTTGAAAATTCATAACTTTATTCCTCGAAGGTTAGGGACTTTGAGACGTAGTTTTTTTTGCTCCTTTTGATCACATTTATTGATTGGTACAAAATTTGACCCGTTTCAAAATTTGACCTCAAAGTTTGATCGCCTATAACTCAGCTCCTAGTTGACCTACAGAGGTCAAACCTGGCCTCCGGTTATTTTTTCGTCGAGATCTATCGATTGATATAGGTTTCGTCTGGATCGGCTTTCATGACTTCAGAAGCTCAAAAAAATCCTAAGGGGTACTTTTTTCTGTACTTTTTTCGATTTTTTTCGAAAACCAAAGTTTCCGAGATTTTTACATCAATCGATAGGGAATGACGTCAGAAGTCCAAAAATCTAGGTTAAAAAGTTCTAAGGCTTCTAGAATGAAAGTTATGATCTTCCAAAGTTAGTCATTTCTGAAAAAAGTGATTGAAACTCTTGAAAACTCAAATAATTATATAGCTGACATCAAGACAAATCGACTGATTCACTTAGTTTCTCTGTAAGGTTAAAATGAACCGAGATATGAAGCTTCAGACTCTGACAAAAAAGACTTTTTGGGCCCATTTTTGCTCACTATTTGAGCTATTCCTTTGGAAGTAATATGAAGAATGCACTATTTAAAGGCTGCTCTATCGATCAATGTGGAAAAAACCCCGAAAACGCGAAGAAAAATTTTAAGGTTTTCTTTTTTTGAAAGAAAATTGCACCATGGTGCAGCGCGCCAAATGCATTTTATCTGACGCCTATTGAAATTTTAATGGCGAACTTCAGAGGCTTATAACTCGGCTCCCAGAGCAGCTGCAGCTTAGCTGATTACATCATTCGATTCGTCTTGATGTCAGCTTTTGAATGATATAGATTACCAGTTGATTGAACTTCTTTACCAAGTTTCGTCATTTTCGAAAAAAATTCTAGCCAGGAAGTCTTTTCTTCGACAGTAAACACAATTTTCTTTCATAAATCATTTAAAAGTTCAACCTCTCAAATTTTTGAAGATGCTCATTTGTAGCGAAAAGGCAACTGATGCACAGAAAGATGGGCGGGGCTTGTCGATTTACGAGGAGTATCGTTTTTTTTTCGTTAATAAAATTGCTGTTTCAGGGCCGGATACGTTCGTAGAATGCGTCACGATCACGACTTTCCGTCCAACAACTCCACGACGATGCAGCGAGCCGCCCCGAACACTGGGAGAGCTCAAAAAATGACTTCAACCTGTATTTTATTCCTTTTTTCCATTCCATACTAATTTCAAACACATTTCACTTGTCACGCGGGCTTCACAGAGTATTATTGATGAGGTGTAGGCGATAGTCCGGCCTTTTCTAGAGGCTTCTCGTGTTCTTTTCGCCGTTTTGCTTTTCATTGTAAAGAAAAATTATGAATTTATCCAGTTATAAGCAATTTATAAACTCGTTCAACATGATTTACAACGTAAATAGTGAGAAAATAGAGTTTTTTTTTTGAATCATTGCCTCGTAATATTGTACTATAAGTCATACATTTGAAATAGTATAAAAATGATTCTATCCGTTTCTATGCAAAAAAAAATTGAAAATGTTTAAGTGACCACTTGGAGAACTTCTGAAAATATACAACGCTTTCAGATTCTCAAGTGGCAAGTCAAGAAAGACCTCTCAAGTGTGAACTGGAGTTTGGATCTAAAGTGGTAATCGGACGATCACGAAACTCACTCAAATGATCACTTGAGAGTTCTTCAAGTCAAAAGGCAACGAAGTATTGATCATTAAAGTGATAACTCATGGCCACTAAATGCAAGTGTTCACTTAAGAGTAGGCTAAAAAACCACCTATTGAAGCCTCGAAAAAAATCAACTTGGAAAAAAATTTCGTTAAAGTGATCACTTGGAATTTTCTGAGCGATTTTCGAAGGGCTTTAACTTCGAAACCCTTAATTGACTTCTTCAACTTTTCATACATATCTCAAGCCTCGGCTAGTGCAACGAAAACATGAATAAGAGCAAAAAAGTCGCGACAACTTTTAACAACGGACATGGCCCAAATTTGCAAGGGAATCTGGGCGAAGAAGCAGAACATGAGCAAGACGTTCAGCGGCGTGAACTTGCAGGGACCCGGGCTGGCGAGCGCCCAAGCGGAAAATATCAAAAAGACGACGTTCACCGCCAAGGAGACGAAGCAGAAGTAGTAGTGGGCCCGGAGGATTGCCTGAAAATCGACATTTTGACTTTTTTCGATGAAAAAATTTTTTATTCCTCTTGAAGTGAAGATTGAGATGTTTCCTGACATCTATACTGAGAAAAAATATTTGAAAAATTTGTTAAATACCTCACAAGGTAGATGAATGCACTGAAAACTAAGACATGGGAGATTTTTAATAGAATGCATCAAAACCTCACATTAAACAGACTTTAAGCTAAATTTCCCACCAAAACATCTTTTATTCTTAATGTTTTAAATATTTTTTTCACTTCAGAATGATTCAATAAAGCAGCGAAATTCGATAGAACCGAGTTTTCGGATGAGTTTTCAGCTGAAACCACTTCGTATCAAAAAAATAAAATTAATAGTAATCTTCGAAATTTTCATTATTTTTCAGGATCATCATTACACAAAAAAATTCTGCTAACTCAACAAGCGATGCAAAAAATACAAAAAAAAATCTCTGATCTTCAATTTCCACAACTTTATCAACAAAATAGAAAAACATGAACCTTGTCAAAATTCAACAATCCTCTCGCTGTGGCGATAGCCATTATCACGACTGCCTGAAAAATTATCTTAAAATAATTTTAGAAATCTAGAAAAATACATACCAAATCATAAATGAGTATAGGATAATAGAAAAGATCGTGTCCAAACAATTCGTTGAAGGTTTTCGGGATCGGTTCCCAAAAAGTGAATCCTCCGCGCATCATTCCGCCCAGGATGCATAGAAATGTGACGACAACGTAACATAACTGAAAACAATAACACTGAGAAAGGATTTAAAAAACAAAAGCGAAAATAAAAATTGAAAATGATGAAAATTTGTCTCAATCGATACTTTCCCAGACAAGTGCGCTCCAGTGCACACTTTACGGCTCCTCGCCTCGATTTAATTTTTTTATCCTTTTTCATTTTTCTTTGAACAACACTATAAATTACTTATGAGGGTTTTTGAAAAAAATAATCGCTTTTTATCAAATGAAGCGCTGAACGTTTATTTTTCACAAAATTATAGAGGAATATTTCTTAAAGAAACAAGATTTACCTCAAAAACGACGACAGTCGTACATCCGCCACGTACAAGACAAGAAGATAAGCAACAAAGCGGTTCGAGTTCCAGATGTCGAGTTTGGACTCTGACAAGAGAAAATAATGTTATGAGGCGGAAAAAAGTTGTACAAAAAGTGTAGTTTTCACAGATTAAAAAAAATTCAAACTAAAGAACGTAAAGGTGCAAGCCACCATATCGCGATCTGGTCTCTCTAAGTTTACCGTGATCTCTAGAAAAGCACTCGGCATCTGCATACACGGCTCTACACGCGACGGGGCATTGCAGACCCGTTCCATTAGAGATCAGAAGAAAAAAGGTCATAGAGCAGTTCAGAGAGCACGGTAAAATTGGAGAGACCAGACTCGTACTTTCCTCATTCTATGCACTGTCTAAGACTCTGCGCGACTTCCAATTTTACAGAGAACGGTTTTTCTTTCTTCTAAGGGATCGGCCCGATTAAAAACAGCGTCATCGTCACGTACAAAAAATAAAAGAAAAGCAACAAACTTGGTATGAATAGGGACAACGCGGTTGGCTCTGAATCGGTTGTGTGCCGACCTGACGCGGTTGGACGCCGCGCCGAGCATCGTCGAAACTTTCCCAATAGTTCTGGAGACGGTCCAGAAAAGTCGCTTCATTCCAGGCGGCGGCTTCGATTCTGAAGCAAGTAGGGGAAAAATACTGAAAAGTCGCCGGAAATCGGCCCGAATTCGTAAGCGGTTGAATGGCTTGCACGGGTGGCAAAGTATGAGAGATTTATTGAAATTTTCTCATTGGAGAATGCGGAAGTTCTAGGGGAAAGTGTACAGGAACGATTAAAAGTATATTTTTAAAGTTTTCGAAGGACATAGAAGCTCAAATTGGAAACCACTAAATCAAGGAGCAATTCTAAAAACTTCCGTTGTATATTTTTTTTTTTTTGAACTTTTCAATTAAATAATCAGGAAAAAGGTTTGGAATACCAGTCCGAAAGCTATTTTCCCATAGGTTTTCATCCTGGATTTTTTAAGCATATTGTCCTTAAACTATAAAAAAAACGAACCACTGCTCTTCTTGCTGCTACTGCTGCTGTCCTTAGGCTCTCGAACTTTGGGAATCTTCATTTTTTGTGCATTCACTGGCGAGGACTGAAAATGTTCTGAGTTTCTTTCTGAAAATTTTAGCTTCTTGTTCGCATGAAGAATGGCTCAAAAAAAAATTTTTTAAAGACGCGTCGGACCCAAAACGAGTTGCGCCTGCCCGTATTTGAAATTTTAGAGGCTGCGTCTCTCGAATTTGCAGGAGTTGATTTTATGAAAAGCTGTTCACGCGATGGTATCAAGAAGCCTTGTATCAAGCTTTCGAGTCAGCGTCATAGACTCAAAAAAGCGAAGTGGATGCTCAAAGTCGCGCCCGACCAGAAACGATTTACGCCTGTCGGTATTTGAAATATTTGATTATTATCTCATTTAATCACGTCGACTGGTCGGTCTCATTGCCGATCTCTCATGGGATAATATTTCGACGCCCGTCAGCCCTGGACAAGCTGGGCGCCGTACTGTTCCAACATGGTGAAGCAGTTTATTCGCTGGTACTACCAACGGGCCCACATTATTTCCCAACGCTAGCTGTCACTCCGGGACGTATTGGACAACGATTGTGGACCGTAACCCGCGCCGACGACTAACTCTTCGATTATACCATGATCCAGCAGAGATTTTCTTCATCTTACTCTGAAGACTGAATAAATTGAATTGAATTAAATTGAATTAGTATTTGAAATTGCAGAATGGATCAAGTTGCAAATTCAGCTTCATAGGCTTGAATCCAACCGCATCGCGACCGCGACGCTTCGAGCCATTCCTCATGCGCAAGATGAAAACCTTGATCTTGACGGTGTTCTCCGGCGGTACCCAGTGCTCCATGACTTTGAGGTTTTCCGGATTGTGGTTGTTCCGTCGTTGATTATTCCGGTACTCGTGCTCGAGGCGTTCAGCTTGGTATCTCTTCTCCTGAAATAAATGTTCAAAAACATCTGCTATTTTTTAAAAATGAAGAGAAAATTCATGCAAAAGGTGAAATTCGCTTGGATTTTCGCGCTTGAAAAGAGCTTTTCCTACACTTCCTCTGACCTGTCTGCGCTCTCTTTTCCTTCGTCGGCGAGGCCGTGAGAACAAGAAAATAGCGTGTAAAAACGGGAAGGTTCCCGAGAGAAAAGAGAGTGCAGAGAAATGAAGAAAAAATTCAAAAAATCACCCAGAACCTTCCAAAAATACACCAATGTTAATAAATCGCATGCAGGACCATTCAGTTAGTCATATTTCCACAGTATGACTACAGTAATCATTCCAAGAGTACTGTATGATTCATGCTCTGAAATCTTGCCGTATTCAGGGCAATCCGAGAAGAAAATGGCGAATTGAGGGAAATTGTCGCCAAACTCGTCAGCAGTTCGAGTCCGCCTCGGTTAAAGGCCTGTGGTTTTTTTTTCTTATTTTCTCGGAATTTTACAAAAATTCATGTCTTTAGGCTTGAAATCTCCCTTAAAAAGTTTACCATTTCTTGAATTTTCACAACATTTTCTGTCTGAACAAGTTCCTTAAAGGCGCAAAAACTCTTCTAAAAAAAAGCTTTCCCTGGCTAAAAAAAAACCAACAAGTGCGCTCCAGTGAACAGCGTCTTTGATCTCGGTCTTTCGGACGTTTCTGAGCTTTTCTAGGGGTCACTCAAGTGCTGACGCCACTAAAGGGATCACTAGAAATACTCATGGGGCGTCCGAGAACCGATCAACTAAATAAAAAAATTTTTCTGAGGTCTTACCAAAAATCAAAGTTTTGCAGTTCGCTAGAGCGCACTTGCAAGATTCAAATTGTCCTAAGTTTACCTATTTTCAATTTTTTTAAACTATGCTCTTTAAATATTTCAAATCTGCTCAAAAGAACGTAGTTTACAAAGAGAGATTTTCAAAAAAATCAAAGAATATTTTTTTAGTCAATTTTTTTCTTTTACTTCATTTCACGCAAGTTTTTTTCGAAAAAAAGGAATTTTTCCACCTCAAAACCTCCCATTTTGCACACTATTTCGCTATTCGTGTCAAGAACCATTTTCTCAAAAAAACTTTAGATCCTTTAAATTTTCAAAATTGCAGCTTCTTCAGACCTTTTTTTCTTGGAAAATATATTTCAATCCAATATTTAAAAAGAATTATTGTGAATATTTGTTAATTTTCGATCACTGAGTCAAATTCTGAGACTTAGAATCGTTTTCCCCTTTCTCAAAAAATTCTATACTTTCTTTTTAAATTCCCAAAATCATCAAGAACTTTCCAAGCATATTAATAATTTCGAAACCTTCCCAAAGTTTGAGAAAATGTCCCTATTTGTAAAAATTTCCGAGAAAAACCCACCTTTTCGAGTTCAATCATAGTTAGTTGATTATTTTCAATATCAATCAATAATTTACCAGAAAATGAAGAAACAGAGGAAGTCGGTGAAGGAATAAAAAAGAGAGCCTTTTTTAAAAGTGCTCTGGCTCCTGTGCATTTGTGCACAAAATCGGAAGCCTTTTTTTTCCTGCCTTCTCTTCTTTTTATTCCTCCACTGAACCTTGACTTGGCCTCTCTCCGTTTTAAAGTGGTTCGAAAAGTGAGCGCAGGAAGCTTTTTACTTTCCCTTAGACGTCTGGAAATTGGCCCTTTTTGGCCAGGAGCAAACCACGAACAAACATCGAAAAGTTCTCTTCTCTTGTGGTTTTTGGAAAAATTTAAATATGAAGTTTTGAGCTCGAAAAATTAGTTTCCAGAGATTTTTTTTTTCGGGAAAGGTCGCATTTTTGAGATTTTTGACTTCAGGACAACTTCTCTAGGACTTCAAAACTCAAAAGGTCCATCTTATACATTTTTTTTTTCAAAAGCTGAGTTGAGGTATAAGATTTTGAATTTAAAAATACTAAGTTTTTTTGAAAAAAACTTCGTGCACATTTTTTTGATAGTATATACTTCAGGCAGTTCTATAAAAACTTCAAACCCCAGAAAGTCTTGGTTTTTCAGAAACTAAGTTGAGATATAAATTTTGGCCTCGGAAGACAAGAAATGTTTCTTCTGCTTTTGTTGAAAAAAACTTAAAAAAATCCCGTTTTTTTTAAATTTAGAAGAGTTTTTTTAGAGTTGTAAACTTCCGAAAGCTCTTGATTTCTAATTTTTTTAAAATCTGAGTTGAAAGATGGCATTTCAGATCTGAAAAAGCAAGAAAAAGTGATTCAAAAAATACTCTTTTGAATAAAAAACTACGGAAACCATTTTCCTGAAGATTTTTAAAGCACTTGGGTTGAAACAATGATTTTTTTTTTCGTACATCGAAGGAAAATAAAATTTTTAGGCGTATGATGCTTAGAGCTTCTCCGTGATTAAAATAAAGTTCAAAATACCAAATTCTTTTTAAACTTTTCATTTTGAATTAATTTTTTTGTCTTCTACTCCCGTTAATTGTTATAGATCGAAATTTAATAAAATGGATTTTTTTGGAATTTTTTTGGTTATCTTAGTGTCCAAATTTTTTTCAGATAACTCAATAACAAGAATTTAAAAAAAAATGTTTGATCAAAAACTAAGTTATCAATTGGACATAAATTGAGTACGAATTAATGGAATCCTTTGCTAAATTCAATTGATCCTGACTTGAAACACAAAAGTGGGAAAGAAAAATAATCACGCGTCGCTGTTATTTTTTGAAGTTGCTCCCGACCAAAACGACTTACGCAAGCAAGTATTAGAATCTATAGAATGGGCGATTTTAATAAAAACTATTTCGAGCGGCTAGAAGGAAGATCCTTACATGGAGCTTCAAATGGACAATGCTTGATTTAAATTTAAAAATTTGAAAAATCCCAAGAGCATAAAAAAATTGACAAACTAAATAAAATGCTCAAAACGCCAGTTTCTTCAAAGAAAATTTTATATGGAAACTGCACGATTATCCAAAAAACCGCCTAAAGCTTGATTTGCACTCGAAAAAGTTATAAAATCACTAAAAACCCACTTTGAAAAAAACTAGAGCCGACCCAAAAATTCGGATGAAATGGAATTTCTGGAAGTCGAGAAAAAGTAATTGTGGCGGTGAATTCAACTGGCCCCCCAAAAAGGGACAAAAGAACGCCTTTTGTTCATATTTTTTGTTCGAGCGTGGGCGCTTTTTTTTTGTCTCGGGGAAAAGTTATTTCAGGTCGAAGCTACTGAAAAAAAGCTTCCACAGGTGTAAATTTCAAAAATTCGTCAAAAATAAGGATTACTGTACATACTTTGTCCTTATAATCGAGTTTTTTGATTTTCGAGAAGCCAAAATTGAAGCAAGAAACTGGAGTTATTTTGGAAAATTTTCACAGGCTGTTTTTTTATAATAAGTGAAAAATCAGTACGAAAATCAACGAGAAAACAACCATAATACGGTTACAGTAACCTATCCTACCATTTTGGCTACGGTAAAAATTTTTAGGGAGTGATTGGTAGCCCTAGAAGCACCACAGAAAGCCATTGTCAAGAAAATTTCGAAAAAAGCTGGTAGAAATTCATGAAATCGTTCTTGTCAAACTGGGAAAATGTTTAGTGGCCCCTATAGAGGTTTTTTAAGGACTACTTGGAGAGGACACTAAAGTGGCCACTTAACTCACCTCTATAGTGGCCATTATTTTCCGTTTTAGTAGCCACTTCAAAGGTTCTCTATTTAGAGACCACTTTAGTAGTTTTTCATCCAGTATTCCTTCCAGTAACTCTGATAATTTTAAAACAAACAGATTGGACCAGTTATGTTGATCCATTGACCCCTAAAGTGGCCACTAAAATTTTAGTGGTTTAGTAGTAGCACTTAGACCTCTACAGCGACCACTAATTTTTAACCCCTTAAGTGGTCACTAATCTGGCTACTATAGTGGCGACTAAAACGTCAAAAATCTATAGTGGCCACTAAAAATTTTCTCATAAGCTCAAAAAAAAAGCTATAGTAACTTGGAATGGTTCAAAAATTTGCGGTCGTGTTGTTGGTCGGAATTAATCAACACAAGAAGCTCGACTATAACCTTTCCGATTTCAAGCCATTCCAAGACGGACGCGTTTTGAAGTAACCGCACCGCGACCGCGACGCATTGGATATTTCGAAAATTCATCTTCATTCAGTCCAAAAAGACCACACGACTTCTGTACTAAAAAATCAGGCGTATAAAGAAGCGCCTCATAAAAACCGATAACACTAATTGAAAGATAAAAGCACTGATAATTAAAAAAAACGGGGATACGTCAAAAAAAGTCGCCATTTCTCCACTGACGACTCGCTCAACTAGCTGCTCTCAACTAATTATGCAAAAGTTTGTTTAATCAATTTCCAAAAATCAGGGAGTTTCTATTCGAAGCCATCATCATTGGCTCTCTCTTCAACCACTTCAAAGCCCAAAAAACGCTTTAAAAGATCTTCAAATTAAAAAAGTCGTGGTCGCAGTTGGAATGGCTCAAGGCGTCGCGGTTAAAACTTAGCAGCTTGCTGAAAGATATCTTCGCGCTCAAGTCGTTTCAGGTCGGGCGCGTTTTGAGACGAGCTTTGAGCCATTCCAAATGCAAACAATGGCCTTGGAGCTTGTCAATATGATGACTATTTTCTTTTCAAGAGACCGAAATAAAGTAACTTTTAGGGTTTACGTAAATAAAGCCCTGAAAATGGAGAAGATCAAGTGGATCGGCTTCGATATGGACGCCACCTTGGCTGGTGATTTTTTTCATAAATTTACATAAGTGAAAAAAAACCGCAGCTCTAAAAAAATTCAAAGTAATAGGTTTCACAAAAACCTTGTGTGTTTTGTCAAAACTTATTTGATTATTTCTTATTTTTGTCCTACAAGTCTTGAAAGTGCGCTCTAGAGAAACAAGACTGTAAACTCGGACATTGGTAACGCGAAACGGACGTGCTCCGGACGTTTCTGGGCGATTCTAGGGATCCCTTAAGAGTTCTGAGGCTACTAAAGTGGTTACTAGAAATGCCCCGACACGTCCGATTCGCGTCCCGTTCGCGTTACCAAGGTCTGAGAAGCCCTTCAAAATCTAAAAAGTTCGATAGAGCGCACATTGCAGCTTGAAGGAACTTATGAATAAACTATCAGCCAAAAACATGTAACCAACTTGTCTCCACAAAAACCTCCTGTATTTAATTATTCAGTTTTTTTCTTCCTATTTTTTTGAAAAATGCGCTCTAAAGAGAAAAATCTCTGGCCCTTTGAAATCTGTAAAGTTCGGTGGAGCGCACTTGCAGGTTGAATGAATTCATGAATAAACTATCAACGAAAATAATGAAAATTGCCCTTTTTCACTGATTTAACACATAAATAACTTGAGCATAACTAATTCTGAACTCAATTTCTTGTTGAAGCCGACTTAATTCCTCTCAAATCACAACCTATTCCAGTCTACAACCTCCAAAACTTTGAATCGTTCGTCTTCGAACTCGTCCGCGAGAAATTGATTCTGATGGGTCATTCCGAAGAACTTGCGGTGGGATCAAATGAAAAACGACTTGAATATCATCGAAATATTCAGAAATACACGTACGACGCTTCGTTTTCGGTTCGTGGCGCCTGGTTTGACAAGAGACATGGGAATTTACTCAAAAGCGATGAGCACAACAATATTTTGGCGGCCTGGCACGGACTTCGGAAAATGCAGAGGTTTAGGAGCTTCTTAAGACTTTTTCAAGTTTACTAACATTATCAAAATCGACCTTGAAAAAACTAAGGTACCAAAACACTCCACTTAGAAAGCTAGTCAGTTACTCCGAGTCAACGGGATTTGGGCATTAAAAAAAACTAACAATAGGAATGATAATGATAATGTTTTCATGAAATGCATTTTTACACGCTGATTCCAAATGAAAGCTCGAAGATTGTCGCAAAGAGGTTTTAACGAAGTTAAGACCGCTGGAACTTCGAGAAGTCCGTCCCTCTCTCTTTGAAAAAAGATAGGAAAAAAAATAATTTATAACCTTGATTGAGAACTTTTTTCCTTGAATCTGTAACGAGCTCAGTTCGATTGAACTACTTGCAAAAACTCTAGTGGACACTTAAGATGTTCCTCAAGAACTACTTGGAGAAAACAATAAAGTGGCCACTTAAACCACCTCTCTAGAAGATCTTGCCTATCAGTGGCCACAATAGTAGTTTTTATAGTCTCGTAGTACCACTTAGACTTCTTAAGAGGTCACTAAACTTTAGCCTCTTGAGTGGCCACTGAAACTTCAAAACCCTAAACGGGCCGCTGAAAAATTTTCCAGTATTTCTAACTTTTAAAAAGCCAATGGTCTCTCAAGAAGTTTGAGTGGTAATTCTTTTTCCAAACTACTCGCAATCAGCATGGAAAAAAATGGATTATTTTTCCAATTTACTCTAAGAAAGTCCCGGTTAAAGTCTCAACTTCAATTTTCGAGCTTTAACTTATATTTAATAAGGATTCCTTTTAACGTTCCATTTAGAAATTCGTTCGAGATTTTTCTATCCGGTACATCACGAAGTGTTTTGACCGATTATCAGAAAAATCCCCTGCCCTTGAATGAAAATATTTTCCTTGTAAACGCATTTCGAAAACTTTTTCAAAAATGAACTTTAGCTCCGAGATCCGAGCAATGTACCCGAATAAACACATGCCGTTCGACGGGGAGCGCGTCTTCGTTCTCAACACGATTTTCAACCAACCCGAGACTTTCATGCTCGCCTGTATGATCGACATGTACGAGAGGTCGTCTCTCTACACGGCGTGAGCTTTTTTTTCTCATTTTTTTGAGTAAAAATCTTCTTGAACTTCTCAACTCTAGATGTCTTTTTGTCAGTCATGATGTCGGAATGATCCTTGTTTAAAAAAAGGCTGAGGGAAGCTGAAGTGAGTCCTTAAGCGAGTTAGAGATTTAGTGGGTGGACAAGGACTTTCTAAAGCTTGAAGGATATGTTAGGGCGATGGGGGTTTCTACCCTAAAGGACCCACTTCAGACTTTCCCAGAAAGCCAGAGAAGCTCAAAACGCTCTTTTTCTCATGCGTCCCTTCAGCAAACCATTGATCTTTTTTTAAACATTTTTTTTCAAATCCCACTATTGATTATGGCTTCTAATAAATAAACCATCACATTATTCCTCTTCAAAAAAAGATTAGAGAAAAATGCCTTTTTTTCTCTCCTCTAATGCGATAAGCTTCTGTACGCTTTACAAATGATCGTACAATCGTGAAAAGCCCCCAAAGATTTGCACTTTTTCTCCCTATCATAGTGATATCAGTACATTTTTATCGCAAAAAGGTCAATTTTTAGGACCTCTGATTGATTATTATGATTGTAAATTGGATTACCATGATCTAAATTATTGACCTCATAGCCTTTGAGGAAAGTTTTCTTAGAAAATTATTGATTGAAAAAAGTCCCAACGAGCAAAAGTAAAAAAACAGAGGAGGTTTGAAGAGACGCCAGAGAAGCTAAATATACTCTTTTTCTCTAGCGTCTCTTCAGGACATTTTTTTTTCAAACTCCACTACTGTTTATGGGTTCTGAAGATTTTTTTAAGCAATGATGAAAATCTATGATACTTACAATCCGATTTTTAGAACCGAAGATGGCCGCGGCTTCATCTCCGGCAGCAACGTTCTGACGTTTCGCGAAATTTCGGACGATTTGCGTCGAGTCGTCGACATCGTCTTGCGCAGTGTCCGTACTGGAATTCTCATCTCGAAATTTGAAAAAAGCCTTAGAAAATAATATTTATTCAAACCTCAAAACTACACAAAACTTCAATGAGCAAAAACTTCAATTCATTCTTCAAAGCTCATCTCAAAAATTATATTCACCTCTGAAACATGGATAAAAGTCTTTGAAGCATACATTGGCTGGATCCCATCCCAGCATTTTATGAAATATCAAAAATTATCTCTTGAGGAATTTAAACCGAATTTTGAAGAAAAGTTCTAGAAGAAAATTACAAATTCACACGTTTCCAGGACCAATACAAAAGCCACATGGTCAACAACCTTGAGAGGTTCATTCTTCGCGACAAACGGGCGGTCCCGTTTCTGACAAGCCTTCGACAAGCCAACAAGAAACTTTTCCTACTCACCAACTCTGACTTCAACTTCACCAATGTAAGATACCGACTGGCAATTTTGCAAACCTCCCTCCTATCTTGTTCTAGAACCCTTTTCAGGCTCCCTAGCCATATCTAATCTGACCCACTTGACTTTTCTTTCTCTAAAACGTTTCGAAAATAGTAAAAACAGCCTTTTTTGAATTTTCTTGGAAGCTTCTGTCATTTTTGAGTATCTTTTTCCACATCTCCAGACTTTCTTAGGCTTTCCTAACTATGTAGTCTAATCAAAACATCATTACCAGAATTTTCAGAGCATAAACAAAATTACTAATTCGGCTTTTTTGAACACCCTAGCGACCTTTTTTGCCTACCCTATGGCTCCTAAAATGAAGAACATTTTTGAAGTCACTGATGAGCTTCATCTACGGAACCAACTGGCGAACGCTCTTCGACATTGTCGTCGTCGACGGCGAGAAGCCAAAATGGTTTGCGACAGACGCCTTCTTCCGTGAGGTTGAACTGTTTTCTGATCTGTATCGATCATAAAGTCTTCAGGTTGACGTTCAAACCGGCAAGACAAAAATGGGTCATCACGAAGGACCGTTCAGCACTGGCGCCGTCTATTCTGGGGGTCGGTACTGATCATTTGGTTTTGAAAAACCCGTGAAAACTTCTGGCTAGACTCATTTGAATAAGTAAATTGGAAGCTGAACTTAGGAAGCTTGAGAACAACTTTGAAAAGCTGAAGAAAACTATCAGAAGCTAAAAAAAAATAATTAGAACTTTCCACTATTCTTGGAGCTTCAGGGAACTTTTGAAGACCTTTCAATCAAGAAACGACTAACCTAAATTTATTTTTTCTGCTTCTTCTTCCTACGCCTTTGTATAGGGACCGCAAAGCCACGCCCCTTTTTGCGATAGAAAAAGTGGCTTTTTTTTGGTTTTCAACTTTCATTTTGTTGTAGTTGTAAAAATATGTGGAACTGGCGAATAAAATTTGACACACATGTACAGAAAAAGCTTCCTCTTTCGTTTTAAAAAAATATTTCACGCTTTTTTTGATGCGTTCTCGCGGAATGTCGTACAAAAAAACGTGAATGGAACTAAAAAAATTTTTGTCGTTTTTTTACTTTTTTTCATGTGTTTTTTTAGGTCGAACGCACTCTTTCTTTTTTTAAATAATGATTTTTGATTCAAGTAACGGTAATTTTTAAAACAATAAAATAAAAAAATTCGTCTTTGCCAAAAAAATTTTTAGGGAGCGCCGAAAGTCATAATTCAAAATATCGTTAATAAGCGAATATAATCGAGTTTTTTTGTTTTTTTCAAAAATTTAGACCATGGTCTTACTTAAATTTTTTTCTCCACAGCACCTGTGCTTGAAATAGTTGTTTAATACGCAAAAAAATGCTCTTGAAACTAGAGAATAAAAATTAGCGGCGTTTATCACACAGAAAGCGGTCGAACGCAGGTTTTTTTCAAACGATTATATACATTTATTAGTAAAAAAATCTTTCAATTAAAAAGAATAAAATAAAAAAATTCGTCTTTGCCAAAAAAATTTACGGGGCCGTTTTAATGCAGTGATCGTTAAACGAGGCAAAAAGCACTGAAAAAACTGTTTTTTCGAAGTGAATTTCCACGGAAAATTTGAGTAAAGATTTGCGAACATATTCTGATAAAAATAGCTGAATTACTTCAAATTTTTATTTTTGAAATAGGCAATCTGTGCTATTCAAACGGCTCAAGGCTATGGCGGATGGAAGTTCCCCTCGCCAGACCTAACAACTTGGCGCAGCGCGTGCGCTGCGATTTTTCATTTTGAGGTCGCGAGTTCGATACCCGCAAGCGTCAGTTTTTTGTTTTCTGGAAAATACCGACTTTTTCGGCAAACTAGCTAATTTTCATCATTATAGAGCTCTATTATGATTTCTTACATCATAATAGACCAGTATCAAAACTTGTTCTAAAAAGAAAAAAATCGAGAAAAAAATGTCTAAAATGGATAACACCAAAATTTCAGTACTAAAAAAATGGTGCGCGGCGCGCCACATTTTTCGTCATAACTTTTTTCATCCTCATTCTTTTCCGAAAAACTAAACGGTTCTGAGTTTCGAATCGAAACAGCTATCAAACCATGCAAAGCTCAATGCTGAAAAAAAATTTTCGAAAATTGGTCTGCGGTCCCTACCTTTGTACCGCTTGAGCGGCGTCGGCGCCCCAAGTCGATTAGCCGAGGTCCTATCCTGATATCAGTGGACTGGCTCTAGTGGCATATCCGCCCTTATGCGTGACGGCTGGGGACTATGAAGCCGTGGTTTCCCCCTACCAACATTACTAAACCCCTTGGTTGGGTCGCTTCGGGGATCGAACTTGTGACCCTGTGAACCGTAGTCAGGGACACAACCTGTTGTGCTACGGCGCGCCCATAGCTTACAAGTCTTTGAAAGCTTTAAAATTAATAATTCCTGGAAAATAAGAGCTTCAGACCAACTAGTCGTACAGGAGGTTTGAAAAATCAGAATGACAGTCTTTCCATCTGCTAAGAAGGCATAAAAATACGTAATATACATAGAAAATCTAGATTTTCTTTGTTCTTGTCGACCGATCTGAGGCTTTTCAGAGCTTACTCCGACAGACCAACTAGATGAAAACTTCTGACTGCCTTAATCAAAAAACTCACTCTAGTAGAAACTCCAGAAGCTCTTGAAGTCAATAAAAATGAAGATTATATCTTTGAATCGACTCACAGACCTTCGTAATAGCTCAAAAATCTTACCAGTCTCATCCAAAAAGACTAGAGACTTTTTCAAATAGCTCACTATATGAGAACCTGAAAAAAACTTTTTCAGGTTCGGTCGTCGAGTTCCGTCGCAACACGAGACTCACTGGCAAAGACACGCTTTACGTCGGAGATCACATTTATGGTGACGTCATGCGGTAATAACCAATCGATGAAAATCAATCAATATCGATTTTGCTTCAGATCGAAGAAGACTGGCGGCTGGAGAACTTTCCTGATTGTTCCTGAGCTCGACCGCGAGATTTCGGTAAGCTCATTCTGGATGACTTGAAACAGTCTAACCTGTCTGCGCTCTCTTATCTCTCACTGGCAAGGTCATGGCATCTTGGGAATAACACTATATAACCAGATAGGCCCTTGTTAATTCCACATAGAGAGCTTTAAAGTCTGAAAATGCACAGCTTTTCAGTTTTTGAGAAAAATGGCTCAAAGATCGAAAAAATGACCAATTTTCGTTCAATATCAATCAATCGATACTTAAACGTATTTCGATCAATATCAATCAATCGATACTTGAACGTATTTTAATCGATTTTCTTGATTTGGAGCCCCAAAAACTAGCAAGTTGTGCAGCATAAGGCGTCGAGAATCATTATATGATACTTCAAAAAGTATTCCGACCACTTTTCGAAAAACGACTTTTCTAGTGAGCCATTCCAAGCGCGACCTTGAAACTATTAAATGGGTGCTACGATAAGAGCGAGTTTTTCATTTGCGAGAAGTACTGTATGCGGATATGCGCATTGCGTGCATACACTTCGCGTGTTTACACTTTCGTTGCGTGACGTCACCGGGTCGGACATCTCCGGGTTTTTTTCCGAGTTTATTTTTTTCGACTATTTTTTTCAATTATTTTTTTGTTTTTTTCAAGATTTGCATTTTTTTCTCGATGATATTTGCACGATAGAAAACATTATCAAAAAAAGAAAAAATTAAAAAATATTCGAAAAAAAAACTCGGAAACAAAAAACCCGGAGATGTCCGACCCGGTGACGTCACTCAACGAAAGTGTAAACACGAAAAGTGTATGCACGCAATGCGCATATCCGCATACCGTACTCCTCGCAAATGAAAAACTCGCTCTTGTCGTAGCACCACAAAAGGCCATGCTACCACACCAAATCAAGATTTTAAGATCTGGAAGAGCCAAAGAAAGCGCTACTTGGAGATGCGTCGGATCGACCATCAGCTGCACGAAGAGGAGATGACGGCGTCTTCGGAGAGCTTCCACGACGAGGATTCGGAAAACTCGACGAGCCCTCCCAAGAACAACAAACGCAACGTCACCTTCTACAAGGTCGAGCGTTGCTCCAGCTCCCTCATCACAATGAGAGCTTCAGGATGAGGCGGCAAAACTTGAGCTGGAGTACTCAAAAATGGGCTCATTACTGAGGTCGGGACTTCGTGAAACGTGGTTCGCCGGTCAGATGAGACGGTAGGAACTTTTTCTGTGACCTGTCTGCGCTCTCTTTTCTCTCACCGGCGAGGCAGAAAAATCTTGCTTTTCAAATTTTGGCCAGGAAGTACGCCTCCTGGCTCCAGAATAGTAAAATAACGTTATGAAAAAAGTCGTATTTTACATTTTTCTTTTTCTTTTAGCAGTGTGATAACCCATCATCAGAAATGCGGACGCCGCTTTTTGAGCCATTCCGTCTTGCTGTAGCCGGATTACGGTAGGCAGGTAGGCACCTGCGTATCTAAGTATTGAAGAGTTTTTACTAGGCAAGTGATATATCAATCGATAGGTAATCCAATTTCAGGAACTTTTATAGTACATATCACCTTGGGTTACTGTAGGAATTTTCGAATTACGGTGACTTTTGTGTTTGGAAAATCGGTTTTTCGGTCACCCTGACCGTAGGCATAGAATCACATCGTAATTACTTTCATGAAATATGTCTTGTAGTATGTTCTAAACAATGCAACAAAAAATAGTTTGATATTCTAAACCCTGTCCGCATTTCTGATGATGGGTTATCACACTGGATGAAGTTTCATCAGAATCAAAAAATAAAATTTTTTTTGTATCCGTTTTTTTGACAGTTACAGAGACCGCCTGTTGAATTCGGATATTTTCTGATTCTGAACAAAAAAATTGGCTATTTTTTTCGTATTTTTATCAAAAAAATATGAAAATTATGACCTTGAAACTATTCTTACAGTATAACTTGACATTCGAAAATTCAAACCTTCCAAATTATGTAAAAAGATTTCTGAAAATTTCCGGTCAACTCAAAAATAAAACGCCCGACTTCATAAATGGCAACCAGATCATTTTGATTGGAAAAATTGAATTTTTTTACCATCCTTATATTTTTCATAATAGGATGTGACTATTACGAAGACAAGAAAAGTTCTCAAAAAAATGCCGAACCATTCCAGGTACGCGGACCTTTACGCGGGTTGCGTCTACGACCTTCATCACTACCCGGTCAGCGGCTCTTTCTACGTGGCTCCTCAATTTTTTTGGCCCACGAGGAGTTGGAGACAAAGGTAAGCTGGAATTCATGATTTTTTGATGGAAGTTAAAAAAAATTCATGGCCAAAAAAAAGTCGGAAGTGTATTTCGTGGACTAAAGTCGGAAGTGTATTTCATGGACTAATTTTTATTTTTTTCAATTTTTTTAAATTTTTTTGAAAAAGGCCAAAAAAATAGCTTGAAAATGATAAGGAAAAAAACAAAGTTTTCGAAAAATTCTGGCTTTAGGGATATTTTTTTCAATAATAATTATGAACCTTATTTTTCAAAAATGCTTCAAAAAGACGGAAAAAAACTTAGGAACAACAGCAATTTTAATTGAAATCTCTTATTTTTCTAACTTTTTTTGTTGATTTCAAAACGTTTTTCTTTGTTTATTTGATATTCTTCTATTTTTTTGAACCTGAATTTTTTTAAGAACTGAGACATTTTTTTCAATGAAAAAGTAGGTCACTAAAAAACTTATTCCGAGAAAATCTCAAAAAACTTCAAAAATTTTCTCGAAACTCAGTGACAAATTTCAACCCCAAGCACCTAAAATTTGAAAAAAACACAGGTTATCCGTAGAGCACAAAAATCCTACAAAAACGGCTACTAAAGCTTCTTCCACCAATTTTCAAGTGTCTGAACTATTTTTTAATCAAATAATTTCCAGAATCGAGAATCTGGCTGACCAGCTTCAACGCCCCCAAGACACCATTTTTTCAAAACAAGCTTTATAAATACTCCGACAAAAAACTATGAGAAAAAACAACTGAAAACAATTAAAAAATCAAAAATATGGGATTCACACTGGGATTACACACCGGGGGGAATATTTATTCTTTTTTCGATGTCGAAATTCAGTCGAGGTCAGGCTCCGGCGCCTTGGCGGAGGGTGGGGCTCCTCCCGGAGGTCCGCAGTTGCTGTCGGTACAGCCGGAGCTGGGGCAGCCTCCTCCAGCTCCGCCGAATCTGGCGCCACCTGGAGCGCCGCCAAACATGCCGGGAACTGCAAGAAAAATCGAGTTGATCTTCTGATTTTGAGTTCGATCCCACCTCCACCGCCCTTCTTTTGCATCTTTTCGATGAACTTGGCGATTTTCGGATTTCCAAGGTACTTCATGATGTTACCGGGGTTCTGCATGATGTCCATTAGGGCGGGAAGAACCTAAAAATTCATTGTTGTTTGATCTCGAAATTGCTTTATTAGTCCCGAGTTTTGCCACCTTATGCTTTTGAGCACCTTCTTAGAATAATCCGTTAGCAAAATTCCCGCTGAAAAGGTTACTCTTGTACCTCAGGATCCTGAAGAGCCGCAGCGATTTCCGGATCGTTGAACAGGTCGCTTATTCCGCCGGCGCCAGGTCCACCAGGTCCTCCAGCTCCCGGGGCACCGCCGAACTGCGAGAAGTCAAAGTCATCCTCCGACTGGTGCTGGAAACAGCAATGTTATTGGAAAATCATTTCTCCTCGGAATCACTTGGGCGGCTTCTTCGGCAGCTTTACGGTTGGCCTCCTGGGCACGTCGAACTCGTTCGCGACGCTCCTCCAGATCCTTTTCGGCCTTCTGTCGCTCGACGGCACGGTTGTACTCTTGGAGCTTGTGCGCCTGGAAAATTTGAACTCTTTCCAAATTTGTTTCTTAAGTAGATTCAGATTGGGACATAGAAACGATAAAAAAAGATTGTTTCTCCGAAAATTAAAATTTCAAGTCTCTTCCGGAGAATCTTCTTGGTGTTCTTCATGAAGTTTTCAAACTGTAGAATTACTAATTCAAAAAAATTGACGCTCTTTAAGAACGTGAAAAATAGAAGCAAAACGGAACTTTAGAGCTTTATTTCTCCGATTTTCCAGAAATTCCCTCACAGCTATTTATTCTAGTACACTTGTTCGTTTTAAGAAAATTTCAGAGAAGTCTACCTTCCCCAGTTCATTGATTCACCTTTAGAGGCTGAACTAGAAACTTTTACATCGTAATTTTTAGCTTCTCTCGTTTTTTTGTGTTCGTTTCAGAGCAACGTGAACTTCTACGCCATGCAGATTTTTATTTTTCGTTTAAAAATTTAAAAAGAAGCTTTGAGCGGTTCTTCAACATGACCTACGTTTCAATAGGCCCATTTCTATTTTCCTAAAACCTTTCGTATTGTTTTGCAATCTTTTAGTGGTCTTGAGTATTCTCAAAATTGATTGATGTTCGTCAGTATATCGAGGATCTATTTTTCAACTGATAGATGTGAAGGCCACGGGCTCTTCGTAGCGAAACAGGTTGTGTGTCTGTCTATGGTCGAAAGGGTCACAAGTTCAATCCCAACCGAGTTGTTTATGGGAACTTGGTAACGGTAAACCAGGGATTTATAACTCCCTGACCCATCAGCATGTCACTGGAGCAAGTCCCCTGATTATCACTGATATCAGGACCTTGCCTCATCTACTTGAAGCCAGACAAAGGCGTAAGAAAAAGAAGACTGTAAAAAGAAGCTTTGAGCAGGTTTCCCACACGATGTGATGGTTCCATTGCAAATAACTAAAAGCCTTCGAATTTGTTTGGACGAATTTTTGTCTTGATGTTTTCTGGTAAGTACTTTTTTCAGCATAGATTGATGTTCGTAAAATACCCGAAGACTTATTTTTCCAATTCGTATTTGTGGATACCAAGCTTATCAACACTAACTAAAGCTTCAAAAACGATGCCCAAGATATCAGAAACCACTGAAAATGAACACAAGCCCGACGACTTCCTCCAACTTTCCAAAACACCCAATTAATCACCCAAGCCTCTGGAAACAAGTCAACACTCGACCGATCAGAAAAGTGACGGGGTTCTTATTGACAGAATCTCAATCAGAAATCACAAAAAGTGTATGACTGGAAAAAGTGCTCTTTCTCAGGAAAAATATTGGCTTCTGGACAAAGGACAGCTGTACAGACGTTTTTCCCCGTTCATTTTGCAACGACACTCAAAATCGTGGGTGGATCGGCGCTCTTTAACGCTCTCAAGAACTTATTGATCATCCCGGGAGCTTAAAAAAGGTAAAGTTACGAAAAACATTTTTTTAAAGAATTGAATTTTTTTGAAATTTTTCCAGTTCTTCGTACATATGTCAGCGGAATTTTTTTAAAAGGACTCTGGAAGCTTGAAAATTCATTTTCTTCGAAAAAAAAAAAGTCCAATCACCTTCTTTTTGGCTTATTCTTACAAAATTTATACTGAACTTCAGGAATCCATTTCGCGACTCAGGAATCCATTTTTCAACCACATCAAACTATACACCCTTCGGAACGCGATAAATCTTGTCAAGGCTCACACAAAAAAAAGTCACCACCGATATCATCAAGAGCTCAAGCTAGAGCAAAGAAAAAACTACCATTTTTCAAGCTTCCTGTCTATTATAGTCTCTTAATTAAACTTTAAGCTTTTATAAAACCTTCAAACGACTAAAAATCATCAAAATCAGACAGGTTTTGACCACTTCTCCACAAAAAAACCACGCAAAAATGTCCGGAAACGTTGAAAATCGTCAAGTCTCACAAAAAAAAATTTTTTTCAAGCCTCACTTCTATTCTAATTTTTTCTAGCCTGTGTTGAAACTTCTGAAAGCTGTGAATCTTCAAAATCGGACCGATTTCAGCCGCTTCTTCCACAGAAAACATTTCCAACTATAAAAACCCTTCAAAACTTTGAAAATCTCGTCAAGGCACACACTAGAAACATGAAGCAGGAAAATTAGAGCTGAAAATAAAACCAACTTTTTCAAGTTCCAAACCTCTTATAGTAGTTATAAAAGCTATCAAAAACTGAAAATTCTTGAAATCTGTTCAACTCGAATCAATTTCTTTCCAAAAAAAAGTACTAGCATTCACATCTTAGAAACCCACTTCTCAGCCACACCCAACTATACAAAAATCCTCGGGAACGCTGAAAATCTTGTCAAGGCTCACACAAAAACAACGCCGGTATCTCAAGCTCAAGCTCAAGCAGAAAAAAAAAATCACGTCTCGCGGAAAAGTCAAAGTGATAGAGAGCAGCTGTCTCAGCTCCTCCAGCTCTTTTGCCGTGGACTGCAGCCGCCTCAGTCGTCTCCCACCTCGAAACCGCTGCGGTCGCACCCGACGGGCGGTCTTTTTCCTCAAAATCACCTCCTCGCGGCTCGCAGGAAACACTTTTTTTTGCCGCCAAGGGGAAATCCCACCAAGGTTTACCTCCAACAAACAAATCTGAGCAGAAACCCATCATCATCCGGGGATTAATCGAAACGACCAACGACTGTATATCGAACACTTGACTTTTTTTTTTCGTATCTATCCATTCCTTTCATCCTCATTGCAACAGCTGCCGAGGATCCGCGCAAATGCCTAACTAAAGATTCTCACAAAATCACCCAATTTCTACTGGAATGAACCCATTTTTACTTTTTACTCTACTAAGCACGGTGCTGGCGGCTGGGAATGCAGGTGAGCCTTTTTTTTTTCAATTTTTTGTTCATAATGCTTTTTTTTTTTCAAATTATGCCTCTATAAGCGAGATTAAAATCTCTTATGCGAATATTTCAGTTTGACAAAATTCAAATATCAAGTCGCTTTTTTGAAAATATTTGCTAACGCAAAATCCAAACTAAAATGCTAAACTAACGCAAAATGCAAAGCGACTAAACATTTACGTCAATTTGTTTCTTCTTTTCCTTTTTGAGAAAACTCGGTTTTTCTCAGTTTAACTTTTCAAATATTTCAAAATTTTTTTGAAAATTCTGTTAGATTTTCGTGGAAACCATCCCTTCACAAGAAAAAGCCTAGATACGCTGATTTTTTTTTTCTTCATATTTTTTCAACTTCTAAACCCCTAAAGCGACTATTTTTTTTAACCAACAGAGAGAAATTTGAAGAGGTATTATTAGATTTACAAGACCTACATAATAAGATAAGAACTACATGAAGATTTGAAGACATCTAACTTTTCCTCTTTTCCAAAAACATAAAGTGTCTACCAAATTATCCATGGAGCGCACAAGAATAATTTAGCCAAATTATTTTTGCAGCCAGCACAACGTTCATCGTCACCGGCAACTCGATTCACAATGTTTTCAAGCAAAAATTGGCCCGTCAACTTGTCGAAGGCTTTGATGAATATGAGAAAGGTTTTTTTAGTATGAATTTTTCTCAGAAATTTATAATTTTGTTCTTTTCTTTGTCCGTGTGGGGGTGCTGCAGTAACTTGATCATACACACATGTGCTCTCGCCCATGTTAAACCGTTGAGAAACGGCAAAAACCAAAAAAAAAAAAGACGGAAGAAAAGTGTAAAAATGCATTAAAACGCCATGAAAATGGGGTCCAAGGTTTTGATAGGGAAGTGAGATTTTTCAAAAAATGGGCTGCGAAAAATCGCTTAAAACTGAATAACTTCGAAAAAAATTTTCATTCTTAAGCTCTGGATTTGGCTTGCAAGTAAGGATGATAAGATGAAATTCATAAATTGCTTTTTCCAAGCCATCTATTTGAGATCAATTTTCATCTCCATCTCATTTTTTGCATTTTGTGAAAAAATAAACTCAAAATTTCGCGAATACCACTTCTTCTTGAACTTTCCAATTTTTTCTTTTTTTTTCCTATGCCAAAGCATTTTTTGCTCATTGAAAACTAATCTAATAAATCTTTGATTTTTTTTCACTTCCGATTTTTCTATGACCACAAGATAACTCTCCAACCGTATTCTGTGCACCTTTCAAGCCCAATTATTCAGTTCCGCCAGAAAAGAAAATCAATCAGCCAGGAAAACTCTCAATTTGCTCACTGTTTGACCACCGCCGCGAGTCGGCAAAGGTGTAATATCCATCGAGTCATTCGATTGACAACACACGCAAACACACACCCTCGGGAAGCCCCGCGCAAAACAAATCTTCCTTCCGACGTTCGGATATTTCATGGGAAATATATGAGAAACTAAAATATAGTTTATTCACGTCGATTCGTGAAAAGTCTTGCTCGCATGGAGGATGGCTAGAAAGCGGGAACCATAATCCCAAACCGTGGTGCCGTTTTATCACCACATACGCCTAGGGTAATCATGCGAACAAGATGTTTAAAAACTGCCTGAATCTTCGAGGAAACTTGAATAGTTCTTCCTTCCAGAATTCCACGCCGAAATAGTCGTTCTGAACGCCGGCGCCCACCATGGCGTCCAAGACGACGTCTACGGAACGATTCAGACGTTCCTCAATGTCCCGCTTCGGTCCAACGTCAGCACTTTGGTCCTGACGATGCTTGGAACCGAAGAAATGAGCCTGGACCAGCTTCAGCACCTCGAAACGTTCACAAGAACTGAGCGCGGGCTTTTGGTGGTCGAAATTGGTGGGTTTGACAAGAGTTTCAGCTTTCAGTCGAAGTCGAAAACTATCCGTAGAATGCATTAGAGCTAATCTTTCATTTCCTTGCCATTTCTTCGACCAATACTCAATAAAAATGAGTTTGAATAGCCCTTTTTCAGGAGTACCAGCGATCCAAACACAAGCCCTTCTCGACAAGGGCGCTCTGTGTTGGGGAATCGCTCGGCTGTCCATCGAATCGCCAAATTCGGCCATTTTGTGCAATGACTTGGAAGTGAGTGACACGAGTACAAACTTGGGAAAGTTCTTTAAATAGTTGTTTGGTGCTTTTTGATAGAATGAAAATTATATACCTCTTCAAGAAATATAAGCATTAATATTGCTTACATTTTTCCGCTCACCCTTTTCAAAAACCTTATCTTCAGGTCCAAAAGCTATCCAGCCTTCAACTGGAAGAGCTTCGCAGCATAATCGACACCAAGAGACGCGACTGGATTGAGCTATCCGAAGAACAGCCTCGACCATTCTGGCCATGTCTATTCGCCAGCGCCGCCAAGGCCGAAAAGAAGAACAAGCGGCCGCAGGTTGATTATTTCATAAATGTTAATTTTTTGAATTTTTTTTTTAGGTAGAAGTCATCGAGACCAACGACGACGAGGACGAGGAAGAAGTCATTCAAGAAATCGTCAAAAAGGCCTTGGAAAAGGAAGAGTTGAAGAGAAAAAACAAGGCCAAAGATGAAGACGACGACGAGGATGACGCAAAAACCAGTGCAAAATTCAAAAAACTCAACTGCAAGTATCGCAAATCTTGCTATGAGACTGGAGACGTCGGCGACATCGATTCGCTTGATTTTTCGTCTCTGACCAGCTGGTTTTCTTCGTCATCAACTGAGAAGTCGAAGCTGCCTGACTCAGAAGACGCAGATCAAGACGGCGTTCCTGACGCCGACGATGAAGACGTCAACCTTGCCGACCGGAAATTGATCTGCAAGTATCGCCCCTCTTGCTACGAGAAGCACAACATCCCGAAGAGCGATAAGCTGAAGGAACGCGAGGAGAAGCTTCAGCACGTCTCCGGCAAGGCCCACGTTCCGCATGGGCAAAAGAGGACACTGAAAGAAATCGCTGAGAGCACCTTGAAGCGCGTCGAGAAGAACCAAGAAAAAGCCAGCGCTCGTCCTCTTCCTAATTCATTCATCGTCGAAAAGAAGTTCAAGGAGATCGAGGAGAAACTACGCAAAAAGACCGACTGCAAGTATCGCAAGAGCTGCTACGAATCAGGAGTCCTCCCTGACATAGAAACATCCAGCTGGGAGTTCAGAATCCCCTACTTGCACTCGGAAAAATCCGATGAAGATGAAAAGAAAGACGAAGATGAGAAAGACTTCAATGAAATGGAGAACGACGAGAAGAAGCTCCACTGCAAGTACCGCAAGTCCTGCTACGAATCTGGAGTGAAGCCTGAGATCGACGCCGACATCCAGATTTCCTCTATCTACGACCTTTATTCGATTCCAGAGCAGGTCGAGCCACGCAAGATGAGTCTCAAGGAGCGCTGCAAGTACAGAAAGTCGTGCTATGAAACCGGCGTCCTTCCGGACCTTGGCGACTCCGTTGAGTCCAAAATCCAGGACATTGTCAGCAAGGAAGTCAACTCAGTTGTGCCGAGCAACATTCGTGAGCTGAAAACGCTCTGCAAGTACCGAAAATCTTGCTATAACGAAGTGGCTCTTTCTGATTCGACCGACATCGTGCAGAAAATCCGCCGTCGTCGCGTTCTGGAGAAGGAAGTCCGTCGACGCCGATCCAGAAGATACAAGAATCGCAGACGTGAGGCTTCACTCGCCGCCGATGGCTACTACCGAAAGCCGACAATGAAGGAAAAGCTCGCGGCCAAGAAAGAAAAGATCGCCAAGGAAGCTGAGAAAGCTGAAAAAGCTGCCAAGAAGGTAGTAGAGCCCGTGCAAGAAACCGTTCCCGAAAAAGTTGTCAAAGCCGCAAAAAAGGCTGTGAAGGCCGGAAAGAAGATTGTCGAGGATCCTCAGGAGACAGTTGAAAAAATTGAAGAAGAAGTAGCAGAAAAGGCCGAGAAAGTGACAAAAAATGCGGGAAAAGCTACCAAGAAAATCGTTGAAGACGTGACTCCTGAGAAGAAGGAAGACGAGCCGACAGTTCCCGAAAAAATTGAGAAAGTCGCTAAGAAAGCTGTGAAAACCGGCAAGAAGATCGTTGAAGAGACACTTGCTGACGATGATGACAAGAAAGAATCTGAGGAATCAGTTCCTGAAAAAGTCGCTAAGAAAGCTGTGAAGACCGGCAAGAAGATCATTGAAGAGACAGTTTCTGACGATGATGACAAGGAAGAATCTGAGAACTCCGTTCCTGAGAAAGTCGCTAAGAAAGCCGTGAAGACTGGCAAGAAAATCGTCGAAGAGGTCAAGGAAGAAGAACCAGAAGCTTCCGTTCCAGAAAAAGTAGCAAAAGTGGCTAAAAGGGCGATGAAAACTGGAAAGAAAGTCGTCGAAGAGCCTGTTCAAGCCCTAAAGGAAGTTCTCGAGTCAGAGTCTGAAGAAAAGAAGAAAGAAGAGGAGCCCGAAGAAGAAGAAGAAGAGAAGCCAAAGGACAAAAAGAGCCACAAGAAGCAAAAAAAAGAAAAGAAGGTCGATGAACCCGAACCAGAAGAAGACCAGAAGCCTGAAGAGCCAGAGCAACACGAATCGAAGAAGGAGGAAAAGGCTTCCGAGGAAGAAGTCGAAGACGAGAAGCCTTCCAAAAAAGTGAACAAGCTCAAGAAGGTTGCCGAAGTCGCAGAACCAGTGGTCAAGGCGGTGGTTCACAAAGTCGCCGATAAAATAAAGCAAAAGCCTAAAAAAGCTCCAGTGAAAGTTGAGAAGAAGAAAGAGAAGAAGATCATCGACGCTGACAAGGATGGAATCCCAGATCATCTGGACAACAACATCTCTCCAGCTCTTCGGAAACTCGGATGTAAATACCGCAAGTCTTGCTATCAAACTGGAGAGCTTGCCGATATCGAACCTGTTGACGTCGCCGACATTTGGTCATCTCCAGCTTCTGCGGGAATCATCGACGCCGACAAGGACGGCATTCCAGATCATGAAGATGATCACATCAAACCGTCGCTCCGAAAGCTTGGATGCAAGTATAGGAAGTCCTGCTATGAGACTGGAAAACTCGGCGATATCGATCCTCTCGTCTTTTGGGGCTCACCAGCTCCTTCCACAAAAACTTCTGGGAAAAAGATTATCGACATTGATCAAGACGGAATTCCTGACTCTGAGGATGAAGATATCTCTCCAGCTCTTCGAAAGCTCGGCTGCAAGTACAGAAAGTCCTGCTATGAAACCGGGGAACTCGGTGATATCCAACCTGTCGTGGTTTCAAACATTTGGGCTTCCAAACAACCAAGCGACTTCATCGACGCCGACAAGGACGGCATCCCAGATCACGAGGACGAGCACATCAAGCCGTCGCTGAGAAAGCTTGGCTGCAAGTACAGAAAGTCTTGCTACGAGACTGGTGAGCTTGGCGACATCGAGCCGGTGAAAGTGTCCCACATCTGGAGCTCTTCTCCGTCCTCAAAGTCCGGCATCATCGACGCCGATAAGGATGGCATCCCAGATCACGAGGACGAGCACATCAAGCCATCTCTTCGCAAGCTTGGATGCAAGTATCGCAAGTCTTGCTATGAAACCGGCGAGCTTGGCGACATCAATCCAGTGGAAGTATCTCACATCTGGAGCTCCCCTCCACCTTCCAAGTCGGGAATAATCGACGTCGACAAGGACGGCATTCCAGATTCTGAAGACGAGCACATCGCTCCATCTCTTAGAAAGCTGGGTTGCAAGTACCGCAAGTCCTGCTACGAGACCGGCGAACTTCCAGCCATCATTCATCCCTTCGACTCTCATCATCACACTTTGATGGAAACCATTCGTGAAGACGAGTCGAAGCACGAAGCGTTGCTCCGTTGCAAGTACAGGAAGTCGTGCTACAAGCAGATGGGCATCAAGGAGAAGGAGGAAGACGAGGACATCGTCGACGTCGAGGACAAACGCAAGCTGCTCAACAAGGCACCTGGAATCGTCAGCAACAAGGAGCGAGAGGAGCCGCCGCCGCAGCCCAAGAAGCATCATCAGAAGCGCGGCGAAAAGGAGAAGAAGCGTCAAGAATCAGAAGAAGAAGAGGACGACGACGATGACAAGGATGACAAGAAGGAGAAGCACGAATCCAAGCCGGTCGACGTGCCGGACGATTCGGTTCCGATTCCGGTCAATCTTCGCGTCGACGACAAACTCTTCTGCAAGTACAGGAAGTCCTGCTACGCGTCTGTCAAACCACGTGCCACGAGAGAAGATCATTCCGGAAACATTGCAAGGCTCGGTGAGTATTTATGCATTTCGGGCCAGTTAAAATGGCCTCTTGTAGAGCTTTTCCACGGGAAAAGCAGCATTTTTACGCATTTTTTTTCACCACTTTTTTTTTTAACTTTGCAGTTTTATAAGTACAAGATTACCGTTGAATACGTAAGGAAAAGCCCTACAAAATGATATTTTTTTCAACTTCACATCAATTTTCCAATTTTCAGGACCCAATGGCGAACGTCTCAAGTGCCATATTTATTATCTATCTTGCCGCGAGAAGTTTGGCCTTCCCCCCAAGGAGAAGGTAGCTCTTAAGGGTTTTAGGGTTTTAAAACGAGCCGCCATTTTCTAGAAAAGATACCTTCCTTGTCTATCTTGAAAAAAGATATATTTTTTAAAAGAACCCTAATTTCTTCCTTCCGAGAGCCGGCCACAACCAATAATGATAATTTGAAACAAAAATTTCGCGAAAAACTCTTCCAAAATAATATTTTAGGCCGTTTTTCGCTGCACTTTTTTCAAAATTAATTAATGATTGATTAAGGCGCCGATGGGTCCCAACGGAAAACGTCTCTGCCGCAAGAAGAAGCCCGAGTGATCTTCTACACGAAATACGGTTAACAGACGCCTCCCAGTTATTTAGCCTTTTCTCATCATTTCCCTTCTCCAATATGTATTTTTCCCGCTAGCATAAAAGTTATACTTCTCGTTCTTTTTTTGTTCTGAAACTCACGTTGGGCTGAACTTCCTTGAGCCATTCGTTTGCAGTTTCGTCGTAGTCGAGTTTGCAAGCCGTGGCGAGGTCGGTTTTGGCTTCAACCCAACGTCCAAGGAGTCTGAAGTCAACTTTAACTTTTAGTTCCAAGAAGGAACAGAAAAAAAAATCCTTCAAAACTCAAAAATAAAAAATTCAAGGCTTAAAATTGGGAAAGTTTTCAAGGAGCTTGAAGAAATGAAACTGAGAGAACCCTGCAAAATCTTTTTCGAATTGGGAAAGTGTTCGAGTTGGAAGAAAAGAAACTGAGAAAAACCCCAAAAAAAAGCCTTTTTAAGGTCGAAAATTCGGAAAGTCTCCAAAGAGCTTGAAAGAATAAAACTGAGAAAATCATCCAAAATCTTAAAAAAAGGCTTTTTACGGTATAAAATACGGTAAGTGTTCAAGGACCTTGAAGGAATAACTGAAAAACCGCTTTGAAAGCGAAAAAAAAAGAAGGTTTTTTGACAGGTATATAAAACTTTGAAAAATTTTCAACAGGTGTATGAAAACATAAAATACGGCTAGTCGTCGAAGGAATAAAACTGGAAAAAACCCTTCAGAACTTTAAAAAAAACTTTTCTGTCAAACAGGCGATTTTGAAGCAAAATCTAGAGAAACCCGAGCAATAAAAGTTGAAAAGAAATAGTATAAGAAAATATTCCAAAGCAAAAACTCAAGGCAAAAAAATCCAGATTTTTATTTTTTGTGAAAACTTCTCGAATCCAATCAATACTTTGAGCTATATTTCATTTTTTTTTCAAATTATCTTAACCATTAAAACTGGATTAATAAGGTATGTATAAATTTTATCATTTCACCCCCGAACTTTAAAAACTATAAAAATTCTTACTGTTCAATGCTACAGATGTGTTCTTTCAATTCCACTAAAAAATACACTAGTAAGCTGATTTTTTTTGTCGAGTACAAGTTTCAAAACCGTTATACCTGTTGGCACGTCCACGGAACTTGTATCCCTGCGCCGAATCCGGATTGATCGAAATCGCTTTGTCGCAATCGGCAATCGCGGCAACCGGGCGTTTCAGCTTCAGAAGAACGCTAAATTTAACCAAATTATGAAATAATTTAACACGAAAATCCAATAACTCGACTAAATCATGTTAAGCTCATTTTTTTTCACCGAATTTTTTGAAAGTCTTTTTTTTCTTCACAGGTGGGTTTAGTTAATCCACCTAGTGGTCTTTTTCCCTCCCTGCAACCTCACTATACCATCCCGATGTTGCGAAAAAAATAAACAAATTGATTGATTGAAAGTGATTAAGTCGAATTTGAAAAAAATAGATTAAAAAAATTTTTAAATAAAATAGACTGATTAATCAATTAATAATGAAGAACGTTAGATACTTTATTCTATACCAAAAAAAAAACAAAATTATTTTTCTTGCTAGTGTAGTATACCTCCAATTTCGACTACTCGTAAAATTGTCAAAAAAAAAAATCACTCAAACTTCCAAAAATATAACTAGTAGCGAAATCATACAACATTTCAAATCGATTTCAAAATGATTTCGCGAAATTCAAATTTTGGGAGCCGTTAGGAAAATTTTCTATAACGAGATAGCGACTTTAACGCGAGTTAAAAATTTTCGTTTAAAGATTTCCAAATAATTTCAAAATTTGGTTTCGCTGCAGGACCCAATTTTCTTTTAACAGCTCACAGGGTTCCAATTTAGCGTCGCGAAAACATTTTGAATGTCAATTTTGAAATCACCAAAATTGGTTTGAACACGGTAATCGAATACACATAAAAACGTGTTTTTTCGCCGTTTCAAGACTTTTTGTCCACTTTTTAACATTCCGGCACTAACTTTGCGCGTTTCGCATGAAGAATAGCGGATCCAGGATTGCACTCAATGGCCGTCGTGTAGTGCTGGAGCGAGGAATCGAAGTCTCCTGAAAAATTCTTCATTTCTTCACTATATTTTCATTTTACCGTTGGAAAACGCCTCGTTGGCTTTGTCCCGCTCCTCCGAAGCCTTCTCAATGTCCTCCTCGGACGGCTTAAATTCAGATTTTCCAATTTGATTCATTTTTTATTGAAGAAAAACCTCACGAGACGGATCGCCCATGGGAAGAGCCCCGCCATCGTCCGGCTCGATCACTCCAGAATTGTCCAATTCCGGGAAGGGTACGGTCTAAATCATATTTATAAAAAACTACTCAGAAAATAGAGCTTATAGTCTGTTCCGATTTTGAATGTCAAACCAAGCTCCGCCCCTAATGGCGCGATAAACCAATCAGAGAGCGAGTCATCCACTGAGCGTTTTTGAATGGCGTCATTCTACTTGACATTCAAAAACTGAACAGACTACAAAAAAATTTTTTTATTGAAAGTATATGAACATGAGTGAAGCTACTATTCCGAGAAAATTCTGGGTAGGTAAAAAACTTATTAAAAAGTATACATGCTATTAGATTCATAAAAATCATAAAAAAACTTCTAATTGAAAAAAAAATTCTTGAAAATTGCAGCGAATTGAAGGACATATGAAAAATCCTCAAAAAGCTCTAAATTAAAAACTTTCATAATATCCAATGTAAATGATCGATAAAAAAACGAGAATCAGCGCAAAAATTTATTATTTTTTATAAAAAAAAAACGGTTTTTGTTAAATTAAAAGATTTTTAATCAAAGAAATGTTCACTCAATTTCCTAAAAGACCTCAGGTCTTGCAAAAGATCCTTATAAAAATTCCGCAAATGATAAAAAAAATCATTACTGACTGGTTTAAAGGAGTATTGAGAACGTGTTGCTGAACTCTTAAACAAAAAAATTAATTTCTGAGGCTATCTTCAAAACATCTAGATTAATAAAATAAAAAAAGCAAGCCTGAGAAAAATTTTTTTATAAAACGAAACAAAAAAACCTGTTCGGGAGTCGGCTCGGGCTCAGATTGTGGCTGAGCCGAAGCACTTTCCGGCTCTTTTTCCGGCTCGGCCGCCTTTGGCTTCTCTGTTTTTGGTGGAATATTAGCGCCAAGCCTTAAATCATTTGTTTTGCCAGAAAACTGAAGGAAATCTTTTTTTAATTACTTCTCCAAGTACTCGCGGTAGAAGCCGAGGCGTGGATCGTGCAAAAGATCCGTATTAGCGTTACAAGCGCCGACAAATTGCTTAAGGAGAGCCACGTACTGGTCCATACTAAAAATAGAATCAATTAAAAAACAGAAAGAATGCGACAGAAAACGGACGGAACGGGCGCAAAATGGCGATGTTATCATTCGTGAGGAAAGGTTGAAAATAATTGGAGGGTTTTTCGCTTCAAAGTATCATTTTTCTTCACCTCCAACAAACAGCTCTCTATTTATACATAACTTGTGTAATTTTATGAAAATCTGCCCTTTTCAGCACTTTTATAAAGAGCGCCCTCATAATTTTTTTAGATCAGTAACTTTCAGTATTCCATGGTATATTTTAAAAATTCACGTGAATAAAATTACATGAAAACTAAAGAATCGCAAAGAAACAAACTGCTTAAACTCGTCACACTAAAAAGAAATTTGAGAAAAACGTGGAAAGTTCGAGAAAATGAAACGAAGAAAGGGCAAAAAATTGCTGACATGAAAAAAAAACTGAAATTTTGTCTGTGCCATGTGACATTGAGCGACCAAACTTCAATCCTCGTTTCGATATTGTAAAAAGTCAACTTTTATGCGAAATAGAAAAAAGGAGGAAAAAACAATGAAAAAAACGGTTTGCGAAATCGAATTGGATTTTGAAGAAATTGAAGATTTTGGCGCGAATTTTCTCCATTCAAATTCAAAATTCCACATGAGGCGGTCAAAATAATTTTTCATCCGAACTTGTACTTTTTTTTTTAATTTAATAGATTAAGTTATGTTTTTTCTTTGTCTGAGTGCTGCTGTTCTTCAAAAATGACAATAATCTTTCAATTTATATTTGTTGATTAATCCTGTTCTTGAAAGAGCTATGCGTTTTTCTGCGGTGTTATGTGATGAGACTTCTGTTGAATCGTTCTCAAGTGAGTTTTTTAAATAAATAATAGAAAACATTATTCACTGTTCTAGAATTTATTGGCGCCACTTCAAAATTAGGACGAAAACGTTGCTGTATCCGGATTCAAAATGATGGTTTTTCTAAACTTTTTTTTTCTTTCAAAAGTTTTCTTTAAGGACTTTGTTTTATGAGCTGCGAAAAACTGCAAGATGGCGGTTGCTGGTTCTGCATTTTCCTGCCCAGAACCGGTCAGATGTTCAGACAATATGTAAGCAAATAATATTATTTTTGAAGATGGAAAATAATTTCAGGACTTTTCCGGGTTCAATGATAGGGTAGAAGAGCAAAATTTGATTTATCTGGAAGCTAACGTGGACAATTTCGTGAAGGTCTTGAAGGGAAACCTGTGCTATTTGAAACTGAAGCTGACGAGGACTCCGGCGCCGGTAAAAATTAAAAAGTTTTCATTGGTTCAAGGCCTAAAAATACTGAAAAAATCTCTTCGTTTTGAGACCTTTTTGTAATTTTCCTATGCTCCCTTGAACACTCTAGCAAGCATTTTTGAACAGAATTATTCATTAAATAAACAAAATTACTATATTTTTAGGACCAAGACCCAATTATTCGTATAGAGGTCCGATCTGTGGATTCTGACATAATCCGTCACGAAGTTCCGATCAAGATAATCATGTCCAGACATTGGAGCCAGTACGAAAAGCCTTCCTTGGGAAGAAGAAAGGTTAAGAAAAATAGGAAAACTCGAAAATAACAATTTTAGATGAGCATCTACCTTCCCCCGCCGAAATCTCTATACAAAGTCCTTCAAACTTATAAAAACTTGAATGCTACTGTCATTGTGAGCAAAACCTGGAAAATTTGATAGTTGAAGAAATTAAAGGCTTTTAATGCGAGCAGCGGAGGCGACTTAAGATTGGAAGGAACTATGGATCAAGGCGAAATCGACGTGCTTTTCAATGATTTGTCGAATGACGCTGCAGGTTTCTATCAGAAATTGTGGAATTTTGTTCAAAAAAATCCGGAAAATTTTCGTAAAACGTTTTTTCGAATATTTTTAAACCCCTGCTTACATTTGAAAAAAATAAATTTCGTGTTTAATGGAAAAATTTTCAACAAAATTATCTCAGTTTTTTATGCCGTGTTCAATTTGATTCCGCGAAATGCAAAAGGATCTCTGACTCTCCTAAATTTAGTGATCTCTTTCTTTCTCTAACGGGTTTTTTGTATTTCGCGGAATCAAATTGAACACGGCATTAATACTTCTTTAGGTTTTCCGACTTTTTAAAATTTTCCTATTTTCAGTTTTTATCAAGACTTTTGCGCTTTCGGCAAGGAATTTTGTACAACTATCAGATTTTTATCAAATTCCTCTCTTTCGCCACCGTTTTTCCTACTGATAACGGAAATTTTATTTGCAGAAACCGATTCGCAAGAAGATTGGGCGAGGGTGAAATTGATGCTCAAAACCGTTTTTCCACTCTTTCAAAGCTTCTTTTTCTGCAATTCTCGCGTCAAATTGAGTTAGTAGTTTGAAAATGAACAGGTTTTTGATAAAAGGAAGTTTTAGACATAATTTCGAACCAAATGGCCGAATTCAGTATGCGAAGCGACGACCATCAATTGTGTTTTATCGTTGGGAACGTTACGGAATGATTTTTTAGGGGATTTGGACTTGAATTATGATTTTTGGTGTCCTTGAAACCCCTAAGGTACTGCTGAAAACCAAAAATCGTAGGAAAAAAGCTTCAATTTTAATTTGCTTGCATAAAAATACAGGGAAAGCCTGTCAAAGGGTAGTGAAATTCAAGTTTTTCAAAATTTTCGATTCACGATGGATTTTTGCGAAGTTCTAAATAGTCGTCAGAGATGGAGAAAGATAACTAAATTTTGGAGATTCAGAGATAATTTTGAATTTCTTGGAAATAACTTTGAACACGACATAAAAAAATACACTTTGAAATTATCAAAATATCGAAAATAATAACTTTCGAAAATATTTTTTTGAGCTATACGGGGTTTTTAGTAATAAAACCGTGAAATTCGGGCATTTTTCAAAAAAATTTTTACTTTTTTTATTACTTTATTTTTGAGCTATACGGCTTTTTTTCTTGTTATCTTAGAACTATCTTAGTAAGAAAACAGTAAAATTCGGGCATTTTCAAAAAAATTTTACTTATTATTACTTTATTTTTGAGCTATACGGCTTTTTTTCTTGTTATCTTAGAACTATCTTAGTAAGAAAACAGTAAAATTCGGGCATTTTCAAAAATTCAAGCCACACTTCCCAAACGATCGATTCGCACCATCCACGAACATTTCGCATAACTTATTATCCCTTATGCAACCAGCCGATCGGTCATACAAGATTATACCGAAAGACAGAGAGAGAAAGAGAGATGAAGGGAATTCACAGTTGAAACGAGGGGAAATAGTGACGATCGGAGGGATGAATCAGACAGCCGACGGCGCTCTAGTGCGATAGAGCAAAGGTGCGTACTCGGCCCCTAGATAGTCAGGTTGACAAAAGGAAGGCCGACAGACACTCTCCTTCCACAACCTTCCATGTTTGAGTCACACTGCGTCCTTGGTTTTTGCCCACACTTTGTTGAATTTTGACGTTTATCTTGATCAAAGGGGGATTTTCGGGTTTCCGTGTAGTTTCGTCATATTTTGGAACGGTTTTAATGACTTTGAAAGTTTTTAAGTGAACTTTAAATTATTAGAAATAGTATAAAATCCAATATTTCGAGGAAGAGTTTGGGTTTGAGTTCGTTAAAGGGATATATAAAGTTTCACGGATTATAGTATAGAAGCATTTTTTAACAGTTTTGAAAAGTTTGGCGCGAATGCGATATTTGGATGTAGTAAAACTTTAAAGTGTTATATTTCAAGTAAAACGTTTGAATTTTTTTTTTTTTTTTTGAAAGTTTCACAGTATTGGTGTTATTGTAGTATAGAAGCATTTTTTAACAGATTTGAAAATTTTGCGCGAAAATTTTAGAGTGTCTTCAATGAGCTCCTAATGTCTCGGAACAAAGCAAAAATGCTCCAAAACGAAAATTTTTGTTTAAAAATCCTTCAAGGTTCAAATTACCTTTTTCTTCAATCCATCAAACAGAGTTCCTATTTTTCTGCTGTTCATTTTTACACAGTAAATTAACTTTTTTTCATTTGAAAAAAATTTTTATTATTTTAATTTCTGCTCTTTGTGAGAGATTTTTTTGTTTTAATTGATATTACGTTTGAAAATAAGGGAAATTGATATTGCAAGAAAAAAAAGTCAAAATTTATATCAATTTCAAAGATTCATCACAAAAATTTGAATATATCCATATCTATATACTTTTTTTCTCCCTATTTTTCTTTTTTATTGTATATTTTCATTTTTTACCTCTGTCCTTATTTTCTACCTCATTTCACTTTCCATATTGTCATGATCGTTTCGATTTTTTTTTCCGTTCTTCGTTCCGCTTGTAATATTTCACTGTGAAAAATTATATAAATTACGAAAAAATTTAAGAAGAATGGTGAGCGGATTCGAAGAGCAACTCGCCGATTGCCGCGAGGTTTTCGCCTACTTTGACAGCAAGGGTGATGAACGGATCTCCGTTCAGCAGGTGATTCAAGAAATTATATTCATAGTGATTAAATTTTAGTGATTAAAGAAATTGTTTTATGAGATATTGGTTTTATTATTAGGAAATTGAAATTGAAGCTATACTCACTTTGAAAAATAAAATTTCCTAAAAAACAGGGGTGGGCCGTTTTTAGCCGATTTTGAAGATTTAAAGAAGAAAATTCAATGCAGAATTATATTATTCAGTGCTTCAAAACAGTTTCAAAAGTGAAAATGAAGTTTTCTGATGTGAAAAGTCTGAAAATTCTTCAGTAATGTTGGAATTTTGCTTTAAATTCTACAGTTTTAGTGGCTTAAAAAGCCTTTTTTTGTTGTGAAAAAGTAATTTTTTTAAAAAGTTCAATCATATTGATAGGTGTGAGTTTCACTTTTTAGAGTTTTTTTAAACTACATAAAAGATGGTTTGAGATTAATTCTGGTCAAAAAAATCAAAAAAATAAAATTTTTCCTTCAAAATCCATTTTTTTAAAGCTCAAAAAAATGATAATTATACTATTTTTCTGGCTTGAAGAGATTTTTAATGGGAGATGTGAGCAAGATTAGAGGAAGTAGAGGGAAAAGGTATAAACTTAAAAAGAGCGCTCGAAAAGATGTAAAAAGAACGAAGAAAAGAAAAAAAAAGCAGAATAAAAAAAGCTAATAAAAATTTCGAAAAGAAAACACGAGAAAATGAATTTCTTCATGCTGTTTATGCGCGAGGAAATCAAAGATTGAAACTTTTTTTTTTCGATTGATGACTCATTGTTTATTCTTTTTTTTTATGTGGCAGATTTGCATAAAATGAATTTTAATTGGTAAGAAGAAGTTTAAGACAAGGAAAGGGTTGATTTTAGTTAGAAATATGTGGAGAAAAAGAGTTTTGTAAGGAAAAAAAGTGATATAAGCGTTGAAGGAACAGTAAATGTACCAAAAAAAAATGAAAAAATCAAGGGAGCGCTAAATGATTTTAAGTGGTTTCTTGGTAGTTTCAAGTGGGTTTGTAATGGTTTTTAGTGATTTTTTGGGGTTTTGAGTGGCTTTTTAATGGTTTTTAGTGGTTTTGATATGAGATTTGTATGAAACAGTTTTGAGAAAACGACCGAATTTTCCAATTTTCAAGGTCGGAGACGTGCTCCGCGCTCTCGGCCAGAACCCAACCGAAGCCGACATTGCTAGGTGTTGCTCATCCTATGAGAAAGATGCTCGTCTTTCCTTCGAAGACTTTGTTCCCATCTTCAAGTCGGTCAACAAGAATCGGTGGGTTTTAAAGGAACACAATTTTGAAAAAAGTATTAAAGCGATATTTTAGTGAGGACCACACGGTTGAGGAGTTCGTCGAGGGCTTGTCGCACTTCGACAAGGAAGGAAATGGTCTGATCAACGTCGCCGAGCTCCGGCACCTTTTGACCACTCTTGGTGCGCCTTTAAAGATTCTTTTGATGGTGTGGAAAGGTATAAAAAAAGTTGAAATTACTTAGAAACTCCAAAGGGGTCCCTATAGGGGCCCTTGAAGCTTCCTCTTCAGGGACCTTCCCCTAAAGAGGCCACTAGAGCTTCTAAAAGTGGCCCCTGTAGGGGTCTTTGTTATGAACTCTATGCGAAGAAACATTTCCATGGGAAAAATAAGCGTTTTTTGAATAATTGGAAAACCCTATAGGGATCACTTTACCAACTCTATAAGTGCCATTAAAGCTTGCAAAAGTGGTCCCTATAGGGGACATGCTATTTGATAATTGATATGAACTCCAAGCAAAGAAGCATTTCCATGGGAAAAACTGAATAAATAGCGTTTTGAATGAAATTGAAAGACCCCTATAGGGACCACATAGATTTTTTCCCTAAATGGACCACTTTTTCGGGCCCTATGGGGGGCTGTTTTTCCTCCCTGATCTCTATAGGGACCACTCTGGAGTCCCTAAGTAAATTCGCTTCGAGACCTTTTCAAAATTTGGCTGTGCTCTTTACACTTTTTAGACGAGAGTTTTGAAAAAAATTCCTTAGGGATCGCTTAAGGGTTCTGACGCCACTAAAGTGGTCACTAGAAATGCTCAGAAACGTCCGGTACGTGTTACCAAGTTCGAATATTAACGTGAAAATCCTCACGACTGTTTTTTGGGAATAAAACTTTAGGAAATATCATCTTTTTTAGTTTTAGTTTATTTTAAATTTATGAGAAACGATCCTTGTTGAAATTCATTAAAAAGTTACTTTTCGAGATCGTTTATCGCAGTTATTTTGAGAAACCTTTGGAAGATACGTTTTAGAAATGATTTATAGGTATTAACTTATAGGAAGTTTTGTTTCGATCTCCGTGCCAATTTAAATTTGTCAAAATAAAGTTGCCGTGATTCGTGCAGAGCAGTGTGAACCCTAACGACTGATTTTGGGTGTAAAATTCTTGAAAATATCATTTTTTTTTTTAGTTTTCAGTTTATTTTAAATATATTAGAAACGATCCTCGTTGAAATTCATCAAAAAGTTACTGTTCTTTCAAAGAATCACATGTTTCAGGAGAAAGACTGAGCGACGAAGACGTCGACCAACTTCTGGCCGGCCACAACGATTCCCACGGAAACGTCAACATTGCCGACTTTGTTCGCGCCGTCATGAATTCCTAAATCCAAAAATAAAGTCCATTATTCGTCGTCATTCAGTATTATGTACCTTTATTTATAGTGAATCTCCTCCCCGGCAATATTTCTCTTTTTTGATTTTTTACCGCTTCCATGTATCATATATTGAATGGGTTGTAACTGTGGCGGCATTCATCGTGGCATTAAATTTCGAAAAAACACGCGTCCCAATAAAAAAAATTCCTTATTTTTGGATTCAAATCATGAGAGTCATAGTGTTGAAGCATATCAATACTTTCAAAAACTCGTCTTTTGCATGAAAATTAAGAAAAATGTCAGAAAATGGCCGGCGAACCGGAAAAAGACGTTGACCAAAGCCAAGCCGAGTCTTCTGGCGGAAATCAGGAAATGTCGGCCGTTATGGAGATCCTCGAAGATTGTGGCATCGAGGAGTATGATCAACGGGTTATCGGAATCTTGACTGATGTTGGTTTTTTTCATTTATTGTAAAAAATGTGATTAATTGAGCTTGACGACAAGTTTGAACTACTGAGAATAGGGCTTTTCGGATTTGAATTTTTTTTTCTTTCATGAAATTTTTTTTATAGTATTTTTTTAAACTTTGTATTTAGGTTTTGTTCTATATCTTGTATAGTTGTTACAAGAATTATAAACAATTTTTGAAAGTTTTCAAGGCGAACAGCTTTTTTTGGTGATTCAAAAAAATTTTTGAGCCTTCAACACTTTCCGAAAAAAAATATTATAACAAACTATGGATTTTTTTATAAGAAACTTAGGAACTAGAAGCCGTTGCTCTTTATTTTTTTCTAAAGTTAAATAAATTCTGTCTTTGAAATGAACATTTTCGCGCTTTGAAATAAAAAAACAGTTTTTTTCGAGAACTGAAATTTCAAAAAAAGGAATTTTTTTCATAAACCAATTTTGATAACTGTAATTTTTATAAAAAACCATCTCAGGTTTTTTTTTCGAAAAGTTAAAATGAAATTTCAAAAAAAAATTCGATCAATTGTAGAGAATTTGTTGGGGAACTCACAAACCCGAATTTTTCAGTGGTTCGGTTTTTATTTTTCATGTTCAGATTTATCCAGTTTATTTTTTTGAAACATGAATTCATCAAATGTTGTATTTTATAACCTACTATCGTTTTTTTGCAGTTATTTTTGAGAAACCTTTGGAACATACGCTTCAGAAATGATTGATAACTTATATTTTGTAGGAAGTTTCGTTTCTTCCAGTTCAAACTTTTTTTAATATAATTTTTTTCTCCCTGTTGATACATATTATTTGAAGGCCCAAGTAGCATGTGCCACCCGGATAATGGAAATGGTCGACGCCATCACAAAACACGAAAATAAACCGCAGGCCGATGTGAACGATGTCCAGACGGCGGTCGAGATTTTAGGTTGGTTCAGTGAAAATAATGAAGATTTTGTAATAACTTTTGATGGAGATTTTGTTTATTGCCTTTTTTTGAATTGTCCTCTTGATTCTTTCATTTATTTTCCTGGCCTTTAAATTTTTTTTATTTTTTTTTTCTTTACATATCCTGATTTTTAGTCGTTTTCTCAGAATTTATGAATTTTTTTTTTTAATTTCTCTATGTAGCCTTTTTTTAGTTTCTTTTTTTAAACTTGACTTTTCCTTTTCCATTTACCTTCAAAAAAAAACCATAAAAGGGGAAAATTCGAAAAGAAAATAGTGTGTATTGCTTCAATTTTTTTAAAATTTACCTTCTGCTTGATTCATTTTACTGATCCTTATGTATGTGATTTCTGGTCGTTTTTTTCTCAGAAATTTTTTTCTTGGAAAAAGTTTATTCAACTTCTCATTCTTTCTACAAAAGTCTTAATAGATTATTTTTTTGAAAATCAGCTTTTTCATTCATATTCAAAAAAATAACCATAAAACGACGATTTTTTTAACATCCTCTCTGAAAGGAATAAGTATTTTTTTCTATTTTTTTGGGAGCTTTTTCCGAATTTTTACAATGTTTTTTTTTTCAGAGAAACATTGAATATACTATTTCCAGTTCTTCCTTGAAATTTTTCATTTTAAGGAAAATCCAAACCCTTATTTTTTTAAATCGAATAGTATCATCGCCGAAAGTATGAGCCAATACTTTTTCCAGGACTCTTCAAAAATAATCTTCCGGATCGACAGAGGCAAATCCAGTTGGGAGCTGAGCGAAATGCCCAGGCTTTGCCGACAATTCGACACAATTTCGGATTGAAATTGCCCAATGACAGGTTTGTAACTAAATCGTCAAGAGAAAAAAATTATAAAATATACAAAAAAATCAGATTTTAATTCAACGTAAATTGTAATCAAGCTTTTTTTAAAATCTATTATATGATCCTCTAAAACTAATTCAAAAAAAAATGAAGATTTTATGCATAGAACAACAAGGTTCATGAAAATTTCTATTTTTGACAATATTGAGGTTTTTCACTATGAGAGCTTTGTAGTGCGGGAAAATGAATCGATTATCAAATTAAAAAAATAAAATGCAGATTCTGTCAGCTTCAACCGAACATCGATCTGCGCACGAATGATATGGAGAGGTGATTTTTTTAGATAAATCGAGAAAAGGGAGTTTAAAAAAAGGCTTCTTACATATTGAGCTTTAAAGTTATGGCAAAAAAATTGTTATTTTAAATTTTTTTCCAGTAAGAAATTTTTTTTCAAAGAGTTGGGGCATTTCGCCAAGTTTTTTCCCTTTATTAATTCATGACCCTTATTTTTAGAAAGTTAATATTAACTTTATAGTGAAATTTCTTATATAAAAAAAAATTTTTTTAAAGAAGCATGAACAATTTTCAATAAAGGTCTTGAAGCGAGGAGCTATCCTCAGTTTTATTTTATTTTATTATCATCAGTTTTTTAAGGAAATTTCACATATTAACCACAAACAAATTGTGTTTTTTTAAAGGAGCATGAACGATTTCCAATGAAGGTCTTGAAGCGAAAAGCTTTCAAATATATTTTAGCGCTTTATTTGAATAATTTAAACTTCCGGAAAAAGTCAAAAAAATTATATATATATATTTTTTTAAAAAGAAGTATAAACAATTTTTCAATAAAGGTCTTGAAGCGAGGAGCTATTCTCAGTTTCCTTTCAGGCCATTTTTGAATAGTTTGAATTTCCTGAAAAGTCAAAAATTACATTTTGATCGCGCTTGTATAGCTGATTCACGGCTGGCTTGAGCCATCGAGAAAAGGATCCTGCCACGAAAATAAACGAGACAGTGCCCTGGTTGGTGGAGAGTGCAGACAGGTCACGCCTTTTTGCGTCCCAAGCTAGCCGTGAATCATCTATATGTTTATCGCGTTTTCCTTAACACAATCCTTTTTGACACTATTTAGAAACGTTAATCAACAATCTTTCCGTTTTACAGAATACCCCAAAACATGATGATGTCGATGGACGAAGGTCCTCTGGAGGAAGAACCTCTGGCCGTCCTCCGACCCGAACACGTTCAGAATCTTCTCCAGCGTCAGCCGAACGACGATTTCGATTCGTAAAAACGGAAATATTGCACGGAAAACTTGTTGATTTTGCTTTAATTGTTTTATTTATACGGCGTACATGAATGATAATCACAGATATGTGCAATTTGTTGATAGTAAATTTACGGGGCGGTTCTTCCGCCGGTGACGACGTTTTTCAGCTCGGCGCCCGTTTCGACGATCTTCTGGCCCGCGTTTCGGAGATGTTCAAAACGGGTTTCTGAAAGAATCTTGAATATGTCAGATTTTCGTAGAGGTTTTTCTTTACATCTAAAGAATCTCCTCCAGTAATCCTAGAAATGCTAGAGTGGGCCCTTTAGGGGTCACCTTAAAAACCTTTTCAATATCTCTCTAGGAGTCACTTTACCTTCGCCTACAGTGGCCACTAGAGCTTGCAAGGGGCCATTTTAGTGGTTTCAGTTAGTGGCACCTTTAGCGACATGGTTCATCGTTATGGACTCTATGAGCATTTCCATGCGGAAAACTCATGAAAATGACGTCATTCAAATGAAAAATATCAACAGAGACCCCTATAGGGACCACTCGAGTTAAAGACCCCTTTAGGGACCACTTGAGCGTTCGGGGCTTAGAATCAGACTCCGAACCACTATAGGGACCACTTGAGTAGGATTGCCCTATAGGGACCACTTGAGAATTCGAGGCTTAGGATCCGACTACGAACCACTATAAGGACAACTCTAGTCAAAGACCCCTATAGGGTCCACTTGAGCATTCGTCGAGGTCTAGAATCAGACTAAAAGGGCATTCTTTTAACCCCTGAAGGGCTGTTTTCTCCTGGAACCCCTCTAGGGATCACTCTAGAGTTCCTCATTGAAAGGAGCATGAACCCCTGAAAGGAGCAAAAACCCACGTTTCCCGTATTCGACGTCGCCCAAGTCGCCAAAGCTACGCATGTTCTCCGCATGTTGGCGGTGGTCGTCGCGAAGTTGTTCCTCGGTATTGCGGCGCTCCTCCTCGAGTTGCGCTTCGGCTGCGTTGAGCTCGCTTCGCAGGTACTCGACGTACTGAAATCACCATTTTTGGTTCTTATATTTGACCAGGTTGATATGAAACTTGAGCTGAACCCCAGTCGCTATCGTGTGGGAAAAATAGAAAAATTCTCTAATATGAGCAATACTGAGCAAACATGAGCTGTGAGCGCTTGCATAAGTGAAATCGAAAGAGTGAAGGTGGCTGAAGAGACGCCAGAGAAACAGGAAAGTGTCTCTTTCTCTGGCGTCTCTTCGTACTGAACTTCTTTCAGCCCCTAACTTCATTTTTTCAAAGATGGAGGCGAGAGAAAGCGTCTTCTGAAGAGACACCAGAGTGTTTCTTTTCTCTGGACTCTCTGCAGGTTCACTCTCTCTTTCCCCATCTCTTGCAAAGTAACAGGAATCATAGCAATAGGAAGCGAGAGAACATTGGCCAGAAGAGACGACAAAGAAAAAGAGGAATGTCTCTTTCTCTGACGTCTCTTCGCACTTCCGCACTCTCTCGCTCTTATCTTCAACCTCGCTGGCTTAAGGCAACGAAAAAAGGGTCCTGACACGATGATAAGAGAGGCAGTGCCTGGTTGGGGGAGTGCGCAGAGAGGCCACGCCCACTAAGTGATCCAAGTTAACCGTCAATCGGTTACCTATCCTAGTATCTAATGGTTCGTTTACAACTTTCTAGGAAATTTAAAGACGCAGAGCGTTTTCCATGCGCCTTTAAAGACGCAGAGCGTTTTCTATGCGCCTTTAAAGACGCAGTGGGTTCTCTATGCGCCTTTAAAGACGCAGAGCGTTTTCCATGAGCCTTTAAAGACGCAGAGCGTTTTCTATGCGCCTTTAAAGCTATAAGATCTTTTTCAACAAACCTCTTTGCGTTGAGCGGCGTCACGGAGCTTCCTGCACTCCATTTTGCATTGATCATAGGCGGTCACTTGCTGAAAATCAATGAATAATTCTTTGAGCCTTGATAGTTCGCTCTATTGAAAAATTTTCCTACCTAGGAAGGCCAGAGTGGTACTTATAGGGGCAACCTTAGGGACCCCTTCAGGGACCACCGCTAAAGGCTTTAGCCTAAAGCTTGCAAAAGTGGCCACTCTAGGGAGGCATGCTCGTGGTTTTCATAAGTCTAGAACAAGAATTGAAAGACCACTATAGGGACCACTCACGCTTTAGGGGTCAGAGTCTGAACACCTTCAAGTACTACCTGTCCCCTGTAGGGAGCACTTTTTAGTCCCCCACCGAGGCTTTTCCCCCTAACCACTCTAGGGACCCCCTCTGGCGTTCCTAAGCAATAGTACAACATGAAGATTTACCAACCTTGAACTGAGATTTCCGGGGAAGTCCGTAGGAACCTTGCTGTTGTTGGTTCTGATTGTAAGTTTGCTGGTGTTGATTTTGATCATTTACGCCTTGATTGCCACGGAAATGGTCGTCATGAACATGTTGATGATCAAAGTTTTGGACGCCGTCCGGGTGAAAATGAACGACTTTTTGGGGTCTGAAACATTTTCAAGGATTTTTGAACATTTCCAGTTTTTTTTGAATTGAAAGAGACTCGGGAATTAAACCAATTTTGGAAGGAATTCCCTAAAGTGGCCACTTTCTCAACCGGCTTTTTATATATCCTAAAGTGGTCACTTAAGAGGTCTGTGAATGATCGTTGAAATTTTTTTTTGTTATCTATTGAACTGTGGTTGCAAAACCCTCAAGTGATCACTTAGAGTGGCCCCTTTATGAACTCCAAAATGGAAGTGTTCACTTAAGTGAAGTTTTATTTGTTTTTAAGCAGACCAACATTTTCCTTTGCCTCCTAGAAGGGACACTTCAAATCCCTTAAGCAAGCTCTTTTTCGTGGTTCGAGTGACGCCTTAAGAGGTAAGGGAAGGTTCCTCTTACGAGCACTTAAGAGGTCCCTCAATCTTCCCTTGGAGCGAACAACTTTTTTGCCGCCCATCCGAAAATTTCTCTTAAGCGATCACTTGCGCTAGCACTAAGCTTCACCTGAGAGAAGACCTTACTGGGAAAATTTTTAGTGGCCACTATAGGGTATTGACGTTTTAGTGGCCGCCACAGCAGTCAAATTAGTGGCCACTTAAGGGGTTAAAAGCTACAGAGGTCTCAGTGCTACTAATAGACCGGTAAAAACTTTTAGTGGCCACTTTAGGGGTCAATGGATCATCATAACTGGTCCAATCTGTTTTAAATCAGAGTTACTGGAAGGAATACTGGATGAAAAACTACTGAAGTGGTCACTATAGAGTTTCTCTATTTAAACGGGAAATAGTGGCCACTTTAGTGTCCTCTCCAAGTAGTCCTTGGCGAGCCTCTATAGTGGCCACTAAAAGTTTTCCCAGTAAGTAATCACTTCCAATAGATCTAAGCTTCACCTGAGAAAATCACTCTGTGAAATTCTCAGTAATGATTTCTCCTTTTCTACCTACTACCAAGCTTCACCTGGGAAATGAATTATCAGAACTGACTTGACTTTCTTGGCCTGGACCAGGTAGGTGCAGGAAAGCAGAAGGGCGATGGTGTTGATAGCGAACCTCATTTCAACTCGGCTGAAATCGAAGTGACTCCGGAGTCCTTATCGCTTATCACCAAAACTTTGGAAGGGGTTGTCGCGTGGGGCGCCGTGAAAACAATAACAAATTCTGCTCAATGATTTTCAAATTTTTCACGTAATTAAAACCTCAGTAGCAATCGTTTATTGCAAACAAGGAAAAGCGTGAAAATCGAGTTTCAAAACAAAAAAAAGAGGTTGAGGCACGATAAAATATGAATATTTGGAGGAAATTTGTTGGAAAATGGCGAGAACAGGTCGTTTGAAGAGACGCCAGAGAAAGAGGGATTTTTGCTTCTCTAGTGTCTCTTAAAGGTCAATTATCTCTCGGTTTGCTATCCAAAATTGATTTTATCTACAAAAATGGGATATAGGAAAAGCACCAAAAGCAAGAGACTATGAAAAAAGGAGAAACTTTTCTCGTTTTCTCTAACGATCTCCTCTTTCCACATTATCTCTAGCTTTATCCGATTCCACGCATTCGAATCTGTAAAATTACTACTTGAATCAGGAATCATATCAAAGTTTAACCGTTTCGTAGAGAATTCGAGGAAAAAAAAATCAGTTTCTCGTGACCGCGACGCATGACTGGCGCGGCGCGGCTCGATGACGTCACTCGGTGTAGAATGGATATTTTGGCGCGAACATATTCTCGCCAAACTGAACCTGCTCTTTCTCCTCCGCAATGTCCGAAGGGCCAAAGTAGGACTCTCTGAATTCAAAAATTACGTCATTGTTGAGCTTCATGACGTCTTTATTTATGTTTCGGGTCTCACAATGGTTTAAAATCTTAGGAATTAAATGAGGTGGTCCCTATAGGTGTTTAGGGCCAGACTCCTAAGTCCTCAAAGCTCAAGTGGTCCCTAGAGTGAAAACTTCAAAATTTTCTGCGTTGCCTCTATAAGGACCATTCGGGAGTTCCTAAAACCGTGAAAGTTAGGACGAAATTTTTTTTTTGGAAAGTTAGGCCGTGCATTTGTGAAATACGACCTTCCCCATTTGTGAAAGTAATTTTTGAGAAGTAAGGTCGTGAATTTGTGAAGTACAATCTTCAAAATGATGGGGACCCTCATTTTAAAAATTTTTTTTTGGTCGGTCTAAAAAACTTCAAAATGGAAAAGTTACCGTCCTATTTATCGTGGAGGCCGTATTTCACAAATGAGAATTTTTCCAATTAAGGCCTTATTTCACAAATTCAAAAGACGGCCTAATTTTCCAAAAAAAAGCCTTCCTAACTTTCCTAGTTGCTTTTTTTTTTTTAGATTTTTTGATTTTTTTTGATACTAATCACCTTGATGCTACAAGTGAACGCCTGACTATCACCCCATCAAAAATGAATATGTTGCGAAAAAAGGTTTTTGAAAGCAAATAAACAAGGCAATAATCGGAGCACCTTGCTGACAGGCACATGGTCAGCAAAAAGATAAGATTCTCGCTTTCAAATTATGAATTTCGCTGAGCAATTTTGATAAGATTTTGCGTAGAATCGAGGGTTTGACGTCATCAATGAGAATTGTGACGTCATCATGTTGATTTTCGTCCTCATTTGCTAGAAAGACGGCGTCAAGAAGGTCAATGTTAGAATTTCAAATTTGCCTGGGCTTTTTTGAAATTTTTTTCGATGAAACTAAGCGCAAGTCGTTTCAAGGTCGGTCGCATGGTCGTAAAGTTTGACCCGATTTTTTCCGATTTGAAAGCCTATGACCGCACAGGGAGCTTCGAAACTTTCAGGCGCTTCTTCAAAATGCAACCGACCAGAAACGACTTGCTTGCGGAGGCATCGGAAAGCATTATAACAAGCTAACTTCAGAGTGAACCCTTTGAGCCATTCAAAAAGTTATAGCCGTACCTGTAATAGGGGCTAGGCATTGAAGGATATAGTTCGCTGAGTATTGAGGATGGCATCCGGACGCGTTTTCTGGAGGACATCAGGGCTTCCATTTCGTCGCTGAGGTCCTCGACAACTTGACCCGACTCATCAGTTATTGTTACCTGGAAAAAAACGGACTAGATTGATTTTGCCTCCCTTATAGCTGATTCTGAGTAGCTTGAGCCATTTAAAAAAGGTCCTGACACGAAAAAAGACAGTTCCTGGTTGATGGAGAGCGCAGACAGGCCACGCCCCTTTATCTTTCAAGGTAGCCATGGATCTGGTATAACTTATTGGTTGTCATACGAAAAACGGTAAGGTTATTCCGAACAGAAGACTTTTTTTAAAGGCGCAGGGCGGGGCCAAAAAGAACTCACGGAAAAAACCAAATGAGTTCTTCAAAATAATAGGAAAATCTCGAGTGACCACTTAAGAGGTTCTTAAATGACTGCTTGGAGAGGGCTCTAAAGTGTCCACTTCACAGAAGCAACTATTTTGCGCCAAAGTGGTCACTGAAATTTTTAGTGGCCACTATAGTCTATAGAGGTTCTCTATTTAGTGGCCACTTCAGTAGTTTTTTCATCCAGTAATCCGTCCAGTACTCTGATAATTTTAAACAAAGATTGGACCAGTTATGTTGATCTATTGACCCCTAAAGTGGTCACTAAATTTTTTAGTCGTTTATTAGTAGCACTTAGACCTCTATAGTGACCACTAATTTTGAACCTCTTAAGTGGCCACTAATTTGACTACTATAGTGGTCACTAACCGTCAAAACTTTATAATGGGCACTAGAAATTTTCCCAGTATAGCATTTTTCATTGGCCTAGTGGTACCACTTGTACAAGACACTATTTTGACTACTATAGTGGTCACTAAAACGTCGAAACCCTAAAGAGCCCACTGCAAATTTTCCCAGAATTTACTTCCCCACCTGTACACCACTGTCGTTCCTCGACGAGAAATTATTTTTCGGCGGACTTTCTTTGATGGAACTTTTTGGTTGGGTCCCATTGGTTATCGAGTTTTTCGAATGGGCCAAAAGCTGGGAAAGTTGAGGGATCGATCCGATTACCACTGGGATCGTGATGGTTAGGGCTTGCTCCACCTGAAAATTCAAATTTGAAAAATATTTACGAAATCAATTTTTCTCGAAAAAATGTCATCCTTTTAAGCGGTCTCTTAAGGGCACCTAATTAAACTTCTCAATGGGTCAAAAATTAAACTTCCCACTCAAGGGACCACTCAAGTGGCCTAATTGTTTGAACCCGCAGTTTGGAGCACTGGGAACGAATGAGATTTTGTAGAAACGAAAAAAAAACTCTTCTCCTTTCTGAGTGACCTCTTAAGAGCTCTATTTTATATTTGAAAATAAAAACCCTTTTTTTCATTCTAAGTGTTCCCTGAAGTGCTTAATAAGTCTCTAAAGTATCTAATATTGATATGAAAAATCTTTTAAGCTGAAAATCTCACTGAAAATGCTTCTTTTTTTTTGTTCTCCAAGTGGTCCCTTAAGAAGTTTTTCACTATTTTTCACTCAAGGGACTACTTCAAAAGCTATCAATGTAGTCTTAAACACGACGTACAACAGGAAAGCCAAGAAGTTTCTAGAAACTCGGAAATCCCTCAGATCGCTACTTTCCTCTCCAAGAGATCCCTTAAGAGCTCCCTCCGGAAACAAACCTCCAACTCGACCGTATAAGCCACCGACAATATCCGGCACTTTCCTAACCGTGGCGGGAGCGATGGAAATCACAATTTCTTCCTTGAGCCAATCAGTGGTGACGTCACCACCGACCTTTAAAGTGCGGACGGTTTTTAATTAATCAATTAATTCAAACCTCAGCTTCATCGGCCTTGTTGACGACCCTTTTGACGCATTTCACATGTTCATGACCAGCAAATGTCTTGGCTCTGAAATTTTGGAAAAAATCATCCCTTTTTCTGACATGTCTGCGCTCTCTTTTCTCTTACTTTCTTTAGTTAGGATCTCTATGTTTTTTCGCTTACCTTCTACGTTCTACGAGCCAGCTTACAAGCTTATTTAGTGATAACTTAAGGGGTAAAGTCGCTGAAATAGTTCCTTTAGGGATCTGACCAATAAATAGCCCCCCGCAAGTGGTCACTTGCTAGTTTTCAAGCTTATTTAGTGATAACTTAAGGGGTGATGAGCGCCAAAGTAGTCCCTTTAGGGATCTGATTAGTATATAAGCCAAGTGGTCACTTAAGGGTAAAAAATTGTGAAAAAGCAGGCAAACAAGATCGTCGAGAAGGAAGAAAAAGTGCAGACAGGTCAGTTTTTTGACAAGTAGTCCCTTCAGTGATCTGACTAGTAAATAGGCCAAGTGGCCATTTAAGGGGATAAAAGAAGGGTGAACAAGAGAGTTTCAACAAGGGAAAAAAAAATGCAGAAAAACCAATTTCTTGCCAAGTAGTTACTTTAGGGATCTGACTAGTAAATGAGCCAAGTGGCCACTTAAGGGGATGAAAGAAAGGTGAGCAAGAGAGTGTCAAAAAGGGAAAAAGATGCAGAAAACCAGTTTTTTGCCAAGTAGTCCCTTGAGTGATTTGACTATAAAATAAGCCAAGCGTCCACTTAAGGGTTTAAGATTGTGAAAAAAGCAGGCAAACAAGAGCGTCGGTAAGGAAAAAATATGCAGAAAAACCAGTTTCTTGCCGAGTACTTCCTTTAGGGATCTGGCTAATCAATAAGCCAAGTGGTCATTTAAGGGTTTCACTCAAATTCTGGCCCTTTTTTTCATCCTTTTCTAGCCTAAAAAAATCGAAAAAAAATCTTTATTTCTGTTTTTTTCAAAGCTCGAATCCTCTAGATTTTAATCTGTGAACTGTATTACTAAAAAGAAATCTTGAAAATCATGTTTCACCTAAATTTCTCATTCTTTAACTTCTTGTAATGGTATGACCATAATGATTCCGCGAAATTCCAAAAAAAAAAGTCAGAGAAAGAAAAAGACAACTAAATTTTGGAGAGTCAGTTATTATCTTTGAACGAACCTAATGATATCATACTCGTCTATGTAGTTGCTCTATCAAAAAATTCGTCAATTTCCCGTTCAAAACCCTTTTCTGAAACATCAAACTCACTTATAAGTTGTCACTTGAACGAATCGGACGGTCACATTTCGGCTCTTGGAACTGTTGTTCGTGACTCTCAAAATTTACGATTTCTTCGTCGATTTATTGATTGATTACCTGTAACAAAGGTCAATCTTCTCGCCAGGTGTGTACCCAGCTTTGGGTAATTTCAGTTCTCCCGTAACACTGCCGCTGGATCGACAGCAGAACTTCACCGTATGATTTGATTCGCTGGCCGATGTTGGCTCGTTCAACTGGAAATATTTTTTGTGAAATTGCGCTTCAGGATATCTTCCGGCAGTCTTCCCATGCGCCTTTAAGTTTTCCCTTTATTCCGAGGCTTTTTTGAGAGAGATAAAAAAAAAATTAAAAAGTGAAATTAGAGAGATGAAGCAAATTTGCCCACTCATTAGTGGTCACTTAAAAAGCAAATCGTGACCTCAAGCTACAAGACCCTAAAGTGGTCCCTAGGACTTTTTAAAAAATTTTTTAAAAACCTTTTTTTCTCGGCTTTTTGATTTTTTTTTTCCCCTCAACTTTTTCGTCATGAGAAGTTCATTAAGTGACCTCTTAAAGGGGTACAGAGCGCCAAAGTGGCTTCTTGAGTGATCTGACTAGTACACAGAATTCTTCAAATGGTCGCTTGAGGGTACACAATCGACGGATTCAAAGAAAAGGGACATAAATCTTGTCATTTTCTGAAATTGAGTCCCTTTTTTCATTTCCATTTTTATTTTTTTTGTTTTGCAAACTTTGCAAGTGTATCGGATGTGGCCGAATTTCCCTCAAACATCTTCCTTTTGAGAGCTTGATGCTCATTAAGTGACCTCTTAAGGGGTACAGAGCGCCAAAGTGGCTCCTTCAGTGATCTGACTAGTACACGGAATTCTTCAAGTGGTTGCTTGAGGGTATAAAATCGACTGGATTCAAAGAAAAGGGACATAAACCTTGTCATATTTTGAATTTGAGTCCCTTTTTCCATTTCCATTTTGATTTTTCTCCGTTTTTCCCTTAAAAATCTTCCTTTTTGAGAGCTTGATGCCCGTTAAGTGACCTCTTAAGGGGTACAGAGCGCCTAAGTGGCTCCTTGAGTGATCTGACTAATACAAAAAATTCTTCAAGGGGTCGCTTGAGGGTATAAAATCGACTGGGTTCAAAAAAAAGGGACATAAACCTTGTCATTTTTTGAATTTGAGTCCTGTTTTTTCATTTTTGTTCCGATTTTTCTGTTTTCTTCTCAACTTCATAAAAGTAGTTTACGACGAAAAATCCAATTTTTCCTTTCAAAATCCCCAAAAATCGCACCTTGGCATCAGAATTGATGTCCTCGATGCCGATGACGGTGAAGGCCTTGCGCGTGACGATGTCAAAGTCCCAGGGGCGTTCGCAAATCGCCTTCACAACGACTTTTATTGGACCGCATTATCAACGTTTCACAAACTTTGCAAGTGTATCGGATGTGGCCGAATTCGCCTTCAAACGACGTCGGCAACGACTTCGGAAGGGTGTAGGAAAAAGGGACGTGGTGGATTCCGGCAGGAAGTACTCGTTCCTGACAAAAATGTAAAAGTCTAAATATTGATTTTTTTTTTCATTTTTCCTGACATGAATTCAATGAATTTATACAGTATTTCCACTTTGAACTTATAAATTTCCCTATAGGGATCCCTAAAGCTTCAAAGCTCTCGTGGACCGCTCAGAAAGCCCTTTGACCCCTATAGTGGTCCCTAAAAACCCTATAAAGACCCCTTCAAAAGCTCCGGGACCTCTCTGCGCCCTTTTCGTCTCTCGGCGACCCTCTCAATTCAAAGTCCTATTTTCATGCTTCTCTGACCTCGCCGGCGAGGGAAAAGAGAGACGCAGACACTCGAGAACTGTCGAAGAGTCAAAAAAATTTGAAAAAAAAAATGTAGTTTGCTCAATTTTGAATCTACCGCCAAAATTACGGTATCCAAAAAATCATCACATTTCAAGACGGGGAAAATTTGGATATAATTCAAATTTTCTTTGGTAACGCGAAACGGACGTGCTCAGGACGTTTCTGAGAAATTCTAGGGGTCACTTAAGAGTGCTGAAGCTACTAAAGTGGTCACTAGGAATTTTCCGACGCGTCCGATTTGCGTTACCAATGTCCGAGAACGAAAACCGGACGCGCCCGGACATTTCTTCATTTCTAGTTACCCCTTTAATGACTTCAAAACTCTTAAGTGATCACTTGAAGCGTTACCAAGATATGTAAAGACGAAAAAAGTCGTCCCGAGGCCATTTTTGTCCTCATTTTTGCTACCCAAACCTTGTCCTTCCCATCCTTCGTGACCGTAAACTGATGGGTGTAATTGGTGTTGAGCTGCTCGAGGAAGTACGGTTCCGAGTGGGAGCAGTGCTTCCGGGACTTTCCTGAAATTCCCGTTATCGATGGAGCGAACTTGACTTGGAAAAATGGCCTTTTATTTTACATATAAATTCTTCATGATAGGCAAACGCATGAGCACTCATGTAGCATCGAATTACTGATTTCTCTCATTCCCTCTCATTTTCACGCACTATCTCCTATTCTAGCGAAGGGGAAGGAAAGCAGAGACAGTCCAATTTTTGTGGATAAAATGAAAAATCTGCGAAAAGTCTTAGTGGCCCCTTAAGAGGTTCCCCAAGGACTTCTTGCAGAGGACACTCAAGTGGCCCCCAAAGGCACTTCTATAGAATCCACTGATTTGCGTCTAAGTGGCCACTATAGTAGTTTTAGTTAGTACCAGTTACCACGTTAGACCTCTATAGAGGCCACTTAAGTGATCACTAAAAAATTGAAGTCTTAAAGTGGCCACTAAAACCACATCTATAGAAAAAAACTCCTAGATAGGTCACTATGGCACTTATTTAGCTACTATAGTGGCCACTTAAATGTGAAAACCCTGAAGCGGTCAGTATGAATTAAAAATGGCTATTTTTTTAATTTTTTATCTTAAAACTGCTTTCCAGTTTTTTTCTAAAGCAAACATTGCATATAATAACTCCTTGAAATTGTAAAAAATTTGAAACAGCGTACTCAATCAAAAAAAAACGTGAAAAAGTCATTTCCCTACATTGTCTCTACAGCATATGGACAGTTACTATTTCGCAATTACTTGTTGGTTTTTCCAAATTTCTTCAAATTTCTTTACTATTTCAGGCAAATTATGGATGGTATCACATTTCGCAGTTATTTGGATCGTCGTGTGCTGCGCGAAAAAGTTTAAAAATGCAAAAGAGCCGGTTTTTGCCCGGAAAAAGTTCATTTTCATCGTTTTTTTCCAGAAAAGCGATAAAAAGAGACCAAAAGAGGAAGGCAAAATAGAAACTCCAATGGCAGCGCCAAGAAGAAATCGCATACTTGTGATACCAAATACGGAAATAAAGTCGACGTCGAACAAAAGGAGGAGTCCCGACACCCCGGGTGGCCGGAATATTGAGGTTTTTTTCAACTTTCCTGGAAGAATAAGCCCCCTTAAGAAGAAAAGGTCGATTTAAGCGTTTGTTTAGTACAGACACTCCCCTAGAAAAAAATAAGGATGGATTTTTAGACTTTTTTTCAGGATAAGGACAACCTCCCCCTCCTTAAGGACTTGCATGAAGAAAATATGCCCCCCTAGTGATGAAAATGTAGATTTTTCAGCCTTATTTTTTTGCTCAACTCTTGCGAAAGTTTTTGGTGGCCACTTTAGGGTTTTGACGTTCTAGTGGCCACTATGGTAGTCGAACTGGTGGCCACTTAAGTGACTGGGATTTGGGAGCCTCTTTAAAAGCCCAAAAGTGCTATTAGATCACTAAAAACTACTATAGTGCCCACTAAGACCCAAAATAGTGACTTCTATCAACAGATGTGGATTCAGTGGCTAAGTGTATTCTCCAAGTAGTCCTTGAGTAATCTCTTAAGTGGCCACTAGAATTTCACCCAATCATCCTCTTCAGCAAAGGGATGATATACAGAAAATTGTATACCGTAACCTATTATTTTTTCATCAAAAAAAATCCCGCAGTCAGAACTTCACCACTTATCGGAAGCTTTATGTGAGAAAATTTCGTTGAAAAAAGAGAAAAAATAGCGAAAAATTAGGTTTGTCCATAGAGCACATTTGCTCTTTTGCAAGAAATTATAATTTTTTTCCGTTTTCACTATAAAATTCCCCAAAAAAAGGAACTCCTATATAGTTCAAGTTGTTCTTTGCTTTCTGCTCAAAAAAAAATCTTTCAATTTTCTTTTTCCTTCAGCAAGACGATTTAAAAAGGACACGAGACGCCAGTAACAAGGACACGCAAGAAAAAAAGACGGACGTGAAGAGTGAAGCGTAAAAATGACGATTTTTTCACTTCTGAAACTTATTTTTCCAGAAAAAAGTCAGCAAAAACAGTTGTCTACGACCCGGACTCGTTCAATAAGCTCGACAACACGATTGCCGAAGATTCGCGTAATTTTGAATTTGCTTTTTTCATAAAAATGGCCGTTTAAAATTTCGATGAAGCTCGGAATGCATTTGGGACCTCCTGATCTTTAACTGAACTGTTCGACTTCCAATAAAATTAAGAAATATTCAAAATTTTAATTTTTTTAGACTTTACGGTGGAAAAAAAGAGTTCTGGACGTCTTTAAAGCGTTAAAACTGCATGAAAAAGGAAAAAAAGCGGTTTTTCAATTTTTTTGAACGAAAGTGTCCCAAAAAGTCCTAAAATTCATTCCAAGGAAATTTTTACCACCTTAATATTGACTTGAAATTTTCAAATACTATGATAATTTTTTTCGCTTATCAATATGGCACGACATTCCTAATGGGGTGAGGGAAGGTGAGCAAAGTTTCTGAATTTACAAAAAAAAGTAAGTGCGCGCTCCGGATAAAATGACGTCATTATTACACTGAGTATTCAACTTTAATAACTTGTTTGTTCGTTTGGCTGCGTACTTGAGATTTAAATTTTCGCGTCAAAATTTTTTTCCCCACTCCGTTTGGGAACACCGTGATGGGAACTAGGGTCTCTAAACTAAGGCCTTAAAATTGCTGACCTCTCCTATTGAGAAAAAGACAGTATTCGGTGTCTTTGAAGCGTTAAAAATGCACGAAAAAGGAAAAAAAGCACTGTTTTTCTTTCAATTATTCTAAAAGAATGTGTTCTATAGTCAATGTTTCCCGACTTGAAAGGCGAGGGAGGCGGGGCAAGGGGCGGGACGCGTAATGTGTGCGTACGCGGTTCTTGGCGCCAGTGCAATTCAACCGCCGTCACCTATTTAAAAAGCTCGGCAACCGCTCTTTTTCTGTATTTTCTACTATTCTGTGATGCATGCCTGAACATAATCAATAAATAATCAAAAAAGAAGTGAAAAGAGCGATAAACGAGCTCTCCAAAGAGTAGCTGGCGGTTGAATTGGACTCGTGCCAAGAACCGCGTACGCACACGCTACGCGTCCCGCCCCCTGCCCTCGCCTCCCTCGCCTTTCAAGTCGGGATACATTTAGGGACCGCAGACGAATTTTTCAAAAAAATTTTTTTCAGCATTGAGCTTTGTATGGTTTGATAGCTGTTTTTGATTCAAAACTCAGAACCGTTTAGTTTTTTTCGAAAAAGATTATGGATGAAAAAAAGTTATGACGAAAAATTGTGGCGCGCCGCGCACCATTTTTTTAGTACTGAAATTTTTGGTATTATCCATTTTTTTGACATTTTTTTCTCGATTTTTTTCTTCCAGAACAAGTTTTTGATACTGGTCTATTATGATGTAACAAATCATAATAGATTGCTAAAATAATGCTAATCAGCTAGTTTGCCGAAAAAGTCGGTATTTTCCAGAAAACAAAAAAAACGGGCGCTTGCGGGCATCGAACTCGCGACCTCAAAACGAAAAATCGCAGCGCACGCGCTGCGCCAAGCTGTTAGGTCTAGCGAAGGGAGCTTCCATCCGCCATACCCTTGAGCCGTTTGAATAGCACAGATTGCCTATTTCAAAAAGAAAAACTTGAAGTAATGAAGCTATTTTTATCAGAATATGTTCGCAAATCTTTACTCAAACTTTTCGTGGAAATTCACTTCGAAAAAACTGTTTTTTTAGTGCTTTTTGCCTCGTTTAACGATCGCTGCGTTAAAACGGCCCCGTAAATTTTTTTGGCAAAGACGAATTTTTTTATTTTTATTCTTTTTAATTGAAAGATTTTTTTACTAATAAATGTATATAATCGTTTTAAAAAAACCTGCGTTCGACCGCTTTCGGTGTGATAAACGCCGCTAATTTTATTCTCTATTTTCAAGAGCATTTTTGCGTATCAAACAACTTTTTCAAGCACATATGCTGTGGAGAAAAAAATTTAAGTAAGCCCATGGTCTAAATTTTTGAAAAAAACAAGAACTCGATTATATTCGCTTATTAACGATATTTTTGAATTATGACTTTCGGCACTCCCTAAAAATTTTTTTGGCAAAGACGAATTTTTTTATTTTATTGTTTTAAAATTACCGTTACTTGAATCAAAATCATTATTTAAAAAGAAAGAGTGCGTTCGACCTAAAAACACATGAAAAAAAGCAAAAAAACGACAAAAATTTTTTTAGTTTCATTCACGTTTTTTTGTACGACATTCCGCGAGAACGCATCAAAAAAAGCGTGAAATATTTTTTTCAAACGAAAGAGGAAGCTTTTTTTGTACATGTGTGCCAAAAATTTATTATCCAGTTCCACATATTTTGCAACTACAGCAAAATGAAAGTTGAACACCAAAAAAAAGCCACTTTTTCTATCGCGAAAAGGGGCGTGGCTTTGCGGTCCCTAGATACATTGACTATAACAGTCCTAAACTTCATTCTAGGGAAGTTTCACCATCTCAATTTCGACTTAAAATATTCAAATATTATGATAAAGCGTTTTTCGCTTATTCAAGTAGGAACTATGATCTCTAAATCAAGGCCTCGAAATTCTGAATTCTCTTGTTGAGAAAAAGACAGTTTTGGGTGTCTTTAAAGCGTTATAACTGCACTAAAAAGGAGAAAAGGCGCGGTTTTTTCGACTTTTTCGAAATTAAACAGTCCTGAAAGGTCTAAACTTCATTCCAGTCAAGTTTCAGTACCTTAATATTGGCTTTAAACTTTCAAATATTATGATGAAACGTTTATTTTTCGCGTATTTAAGTAGGAACTATGATCTCTAAATCAAGGCCTCGAAATTCTGAATTCTCTTGTTGAGAAAAAGACAGTTTTGGGTGTCTTTAAAGCGTTATAACTGCACTAAAAAGTTAAAAAGGGCCTTTTCTCGACTTTTTCGAAATGAAAATGTCCTAAAATTCCCGAAATTAATTTTAACCAAGCCTACTATCTTACCATGAAAATTTTGAATATCACAAAAAAAAAATTATTTTATTCTAAAATTCCAATTTTTCTCAGCTGCCGTACACGATCGAGCGATCAAGGCAGCTTCGGATGGCTTGATTTTTAGACCCTCGGAACGTTAAATATCAAGGCAATATTGATGCTCAGGTACAGTATTTTTTTCTTCTGTTTTTTTATTATTTATTAAGAGGGTCATCATTAGAATATTATGTTCCTAGAACGTTGAATTAAAAAAATATCTTTTCGAAATTATTTCTTACGATGGCTTGTGAAAGGCTCAGTGATGCAGAAAATCACGATATTCCTGCATATTTTCAAAAAATGGGACCAAGATTTTCAGAATTAACAAAAAAAGTTGTGAAGATTTCCAAACTTTACACTAAACTCCCCTTCAAAACTCAAAAAAAAAACCGTTTTTCACAAAATTTACTCTCTTTGACTTCCACGGGACTCGAACCCGTGACCCTCTCAACTAAAACAATCCTCTAATCCACTGAGCCACCACTCAGGATCAGAAGCAGGCCGCTGACATTGTTGCCGAGATCAACGCCGCAGCTCAGGAAAAATCAAAGTCCGAAAATGACAAAAAGAAGAGTAATGAAAAGGTTTTTTTTGTATGATTTGAAACATTCTAGCCTGTCTGCACTCTCTTTTCTCTCACCGGTGAGGTGTTAGGAACATGAAAATGATTAGGAACTCTAGAGTGGTTCCTCTAGGGGCAACCTTAGGGGTTTTATGAACGTTCCCCTCGAGGGACCGTCTTCAGGAAGCTCTGAAGCTTATAAGTGGCCTCTCTAGGGGTTTCAGTGAGTGGCCACTCCAGGGGAGCATGTTAGTGGTTCCTATAAGTCTCTTTAATGCGTCTTTTGGATTTCAAACCTCAACAAAAATGTAAAGATCCCTATAAGGGCCACTTAAGCCTATGGGACTTCTAGGTCAGGCTAAACCCCTATAGGGACCACCTAAACTTTACCCCTATAGGGATCACTTTTATGTCCCCTACTGAAACCACTCTAACGTTCCCTAAAAAGTAGGCAAAAATGAGACCATCGCCGAGAGAAAAGAGGGCGCAGACAGGTCAGAAAGAAGGAAAAACTTCAAATTTCAGGTCACGATCAATGAGAAAAAATGCGTACTGTACGAAACGAATGACATTGAAACGGAAGAATACGATCTCAACAACGACTCACAATCCAGAATTTGAGGCGATAATGAACTTTTTGGCTCGTTTTCTGTTTTTTCTTAATTTTTGAACGTGTACTGCACATTTCATTCTTGAAACTGTCTGACCTGTCTGCGCCCTCTTCTCCCTCACCGGCGAGATCATAGAAACAGGAAAATAGCATGCGAACATGAGAGAAAAGAAAAATTACAACTTTCAAGTTGTAAAAACCGAGGTTTGCTCAAGATAAGGGAAACACTGTGTGGAAAGAGGAGGTTCAGACGATTTTGACGTCATTTTTTTTGCAAGCCAGATGTGAATGGACTATACAAAAAGTTTTGAAAGATGCCTCGAAAATTCAGAAATTTGAAGAAGCTCACGATTAGCGAGACTGTGTGTGAAAAGGAGAGGTTCAGACGTGTCTGACGTAATTTTTGTCCCTAGATAATGCTGAATGAACTATATAAAACATTTTGGGAGCTTACTCAAAAAATCGGAATTTTTGAGTTTTAAGAATATTTTTCTCAGGATTAACAAGATAGTGTGCCAAAAAGAGAGGTGCAGACGATTCTGACGTCGTTTTTTGCCCTAGCTAGAGGTGAATGGACTATACTAAAATTCCACGAAAATTGCTGGAAAATCAGAAATTTCAAGGTAAGGGAGAAGATTTGTTTCAGGATCAGTGAGATAGTGTGCGAAAAGGAGAGGTTCAGACATGTCTGACGTCATTTTTTGCTTGAGCTAACAGTGAATGGACTAAACAAAAATTTTCGAAAAAACGCTCAAAAAATCAGAAATTCTCACCAGTATGCTTGGTCCAATAAGTTCTGGCCCGCCCTTTCAATTCCAACAGGATTTCGTTCACTTTTTTCGGCTCGACATTTTCGATCAGCACCTGGAAATGATCCCATTTTACGATTGCAATGAGTATTTCTTGAAGAAAAATGGCTTTTCGGGCGGATTTTTATGATTAGAATTTTTAAAATTCTGAACGTTTCTAAGTCGCGTAAAATTAACAACTTAGTAACGCCAGAGTGGTCTCTAAAGGGGTAAAATGTAGTGATCTCTATAGGGGCCCTTTAAAGCCCAAGTGGCCCCTATAGTGATATTTCAGTTTTTTCTTTTTTTGATGTTTGAGTTACGACATAGGGACCGCAATTTTCCCTATAAGAGCCACTTTTTTCAAGCTTTAGTGGCCCCTATAGGGGAGGTAAAGTGATCCCTAGAGGGGTACCATCGAGGGCCCTATAGGGACCACTCTGGAGTTCCTAAGTATAAATATTTATGTTTTTTTACATCATTTTTTTCTGTTTCAAGTTGATGATAAATTATTCTGAACTTTAAAAAAAGTTTCCGTCTTCCTAAAAAAACCTCTTGCCAAAGTTGAAAAAAAAATTTTTTTATAACTTTTTTTCTGGCCTTTCAAGCCCTGCTTATCATATTCATAAAAAAATAATAACCCTGGGAAAATGGTTGGAATTCTCGGATATTCCAGACAAAAAAAGAAACGTGAAACTCGAGACCCCCCTCTCAGGGCAAATAATAGCTTGGAGGGAAAAAAAGGGGAAGAAATCGCACTTTTCCGGTGATTTCCTGGCCGGCAAAGTAGGCCTGTTCCGGGTTGTCGAGGATTATTTCGAACCGGTCCAATTGAACCATTCTCCTCCTGATTTTCCAGCCCGAATTCCGTCTATCTGACCGTCATTTTTGTGAGGATTTCGTGGTGAATCTGCAATGAATAAATTCATCTTGGTATCAAAGCAATTCGAGTTCAAAATGGAAGCGTTGTTCGTTTGAAATAATTTCGCGAAATTGGAATTCCGGGTCCTACAGCGACGTATCGCGATATGGTGGCTTTTCCTCCAAATATTAAAATTTTTAGGGCCTTTTCTACGTAAATTTCGAATTTCAGAGCGTGAAAGTCATGGTAAGAGTCAGAAATCTGTAGATACTCAGTCAATTCCAACAAAAACCAAAAAAAAATTTCGATTTAAAGTTTACAAGAAACTGGGATGTGGTTATTCAGTGAAATAATGACGAGAAATGGCAAGAAATGAGAAAAAAAGTTGAAACCTCAAAAAATGTACATGAAAAATGTTCAGTGAAGAAAGGTTCTGCTTTCTGAAAGCACAAAGTTTAAAAATAACACAAAAAATAAATTCATATAATCAGAAGAAACAGACTGGAACCAAAGCAAAAAACGAAAAACTAATTTATGGGTTTTTTGAAAAAGGGAACATTGAAAAATAGAAAAATTTCGGATAAAAATCATAGTTACATCCAAGAATTGGATAAAAATCAAAATTATCGCGAAAAATGATTAAAATCAGATTGAAGTGATCACTTGAGGTTACTCTTTAATTCTCAGTTATTAAGGTAAGATATTCTGAAGTATTTTGAATTTTTCATGATTTTTAAAAAGAAAATAGAGTTATAATAATAATATTTATTTACAGGCAGAACAAAATAAAGAGCTAATTTCCATACTGACAAGTTGAATAAAGAATCCAACATTTATTTCAATCCGACATTGAAAAAATGCAAAAGAAATATTTTTTTGGAAAACTTTTCTGATTTTATTTTTGTTTGAAGATATTCATTTTGTGACTGTCAGAATGAAAACTTTCAAATCTGGTAAGAAATTTATATAAAGTTGGAGAGAAACAGTAAACCGCCTCAAAAAGTCAGTAAAAAGGCATGGGGATCAAAGTTCGATGGAGCGCACTTGTAAGCCTAAAACAGCTTTTTGTGAATTAACAATTGAGATGAGATTAAAATTATGAACCGAGACCATTTAAACATGGAAAATTCACAATTTGTCCAATAAAAGTCGGAAAAATGGGAAAAATATCATCCAAGGTCATTAAAAAGAGAATAATTCTCCTTCTTTTTCAAAAACGGAAACTGAGCCGTAGACAAAAAAATTACTTGTGAAAATTGTCCTGCTAAAAAAAGTTTATTTTTTTCTATAAATCCGATGAAAATAATTGATTTCAGCACTCAAAAAAATGAGTCAAAAAGACAAAAAAACTAACGAAAAAAAGTTTCAAGCTTCAAAAATTCTATTTTTCTCTGACAACGGTCAAAAATTGACGTCAGACTCCAAAAATGACGTCGAAAAAAAAAAAAAAATTTAGGCTCAAAAAAAATTCCCATTTTCTCCAAAAACGATCAAAAAATGACGTCAAAAACTAAAAAAAGTCGATTTTTCTCTAAAAACGATCGAAAAAATTGACGTCAGTCCCCAAAAATGACGTCATAAGAAGGCAAAAAAAAAAATTTAGGCTTAAAAAAATTCCCATTTTTCTCCAAAAACGATCGAAAAATTGATGTCAGCCCCCGAAAATGACGTCGAAAAAAGCAGAAAAAGTTAGAATAATGGATTGGGAGTACCGCCGGAAGCACTTCTTTTTTCCTTTTTTTCATTTTTTCGAGGCAAATGGCACGAAAAGGAACAACACGCAATCAAATGAAAGCCCTATTTGGGGCAATAAAAGCCGCCCGATTTAGGACTTTCGACTTTCGAATCGAAAAAATGTACTGGGATCTTTTTTTTTTCGTTGAAGCAGGTGGAATTATAATGAATGACATCTAACTTCCTCTTTATAAGTTTTTTTTTGTCTACATGAGATTTTTCACTTTTCAGAATGGTGGATGGCTGCTAAAAGGGAGAGACTCAAAAAAGACAGCAGAAAAGCAGCAAAAAGGCTGCAAAAAGGTTGCAAAATGGCTGCAAAATGGCTGCAAAATAGCTGCAAAAGGCTGCAAAAAGGCTGCAAAAAGGCTTCAAAAAGGCTGAAAAAAAGCCACAGAAAGGCTGCAAAAAGGCCGCAAAAAGGCTGCAAAAAGGCTGAAAAAAAGCCACAGAAAGGCTGCAAAAAGGCCGCAAAAAGGCTGCAAAAAGGCTGCAAAAAGGCTTCAAAAAGGCTGCAAAATGGCTGCAAAATGGCTGCAAAATAGCTGCAAAAGACTGCAAAAAGGCCGCAAAAAGGCTTCAAAAAGGCTGCAAAAAAGCCACAGAAAGGCTGCAAAAAGGTTGCAAAATGGCTGCGAAAAGGCTGCAAAAAGGCTGCGAAAAGGCTGCAAAAAGGCAGCGAAAAAAAGGCAGCAAAAAGGCAGCAAAAGTCTAGCCAAAAAGCAGCAGAAAGGCTGCAAAAAGGCTTCAAAAAGGCTGCAAAAAGGCCGCAGAAAGGCTGCAAAAAGACTGCAAAAAAGAAGCCTTCATCACCCTAAAAGGAACACTTCTATGGAGTCTTTTCCACCCTTTCCGACTTTAACTATGATCAGGCTTTCATTTTGAAATCCTTCGAGGCGAAAATCGTTTTTGGTCGGCTGCATCTTGGGCCACTCTACTTGTAACCATGATAACAAGAGTTTTCAAGTTGTTTTTTTTTCGGACAATTCGATTTTTCGGCTGATTTTCACACTTTCCTGGTTTTTTAATGAACTGTTTGATAGATAAAATAAAAAAATCCTCTTAAAAAAATTAATAAATTCATCCAGTTTCTAACTGAAAAGTAGTATTAAGGGCCTAAAATGCATCATTTTTCATAGGATCTAATTCAAAAAAATGCCTAGAAATTCTGATTTTTCACATTTTTTTCTCAAAGTTTCTGAGCGATTGGCGACTAGAAAAACTTTGAAATTTGTTCCTAAATACATAATTTCTTGCTTTTTTTCAACTGAAATCAAAAAAATTAGAGGTCCGTTTTTCGTACACTTTTTTTCGTAGTTTTTTTGTACAAAAAAATCGGCGAAACATTTTTTTGAATTTTTTTCAAAAATTCTTTATATCTGAAAAATTTTTCTCTCAAAATACAATTTTATAAGATTTCTGGTACAAAAAAATGACGAAAAAAACTTTTTTTGTTGAATTTTTTTCAAATTCAAAAATCAGAAAAAAATCAACTTTACATCTGAAAATTTGAACTTCATCAGTTTTTCCTGTACAAAAATCAAACAAAAAAAATTTTTTTGACGTTTTTTTATCAGATTTCTCGTACGAAAATCGGCTGATTTTTTTCTGAAAAATTCCCCAAAAT